CCGACCCAACTACTAATCCGGCGCTTCGCAGCTTGACGATGGGAGAGCGAACGGGATCCCGTATTCTCTGCGAGCTGTGGTCGTATGTGGAGGTTGTGTTTGGAAGTTGAGACTATAAAGCTGGCAGATGACAGCCGAGAGAACAGTCGAAACACCCCTGCCTTAAAAGATTAGATATAGCATCTAGTGCAAGTCCTGGTCTTCGCATTTCCACGAAGTCAAGTCACCTGCTGCAAAATTTAATCTTTGAGTTGTGTGGTAAATATCTGCTATGTGCAGTGTTGTAGCGTATATCTAGCTGTCCTGTCAGGTTAGATGGCAACCGATTGTTGGAGTGTTGTCCGCGCTTTATAGTCACATGAATAATGACTCTAGAAACAAAAAAAAGTATTTGCTATTCGGTTTATCTGGCAAAAGTTATAGAAACGACGCAGGCCTGATTCGAACAGACGCCTCCGAAGAGAATAGATTTCTAGTCTATCGCGTTAGACCACTCCGCCACTGCGCCTTGAGGTTTCCTGATTGGATGATAATCTCGGTCCAATCACAATCTATATAGTACTGTTCTGCGAATATCTAAGCCGTTTGCTGTTTACTTCGTTGTTCGGCAGTGCGCGCTTGAAATCTCCGTTGGTGTAACAATGCAATCCATTGTCGAAATCACTCAAGGCAGCAGCAATTATTGGCGATGCGAGGATCGTAAACCTGATCTCCACCTAGTCTTCTGAATTTCAACCTCTTCATCTCTTCCTTCCACCCTCTTCCTGTTGGGAAACCATTCGATCAATCACACTGGCAGCAGGTAAGCAACAGAACAATCATCCTCTAAGGCTTAGATCGCCTGGATGAAGTATATCAAATGTTAGCCTAGACTAACAAAGGTAGCCAAATTATTTCGTCTATTCTCCTTTGGCGGTCTTCTGACACCCTGGCGGGTGGCTTTTGGCTGTCAAAATGGACCGTCTGCCCCCGGAGATCATCTCCAACATCGTTCATCATGTTGAAGAGGGCTCTCTTGCACCCCTATCAGTCTTGTGTCGACGTTGGCAGCCAATAGTCGAAGCTAGAATATATCGAGAGCTTCACATATCCCGCGTACGACCTGGAGCACAAACATTGCGCAAATCAATCAGATACCCTTCGTACGAAAAGCTTGCGAGTAATTTGACACCGACACGGCTTTCTTATATTCGCCATTTGCATGTCGAAATCTATGTATACGGCAGTGGTTTCTCGGTGACATCTACGGACATTATTCGACAAATATTCGATCTTCTCACGCTGGTACCACACAAGCAAGAGCCACTACTGAATCTACATTTCAATCTTCGCGGATTCTTCAACGACTTCTTCGAACCCGACTCTCGGTCTAGTGGTAGTTTTGAATCTCCACCAAGTGGACTTCCAGAGTTGCCCATGGTACGGTCTTGTCAGTTAAAGAACGGCTGGCCAGGACCAGGACCAGGGTTTCCTCCACGCGCTCTCTTCTATATGGCAAGCAAGATGCCGCGGTTAAGGACACTAGATGTAATAACTTGGGATATCGAGTCGATACACCAAAGAGTCGAGCTGGCTCGATCACTTACCGACTTACCCACGTCTATACACGGCTTCTTCTTTCGATTCCTCCAGTCCGATAATTCAGATGGTCTGCTGGTCATGGAGAATGGCGAGGATATCTTGACTCGAGAACTACGTCGATTCTCACAAAGAGAAGGTCTAAAATACTTTTTATTCAGCGGTTGCGTAGAACTTTCTATCTTTTGGCCACCAGACTCAGCAACATCTGAACCACGATATTGGCCAACACTGGAAGCTTTCCATATACTGTTCCGTCATCCTCAACACCTCGCCAGCCTTCACGCTACAGAGTCTCCCGATGATACGCAAGATACAAGCGACTCGGATACAGAGTCACTCGATGATGCTCAAGATGCAAACGACTCGGATACAGGGTCTCCAGACGATACGCAAGATGCAAACATTTCGGACAGAATCGAAGTTCATAAAGGGATTATGAACGCCTCCTTCCGAGCTCTTGCGAAATGCTCGGCCTGCATGCCTAAAGCTAAGGTTAACTACATCTATTTCGGTGACACCTGGTGTACGTACTTCACCTATTGCACAATGCTTCCTGGAGATCCGTGTGTCATTGTCAATGGTGAATCGGATTTTGAGCTTGATGAGGAAACGGTGGACGAATGGCGAAAGACCGCTGAAGTTCACAATCTGGATTTCCGGATGCTCATTGGGGAGGTGCCCGAGTAGCAGGTCATTCATCCTACAAAGCAACATAGCCTGAAAGTTGATTCTTCTTCGTGTCTTAGGCTCTCGGTTGCTTGCTTGTGATATCATTGCAGATGAGGATGATAGCCGAGAGTATAGGAGACCAAATAATAGATAACCCTTCTTGACAAACAAACTGGTACCTTGATTGGCTTCTTCTTGTCCTCATTTAATCACTTATTCGGTTTTGTCGCTCACTGAAGCACCGCTCATGACAAGACCTTTCTGTTTATTGTTCAGGTCGATCAGCCAAAAGGTAGCCTAAGTGCTGCTTTAACTTTGCATAAGGTAAGTAATTATTTCGTCTCTTATGCTTTCATGATAAGGTTTTTTCGAGGAGTTTACCCTTTCTTTGCATTATGACTTAAATTATTGCACATAAGGTTCGAGTGGAGTATAAAGTGCCCTTCACACTTTCTTCCTCCCGGCTTGTGCTTTCTTCTTTACACAAATATCGTGTTGATTTCCCTGGCGTTGAAAGGGAAAAGGTTGTTCGATACTAACTGTCACAATGAACCGTCTGCCCACCGAGATTATATCACAGATTGTTGGTCATGTGAGGCGTCGGAATCACCGTCTTGCACCACTATCACTCATCAATCACTGTTGGCAACCCATCGTGGAAGTGGAAATATATCGACGTTTTCGTATGGCTTACCAGTTATCTGACAATATCTATACTTCCTACGAAAAAAAGTATTCGGATGTTCTGACTCCGACACGGCTCTCCTATGTTCGCCAGCTACATGTCTCTTTCTTCCTGTTAGGCCGGTTTCCCGGAGGACAACGCCGTCACAGATGGAGCTTGGAAGAGACTGCGCAAGAACTTGAGAAGGCTTTGAAACACTTTTTTAATCTTCTTGTATCGACACCACATGGTCAAGAGCCACTGCTGGATCTACATTTCGACGCCAGTGAGCCCATCTCCAACCTCTTTGGAACTGAGCCCCAGCCTAGTGAATCACTTCATAGGCTTCCAGAGCTGCCTATGATAAGGTTTTTGTCGGTTTTCCCAGGGCATGAACGATGAGTTGTTTTCTCCACACACGGTCCTGCTTGTAGCAAGCAAGATGCCACGGTTGAGAGAACTAGATATCAAGGTAAAACCGAGACTTAGGGAGATCTGGTCGACACACCAAAGGATTGAGCTTGCTCGGTCACTCGCCGATGTGCCTTTACCTACGTCTTTACAGAACTTCACGTTGCGATACTACAAGACAATTGGTCCAGATGGTTTCCCGACTATGGAAAATGGCGAAGATATCCTTACTCAAGAACTACGCCGACTCTCACAAAGAAAAGGACTGGAATACTTGACCTTCCACGGCCGCGTAGAACCCTCTATCTTCTGGCCACCACACTCAGCATCTGAAGCTCAACAGTGGCCAACGCTGAAAGCTTTCACTCTGCACTTGGTGCATTCGGGGTCTTTCGATATTGTAGCAGGCGTATACAAGCGAATCACGATGTCTAACGCTAGGTCTGGTTTCCCCTTTAACTCGATAAATCGATTCCCAGAAACCATTGTGCAGACGAGAGAAGTGCCCCAGATGTCGTTGAATTCGATGGAGTTGTGTTCAGCTTTAGGCATGTGAGCCGAGCATTTTGCAAGGGCTTGGCAGAATGCGTTCAATGATGCTTTGGAGCTTGACAAGGAAATGGTTGACGAATGGCGGAAGACCGCTGATATTCACAATTTGGACTCTGAGATGCGTATTGTGGGGTGTGATCCTATGGCGGAACACTGATCCTCCAGAATAAAAACAAAATAGACCGAGTTTTTATTTAGTCCATCTTTTAGGCTCCTGGCTGTGGGTGTTTGCGATATATACGATAGATGGAAGATAGCTTTCAGCAAGGAAACACATACCACAAGAAACAATTGATATGAACAGGCATATGTCTTTTATGTGTAATTGGTCGCAAGATGCAGTTCCTAAACACTTGCCTGGTAATAGCTCTTCGTCTACCCTGCAGCAATTGCAGTGCAGAGCCGTGGCTCTTTCCTTTCCATTCTAACGGCCGCTCGGAATAATTGGAGACCGCAGGCAGGCGCGAAGCTTCACAACTCTCAACTCACTATCTACATGCCTCCCTCACGAAATTCGAGATACTCTACAACGCGACAGAAAAGCTGTCAACAGTGTTCTAGCGCCCGAGCGAGATGTGATCGCAGGGATACCTGTGGGCGCTGCGCTTCGCGAGGATTGACTTGTACCTACCCGACAGCCACATCTCGAGATACGAGCACGCCTAGTGAGAACACCGCAGAGAATCTCACGCCAACGAACTTAGAGGAACTGCAGATACAAAACTCTACCGATCACGAGCACCCACAAAGCATGGCTGAGACTGCGACAGCATCCGCGCCCGGGCTTGAGCCTGCACCCTCAAACCCTGATCTCATCTGCCCCATCAACCCCGACGACATCCAGAACCGATGGTTGAATGCATACGTACCTCTTCCGGGACAGGAAGTCAAAAACTACCCTACAAATGTCAGTAAACTTATCTTTCGGACGCTGAAGTCGTACGCGTCTATGGCGACACGAGGGCGCTCGCCTCCATTCATACACCCTACGCATCTCTCATTATCGCCTATCTCGACCTGTTTTACCCTGCTACGAATATTCAAAGATCCATTACCTGAGAGGGAGAATGTTGTTGTGGAGATACTTCAAAGAGAAATGACACGACTGCACGAAGGACACACTGCATGCAGCGCGATGGACCTCTTCAGTGTATTTCAGGCATATCTCGTCTACACTATGGTTTTGTTCTTCCAGGTCGCACCCGCACCAATGCAATTCATTCGCCAGGCCATGATCAACCTTCAAGAAATCGCGTGCGCCACTTCCCGACAGGGCCTCGCCTGTAAGTCAGAGCGGATGTGGGCCCATACTCCATCGTCTGAAGCATGGCATTTCGTTGAGGCAAAGCGACGGACTCTGTACACCATGTACTTTCTTGATAACGTACTATCTGCCGAAGATGGCCTTTCGACGTACATCGGCCACGAGCTGAAGGGCTTATATGCACCTGCAAGCAAGGAGCTATGGCAAGCCAAGTGCGACGATTGGGAAGCAACATACATGTCTCATTATCTTGTGTGGGGAACAGATATGTTCCGACTGGATGAATTGTGGCCAGTATCTTCTAATGAAGGAGGGTATCGTATCGAGAAAAGACAGGAGAGGACAGATCAGTGGCTGGAGGGCGTTGACGAGTTCGGGATGATGCTATATGCTGTAACAGTCTGTACATATGGGAGCTGAATCTCTTTCCATTGATATCCCCTTTTTCTAATGTGAACGTATGTGTGCCTCTGTGATCTCCTTGTGCTGTGACCTGGCTGGTTCGACTCTACTGTTTTTGAAGGAGAAGTGCATATTTCTCGAAAAGACTTTTCCGACTGTCTGCATACGCTTTGACTTCCATCTGCAGCTTATCCGACTGGTGCGATACGGTTGAGGGTTCTATCACGGGTTATGTCAGTGAGATGTGAGTCTATGGAGGAGGATCTCTCAAGGATGCTCATTGTCTGGAGCTTAGCCACCTAGTGCTCCAGTCCAGTGACCTGCTCAGTGGTAGCCTCCAGCTCCAATTTCTCAGGATAACAGAAATATTCGTTGCCGAGAGCCTAGGATATGAGATAATAAGATCAATATTGAGGCTACGTTATTCTGGCGCCCTGGCCCTGGAAGGATGAATGCCTTGTTATTCGGGCGCTCCTCCAATGCGCATCCCAAGATCCAGATTGTAAATCCCAGCTGCCAATCCGATTCATCGCGTCGATTTATTCCTTCGTCTCCCCATCAATACAAACGAATTCTAGATTTTTTATTTACCGGATTGGTATCTCAATTGTTTACACAAACATGCTCGGCCCTGCCGAAATCACCACCAACATACTACGCCATCCGTCGCTCTAGATCTACCTCACCAGCCTCATCCGAATTCTAAGATCGGGCCAACGGTCACCTTGCCACATTTCCCAATACCCGGAAAGTCTTTGATCGATCCGCGGATGTCACCCAGAGACTGTGAAAAGCTGCGTCTGAGCGCCACTGGATCAACGACCCTTGAACCCACTTGGTCTGGTCAAAACGAGTCATTACAATGACCTTGCAGCCACATGGAAGCCTTCGAAACCCTTGCTCAGCACTATTAAAGTTCAGCGCCAACCCGTTAGTAGCGTTGATCTTCAACGGCGGATCCAAGCAAGTCTACGGGGGTCAAAAGCTTAGCCTTTTTGTTAAAACTTGCCTCTTGGCCTTCCTTGATTTCTCCAATTTCTTGCAATGAATCTGACCTCTGACTCCACGATATGTGGAATGCAACAGGTCCCGACTCGAATCGAAATGCTCCTCCGGGGATTGTCCCGGATTACAGTCATCCTGAGGATGTATTCTGGACGCTCAATATTGTGCTAGCAGTTATCTGCGCCTTTTTCACTGCAGTTTTCTTCTTTATACGGGTTTATGTCAAGCGAACGATACATCGTCATATTGGGGTAGAGGATTGTACGTACAGAGTCTGGTTTATTGACCAAGCTGACAAGTTTAGGGACATGCATAGCAGCATTTGTACGTCGGTCTTTGACGATAGTTCTTCTTTGATGATGTTCGTCGCTAACTTTATAGATTTGTGTTATCACGTATATTACAACAGTGTTGATGAGTAAGGCCTTTCCGTTGTCTTTTGTCGTCGATTGATGCTAACAAGACAGTGGCTCGATATGGCGCAGGTTATCATGCTTGGGAGATACGTAAACCAGAATACTACAACTGGTTGAAGGTAGGTGGTCTCTGTGTTCGAAGGCTTGTCTAACAACTGCAGTGGTTCTATGCCAGTACAATCGTGTATATCCCTGCCGCCTTCTTCACCAAAGCGACTATTCTCCTCCTCATGGCGCGTGTCTTTGCTGTCGAACCGCGGGTCGCAAAAGGAATACGAATATTCATTTGGGCTCTATTGATCGCATACATCCCGATCCAAATACTACGGATCGTCACTTGCGATCCTATTCGAACGTATTGGGATCCGAAAGTCCGCAATGCACACTGCCTCAACCAACGAAAGATCTTCTTTTCCGATTTATCGTTGTCAATCGTTACCGACCTCATCATTCTTCTCGTGCCAATACCATTGACATGGCGGCTTACTTTGTCTATTGGCAAGAGGATCAAGATTGTGTTGCTTCTTGGGGCTGGAGGAATTGCCACAGCCTTAACGCTTTATCGGATTTCTAAAGCGGTTGAGTTTTTGAACTCGGATGACATTACGGTGGATTATACACCAATTGCGATTTTAACGTAGGTGGTCATCATCAACAATAGATGTCCTAGCTAACATCTCAGGAACCTTGAACTTACTATCGGCTTTGTTTGCGCCTGTCTACCTTCGTTCAATCTGTTGATCGAACATCACATCCGTAAACGACGACGAGAACGAGGCCCATCTGAAGTCCGAGATCGATCACGAGCGTCCATGATCAAGAGACACTTTCGATGGATCAGTTCTTCCACCCGCCCATCTGCACAACCGACTCGTCCCACGAATCGAGCCTCGAATGGAATGATCGACTTGAATCGAGATTCAGACGGAATGATTGACTTGGATGTTGAAATGGCCATGTTGACGGGCCAACCTGTACGATTACGATCAGAGAGATTGAGTAGTACGGATTCTGTTGGACTTCGACCGCTTGATCATCGACTCAATTCAGGAGATGGACGACGAGAGGGGTGGTTATCCCAGGATCAGGATGACCAAGATGAATTGCAGGATAGCAAGTTCATAATGAAAATGGTACAGGATTCGAGAGCTAGGGCAGAAGAGGGTGCTAAAGAGTCTTGGTGTCCTGTCTGGGACGGACCTAGAGATCCTTTAGCGAGTCACGGAAGTTGGAAGTATAGCATACGGACGCATTAGGCAGAGATATTTGGGGACTTTAATGTGTCTGAGGAGTTAAGGATGTCTGGAGTTAAGGTCATGATATCCCGGTATAGAGTAACTCGTAATTTAATTGATGTCTGGTCGGTTCGAAGCCGCCAGATCAACTACCACAATTCTCACCTGTCCACTTTACAGTCCCAATGCTAGATATGGTGACAGCATCATTCGCTTCTGGATGAGCTGTAAATTGTGTCATCACGAAGGTGACTCCGCGAGAGGCAATTGTAAGTGAGGACCAGTAAAAGGATTGTGAAATGAACGGTGTTTAAGCTTCAGTCGGGCCACAACTTCTGGATACTACTTCCTCGATCATGCTCTGAGCCCCGGTGGTCGTGATATCCCCGCAAGCATGCCTCGGTGGCTCCTTCCCTCTCTCAAACCTCCCATATACTCCTTCCACTCACCACTATTCCACCTCCTCTAACTTCACTCCAACATCTTCCAACATCTCCCAATATCCCGCATTCGTTCATCGCCATCTCTTCATTTCTATTAGCATCATTCTTTTATGCCCTTCCTCCAACCACCATGCTTCTTAACAATATTCAGTTTGTCGAAACTCAGGCTCCTGCCTTTGACACATTATCCAGAGCTCCCAGCAGCACCTTTGAAAAGGTTGGAAGATGGATGTTTAGCGGCGACGAAGTCGACTCCAGTGGACTGCCCGAGGCTGTTTGCTGTCCTTGCGTTGCCTACGGACGTACTCGACTGCGCTTCAATGAAGCTGTCGACAGAAGCTACGGCATCTACGAAACTAAGGAGCAACATCAGCAATCTCCTATCTACCCTGTCGTGACAAAAGATTGCTGCGTATTTGCTTCTTTGTGTTTGCCTTGTAAGTATGTTTACCTGCAACAAACATCGCTAACAGTTTAGTGTATGGTGGCTTCATCTCTGATCTACGTGGAGATGTTCGACGATTATACAATATCGAAGGCAACGAGCATCGAGACTGTCTAGCAGGATGTTGCGATCCTTGCTATACTCTTATTCACGTCGAGAACGAAATTATTGGACGAGAGAGAGGTCGAAAGCACAGCGATGCCAGTGGGTACACTTCTCACCCACCGATGTGTTCATCATCTTCGGGCTCAGTAAGAATCCCCAGCAAGTCATCTTCCCCCAGTACAGAACGCGATGATTGTCTTCCATGCATTCCTGAAGACCACTCTGTGCGAAGTCCCTCGACCCCAATCAGCCGACGCAGCAGCAAAAATCGGGAGAGGTCGATCGCTGTTGACCCAGTTGCACCAACCGATGCGACACTTGTTCACAATCATGACATTAGCAATGACCCAAAGGGGCCAACCTCTCATCTCCACGGAAATCACAGTTTGAGCAAAGATGCTGCACCAACCTATGCGACACATGACCATGATCACGACATTGGTCAAGACCCAAAGGGACCAGCCTTCCATATTCATGGAAGTCACAGACTCAGCAAAGACACGACTACTCCTAGTTACCCACCCTCGATTCATCAACTTCGAACCGATACAAAGGCCCCGGCCAGTCCACCTGCAGTTCATCGACACGATCTTTTCCACGACGCCGCTGAGACAGCTCCTCCTCAACGAAGCAACCATGACATTGGTTCCGATCCGGTCGATACTTACCGAGCCAGTCCTGAACATACAATCCATCAAGATGAGACAGCACCAAGAAACCATCCTGCGTCTTCTCATGCCTTGGGCCATGACCTAGTGAGCAACCAGGCCGGGACATATCAACCACATACGCTTGGAGCGGATGATGAAGTTACAAGCAAAATTGAGAGTCTTGGAGCACACCATCTTTACGAAGACAAGTGAGCGGAGATGAACGGAGGACTGGAAAGGAAGTCGGTTGGACAATCACTACACCTCGAACACGCCAGTATTGTTAGTACTTGAACAAGCAGCATAATAGAGATATATGGTTATATTCCTGCGGCCCTGTTTTATGTGATCACTAACGCAGGTCGAATAGTATTTATTTGAAGGTCAGACTGTGGTCAGGTCTGAGTTGGCAGAGGCAATTCTGCAGGTAGCTGCATATCTGCCAGTGGCTGTGGGCTGTGGCCCAGGTTGGCTGGCCTGATTTACAGTCTATCAATCAGTCCATGGCTGGCCAAGACAATCACGGCAATGAACCCGACAATCCTTCAACTTGTCTCATCCCCAGCCTCCAGGTTGCAGGTCATTGCATTAGTTAGAGAGGCGTTGCACTTACAAGTCTCATCGGGAGGGGTTACAACACGGACACGACGCGAATTCGCGGATGGTCTGGCCTTTAATAGAAACAATCGATAGCTTGTCGGTTACACTTTACAGGGGTTTAGTGGATGATCTGGTTGGCGATCAAGGATCAGCTGAAAGGGTAAGGACCAATAATCTGGGGAGATTGATGATGTTGTGATAAGATGGTCGCATATGGTTTGAACCAAAGGCTAACAGCAGACAAAGAACTCATGAAACGGAGACTTGACGGATGATTGCAGAGCATGAACAGAATAGCTTCAGTATGCAACACACAGTAATGCAACACAAGGACTGACTGACTGCCATAGCGGCGGGAAAAGGACAGCCACAGCCACGGGCAATGCCCTCGAAACCTAACTTGATAGTGGTGATCAATATCCTCTCCCTTGCATCTGGCTGCATCTGCCTTGCATTGGCGCTAAACGTTTAAACGCGTCGATTGGATACGATCTGGTAGAAACTGGGTTGACGCTTGTGGAGCTTTTGGTCATGTCCCACAAGGCCAAGGCATGGATGGTATTCAACGAATCATTGAGAAGCTCAGTTAGCGGTGACGAGTGATACGAGCATGGTCGCGAATGAGGGGAAGACAAGAAAAAGAACCTGAGGCATCTAGATAACTCTATCAGAGGGTTGGGTTCTCAATTAATCTCATCCTCTTGTTCGTCATCAATTAATTAAACACGAAAGTCGCGATCTCACATTCCTGTTTCAAACGCTGCAGTTATTACCTCCACTAAAAGTTTAGTGAGTTAGTGGCCGCATTTCAGCACGTCCCCAGGCCTGTATCCCTCCACTGTCACGGCACGTCCACGTCGGGTCCAAGGCACGAAAGAACGCCCACTTGCGCGCTGGGTCTCCCTTATTTCCGATCTCCCTCCACGCGCTCTCCCGCACCAAAAACCCACCGTTAGCACCTCTTTTGTACCCGATCTCTCTCTCTCCCACTTTCATTCCCCATTCATCCATCTTCCTCCTCATTTACACGTTACGTTTCTTTGCTTTGGTCTCCTTCACGCGATAACAATAAACAAGTAAAGCAACATCACCAAACTCCACTGCCTGTAGCCATGGCTACTGTTACTCGTCAACCTTTTGCTCCTCTTGATGGGTCTAGACTTCAATCCCTCACAAGTCTCAAGAATAGGCAAAACGGTATGTGGAGATGTCGCCCGGGGTTTGATGATCGTCACTAACTTGTTGAAGCTGCTCCTACGTCTACTTCTGCCGGAAAACGAAAAGCTGAATTAATTGATACCGACGACTTTGAAAATGTTGATCCTTCAGCTTTTGCCAAACGATCCAAGGGATCCAAGGATATTCTCAAGCCTTCATCAATCATCCTAAAGGCCGCTTCTCTACCTGCACCTTCACCTAGCCTCCCCGCTCCATCTGCCATCCCTAGTCGCCTCACCAGTCCTACCAAACCTCGACGAACTCTCCAAGCAAAGTCTCCCAACAAGCTCAACACCGGAATCACCAAGTCTTCTCCCCTTCACGCACCCGCTGGACGATCTCCTACCCGAGGAAAGCGATCTGGCATTACGTCAAGCCGACGACGAACTCTTGGACGTATTGATCCTCCTACTCTTCTTGGTGCCGCTGCTCCCTTCTCTCTCGATGCTGCTCTCAAGGGCACAATCCCTGGATATGGCGCAAAGGCTGCCACTGCCAAGCCTGTCACTCTTGATGAGCCAGACATGAAGGCCAGCTGGTTCTTTGAGATTCATGAGGATACTCCCGAACAAGAAATGACCAACCTTCTCCAACACAGCACATGCACACTCGACATTTCATCTGACGAAGAAAGCGAGCGCAAGCGAAACAGGGATCGCGCAGAGGGTCGCGACAAGGAGAATGTTCCTCCTCCCGACGACGTATCCCAAACTCGTCGCGCACCAAGGGCTGACGACATGGTCGTTGAGAAGGAGCGTGTCGCATTGGGAGAGATGAACACTGCCGACTTTTACGCTGAGGGATGTGACGAGACATCAGTTATTCTTGTGCCAGAAGATGAGCCCGAGCCAAATGTTTTGGAGTCTGTACTGGAAGTGCCGGAGGTATCAGAGTCAATTGACTTGAAGCCTATCGACCCTACAACAGAAGATATTGATAACCTCATGGCCAAGCCTACAGAAGGCACATCAAAAGCTGCTGTTTTGGAACCAATCGAAGGAACTGGGGAAAGTTTTGAGCTATGGGAAAGCGGCAGCGCACACGATGAAGCTGACGCAACTTCATGATTGATGGATAATAATGTAACGGATACGATGGATACGTGTTATGGTTTGGACGGATTGGTATGGATAGGAGCGTGGCGTTATGTTCTCTTCTCGCAGGCCCAAGCGCTGGAGTTCTGTTTAATTGTGTGGTTTACCTTTTTGTCTGGATGTTAGAATCCTTGAATTGAGTATTTGAATACGTCTATCTGTGAAGCCTCTGCCTTCCTCTAGTGACGGCACATGTCCATCGGTCAAGAATTACATATCAAAGAAGTCGGGCAGTGAATGTGTTTGTGTAGAGCAATTCCGTATCGCATTCCCGTACCGTCGCAACAACATATCTTCAACATCGTCGGCTCGAGGAGCTTGGTGTTTCGATGAGTACTATATATGAGGGTTTTAACACAAGTGGTTGGGCACAAGTCGGACGGCAAAGATTAGGATACCTGCCCTGTTTCTTGGTACCAAAGGCTTTCGATAAATTAGTTGTACTACGGATTGGGCCTGTTGTTGAGTTTGTGATCAATACTCGCGGATCCCTGGCTTGGACAGACATAGGGTAGGTTCAGCGAGACTTGGTTGTTCACGAGCAGATGCGACGGATCATACGTATGCAACGATCAGGTACTCTGGAGATATATAACGATTATCTTGGAGTCTCATAGCGATAGACAATCGTACCTTATTTATAGAAAATTGGCTGGTACGGTTGGGAATCGTCAAGGTTTATATTGAACGCCTCTCAGTTGAGTTGCGGCAATCACCTCATTACCACCGTAACGATAACCAGCACAACGAAGTAGAAAGAAACATACTAATCGTATCGAAAACTGAGGATGAAAATAAATAGGTGGAAAATAGAATCATATTGCTCAGTCAACGGCGATGTAAACGAGGGACGGGCGATTCTTGCCCTCACTGTTATCGGCATCCGGCAAAAGCAGGCGATATAGGCAACAATTAGCAGCTCTTTCTCCAACAGAATCCAATCCACTTGGCTATTCCTCCGTTTCCGGAGATCACCCCGAATAGCTCAGCTGGAAGAGCGTTCGACTGTAATTGTTATATGTCATCGAAAGGTCACTTGTTCGATCCAGGTTTCGGGGATTCAAATTTTTGCACTTTCTCCGACTGATTCGTTCCACAATACGAAGTAGCTGCCAATCAAGTGCGCCTAATCTTGCAGACATCTCGATCGTCTGTGCAATTGAATTTTTGCTAGGTCCCGCTATGACCAGAACCTACCCAAAGCGTCGGGACAAAAAAAGTTCAATGGACGGACGGCTCCACGATAGCTTCCACAAAAAGATGTCCTGACAAAAAGTAATCCCCGAAACCTGGATCGAACAAGTGACCTTTCGATGACTTTAACAATTACAGTCGAACGCTCTTCCAGCTGAGCTATTCGGGGAGGATCTCTGAGACAGAGGAACAGCTATGCCGTGGTGCTGGGTATTGTGGTATATATACTCCACATAGCATGACAAAGCAAGATCCATATATTTTACAAACTCATCTAGACGTTTCTGTAATCATATTTATGGTATCCAAACAAACTTTTATTCCGCTATCTTTTTCCTTTTCGTTCGCTATCTATCCATCTAGTTGAAAACAACAGTCTTGTGGCCGTTAAGGAAAAGTCTCTTCTCAGCATACCACCTCACGGCAGCAGCAAGAACTTGGCTCTCAACATTGGAGCCTTCCTCGGACAAATCCTTAGGGCTCATGGCGTGATCAACACGGGCAATGCGTTGCTCAATAATAGGACCCTCATCCAAATCAGCAGTAACAAAGTGAGCAGTAGCACCAATAATCTTGACGCCTCGCTCGTAAGCCTGGTGGTAAGGCTTGGCGCCCTTGAAAGAGGGCAAGAAAGAGTGGTGGATGTTGATGATACGTCCAGACATGGCCTCGCACAATGTAGGAGAAAGAACCTGCATGTAACGAGCAAGGACAATAAGCTCAATGCTGTGCTTCTTGCAAAGCTCGAGAACCTGTCCCTCCTGCTGAGCCTTGGTATCTTTGGTAACGGGAAGATGGTGGAACTCGATTCCGTAGCTCTCGGCGAGTGCGGCGTACTCGGGGTGGTTGGAAACGATAACGGGGACCTCCATTCGAAGTTGGCCAGTCTTCATGCGGAAGAGAAGATCGTTAAGGCAGTGACCAATCTTGGAGACCATGATGAGGACTTTGGTCTTGCGGGCGACGGGTCGAATATCGTAGTCCATTTGGTACTCAGTAGCAAGCTTCTCGAAAGACTCCTTTAAGTGCTCGGTAGACTCGGACTCGGTAGGACCGAAGTGAACTCGCATGAAGAAACGCTGTGAAACGGGATCAGAGAATTGCTGAAGGTCGAGAATGTTGTGCTTGTTGGCGGCGAAGATGCCAGTCACGGCATAGACAATGCCGGACTTGTCAGGGCATGACAGAGTGAGGATGTGATCGTAGGCCATGTTGAAGGGCTATTATGGTGTTGAACTGTTTGTAAAGAAGGTGAAGTCGATTTGGTGTAAGTTGGAAAAAGAATTGATCGGCGACTCCAGGCTCCGTATCTCGACCGAGTATGACTCCGAGTCCACCCCACTGCGGGCTAACCCTCCACTATCGGAGAGCGGGATGTGGGTGCGGCATGAACGAAGTTGAAGTGTCAATTGTATAGGAGAATGGCGGCGTAGGCGGCGTAGATGCAATTAATAGTGACATGTTGAAGATCGTCATGTTGCATATCCATTTAAACCCTGTCTCCGCATGGCTGCAGGCGATGTAGATTGACATATCCACTTGGCAAGATTTGTATTGAAGAATTGAATCTCGCGATGGCTGAAGAAGAAGTTTTGATGGTTAGGAAATATCTTGACAGGTTAATTGATGTGGTGGAGAGAGTTTGGCAGGTCCAAAGTTCCTGCATTGACAGGACCTGCCTTGATCAATGGTATTGATTCTAGAAGGAACACCTAAATCTTATCTTGGTAGGTACCTGCCTGTCATTCACGATAGCATCATCATCACGTGGTATCGGAAGTACATCCGACCCCCACCTCAACTTCGTTCTCAACGGTCAACATCAAACGTTGTTCTTCATCATGCATCATGCCGGGTGGCTCCCGAAGCCGAGACGGCTGTTTTAACTGTCGAAAACGCAAAAGAAGATGTGACGAAGAGAAGCCTGTTTGTCAAAGGTGTAGAAAGAATGGAGATGATTGTGTCTTTCCAACGCCTGCTTCTGCTTCGAATCTTCTCAAGTTCGTCGTGGCAGGGTCCAATCACTATATGATACCAATTACTCAAAGCCCCAGTTTCCTAAACCTTTCGCCTCGAGAACTTACTGCTGTGACTGATTATAAACAGGGTGGCGTTTGGGTACAACCACCACTTCCCCGCAACCTCTCACCTTTTGGCTTTGAGTCGATAGGAATTGAGAATGCCCTTGTACAGTACTGTATGTTATACAACCCAATTGATGGAAGTCGGCTGACTTTATAGATGTCCAAGTCATCTCTACCAGCAGAGTCTATGTGGACACATCTCGGAATGGCTTCCGTACATCAGTCATACCTCGAATGTGTTCCCAAGGCCCTTTACTCTCTGCAGTTCTATCGATGAGCGCAGCAGAATGGTCACAAAACGGTATCCCTGATGGCAGGGACTATCGCGGTCTCTCAATGCAGTACAAGGTTCGGGCACTCCATGAACTTCAACAGGCGTTGCTCGATTCCCACGGTAGCGAAGGCAACCTACTTACATGTGTTCTTTTGGCATCTCTTGAGATAGCACACGGTTCAAGTCCCACATGGCTTCGTCATCTTCAAGGCGCTCTCGCTCTTCTCGAAAGTTTTGGTGACAATATCGACTCAGACGTGGCCGAATTCGTATTACAGTATTTTCGTTTTCGCTACATTTTGATGGAGACGACTCAACCGATACACGAAGATGACTCACTTAGTCAAGCAATGTCCAGCCTTGCCAAGATCGAAGCAAATCTGTCGAATGATCGTAATCTCGTTGACGAGCAGATCGGTTGTTCGATGGATCTAGTCGATATTATAAACGAGATTTCGTCATTGTCGGCGCACATGCCAAAGGACGAGCTTTACACCAAAGGACAGGAAATTGAGCAAAAGATTGAACAACTATCTTCGCAAGATACGACCGACGACTACTTGTCGAGAAGTGCAGAGTCATTTCGAATTGCAGCCCAGATTTACCTCCGCTTAGTTTGCTACAATACTTCAATCACCCACCTATCAATCCTCGAATTACACGAGTCTCTCCTTACTTGCCTTTCCGATATAATTGTCGAAGGACAAACGAGACGATCATTTCCAATGTGGCCCCTCTTTTTGGCTGGTTGTGCATGTTCTTCTGATGACCAACGAAAGATTGTATTGGATCACTTTACTTTGTTGGACAAGAAATGGCCCATCAGTAATATCTCGGCAGTTTGGAATGCTCTCAAATTGATATGGCATACCCGAGATTTCCAACTATCTTCTACAAATCAGGATTGGAGGGAAGTTATTCACAAATTTGGATGGAAGTTATCTCTGTCATGAGAAGCTGTCAAAGCTATGTTGGAGCTATGAGATACAATACCAAAAGCGATTTTTTTCACACAGACCACTTCAGTGCAACGAATGTGTGCTATTTTGGCAGCTCTCTCACGCTACAATCAAGTGCACAGCTCAATTGAGACAATGTACGTCTTGTACGTCCTCATTGGGAGTTGATGTGATCACACAGGCTAACCGCGCAAAAGGTCTTACTTCTCTAGGATAAGGGTCTTCAGTCCCATGTCTCCCGCTGAACCAAGGGTCCATCGTGACCACGCCATTTGCCTAGCTGCGTTGGTTTGAATCGTGAATCGTGCTATCCAGGTTGATCAACTGCCGTTGGTACTGTAGCAGTTGCATCAGCGTGTCACCAGCAGAGGCACCACAAAACAGGGACAAACTCCAACGAACTTCAAGTGGCAAATCAGTAGAAAAACTACAGAAGCCAGAATTCCATCATCACATGCCGGTTTTGGTAAAGAAGAAAACGGCCACACGATTGACAGCGCCACTGAGCAACTGCTGAACCGCCAAGTCTAGAACTGGTGTTGAACACCATTCCTTGGCAATTGGAAATGGGAGCTAATGCAGGGACCCCAGCACTTGCAGCGACCAGGTTCTCGACTCTTTTTTTTGTCGACCGAATCACAAAAAAACTGTTACTCCTCTCAGTGATACCTTGGACGGGGTAAGGGGGACGGATTAGGATGGAAGGAAACCTTGTCGACAGTCTTGACTTCATCGTCGATATTGGATCATCGATATAACCCATCGGAAATTGATATGAAATGCATGGGCATTGATGATTTCATCAAGCAGATAAAGCAGGTATGAGTTACGCGCGACATACTATACGCGGAACACTTCTACTCCATACACGGACATGTTACCGAGTGATAAGAGGATTCAAACATACAAGTGGATGCTGTGCCGCGGGTTGAAACACATAGAATAAGCGCACAAAAAGGCCCGAGCAGATAGATCTTTCCTGGTAGCCTGGCAGCAGTGGCAGGCCTGGCTATATTCATTCAGTTGGTGATGGGATCCAGATTGTTGGTGGCGATTAATTCTTCAGAGCTTCGATTAACGAACTGGAATTTGGTGGCTTTCAACTCCCGCCCAAACCTTGATTTTCCGTGCCTTGTTCCTGGCCTCGACTTAACTCTGATCAACGTCTACGAATAGTCATACCAAAGTCATACAGCTGATGACCTTGAATCGCACTATCAAAAACGTGACAGACAGACAACATGATATCAGTCCAGTCGTATCCGCGAAGACACCCGATTACGGCATCTCGGCTACTAAGCAAATGGTCCATTGCTTGGCCCAACAGCTAAAAAGACGGAGCTCAGTGGGATAAAAGAAGCTTGGGACAGAGGATTGGGGGCGAGTCAGGGCCCCTGGAAAAGCCAAGAGTCTGTCCGTGGAGCCATGCCGGTGGCGCTGGCTATGGCGCTGTCCGAGAATTAGCTTTAGCTCTACGGAGTGCAGTAGCTCTATGGGGATCCATGAGATGCGGATAAATCAGAGAGATATCATTGAATGAGCCATTTAACATTCGTGGGATTGTATTAGGTCTAGAGATATGCAGCCGTGCCACATGGTATCTGTATCTATCTGTATCTACGTCGCTATGCAGGATATTGGATCTATTGATGCGAAGCAAAGATAGCATTGTACTGCCCATTAATACACGCACCACGTACAGAGTACAGTACGCGCGTATTGATATCCCTCGCATTCAGAGAGTCAGAGACCAAGACAAAGACCAAAGCTCTAAGCGATGACCGACGGAACAAACCTTGTCTCTGAAGGATGTCGCGGTGATGCCATGACTGGTAGAAGACCCCAAGGACATGTCCCAGTCCTGTAACAATCTAGAGCGTAACAGTAGCCAAGCTAATTTATGGATCACTGAAGCCGGGGTCCCCCGCTGGCTCCCACTGTAGTTCCCGCCAGGCCCAAAGGCGGCAAGCCCATCCTTAGCGCACCCGCTTTGGGCCCAAGCGCTGCACGTCCAGGGGCTTGGCTTAGTTAGGGGAAGGTCACCTCAGTTTCGTTCTTGCTCGCTCTCTCCTCTTTCTTTGCGCGTGTCACTGTGGCTTGGAAAGAGAGAGCAGGACCAAGATTCAAATACAAAGCAAGGTTCCTTCCCTTTTCTCATACCAACTTCCAGGGTTTGGTCTTGCTTGCATGATATCTCTGAAACTCTTCATCTTCAAGCCAATTTCGTCTGCGTTAACAATTTTCGCTTTCTTCTCTTATTTTTCTTGGCTGACCCATCCGTAAACTAATCCAATTGTCCCACTCACCCACCGGACCTGAACGAACCGACGATCCATCCATGCTCGTTCAGCTGCTGCAGTAGCGAACTGAGACCAACAGAGGAACCATCTGCTCTTCATCTCAATCTCTCTCCCTCTTTGTTGATCATTGATTGTTTTCCTTTACATTCATTGACTATTATTTGTCGTCTTTGTCTTGTCTTTGTCGCGAACATCACACTTTGTCACTGTCGTATTCGCCCGATACAATAACTCGGCTCTTTTTCGCCGAACACCCCTAATTACCATCCACAACGGGCGGCCTCGCATCAATCGATCGGTTTTCCCAACGGATTTGAGTTTCACAAATTCTCTCGTGTCTTGAGCATTAAAACAAACGGTATGTAAACCAGCCTTTACCAACCGGTGTCACTGTCGCACATTGCCTTTCACATGCACATGCACCAGCCACAATCACCTGAGACTAATTGTCGCAATAGCTCTCCTGACCATCTCAATCTCTCGCCGTCAATCTCTCGTCAATCCTCATCCTTCACACATCACAACCGCCAAAATGCCTTCAAACTACGAAAAGCTCTCCCGTCCTAGTGGCGATACAACCACTCTCACCATCCCCGATAAGGCTGCTTCTACAACTCTTACCGTCAACGAGACTCCTCGCCTCAGCACGACATCCACTCCCCAAACAGACAAACTCAACCCCTTCGACACCGACATCGAAGCCATGGTCACAAACACTCGCACATCAGAATCAAACATCCACAAGACAAACAGCCCCGCCAGAAAGACAGACTGCCAAGTTTGGCCTGGAAAGGATCACTGGAAGAAGCAGGCCAAGGCCGCAAAGGCAAAGAACCGCTGCACCTGCATGGCTCATCTCAGTCAACGCAATCGCTGGATCGTCAAGGGGATGATCATCTTGCTCGTTGTCGGTATCGCTGTTGGTGTTGGTTTCGGAGTCAGCAAGCCTCTCAACGCGCCGATATGGGGAGATAAACATGGCGACAAGAAGTGAATTCGTTTCTCTTCGGTTATCGGCATCACACTTCATCTACCCGCAAGGGACTTTTTCTTTATTGCCCAAGAGGCTTGGTTTCGTTTTCTTTTCATATGCCTAGCGCGCTGGATTTCTTTTTTTCCCTTTTCCACATCATGAACAGGCGTATTGGCGTCCACATGTCAACTTTTCAATCGTGGCGGCATGGAGTGATGGATTACAGAACATTGGGTCTTTGTTCTATTTTACAGTTTCGTCATCACTATATATGGTATATGGTCGGTAGACTAGAGTCTAGAGGAATAAAGTCTCCCCAGGAGACAGGGAATTTCCCTTTCGTCAAGCATATCAGAGTCGTTGACGCGAAAAGCATTTAAAGTGACGTGATAGGTGTGCAGACGTTGTCGCATCAAGTAATGTGATAAGTGTTCGGGGGTTGTTAAGTAAGGTTATCATAAGCATCCGAAATGAGGTGACGAGCGTGTAGGTGAAGTTGAGCACGGTCACCAAGCACCCAAACGTGAGGTTATCATGGTCCCCCTGCAACTCCACCAGATCGTCAGGAACAAGATCCAAGGTGCGGCCCGTAGAAATAGGTCTGTGGGGAAGGGACGGAAAGATGCAGATTCTAAAGAAACAATTCTCTAGATTTGGAAATGGCGGCCAAGGAAACGGCCACTCGAAAAGAAGATGCTGATGGAGGGGATCCACCGGTTACCGAACTTTCCGAAGAGGTTGGGAGACATGTCACCGCAACTATTAGCTGCTGACCTTTAAATACCAGGTCTCCCCATTCCTCGAGGGTCTAAAGTCTTGATGCTGAATGGTTTCGCCATGGACTCTGTCGAATGAAGGTGGTTTCGAATAGCTGCTTTTGGTGGCGACTTGCTATACAGAGAATGCAGCCATAAAGACGAACAAAAGGGCAGAGGTCTGTTTGCGCATTCGTTGTTAGCAATGCAAAAGAAAGAGCCTGGGAATGGCGAAATGCTTACCATCAAACGATGTCTGTTCTAAACTGTCAACTGAACATACCTAACTGTTTGCCTTTGTATCAGCTATTGTTCAGCTTGAATACGCTTGTTCACTGTTGTTCAGCCCTATCAAGATTAACAAAAAGCTCAACAAAGCAGTTCACGAACAAGCACTCATTCATGATGCATATATATACTCACCTCATCTCGCATTGATCTCAAATCCTCACCAAGCCATCAGATAATCACAACCACCAAAATGAGTAACCACAGTTATCTCCCCGTCTCTGCCTCAGCGCTCTTCTCGTGGCCTCCTCGTCGCGCCACTGAACCTGGACCTCCAAAGCAGTCCAAGACCGATGAGGTCGTCACTATCTTTCTCGTATGCGGTATCGTTGTGCTTTTTCTCACTCCGACTATTTGGTATCTGGTTGGAAGGATTCTAACCGCCCGTAAGGAGCGGAAGAAGGCTGGTGACCTTGAGCAGGGCGCTCATTAGATGAGTTTAGTCGTTTTTAAGAGGAACGAGTAGAGTTAAACGCTGGCCGTTTGACAAGTTGAATTGACTTCATATTTATCGTCCAACTGTTTGATACAAGTGATGTAAGCGACGCAACTATAAAATTGTGAAGGTATCGCCAGTGTTCTTGTTGTAACTCCAGTTCCTTACTTATACCCAATTTTGATTGACCGCATCACCAATAGCTATTCCTCCGGCTTCGGAGACATCCCCGAATAGCTCAGCTGGAAGAGCGTTCGACTGTAATTGTTATATGTCATCGAAAGGTCACTTGTTCGATCCAGGTTTCGGGGATTCTTTCTTTTTTTGCTTATATCCTAGACTGAGATAGCAGTCTTCTCATATGGATATCTTCTCATGGGTACCCTCTCATGAGCGTCTTATCTACCTCACTACCCTCACAGTCCTTCCAACCTCTCCCCTCTCAACTTGCTCAACCCTACCTTTAACCTTACTCCAAACCTCCTCATTAACCTCTTCAACACTACCCCCAGCATCAACAACAACAAGATCCTCTTCCTCCTGGTTCCATCCCTCTCCCTCATCAAGGCCCAGTTCTCTAGCATCAATGTCCTTACCACCCATGCTTAACCCCCAGAACAATTCCCTCACCTTTTTCTGCATGTCAGACCTCTCGTAAACTTCTCCACCCCATCCTCCTCGTGCTGAAGCTTGCTCCTCGGTCAGGTCGAGGAAAAGTACAAGATCAGGCCGGGGAAGGCCGCGTTCTGGAGCCCGGGCCCATGGGAGGGTCAGAGAGGGGTTTTGCTTGGCGGCTGAGTAGACGATGCCTGAGTGGTAGTATCTATCACAGAGGATGGTTGTTCCTGAAGCCAGAAGGAATTGGATTTGTTTGCTAGATAATTAGTTGATGTCCTTTATATGAGATTGTAGCACTCACACAGCTTCCCATCGGTTTGCGCTAAAGAGCAGATGAATAACATGATCTTCCATCTCTACATCGCTCTTGAGATAACTATCAATCATCTGTCCGATGGGTGTAGTTCTGTCTAAGAAACATTAGCGTGGCCTCACCTCGATTCAATCAACATACCAGGAAATCTCATAACCTTGACCTTTTTACCCTCCTCGACAAATCGCTGCTCCAAGAGCTTCACCTGTGTTGTCTTCCCACTTCGATCCAGACCCTCCAGAACAATAAAAGCTCCTCTTTGGCCAGACTCATCTTGAGTGGTTGCCATTGCAGCTGTGGCGAGGTCGTTGATTGAAGACATTGTTGTTGGTGAGTGGTCACTTATGCCTGTTGTTGGCTTAACAGTGGCAAGAGGGGAAGTGAATCTGACTGACCTCATATTCACACTGTTTTGGTTAGTAATTCACGTGGATCACAGTGCGATGAAAATCAGATCATGATTGACTCTCAGTGCATAGATACCAAGGATGAAGCATCATGCGTCCATGCAATGACGTCTAAATACAGCCCTACGAATCCATCCTTCCAGAAAAAGTCTGTGAGTTTATGGCTTAGAGATTTCTCTAATTTTAGTATCTGTGATTCGCCCTAAATCTATAATTCTCACTCAACTTCACACCTCACCCAAACTCTATATAAAGTAATTTCGCGAACCTGGAGTCGTGATTACCAAGTCAGACATCATTGTCTAATAAACATCCTGGATACTCAGTGTTACCGAGAGTGGCAATATCAGTACCCAACCGAACAATGAACTGAACGACAATGAACCAAACAACATTCGCAGAACAAACGCTATTCACGATAAACTTCAAGATGCGCAAGACGAACAAGACGAAACGATACATATAAAAGCGATAGCCCCCACGAATTAATCTTCAGGTTAGTCTCCCACCACAATTGCTTCCTCAAAATGGCCTCCTCAGAATCATACCAACTCTTTTTAGGGATAGTCCTTATTTGTATCCCTGTCATTCCTCTCATCACCATCGTCGCGATGCTTTGCTGTATACCCCTTCGCAAAGCTGTCTACGACGAAGAAACGGAACTGGAAAGAGGAATGCTGGTTGAAGTGGTGCGCATACACAAAGACGGAAAGGAAATCTATTCTAGAGAGGCAGCACCCTCGAAAAAGAGGCTATACGATCATCCTTCATTTGCTATGAGTACACGGAGATTACCTTCAGATTCAATATCTCAAAAATCGACAAGACCCAAGAAAAACGCCAACATTAGAGAACTACGATCACAACTTATCGAAGGAATGACAGAAGTCTCGAGAAAATACTTCGAATAACCGCTCATTCTTCATCTAGCATACATCCACATCCACAAATCAATACGATTAACAGTCAATTGTATCTTGTCTGAAATACCTCAATAGTCCGCCCGTGACCACCTTGGTAAAAGCTGGCCACATCAAATGCGGCCCTGCGCCAATATCCATGTTTATCTATTCCCAGAGGTGATCCTGACCTCTCCCATGAATCCGTAATAAAGTCAAGTTTGTGTGAAAAGAAACAGGAGATGATCCAGTTGTATGTTATGTAATGACAAAAGAAATGCAGTGCTCGACAAGCCTGCTGACGCTGCGCGCCTGCGATGATCGCATATGAAGGTCGTAATGTTGTCAGGTTCAACATGTAAGCTCGTAAATGGCCGTTCGATTATACAGACTGATATAACAGGAGAGGCTCGCCGACGTTTTCGATTTCGGGAATGGTACACTTAAGGTCGAATGCCTTGGATAGAACAATCTTGAAGATCTGGAAAGGTTAGCAATTGTTCAAATCTGCAGACCTTCTATGTCATACCTTTTGCACGTTGATACTGTGACTTGTACTTGAAAAGATTAATGCAGCCCTCATGGCCTTTGCAAAGCGCCTCGCCTGGATTCGTTAGTCGAGTCAACACCCAAAGATAGCCATACACACCTGATTTGAGATCTCTTCTTGATCTTGTGCGGGAAAGTTGACAAAATGGTCATACTTGGTACCCACAAGAATAGGAATGGCAGTTTTGTTGAATCCTCGTCCTTGTCGATACCATTCCTTGATGCTATTCAAGGTACTCTTGCGCGTAAGATCAAACATGAAGAGAATAGCGACAGCATCGTTGCAGACAAGCGGCAACATGTTGACGAATTCTCTCTGACCACCAAGGTCCCAAATCGAAAAGGTAATCTCGGTGTTGCGAATGGAAATGGTCTTTTCCATAAAGTTGACACCCAGAGTCTGGATATAATCCTCGTCCCAGCTTCCTTCTACATATTTGACCATCAATGAAGTCTTTCCAATCTGAGCATCACCAACCATGCCGACCTTGATCACGACATGGTTACGGCCGTTGGATGAAGGCTCGCCTTGGCCTTGTCGGTAGTCGTTGTATGCCTGGTGTGCGGGGTTGGACAAGCCGCTAGCTGGACGGGAGATTGGAGGCGCGGGTTGAACGGGAGGAGTGTATCTGGAGGAAGGGTCTTCTCGTTGGGGACTGCTGAGTCCTTGATCAAGGGATGCGCTCTGTTGATGGAAGCCGTTGCTTGAACTGGGGTGGGGAGATCCTTCGATGCCTCCCATGGTGTCATCGTGAGTTTGGGGAAGCGGCACCTCGTGTGGGGGAATTTCATGCTCCATGATGGCGGTCGGAGGAGAGAGAGGGTCGGATACGGTGGCCGTAGCCTCGGTGATCGTTGAGTCGTCCAGTTTGAAGGTTGTAGAAGGAGATTATTAGATTCGGGTACGAGATTATCGAAGTGAATGTGGAGACAAAGTCGGTAGAGAGCGTGATGGAAATCGCGGAAAAAGAAGTGAAGAAGAGAAGAAAAAAGATGGTCAACAGCTCATCAACGGCATCAAGCTAGTTGCAAGCATATAATGAAGGCGATCGCGATGGTCAAGTTGGTGATGTTGTAGGTGGCGGAGCCGAAACAAGAAACAGAAGCCACCGGATCAAATAACCAGGCTTCGAGGGAGAGACTGAGACAGAGGCGCAAGGGTGAGACTTTTAGCGACAAAGAGATTCAGCGCGTAGTAACTTCAGAAAAAGCAGGACAGGTCGGGATCGGTCTTGGGATGAAAGTCGAAAGTTCAATGTGAAGTGGGTTAAAGGTTGCAATGCAGCAGGGAGGGGGATTCGCTCGCTATTCGTCGGGGCGCTGACGTTTGGTGGTGCCCTGTGCTGTGCCTGTGCTAAACAAAGCGGGACGGAATTTCAAGGCACCGGTAGTACGACTGATGGAAGCAAGGTAGTACGAAATACCACTAATAACAACACAACAGCTTGACAAACTTGGTTTCTCCTGAATCTATAGATAAACTTTGAACTAGTCTCTGCTTATGCGTGAAATGTTAGGCTGCGTCTGTTGATCATGATGATGGTGGAGTGGTGTTTTAGCTTTCGGGACGCGTTGGAGGTCGCGTTTACGACAGACAATTGGTTGAGACAGTGCTTATGGCTAGCTGAATAAATATTGTACCAAAACAAGACATACTCCAAGAACCTAGATTCTTTGTTAATGGGATTCTTTATCGGGAGTTGTGTAACGTCCAGCTCATCATGCAGAATCTCCGTCACTATTTGCATTCGAGTAAATAGCAACCGTGTTGTTATTTGACTAGCTATAGTTGGCTATTGATTTCAGCGGTTGTAGTGGGAGGCTGCCTATAATACAGCGCCTGGACTGTGATGGAACGATCAAACATCAACAATCAAGAAACATTGAAACATCAACAATGCAGATAGCTGGCAGAATGTCACTCAAACATCCATGACCTTGTTATTTCACATTCCAAACATGGACCAATTCATCCAAACATCCATCCAACAGTACCCCAACGCTTAGACGCCAGGGTACAGCGCCGCCTGCTCAGGCACTCACAGCTTCATTGGTTCATTGTTTCATTCGAGCCTCATGTCTTGAAGAATTCCTCGGTAAACGGTAGTAATTGAGTAAGACTACCGAGTCTAGTGACTCCCCTATAAATTACATTCCATCATATTGTTGACCTCAGGTACTTGAACTTTGCATGATGCTGACTAACCCTCGGCCCATCCCGAACCCACATCCATGGTTATCGGTCGGTCCATCTCCGCATGCCGCCCGGACAAAGCTTGAACCTCTGATATCACCAAAATCATCACCACAATGGCCTCAATTGCTCGGTCCCTGCGCGTCGCCGCCCCTCTGGCTAGGGCAATCGCTCCTCGCGCTCCCATCATCCGCGCCCGAGCTTTCTCCTCCACCCAACTAAGTACGGTCATCAAACATCCAATCGTCACTGTCACTAACAAGCTAGGCCTCGCTCGCAGATACACAAAGGACCACGAGTGGATCGATCTCTCCGCCGATAAGAAGCACGGTTTCGTCGGTATTTCAGAGTACGCTGCCGAGCAGCTCGGTGACGTCGTCTACGTTGAGCTCCCCGAAGCCGGTACCTGGGTTGAGCAAGGTGACGCTGTCGGCGCTGTTGAGTCAGTCAAGTCTGCTAGCGACATCAACGCTCCTGTTCGTCTGCGCGTTCTTCAGATCAACGACAACCTCGAAGAGAAGCCTTCCACGATCAACAAGGTGCCCGAAGACGATAGCGCTGGTGGTGGCTGGATCGCAAAGGTCGAGGTTGACGAGGAGGGCGCCAAGCAGTTCGAGAAGCTCTTGGATGCCGAGGCCTACAAGGCGTTTGCTGGAGCCGAATAGAGTTACGAAGCAATACAAAAGAAAGAGCACAAGATAGACGTGTATCATCGGGTATATTTGGGTTAATTTTCATGTGCCGATCTACGGCGTAATGTTCCGCTATCCACTCATGACGTCTACTTGACTGTCTCCGGCACCTGTCGAGTCTCGTTGATGGCATCCAGAATCCTCTGCGCTCCTCGTTCCACCAATGTCTCGGCCACCTTTCTTCCAAACTTGTCCGCCTCCTCTTGTGTCTTGATCGCTTCTGTCGTTTCGCAGTCGACACCCTCGTCACCTCGGAGAGAAACAACTGTAGCCTTCATACGTAACTTGTCGTCAATCCACTTTGTCTCGACACCAATGGGAACACTGCAACCACCCTCGAGCGCTCTCATGAGAGCTCGCTCTGCCTCGCACGCCAACGCTGTTTGCTCGTTCTGGATTGTCTTGAGGAACTCGAGAACCTTTGTGTCGTCACCTCGGCATTCAACTCCAAGCGCACCCTGACCAACAGCGTAAAGGATACCTCCATTCTCCGACTCGAGGAATTGTGTAATGTGGTGTCCCAAATCCATTCGCTGAAGACCTGCCGCTGCCAGGATGATACCCGTCAGATCAGGATCCTCCTCGAGCTTTCGTAGTCGAGTCTGAATGTTTCCTCGGTGGTCCTTGAATTTGAGTGTCGGGTATCGTCGGACCAGCTGCGCAATGCGGCGTACACTGCTTGTACCGATAACACTTCCGGCCGGCAGATCAGCCAAGGTCTTCCAACCGTGCTTGTCCTGCAATTCCTTCTTGATCACCAGTGTATCTCTCGGGTCCTCGCGGGACGTAACACATCCGAGGACGCAACCTTCGGGGAGAACAGTCGGCATGTCCTTGAGCGAATGAACGACAATGTCGAGTTCCTTGTTGACGAGTCTCTCCTCGAGCTGGGATGTCCACAGACCCTTGCCACCAAAGTTGTAGAGCGCTGTGTTCTGGTCGCGATCGCCGGTGGTTGTCATGCTGTGAATAGGGAATTCATAATCGGGGAATTTCTCTTTCAAAGAGTCGACGACGATTTGAGTTTGAGCAAGCGCCAGAGGCGACTTGCGAGTACCGACATTGACAACTTTGGGGGACTGAGTTTCGGCCATTGTGACTTTGTAGATTGAATTGACGGATGTAAATGGATGATAGCTTGGAGGGGCAGTTGAGCTTTTCGGATGATGGTGGGGTAGTAAACACAGTGTTCAGTATCCGCACTGTATCGCCGATGCCGGTATTGACAACATCATGATGTCGGCAAGTACATGATAGTATAAAGAGGACATGTGCCTGTGATTGCGCCAAGCTGGAGTGCAGCTTTGAGAAAATAGTATCTCAAGAGTATTGAGTAGATTGCACCAAACATCACGCGGAGGTATTGAGCATCATAGACTCGCTAACCATCGAAACAACATGGCGATGCGGCCTCAAGCTGACGACCCTGGACGACTTCAAGACTTGGCATCAAAGTTGACGATGGACTGCCGAGTGGCTCGTTTAACAACTTACAGTGAGTGTTGTAACAGAGAATGATGTCCTCAGTTATGAAGACTTAGTTAGTGGCGAAGATATAAGACCGCAACCGCATCAGCTCCAAGCCAGTTCAAGACCATCAATCCACCGACACTCGTTCTCATGAAGTTTAAACTTACTATTCTCGGGCTGGCTGTCCTAGCCTTTGCAAAGCCTCAAACTCCTCCTGACCCTCCTCCATCTTCTTCTGGACCACCAAATGATCCAGCTCCAGCTCCAGTCCCAGTCCCTACAACAACTCAGCCAGCTCCGCCTCCTCCTTCAACTCCAGCTCCTGCCAATCCAAGCAAGCAGCCAACTCCTGAAGGACCAATCTGCGAATGCGGATATACCTACTGTGCTAAAGTCCTTAAGGCTATGGGTATGTCTACGAATCTTGAGCGGAGCATGTCTAACACCGTCCAGAAAAGCCATGGAGTGATGGTCAACTATCTACGGCGTACTGCAAGACTCCTAATGCCGTTTGTAACGAGATGACTCCGGCCAGCAATGTCGAGAATGCTTTATTCATCTGCCTATGCGACGAACCTGAGCAAAAGGTTGGAGATCATCTTGAACTTCTCTGTGGCTGCGATGCATGTCTCAATGTTGGACCAGACTTTAGAGGACGCTGCAAGAGCCCCTGCAAGGCTGGCCATGCTAGTAGTGGAGGATCAGGCGGTGGTGATGGTAGAGAAGGCAAGATCAGAGGTAGCAATCGATTGGGATTTTGGTACTAGGTATCTGACGGATCTAATGGTAGATTGAGGGGGAAGTCGGTCACTGTCGTAATGTGTTTAGAATCCAAATTGGCCCGATCTTTGTAATGCTATTCTGTAATTGTCCATTATAACAGTCCTATTAAGCCCGCTTACTGCGTGTAGTCCAAAAACAGACAGCTATGCATACGCGTAGACTAGCCAGTTGAAACAAAACGTGTCAAACAAACCCATCTGCCCCGCACTAGAAGAACATCTTTCATTCATGCTTATCAATGCAATTCGAATCAGTCTTCCACGAGGTTCTCAATTTAGCATCATCTCCCTGCCAATCACTAGAAAATTCAGTCCTCAAACGTCAGCTCAAACTCGAGAGAAACTCACTAACCCGGCAGCACCGAGGTCTTCACCCCGGTGGGCCCCACCTAAAAGCCGGCACTACACGGGGCTAAGTGCCGAGAATGGACGGCCAGGCCCGTTAGTCTGACGTCAGAAGGTGTAAGAGCCGAACGGAAGAGTTTGTCAAGCATGAAGTGAACGGTTTCGAGTTGGTCCGACTTTTGTAGCTGAGGTGGCTAGGGTCTGGTCTGAGCGTGGAGGCGGGGGAACAGAAAGGAAACTTTATATAAAGGCATGATGCGTCATGATATCTAACATCTCATACTCATTCATATTATACCCATTTCAACTCATCTCATCTCAATAACAGCACATACCAATTATACTCAATACCCATATACCCATAATTCAAAATGGCTCCCAAGATTCTCGTCGTTCTCACCAGCCAGGCCAAGATGAACAATGGCAACCCTACCGGCTGGTACCTCGTAAGTCTCATCACCATCACATGCCGTCACTCATACTAACGTCACAAAAGCCCGAGTTCGCTCACCCCTACTATGACTTTGTCAACGCCAACGTCGAGGTTGTCGTCGCCTCTCCCAAGGGCGGTGAGTCTCCTCTCGACCAGGCCTCCGTCGAGATGTTCAAGGGTGATGAGGAGTCTGTAAAGTTCCTCAATGAGAAGAAGCAAATCTGGGAGCAAACCACTCCCCTCAAGGAGTTCCTTGGCAAGGCTTCCGAGTTCGACGCCGTCTTCTACCCCGGTGGCCACGGCCCCATGTTCGATCTCGTCAACGACGAGACCTCCATCAAGATCATCGAGGAGTTCTACAAGGCTGGCAAGCCCGTCGCTGCTGTCTGCCACGGTCCCATCGTCTTCACTCAGGTCAAGATTGATGGAAAGCCTCTTCTTGAGGGTCGTGAGGCCACTGGCTTCAGCAACTCTGAGGAGGATGCTGTTAACCTGACCAGCGCTATGCCCGTTCTTCTCGAGGATGAGATTAAGCGTGTTGGTGGAAAGTACGTCAAGGCTGATGACTGGGCTGAGAAGTCTGTTGTTGATGGTCAGGTCATCACCGGCCAGAACCCTTCTTCTGCCCACGCTGTCGGTAAGGCCATTCTCAAGGCCATCGGCGCTTAGACAACGAATAATTATGAATAATGATAATTAATCTACAATAAAAGATTTTACGAGAAAGACTTTGTTTCATATATGCTCATCTTGACGTTATGTAAAGTATTATCCTGTAGACTCGTGGGATTCGTTTCTCACTAATAAATACTCAATACAGCTTATGAAAAGTAAATGTCTTTTAATTATCGTAATATCTCATTATATCATTATAAATTAATCCTTCTTGAAAACCTTCTCGAATCCGGTCAAGGTGAATCGGTAGTGGACCTTGTTCTCCTTAACACGCTCGACGGCCTCAGCACATCCCTTCTCAGATATATCAATAGTCTCAACCCAAGCGACAATGTTCTTCTCAGCAGCGAGCTTAAGCATGGCATTCATCTCCTGGTTGTTGCCGAGATGGCTGCCAGTAATCTTACCAGCGTTACCGGCAAAAGTGCCAGCAGTGAGCTGAGGAAGTGGCTCATCAGGGATACCACAGTTATGGAACTCGCCACCAACGTTGAGAGTACCCATGTAGGCGTTCATGTCGAACTTGTGTGTCATGTCGGCACAGTTGAGGATAAAGTCAAAGGTGAACTTGTACTTGTCGGCCCAACCCTCCTCGCTGGTGACGATAACCTCCTTAGCACCGAGCTTCTTCGCGTCTTCGACCTTGTTGGGAGAGTGTGTCATAGCGTAGACCTCAGCACCCAGAGCCTTCGCCCATTGGATACCCATGTGACCAAGACCTCCGATACCCAGAACAGCAACGACCTTTCCAGGGCCGACACCGGCTCTCACAAGAGGAGAGTATGTGGTAATACCGGCACAGAGAAGAGGAGCAACCTGCTCACTCTTGAGGGCATCGGGGATCTTAAAGGTAAAGTACTCGTGAGCACGGATGTGAGAAGCGAAACCACCATGAGCGACACTGCCATCAGGGTATTTGCAGTTGTAAGTGTCGACCATATCAGGACAGTAGTTTTCATTCTTGTTGTTGCAGAGCTTGCACTTCAAGCAAGAAGAGACCTGGGCACCAACACCAACACGGTCGCCGACCTTGATCTCGCCGACCTTGTCACCAACTCGGACAGCCTTGCCGACGACTTCGTGACCAACGCAGAGAGGACCCTCGAAGTCTCCCCAACCGCCAGTAACGGTGTGGACATCAGAGCCGCAGACACCACAGGCCTCGATCTCGACATCGATATCGCGATCGCCCCAGGTCTTGGGCGTAAGGGTATGCTTCTCAAACTTGTTCCATGACTTTGGGCTGTCAACACAGAAGCCTTCGAATGTATCGGGGTAACCCATTTTGGCGTAGGTAGGATGAATTAGGTTGAAATGGAATGAATAGTAATGCTGATCGTCTATCAGGGTTCTCTCGTCTCAGCAGTATTTATATCGCTCTTCTTCCTCGTTTTTTTATATGACGTCTTGGAAGTTGAGCAAAAGATAGGTCGAAATCTATGACGCCCAGCGCTTCAAACGCTCCGGCGTATGAAAAGCATCATAATTGCATCGAAGGCATCAATCGTCTCGCTCTCCATTTTGTAGGCTTAATCGGGTAACCCGCGGAGAGTTAGTCCTCAAAGAGTTTGAAATCGCGATCTTGGAGCTCAGAATGGAAGCTGACTAGAAGATGGAGATAGCAGGGTTTGCCGACCTAGCTAAAGCTAGTCGTGGAGACTCCCGAGGGGCCGACGCTGATCGGATGACGTAGACTACCATTGTCTCGGTAGTTAATTGGCGAACAACATCAGTTTCCTGGAGATGGTGTTTTCGGTTATGAATCAGGTACGTGGTAATTGAGATCCAGATTGACTCGAAGGTGGTGTTCCATGTTACATCAGATCTCATGACAACGCATACCGAGAAAGCGATATAATTCGGGGCTCCCCGAAGATTATCGACAATCGGAGCTCCTCGGTGTCGTCCAGCGTCTCAGAGGTTGGGTATGACACGCTACGTAGCAGTCGATATCTTAATATCTCATCACCCTGTTCTTGTTTCTAGGTTTCCGGTGAGCTCCACAACTCGCGGATAACTTGCAAAGGGCGAGGTATTGATGGGTCAAGGTCGTGCGCTCAGAAGAACCACGTCAGAATCATGGTTGTTGTACAGCCGTGCTAGTTGAGGCTCAACTCCGTGGGCAGGGTCAAAGCACATGCATCTGATGGAGCACGATCGATGGTGAGTTGTCGACTGTCAGCCGAGGTTGATCGGGCATGTTGGGTGAGTCTGGTAAGCAAGAAACTGCCTCATCGAGTTATCTAATGGCTGAGACTCATTTGTTCTATCGTCGAAAGGAAAGGTGTCGTACGGCAGAGCCACCAGAGCCAACCTCTTCGTTGCCCCTTTATCGTCCTTAACAACCGATAGTCAGCGCGTCTCTTCCTTCGTTTAATGGCGGGCTGGTGAACGGAACGCGTTGATGGAGCTCTCTCACGGGATGCCGTGATGAGTAAATTTCGAGCAAATCGGGTGGGGTCCTAGTGGTCAGTATCTTGACACTACTTATGCTCACCACCGCTCACTTGCCTATAAGAGACGCACAAGCAATTGCATGCAATATTTGGTTCATGGTACAGCTATTTGTCCAACCGGAGTTCTTGGTTTCGCAGCATGCGTACTACCGAGGTTGACATGTGCTGGTAAACTCGAATCGAGACCTCAGACTGGTAATGAAGAATAGTTGCTGCTGGCGATTTAACTCCAACATATACGGTGATCAACGGTGATAGATACGAGTGGCTTATGGTGAATCGGATATGTATTAATGCCATGATTTGCTGTTCATGGCGTGTCTTATGACAAAAGTCGAGTACTGTTGTTTTTTTCTTCCCTCAGATCGCTGGTCAAATGTCCAAATGATCGAGAGGGTCGTCTTGCTCTGTTAGAGCTTATCAAAATACGATGCAGGGCGCAATAGTAACGAGCACAACACCGAACCATCAACACTCGTTGTGACATGGTGGCTGCTTATTTGCAAGCGTGATTGGACTCCATGTCAAAGTGAATCAACACCGCGGTAAATCAAGAACGCCTGCGACCAGCTCATATTTGTTGCTATGAAGCCATCATCAACGCCTCCCAAAGATAAGAAAAACAAAAAGATGGTAAAAGAATAGAAATGACAAGTATGACATGTTATATAGATCCAACTCAACGCTCACCCTCATCAATATCGTTCAAGGAAATCTGTAAACGCGACGCTCCTCATGGTATTGGAACTCGCCAGGTATCTCTCCACCATCATTCGCCATCCATCCTTTTGTTGGCAATTGTTGTGCTTGCCTTTTATTTTGCTTTTGTAACAACTTCCAATCAACCCATCTTGACATCACCGTTAGGCTCAGTCTGGGGCTCGGCCTGGGGCAGCATAGGCTTTTCGTCTTGAGCTCGTCGCTTGCCCATACGGTCGAGCCATTGTTCGGCGCTGACGATTGTTCCGTCGACAACACCACTGACTTGAACAACCATGTCCAAACCTTCCTTGGCTAAAACCAAGACCTTTTGTGCACCCTCAGTCAGAGCAGACTCACTGTCTTGACTGTTAGGGTTCCTGTCCGACATCGTAGCAATGCGGAATCGTTGGGGCAAACTGGTGAGATGACGTCGCACAAGAATCCGTGCGTTTTCTGGCAATGCACCTCCTGCATATTTTGAAACAGTATTGATGGCTTCGCGAAGAGTCCTGAGAACGTCGCTCTTAAGACTCGAAATACGAGCTGCAAGTAGAGTTCGAGACTCTGCGCCCTCAGATCCTTCGCCTTGTTGCTGCTGTGATCCATCTTGTGGCTGAACCTTTTCATACTGTTCCAATGTTGTCTTCAGTGCTGTGATGACACGTGAAATGTGGTCATTGGCCCATCGAAGCCATTGCAGACAGTATTTGAGGCTGCGGAGACTTTCCTCGCTCATGGCTACACTCAAACCCGAGGTTGACATGATCAGACGTGACTGCCATGCACTATTGGGTCGTGAAGTTCGAGGAGAATTCTGAGCATCCGTCTCAGTGTATGCAGGTGATCTCATCTCATCATATGCAGGAAGAGTGTCAACTGTACTTGTAGTTGACATGCGACGAGAAAGAGTTCGGGAGGAAGGTGAAAAGGCATCAGAGTCGACCTGCTCATCGGCCATCTGCTGCATGCCTTCACTTTCAAACCGCTTGTTGCTGACAGATTCATCCTCGCTATCCACCTTGCGTCGCTTTTTACTGTTACCGGTTTCCAAATCAGAGGTTGAACTGTTTTGTCGGCGTCCAGCACCCAAAAACCATCGGACACCCCCTTCAACACCGGTCACTCGACCAACAGATCCAACGGTATTCGCAATTGGTGTCAAATATCCTTCAACATATTCAGCACCTGATCGAAAGCGTGGTGAAAAGTTCTTGGCGCCCCCATATGCCGAAGTAGCACCTTCAATAGTGCTCGCCAAAAGAGGGTGGGTTGTCGTGAGAAGGGACAAAAGCGGTTCTGGTTGTTGAGGTTGCGATCCTTGAAGTCCGTTTGAAGTTGGTGGGCTGACTGGAAGCGAGGAATTCGTGTGGGGTGGTGATGATATAAAGTCTATGATGGTCAGTAATAGTCAATAGAAGCAAAAGCAAACATACCGGCTCTTAAATCTCCAAGTGCTTCGGCCGCCAATCGTACATCCGGATCATCAAGACTGACACTCCCAGCTCTCGCATCTAAGAGCCGATCGGGAGATGCAGCACTGACAACACTGTTGCTGCTCGCATCAAGGTCCATTCGGGTGGGGCTATCGATAGATTGAAGTCCAAGGGGCATCGGCGCATGGTTCGGAGGCATAGGAGGTAGAGGTCCCCATGCTCTCGGTGGTTCGAGGGCCATTTCACTTCGAAGAGAACTTATAGACGGCAGTTTAATATCGTTGTCGGCGACGCGAGCCAGGGGAGGCAGGTAAGTCGAGGGGTCGGAAGTAGGAACATCTGGAAATTCCCTCGAATTCGGTAGCGCGACGTTTGAATAAGCTGGAGGGGATAATGCCATTAGGGAAGGCGGAGGTCTCGCAGGTGGTGGTCCGAGGGGATGGCGAGACTCGGTCTCACGGTCAAGCATGTGATTGCGCTCCATGGCGCTTGTCGGTGATAAGACGGATATGTCAACTGAGCATCGAGTGATAAAATCGGCCAAGGGCCGCAGAAACAAAATTATTCAACGAAGGGAAAGAAACAAAAGAAAGATTTACAATATTGATGACGGTGACGATGGTGTTTGAAGCGGAGAGAAAAGGGTTGGGGTGGGTGAGATGGAAATGGGAATGAGAATGAGCGATCGTGGGGGGAATGAGAAACCTGGAAGGAAACGTCAGGCGCTCGCGACTTCCTTTCCTTGCGCTGCAGGGACCGGCTGAGGAAAGCAGCCCAGGGCAGGAGATAGCCCACTAAAAACCGGGTCGGTTACAGTGGCTTCAGGTGACTTGTTAGAGTCGTGGTGGGGAAGAAACCCGCTAGAAGCCTGCTATTTCGGGGCTGGCAGGGCTTGATCTCGGTCGAGTCACAAGATCCATTAAGATGTCCTCGCTTGAATGATGCGATAAAACTGTTGGGGAAGATTCAAATGTTTGGTAATGTTCCTGTGCATCACAAGATCAAGTTGATCTCTCCAACGTCCCGTCGCCAACTCTAATTGACTTGCACCTACCTAAACAGCTCAAAGCTGTTCCTGAGAGGCCCCTCTAGCACGTGTCAAAACTGGGGAATGATGATGCACCGACATCACATGCAAGAACAGATCTTTCAAGCAGACTCGTCACTATTGTTAAGCGGGTCACCCGAGTCATGGCAGATGCACTAACAAGATCAACTCTAACACATGCCATAAAGGGTCGTATCTTTTTCCTGATGCGTTTGAAGGTTGTTTTTCCGTCCAATAGAAACATTTCAAGATAACGTCAGATATTGCTGTTCATTGAGCTTTGTTAATTAATGCCTATTAAAGTAACACACGCATCCAATCTCACTTTATCCAGACCAGTCGGCTTTCGGCTCTATTCATCGGAGCTGCATCTGGTGTCCGTATCCAATATCAACATGTGAAGTTTTCGCATGTGCTAGAACATCAATTCAACTTGACTGCGCCGTAAAGTCTGGACGTTTCATGAAGTCTTGATCCAAGATTGCTGATCCCTGAAGGTCTGCACTGAATTTCTGCATTCATGACTGCTTCAAGCCTCAGGCCCGGTACCTTACTGTAAATCAAGCAGGCGCAAACTTTATGCGACACGAGATTATCGGCGAAATAGGACACCAAATTGGCATGAGATCAACGCAAGAGATACCTGAGATAAACACAAAAATAGACTCGAGATATGACTCGATCTAAGGAACCAGCATGAGGATTCGCGAAATTGCAGGCGTCTCCAGATGTGCAATGAAGTCGTTGATCATGAAACGAACGCGTGAATGCTTTTCCGGTTCAGCAATCAACGTTGCCTACCAGCCTTGTTCAAAGCTGTGGCAGACTTCAATTGCCTGCCGCCCATTGGCCCTGAACTCACGGCACTCTCTCACAGTGAATAAATCGCCGCCAAGAATGATCCTCGGTTCGTCGCAAAATGTCCCAACAAAACTTCATGGCCAAAGCTGAAGCTGTCACCTGGACAAAGCCACCCACGAAAGTTCAACAGCATTCAATTGCATCAGACCAAAAAAGATCGTCGGCAATGTCTTACTACACAAATCACTTTTACAAATTCAGATTTACATCTGAAGAAATGTCTGGCTCCTCTGACACCGCCCAAGAAGTGTAAGAATAATACTCGGGCAGTTCTTAATGGAACCAAGGTAATCCCTCTCCGCACCGCATAATCGCAGCTCACATCAACGGCTCCACGGCTGAAATGACAGAATGCCACTCGGTAGTAGGCTAGGTAATGGTCTGCACTGTCTAGAGGGTGCGTTGAGAGGAAAGGGAAAAGAAAAAAGATCGTGAAAAAACAAAGCTTTTTATCAATTTCACAGATCCACTATGAAGCACGTGACTCGAAGCTTGAAACAGCTTTAGCTACCCCACCGATATCCGATATTCTGCCGCCCGTCGTCACCAGCATTGGAATGGCCAGGCTGCACCCAAAAGATGCCAGCGAAACAGCTTGAACAGATCTATATTGCGCCACGGACCATGATGATTGACTGCGCTTCTCTATAGCTTTAATTACACTTCAGTCTCTCTTTATTCATTGGAGTCGCACATTTTTCTGTACATGATCTTTACGTCTTGAACTTGACCGTCGCATCTAATCGACGACGATACCACCTCCTTTCCGCCCTTTATCGCTTCGACCTCGCCAAGACTACATCTACATCATGGCTTCCGCGCTATTCTTCCTGGACCTCAAGGGCAAGGTTTGTAGTCGCTACCTATTATTTTGATTGATACTGATAATGTAGACCCTTTTGGCTCGAAACTACCGTGGTGACATCCCTATGTCAGCCGTCGAGAAGTTCCCCGTACTCCTTTCAGAAGCTGAGGAAGACTCCTCTGCTGTCCCACCATGCTTCTCCCATGAAGGCATCAACGTATGTTTTGTGTCTCTATCTCTTTCGCCGCTGACAGAATAGTACCTCTACATCCGTCATAACAACCTCTACCTCCTCGCCCTTACAAAACGAAATACCAATGCCGCCGAAATTCTATTGTTCCTTCACAAGATCGTCGAGGTCTTCACCGAGTACTTCAAGGCGCTAGAAGAAGAGTCCATTCGCGACAACTTTGTCATTATCTACGAACTCCTCGATGAGATGATGGACTTTGGTTACCCTCAAACGACAGAATCCAAGATCCTTCAAGAGTACATCACCCAGGAGTCCCACAAGCTCGAGATCCAGGCCCGACCACCCATTGCTGTCACAAACGCTGTTTCGTGGCGATCCGAAGGTATCCGATACCGTAAGAACGAGGTCTTCCTTGATGTCGTCGAATCCCTTAACCTGTTGGTTTCCGCAAATGGCAACGTCCTCCGTTCGGAAATTCTTGGTGCTATTAAGATGAAGTGTTACCTCAGTGGTATGCCCGAGTTGCGTCTGGGCCTTAACGATAAGGTCATGTTCGAGACCACCGGTCGAGCTACCCGAGGAAAGGCTATCGAGATGGAGGATGTCAAATTCCACCAGTGTGTACGACTATCACGCTTCGAAAACGACCGCACCATCTCATTCATCCCCCCTGATGGTGAATTCGAGCTTATGTCCTACCGTCTCAACACTCAAGTCAAGCCATTGATTTGGGTCGAATGTGTAGTCGAATCCCATTCAGGATCCCGTATCGAATACATGCTCAAGGCTCGCGCTCAATTCAAGCGCCGCAGTACTGCCAACAACGTCGAGATCGTGGTTCCCGTCCCTGACGATGCCGACAGTCCTCGTTTCCGCACAAACATTGGATCCGTTCACTACGCTCCCGAGCAAAGCGCCATTGTCTGGAAGATTAAGCAGTTTGGTGGCGGCAAAGAGTTCCTCATGCGCGCTGAGCTGGGCCTGCCAAGCGTGAGGGGTGATGATGAACAAGGTGGTGGTATGATGGGTGGATTCGGTGGTAGCATGGGAGGTGTTGGAGGAGTAGGCAAGGGTGCTAAGCGACCTATCCAGGTCAAATTTGAGATCCCTTACTTTACCACAAGTGGTATTCAAGTTCGGTATCTCAAGATTACCGAGCCAAAGGTACGTTGCTCAAAGTCTCTATTGATCAAAGCTAACAAATGTAGTTGCAATACCCTTCACTCCCATGGGTACGATACATCACTCAGTCAGGAGATATCGCCGTACGACTTCCCGACGCAGTCTGAAGTTAGCAAACAATACTTACTTAACATAATCGAGCCGCACCAGCAGTGCTCAATCTACACCGGTCAAGCACATTGTGGTGACCAGCTGACGAGATGGATATGGGGCAGCTGCAGAGCAGGAAGGGCTTCATACATCAAAGAAACGATTAATAGACTAAAGATCAATCTATCCATCTGATCAGAGTATCTCATGATTCTCGAACAATAGCCGTGTGCCACTCTAAATTCTCAAGCCAATCTCGTGTAGAATATGGGTTGTCCGGGTCAAGAAACACCTTGACAACAAAAGCTGATGGATCATCCGAAGCCGTTGGAGGATCTATAATCATTAGCAACTATCAAGAAATGGAACCTAATACTCACGTCCACGAGGAACACCATCACTCGTCCATCGTCCATGCCTCCAAATCCGATTGTGACCCGCAAACACGTCTCTTATGGAAGAGTCTCGGGGTGCAGTCAACGCCATGAGTCCCAGAATGATAGGTAGTTCTCCTCCAAGACCTGCCGAGGGTGCATTGGACACTAGCGTTCCATACGTCCTAGGTACTAGACCTGGAATCCAGCTGGGAGATCTACCCGCGGCGTAGAGCACCGGTCCACCTCCTTGTCCCATTGGACTATTGATCGTAGCAACTTGAGACATGCCAGGATGGTTCCTCGGATGGAATATGCGTAAAAGGTCCCAGCTCACCGACGTAACGAGCGGATCATGCTCTGCCACCATTATGGGCAGCAGTGGGTTACAAGCAGCCACTCCAAATGTTTTGTATTCCCGAGCTTGGTAGCAGTAGCCTTGGTTATCCCTCACGTATTGCCCTTGAGCATCCAACCTTAATAGTTGGCCATCCGAGGGGGCGTTCGAATCGCGATGCCAGTAAAAATCCGGAGCATCTGTAACGTCACCGTCCCGATAGCGCATAACTGTACTTGGGAATTCGCCGCCATAGTTACCTGGGGAACTAGGTGGAATATGGTGATAATACTGGTCGCGCTCTGGAGCGTTGATGACGAGTCTGTTGGCGACAAATAGAAAAGTTGGAGCAGGCTGTGGATTGGCAGAGCTCGAGCTCCCCTTTCGTGTTGACGAGTGCTTTGAAGGTTTTGTCTGACATATGTTAGTGAATAAACTCCAAGTAAAGCTCTACATACAGTTCTAGACATGGTGTGAATGTGTTGTACGTACCAAGCTACTCGCCTACCACCCGAGTAACTCCCATCTTTATAATACCATAAACAGCTCGATTTCGCAGAGCCTCATCACCCCGCTAAGAATTGTCGGTCAATACTACACCCATATCATGATGGGCATTCAACTAATGACCTTCGAATAGGACACCCTCGGTTCTGATATGACGACACTAAAATCTGTCAGCTCCAGCTGTAAGCTACCAACATCTCGTCTAGCTGTATGTACCAGTATGCACCATGGCAAGACCCCTCATCTCGAGGATTGGTGCCACGCTACTATGGTATTCAGAACGTTGGATGCAAGGAATAGCCATATGGCTTGTGGATATCATACCCCAGTTCATGCGCACAGTTGCGGCCCGGCCCCTCTCACACTTGTCCTGTTCGACACCGGTCGAGGAGATGGTGGGAGCTCGATTTATCCAGGTGAGATATGCCAGGTTGATTTGTTTAAAGCGGGCCAATGGATGTATGCTTAGATCTTGAAGCTCCATCAGTTGTTGGCGCTAGCACCTTTGAACATGCCGGGAATCGCGACTTGGCAGAGTTGAGTTAGATCATGATAGGAGCTCATGTGCATATGAGGCCAGAATTGCAAGGGCTTCGGCGATTCCGTCAATACAGAGAGCCTGGTGTGTCTGGTTGTAGGTCGCGTGGTGAGACGTCAAAACAGGTGACTCTGAGAAAGCAACCAAAGGCCACTCCATTAGTTTCGTTGCCTCGATGGTGGTGTTGACTTGGGCTTCGGGAGTGGATTAGAGTAGGGATTGCCATGTTATGAGCTCGCTTAGGCTGTTGGGGGTGGCGTATATATCCTCGTAGTAAGACATGCTCTTCAATGTAACCGGTGGGCGGATCGTCGATCAAAGTCGACGGAGCAAGCCATGTGGCACCTGAAAGCTCATGTTTCAGGTATTCAGCAGCCGACATGCTGTTTTCCTGGATGACGGCATGTGTCGTATAGTGATGGTAGCTGAAGCAATCGCCAACAGTTGGAGAGCTTGAGTAGACTTCTACTCATTATCCGATGCCTGGTTTTGTGGTTTCTTCCATACCCATGACAGGCAAGTATCGTTTTTCTGCTGACGTTTGCTGTCATGGTTGTTTTCCTCGGGTTTAGACCTGTTGGTTAGTAAGGTGCAGTTGTGATGCTTGATCACGGTTGGTCTTGTAAAGAAGAAGTCTGAAAAGTAATCCGTTCAAGGTTTGTCTCATTTATATAGCAATATTTGTTGTAATTGTAATTAGTCCTTGTTGCCTCGGCGGATGGTTCGCAATAGTCGCCTTCTGCAACTCTTGCATGAGAGGAGAGGGAACAAGAGCTATCACAAACCCCACCTCGATACTGAAATCAATCAGCCAGAAAGCTTTGTACGCTTTGCTGGACCAGAATCGTCATCCATTGTCATCTCAACATCTTCGGGAGAGGCGGACATTGCTTCTCGAAGCAACTTCTTCTCTCCAAGTCTAACCACGGTAGCCATGCGGGCTCTTTGGCTAAGGTTTTGGCCATTCAGTAGCACCTCATCCTCTGGGATACTTGTAGGGTATCGAGCTGCGAGAGCCTCCATTGTCTTTTCCAACACAGCTTGGTGAATCTCGTCTCTCTTTCTCTTGTCGGGGATGGCGGCGGGCTGTGCTTTCTTGATTCCCTTGAGGAATGTCTTGAGCTGTTCCTGAAGGTCCTCGGGCATGCTTTCGAACTTGGCAGGTCCAGCAAAGGTGCCATCAGAGTTGACTTCGCCTGTTTCACGTTCCAAAACGAATGTATCCTCAAACTCCTCGTCTTCCTCGAGTGCACCGCGCTAATTATGTTAGTTGAGTCATCTATCTGGAGGGAAATCTTACAATCTGCTCCAAGACTTGGCTGGAAATGCCAAACTTGCTTGTCATGACCGACTCCACAACATCCCAAGGGATCTCGACCACGTCATAACGGGAGTGCTTCTCGGTGACATATCCGTATCGTCTTAGCAGCTCAGAGTTGGGGTGGGGACCGTAGTAGTTGAGAATTTCTTCGCCTGCCTTGATCGGTCTCAAGCTGGTAACAGTAAGACTGTCCTCCTCGTGGTTGACGTGCGCCTATAACTGTTAGCTTTGTCGGCACTCCGTTGGGCTCGCATACATTAAACTCGGCGTCGGCGTTCAGGATATCCGCCATAGGCACCATACCCATCATCGACTTTCCCTCACGGTCCTCAACCCATTCCTCGGTCTCTTCCTCCTCTTCTTCGTCGTTTTCAAGGTCAAAAGCATAAGCCATAATGGTGCTACCCATTCGGTGGGCAATCTCAACAAGCTCCTCGTCGCTCTTGTTACCGACGTTGAAGATGCTTGGGTTACCTCGAATGATGGGTACCAGGGTCTTCTTGAACATTTCCTCCGCATTAGCCTTGCCAATCTTGTGTCGCATATGGCTGGCTTGAAGCTGATCGAGCTCATTCTCGGACCAAAACATGGGTGTGTCGAAAGACGAAGGAAGAACGTCAAAGTAAGACTTCCATTGAGAGTTGTCGCCTTGGAGGTACTCATAAATCATGATGAGAATCAGAGAACTCCAAGAGTCCAATCCAGGGACATCATCCTCCTCAGGCTTATCAAGGTCGAACACATCTGGGATCTTCTTGGTAAGTTCTGAGGTTTCAGTGTTGATAATCCCTTTTCTGGGGATGGTAAACAGAGTTGTTTCCGCAGGTATGTCCTTGAGAGCAACTGCTTTTGTAAGCCTTGATCCAGCAAATATGTAAGTCACTTACTTATGCCACGACCAGCATTGCGATCACGCAGGTCAACAATTTTGATGTCCTCAGAAAATGTCGCACCTGGCAGTGACCTGAACCACTGCAAAAACTTTTCGCTTGTTCCGTTAAAATTCGTGGAATCCATTTTGTTTGTTATGACTAGGAGGAAAGAATTGTTGTTTTTGGAAGGCTTTGACTGTAAAACTTTTTTCTGTGACGTCTACCCTGTACAAATGTGGCAACCGCCATTTTCAACACCAGCAGGCACGATCCAAAATAACCCATGCAATTAGATGACAACATAAATACATTCTATCATTTCCATCATTAATTAATGGTACAGTTCATGACATCGCTCGCGAAACCAAAACCAATCGCTGGCCATCAATTCTCATCACCATCTTCCTTAATCTGGGGTTTTCCATCCTTTCCATCCTTTTCCTTCTTCACCTCTCTCTTCTTAGGTCGTAACCATTCTTCCATACCCTCCGGCCAGTAAACACGATCTTGAGGTCCTCCCATACCAAAATCTTCCGCGCTCACAATCTTTTCTGGTACCTCAATATCATCCTCGGCCTCGCCGTTGACGGCGTCCTTCTTTTTTCCTTTCTTAGCCTTCTTCTTGATCGCCTTTCGTGATTCATCTGGACGTTCGTGAGGCACAATATTGTTAAATGTGTCCCAGCCCGGGAGCTTAAATGTGCGCATCAACTCAAAAACAGCTTGCTCCTTATCCTTGGCTTCAATCATGAGATCCATGTCAGCCACACAAGGGGGAAGGGTCTTGACTCTAGCGGAATGCTTGCGACGATCCCGTGGAGTAACGGCAGGAGAAGTTGGCTCGCTGTAATGCATCTTCTGAGTGATTCCTTTCTTGTCCCATGTCGCCTTGATTCGGTCGTACAAGTCCATAATATCTTTAGAGCCTTCTCTGATGGAAGAGTCAAAGATGATGTTGTGGTGGTGATAGTCGAGAACGAGAGGAATGTTTAGTTCCTCACAGATAGGTAATAAATCATGAACGCTCCATGCAACGTCGTCATTCTCCAAAACCAAACGTCGCTTGACGCTGTCGGAAAGTTTGGCATAGTTCTCTCGGAATCGGTCAAGAGTCGCTGCTTTGTCGCCGTAGGTACCTCCCATGTGGAGAATCATGACTGCGTCGCGGTTGAGTTGGTCGGGTAGTTTGAGTAAGGTAAGCATCTCATCATGATAGTCCAAATCGCGAATGGCGGCAGTAACAACCTCTTTTCGAGGGCTACCAATCTGAGTGAATTGTCCTGGGTGTGTTGTCAGGCGGTGGTTGTGTTCTGCCGCCACTTTACCAGCTTCTGCCAGCACCTCAGACGCAAATGGCGCCAGCTTGTATCCGTGTTCCTGATGACTAGCAAATGGGAACATCTCACTGCTAAGTCGCATGAATTTGATGCCATACTTGACATTCCATCGAATCATCTTGACAATATCTCGAGCATTTGCCAATCCCAATTCCTGCACATACTTCATACCTCGCTCGATGTCTGCGGGCTTATTCTTGTCGGGGCGGTTCTTGGTCGCATGCTCAGGTTCGTCTTCATTCGCCAAGGGATGCCGATGTTCGATAATTGAGGCTATACGACAGGTTCTCGAAGAGAATACAGGAGGTGTCGCGTTGCGCAGATATGTATTCAGACAGGCCTTTGCAATTAGCGACGTACAAAAATCGTGTGATTTTACTCACATATCCCAATCGCCCCTTCCATGGTAAGGGAAGCACCTCACTATTCACTGGAGGAGGCCGGTCGGCACCTCGACTAGCACCGTCTTCTTCATCCTTGGCATCAGCAACATCGCCTGCAGCGAGTTTGGCATCGTACTCATCCAGTGGCGCTGTATCAACGACTTTCGACTTTCCCTCCAGATTGCCGCGAGCAATGACGGTATCCTTGTTTGGGGAGTACATTGTTGGTCGAATATCAGGTTCCTGGGAAGACTCTTTCTTCACTTGAAGGTCTGATGATTCAACTGCAAGTCGCTGAGTTCTCACAGCATTTTGTAGCTTGTGTTCCATCTCACTCAATTCTCGCATAGCTTCCTCAACACCTTCTCCAGTGTCCCATACGGCTTTTGCTTTCTTGGGGTCCGGCACTTTCATTGGATCCCCAGCCATTTTTGTAACATCAAGCTTCGCCTTTCGTTCATCGTTGCCATTAGAAGCGTCCTTGATCCTTCGACTGCTCCGTCTGGGGACTGTATCAGGCATCTCGGGTATCGGAGGCGGTGGGTGTGCACCGGTTCTCTTTCGTTTCGGGGTCATTGTGGTGGCAGCTCTATAAGATTTGCTAGTTGAAGGATAGAATGAAGAATGCGACAGGGCAAGAAGTCTTGCAGGAGGGATTGGAAGACGAGCGGGCATGTATATCAACCGAAACAGACAGTGAGTAACGTCTTAGGTCGGGAAGCTGCAATAAATCGACTGATCAGGTGTTACCTAGGGATTCCTTTCGTAACCAACGTTGTATCCCACGACCTTAAAGTGATCGTAGTCGGAGGAAGTGGCCCGAAGAGCCAATGACGCACGGCGCGTCATGCATGGTCCGGGTGCGATGTGATGTCGGCAGGGCGAATTGGTAGGGCTATTGCTGTCATTATTTCCGGGGATGCCTGGTAGCACAACGGAGCAAAAGAAGCCCCCTGCATCACCTGGTGATTCGCATTGGCTTTTTCGTGGAGCTGTTAAAGAAAACAAGACGATCGTTGGTCGAATTCCTCGATCCAAGTCTTAATTGATGGTGATGAAGTCATCCCGACATTGGTGGACGCGGCGCCGATCGCCGATCCGTCATCATACCCGCGGTACGTACCCCAGTTTCTGCTCCGCTGTGACGCCTTTCACCAATCCCAGAAGCAAACATGGTAACAAGTCGAGCCATAGCCAGGAGAAAGCTCCGGAAACAGTCAGATGTAGCCAATGAAATACTTCGGGCAATACCGACTCAAGGGTCCTAGAAATAAAATGACTGAGACTTTGATTTTGACATCGAGATGAACGCAGTCCCTCAATGCTGTGGCTGCATACACGAATCAGCGATCCGTGCCTTGTTAGTATGTAGCAATAAGTTGAGCATCATCCCCACGTTCTTAATGACATACAAACGCTGTATCCGATCTGCTATCGAAATTTCATTGATTAGTGATCCAATGAAGCTCACCAGAAAGGCGATACGTTCAACGGTTGTTGGTGACGAGGAACACCCTTATAATAAGGTACCCTGCAGACAGGACAATCATGGCGATCTATCAAGAACCATGATGACAAACATTTTGAGTGAAAAGAATGTCCGCATGTATTTATCGTCAAGATATCATCATCTGCACTGGTGACATCTTCGGTCTGTTCGGTCGTTTCTTGATTTTTGCGCGTTGCCTTGTGAGAAGTCACTGTTGGAACTTCTTCAAGCACCGGACGTGGGTCTTGAGTAACGGCATGCGCTGGCTCCGGCACCAAAGGACCGATGCATATCGGACTGCAAAAAGTAAGTTACCATCAGTCGATCCGGAGAAAACCGCCCGAGATGCAAACCGTTCCGGCCTCCACTTGAACGGCCGGAGCGTCACCGAAGAGTGGTCCAACATCCGTAAAAGAGTGGATTCTCACCATTCACCGAACTCGGAATGCGGAGTCAAAGCTTCGATATCGGCGGCCGGAACGGCGTTCGATCGGGGAAGAATTGTGGAGGTGGTAACGGTGCTGAGCTTTCGGCGAGCAGTATCAAGTTGACGTGGCTGGGGATTGTAAACCTTTTCCGCCACATTGTTTCGAGCGCTCATTCTGATACATGCTCTGGTTCAGGTTAGCAAACATCCTCACAGGGGTTTTGTGCACACACAAAGGACCCATGACCAGGATGAATAGAAACAACACGAGCAGTACAATGCCGACCGGCTCCATGATATCCGTGGGTATCTGAAATATCGGTAGAAGCGGTGAGTTGCTGTTTGTCACGTAATGCGGGGGTTTCAGGAGCAACGTCGCAAAGTCTATATCAGTTGGCGCTCGGTTCTGTAGGAAACGACGAGTTCGATAAAAGCTATTCTCGTATCCGTAGATCTTGGACAATTAAAGACTAATCCGACATCAGCTTGTCACAATGAAGCTGTGCACGGTGAACGGTCAGACAGAAATGCAACGGGAGAGTTGCGGCACACGTTATGGTGTTTGAGTCAAGTTTCTTGTGGCATAGCGTTGACGGGCTACGCCAATCTTAGCTCAATCAGATCGCAAGACTGTGAATGGCCTCTTGTTTCTTGGGCATTTATCTGGCTGTCTGGGCATTGCGCATTGAGCTCTGGGGTAGACAAACACCAAGCTTTATTGCAGATGACGAGATGGTCCAGGTCGACTTGGCAATGCTTGGCTGAGCGTGCGAGATTTGGAGTGTCAGTGTTATCGACAAGGGTTCTGAGGCTCCAAGGCTCCAAAGACGCAAGGCACGTGAAGTCCCGGTCCCAGTTGGGGATTTTGGTCTTCCCCGGCAAGCGCGCCCTGAGTTACTGCAAGTGAAGGTGCAACCATGCAGGCGTAAGTGCAAGAGCGGTCCAGTGGGCTCCGGTTTTCCATGGGTGGACGCTTATACCCGAGGCGGGCGGACAGAGGACAGGACAGGACAGGAGCACCGAAGCGGAGCGGGGAGGCGGGGGGTTTGAGATAACGCAGGGGAACGAGTATCTCAGTGTCTGATAAGGCTCCATAAACGATGGCGATTGTTTTCTAATAAGCCACCTGCGACACATTCCATTACTCAGTGCCTATAGCAACGGTCATATGCTTGGCGAAGATGTTCATAGTAGAAACACAGTATAGCCAATCTCGAGTCATTCTTGATAAACAGACAAACAGATTACAGAGTCACAGAAGACAGTCGCAGAGTAGCAGAGGTGCGTCATGTCGAAACACGCCTTGTGTGTCATAGCATCGTTTCCCAACACCATCACAGACGTTCTTGCCACCCTGCGAGTAACGACAACCTGTCCAAAGAGAGTTTTCATTGACTAAAGACTTCAAGTGATGAGTGCCAAGACATCTTGTGGTGAGATTAAGGTGCCCACGTGCCCGCTTTAACACTGATAATGGAGGTTGAAGAGCGACCAAGTTACTGGTCAATGGCAACACCGATGCGGAAAGATTTTGTATGCGATAGCCGGCCCTGTTTTTCTTTAACTAGCAGGCGCAGACAAGGCGGGATGCGTAGAATTCCGCTTGACATTGCATGCGCTCCAGGCGCCAAGACCCAGGGATCAGTCTTGGCAAAATGGTCAGTCGTGATTGGTACAATCGTAACTTTTGAAGTTGCCCTGTGCTCTTTGAATGTTTCTAGCGTGCTGGGGATGTCCAGTTTATTGTGGTTCTTCACTGGGGTCGCTAATACCTATATGGTTCTAAACAGTATAAGGCCCAATTGCTGTATTGTGAGAGGCTGCAACTCCAAGATACCCAGTTTTAGAGTATATTCGATCCGACGCAGGGTCTCTAACGACCGGACAGTTTCAACAATCTCGACTTGGCATAGAGAAAAACTTCTCAGACAGTTAAGGTCGAGTATAGGAAACAATCAGACTCTATGAAACACCAAGAGGATGGCTAGAACTCTAAAAATATGGTTGTGATTGCGTCAAACGCTGACAGAACCGCCAACTTGGCATCCCGTTTCTTTACTTGCAGGTCATACTCGGCTTAACCTATCTCAACGCCCGGTTGATATGCCGGCTTCACTTCCTTGGCATTCCCTCCTAATAACAATCATCTCCACAGAAAAACTGTTCTCCTCCAAATAGAATTATTTTCCCCAAAAAGTTGGCTCGTCTTAGGCCCGCACCTTCTGTTATGGTTAAATCTTGGCGCATCCACATCACAGCTCCGCTTGCTTTCCTCCTACGTAGTACCTGTAGGAGTTCTACTCACCGTCGATCCAGCAATGGCACAACTTATAAGGGCCATGTCTCTCCCGTCTTTCCTCGACTTTTTTCTTCATCTCTTCACTCAGTAGTTTCCGACTGATTTATCACGAAAATGGGTCAGAATCCTACAGAAGAGGCCGCGCCTCATGTGTCTGGCCAGTCCAACACACCTATGTCAGCACCTGCTCATGCTCTCACCTTTGAGCAGGTTGCTAAGGAGCTGAACGCCAATCTGGAAGATGGATTGACGGAGCAGGAGGCTAAGAGCCGTCTCGAAACCTCCGGACGCAATGAGTTCGGAGAGCAAGAAGGCGTTCAACCCATCAAGATCTTGATCGGACAGATCGCCAATGCCCTCACTCTAGTAAGTTACACCACCCATTGGCTTCCCTAGGGATGTTTCGAGTAGTGGTAAAGTAGCTCATTTATCGATTAATAGGTCCTCATCCTCGCCATGGCTGCTTCCTTCGGTATTCAGTCTTGGATCGAGGGTGGTGTCGTCGCCGCTGTCATTCTCCTCAACATCGTCGTTGGTTTCCTCCAGGAGTTCCAGGCCGCTAAGACCATGGACTCCCTTCGCTCCCTCAGCTCCCCAACTGCCCAAGCTGTTCGAAACGGAAACAACCAGACCATCCCCACTGCCGAGATCGTCCCTGGTGACATGGTCGAGCTCAAGACTGGTGACACTATCCCTGCCGATCTCCGTCTCGTCGAAGCTGTCAACTTCGAAACCAACGAAGCTCTCCTCACCGGAGAGTCCCTTCCCGTCCGCAAGGAGATCAACAAGGTCTTTGACAACGACACTGGTCCTGGTGACCGTCTCAACGTCGCCTACAGCTCTTCGACTGTCACCAAGGGTCGAGCTCGCGGTATTGTCTTCGCTACTGGAACATACACCGAAATCGGTCAGATCGCTGTTGCTCTTCGAGGCAAGTCTTCTAAGCGTCGCCAGCCCAAGCGTAACGCTGAGGGTAAGGCCAGCGCTGCTCGTCATGCCCAGGCTTGGACCCTGACTGGTTCCGATGCCGTCGGTCGCTTCCTTGGTGTCAATGTCGGTACCCCTCTTCAGCGCAAGCTTTCCAAGCTCGCTCTTGTCCTTCTCGGAACTGCCATCGTTTGCGCCATCATCGTTTTGGCCGCCAACGAATTCAAGTCTCAGCAGGATGTCATCATCTACGCTGTCGCCACCGGTCTTTCTATGATTCCCGCCTCTCTGATTGTCGTTCTCACCATCACCATGGCTGCTGGTACCAAGCGCATGGTCCAGAGACACGTTATCGTCCGTAACCTCAAGAGTTTGGAAGCTCTCGGTGCCGTCACCAACATTTGCTCCGACAAGACTGGTACCCTTACCCAGGGTACTATGATTGTCAAGAAGGCTTGGATTCCCGGCCGTGGCACATACTCTCTTGGCCAGACCAACGAGCCCTTCAACCCTACCGAGGGTGAAGTCAGCCTTGCTGAGGACCAGCCCAAGAACATCGACTTCCGTGACGAGAAGTCCTCTGGCATCGCTGTCGACACTGCCACCCAGGTTGGCCAGGACCCTGGTCTGATGGAGTACCTGAACGTTGCCTCTCTTGCCAACCTTGCTACTGTTCACCAAGTCGAGGGTGAGTGGCACGCTCGTGGTGACCCCACTGAGATTGCCATGCAGGTTTTCGCTTCTCGTTTCGACTGGAACCGTATGCGCCTGTCTGGTGGTGAGAACCCCCGCTGGCACGAGGTTGCCGAGTTCCCCTTCGACTCCGACGTCAAGAAGATGTCCGTCATCTTCAATGACAGCCAGAACAACAAGCAATGGGTTTTCACCAAGGGTGCCGTCGAGCGTGTCATTGATTCTTGCCCCACCTATGCTGCCGGTACCGAGATTCTTGAGCTCACCGACGCCGTCAAGGCGGATGTCATCGCCAACATGGAAGCTCTCGCTCGTCTTGGTCTCCGTGTCCTTGCCCTCGCCTCCCGAACGGATATCCCCCACGTTGAGGACAACGAGGCTGAACTCGAGCGTGGTCTCTTTGAGAAGGATCTTATCTTCCGTGGTCTTATCGGTCTCTACGACCCTCCCCGTGCCGAGTCTGCCCCCTCCGTCCGCAAGTGTCACGAGGCTGGTGTCAACGTTCACATGCTTACTGGTGATCACCCTGAGACTGCTCGGGCTATCGCCCTGGAAGTCGGTATCCTGCCTACCCGCATGAACGAGATCCCCAAGGATGTCGCCAAGGTCATGGTCATGACTGCTTCCGAGTTCGACAAGCTGTCTGATGATGAGATCGATGCCCTCCCTCTCTTGCCTCTTGTCGTTGCCCGTTGCGCTCCCCAGACCAAGGTCCGTATGATTGAAGCCCTCCATCGCCGCAAGGCTTTCGTCGCCATGACCGGTGACGGTGTCAACGACTCACCCAGTTTGAAGCGATCCGACGTCGGTATTGCTATGGGTATGGCCGGATCCGATGTTGCCAAGGAAGCATCCGACATTATCTTGACCGATGATAACTTCGCCTCCATTCTTAACGCTGTTGAGGAAGGTCGCCGTATGTTCGATAACATCCAAAAGTTCATTCTGCACGTTTTGGCCGAGAACATTGCCCAGGCCTGTACCCTTCTTATCGGTCTTGTTTTCAAGGATTCCGAAAATGTCTCCGTGTTCCCCTTGGCCCCTGTTGAGATTCTTTGGATTATCATGATCACTTCCGGTATGCCTGATATGGGTCTCGGATTTGAGATTGCCGCTCCCGATATCATGCAGCGACCTCCCCAGAACCTCAAGCAGGGTGTCTTCACTCCTGAGCTGATGATTGACATGGTTGTTTACGGTCTTTGGATGGCCGCCCTCTGTCTCTGCTCTTTCGTTCTTGTCCTTTACGGCTTCAACAACGGCGCTGCCGACATTGGCAGAAACTGCAACGACAGTATCTCAGATGGTTGTGAGATTGTCTTCCGTGCTCGTTCCACCACCTTTGCTTGCTTGACATGGTTCGCCCTGTTCCTTGCCTGGGAGATGATTAACATGCGACGATCTTTCTTCCGTATGCAACCCAAGAGCAAGAAGTACTTTACCCAGTGGATGATCGATGTCTGGAGAAACCCCTTCCTTTTCTGGGCTATCATGGCTGGTTTTGTCACCATGTTTCCCATCATCTACATCCCTGGTCTTAACACCGTCGTCTTCAAGCACGCTCCTATCTCTTGGGAGTGGGGTATCGTTTTCGTCGAGGCTGTCCTCTTCTTCATGGGTATTGAGACATGGAAGTGGGCTAAGCGTATCTACTTCCGCCGTCAAGCTCGCAAGTCCACAGGTGGTGTTACCGACCTGGAGGAGCGTGTCTTTGGCCAGTACTACAAGATGGGTAATGGCAGCAATGACGGGGAGAAGACCTCTGTATAGATTTGATATGACATGTTGGTGAAAATTTAGTAAGTGAGTAATCTGCGCAAAAGCAGTTATCATGATTAGTATGTAGGATGACTATTTATAATATAGTCCAAGATTAGGTATTCTAATTTATATCTGGTCCAATAAACCCACAAGTCTCTTTTTTGCAATGTGATATGGCGTTTTAAAACAATAAGTGAAATATGTTTGTTTCCAGTCGATTCTGATAGATGGTAGCCTCAGACATGTGACATTTGTATCTTCTTACCTAGACAACGCTGGCTGTAACTAATGCAGCATTGTCGGACTTCACCCACGTTTCAGGCAGTCTGCTCAGAGATACAGAACTCATCATTTATCAACGTGCCTCCATGATGGAAAGACATATCTGATCGATAGGTACGTTAGGCCTCAATGATAAAGCATCGTGTGTTGTTCTCTCGATAAGATCAATCCGAATACTTCTCAACTATCCGTCTACCGGCTCTTTGAGTTTCGCATGAACTACATCGGGAATAGTGGACAGGAGATGAAAACTGGCAAAACGTGGTTGGATCAAGTCTAGAATCTGCATTATCTGGAAAGAGCCTCGATGATTTGTTGAAGATGCATATGTCTGCTGATGAGGGTGTAACGTTGGCATGAGTTGAAGATCTAGACACGCCATTTTGCATGAGGCATTTCTTCACCTTTTTCTTCGAAGACGCCTTCAACAGTGTTTGAATTCACTGTTTATACTCACAAATATAGTGAAATTGATCCCAATGACGATTTCGAGGTGACATCGTAGTCAGCCTTTTGTACTGTACATTTCTGTGTGACCCTTGTAATGACGTAGGGTGAGGCCAGCCACTCATTGAGAGGATGCCAGTATGAATTCGTCTAGTCTCATGCCGTTGGTGTCCTACCACCTTCGGACTGAAAAGGTTAGAGCGAAACGGTCACAGTTAAACACTCTATTTATATCATGTTAATTCGTGATATCGCATCGCAGCCCCCAGGGTATCATAAGAATTGGCCGCTGAGAGCATAAGAGACGAAATAATTTGATCACCTTATGCTAGCTTAGCCTAGCATTTAGGCTACTTTATTTCAGTAGCCTAAGTCTTGGAGGTCATTTCTTCTGACACCCACCTGGCAGCCCAGTCTAAGATCAGGCCCAGAGCTAAGGTAACGGTAACCTACCCTGGTACGTACCGACCCCTCCAAATCCTGGGGTCTCAGGCCACTGCGTCATTGGATCTTATAGGGCCTCCCCCCGCCTCGTTATGATCTGCTCACGAGGGTTCTGCAAGTTTCCATCTGATCTCGCGACTCCCATCACAAGCGCAAACAACACTTTCTGACCTTTACTCTCAGATATTCAAGCGTGAAACATCTTGATTACTCACCACAAGACCAACGCCTCTTGAGCTTGAGCTCTGGCTTGCCGTTAAACCCTTTCAACTCAAGCTCTTGTTCCACATTACATTATACCAAAATGGCTTCCGCTGTTGAATCTCCCCCGGCGCACTCGCCTCCAACTAATCCCCCTCAACGACCTCGAGGTATGTGTGCTTGATGCCGCTTTGCATACCATCTAACATCTAGTCCAGGTATCCTCAAGAACTCGTACCAGAAATCCCCCCCTACCTCGCCAAACCAAGAGTACAACTCCAGCGAAAAGGAACTCACCATTGCCAACACTCAAATTAACGCTGGCCACCGCCGTTCGTCCTCTGGTGCTCGCCCAACAGGATCCCGAAGACAATCTGGCGCCCACAGCTCCTCCGGCGACGGCCTCGAACAGTCTCAGCGCCTCAAGTGGGACGAGGCTAATCTATATCTCACGGAGCAAGAGCGCTCCTCTACTATGAAGATCACCGAGCCCAAGACTCCTTATGCCAAACACTACGACCCGGCCGAAGACCCGTCCGACGACGACGAGGATCCTCTGGCAGACGCTGGTGCTCGCCTTAAGGATTCACGTCCAAGCCGTGAAGATGACATTCCGGGCCTTTCGCTGGGCGAACCGGAAGAGGAGATCCCGGAAATGGGCGCGCCGTCACCCCGCAGCGAAAAGAGCGTCCACGTCGACGAGGAGAGCAGCATCGGCCACGACGCCGAGGAAGAACTGGCAGGCATGTCTCCCGAGGAGCGTGAGAAGCACCGAAAGTTTGAACAGCTCCGCAAGAGACATTACGAAATGAAAAATGTGGCCCAGCTCCTGGGCCACCCCAATGCTCTCCCCGAGGACGAGGACGATGAAGATGATGGCACCGTGCCCCCCATGCCACAAGTACCGCAGGTGCCCAACGGCTCTGCGTAGAAGGATACTACAACGGAAGAAACACGATAAGGATTGCGGACTGGCTAGGAAGGCATTAGGCTGGAGTTTTGAGGACATCATTACAGGGCGTTGGCAGAGGTTACGGAGAGGTACACAGTTATCTGATTACTCGCTCGCTTTAAGGATTCTGGTTGATGAGCATCGGAGACAGAAGGGCACATCATGGATTCGGTTTCGCATTCACGGTAGATAAGCATGTTTGCATTTCCTAGAATTGATTTACAGTTTCTGGGCCATGCCCGGTTGATTGTATGTGCTGTCGTTGATGTCGTTGAAGTTGCCGTTGATGTTTTGCCTCACAGTAGACCCTTTCGTGCCAACTCAATCTTTCGTGCAGTTTCACCATCACGGAATCCACCACGAGATGCGCAAATGCGTTGTCCTTCGGCTAATTCGAACTTTTCTTGTTGAGCCTCCCAAGCGCAAGGACAGTGGTGAGGGAAGTGGACGCATGCGAGTGTATCGGGGCAGAGGTATTTATCGCAGCGAGCTACATGTGTTAGAAAAAGAATTACAAGATAATCGCCACATACAGTTCTCGTAATTGTGCTTGTAATGGTTCGCATCACTTGGGTTATTCTGCTGTTGAGCTTGGTGGTGTTCGTGGCCGTGGCCGCCTTGTTGCCCAAACATCTGATCAAAAAAGCCACCAAACTGGGCATTGACCAGAGTCAAAAGAGAAAGAAAGGCGACGATATAACGCATTTTCAAACAGTTGAACGTAAATTGCATTGAATTCTGAGATGTTGCAACAACTCACCTGCCATTATGCGATGCTGTCCACATCGAATCCTTATCGATAAGATCGATCGATGACTAAGCGCAAAAACTCCATCTCCAGAATTGCTTGCGGGACAGGCATTGCATCGCAGCTCAGCTAACCTCAGCCCATATCAACAAAATCGCTGACCATGAGGTTCCTCACGATACGGCGGCCGATATTGGCTGCTGTGGCTGGTCTTGCCCGGCCGGCCTTTACACCCGCCGCTCCTCTGGGTGTGCAATTGGCCAATTCCCTCGTCCAAGGTCACAGATTTGCCTCGGTCAAGTCACAGGGAGCCTACAAGAAGAAGCCCAAGAGGGGTATTCCCAAGAAGCTGGGTGCAAAGCGTACAGGAGGTGTGTTTGACGTGTCCAAGTTATGGGGTTGAACTGACGTTGTAGATCAATTCGTTATTCCTGGCAACATCCTTTACAAGCAGCGAGGAACGCATTGGTGGCCCGGCGAGAACTGCATTATGGGTCGAGATCACACAATCCACTCTATGGCTACCGGCTACGTCAAGTATTACCGCGATCCCGCACGACACCCCGACCGCAAGTACATCGGCGTCGTCTTCGACAAGAACGATACTCTGCCATACCCCCAACACGCCGAGCGCAAGCGAAAGCTCGGAATGACCATGTTCCCCATCAAAGAAGCCGCCGCCAAGCCCGAACTCTCACCTTCCGGAATCCCCTTCCAGGTCAACCGTATCGAAGCCGGCGAACCCGACAGATTACTCAAGCTGCGCAAGGATTACAGTTACCGTGAGGACAACTGGGCGATCGGAAAGCTGGCCAGGACGACGGGACTCAAGACCAAGCGATTCAGGACACGAAAGCAATGGTTCAGACATAGACGGTGGAGACGTGAGAGGGAATTGGAGGGCCAGAGGAAGGCTGAGGCGAAGAGGGCTGAGAATGGTGGTGAGATTAAGGCTGTGAAGATGATTAGCAAGAAGCAGGCCAAGAAGGCTGCTAAGAAGGCTGGCAAGAAGAAATAAGCCGATATTGATGGAAAGGGAAAGCATGTAGGATTTGTGTAGTATTGTATATTATGAACTAGACATTGTCTGTATCTGAATCACTGCATAGGTATGATTGGCCGTTTATGCTATTTACTTATCTAAATGCTAGGCATTGTAGGCAGCCTTCATAAGTGAAGGTGGTCGAATTATATGCAATCTTTAGTAAGTGAGGCCTGGAGTCTTTGAGGAGTGGTTCATTTAGGATGTATTTTGCTTCCTGCATATTGCGGAGAGGTACTTTGCCCCCCGGACACACTACAACTTCAACCAACCGCGTCGGCGCGTCTTCCACCTCCACTCAATCAATTCACGATCACCTCAAGTAATTCCCTACGAGGGTCTCTGTAACCCTTGACAGAGGCTCCATTCCTTTTATTTTTCTTATTATCTTCATTCAAACTAGTTGTATCTTCATATTTACCTTTTACCCCATCTTGGGCTTCATCTTTCCTTGGACAGAAGCTTGGTCGCACCTTCTTCATCTCACTAACACCTATCAATCATTCAAATGCTTGGCGATCCGAATTCCCCTTCGCTGTCTTCTGAAGACCTTGCAAGACTCCCGCGTCCAAGCATAACATCTTGGATGGCGGTTAACAAACCAAAGCTGAACGACCCAGAGCCTGCCCGTATTGTAAGCGACATCGCTGAGCCTACAACCGCGCAGTCTTCAGCAGCTGGTGCGTTGGCGACTAATTCAAGGATTCAAGCTGCGCAATTAGAATGGGAAAGAAGGAACCAGGGTGAGTTTGTGTTGGGCAAAGTGTGCATATTCATCTGACGTTACCCAGGGCAATCACAATCACGACCTTCTACAGGACCACCGGGAGTTTCTTCACTGAGACCTCCTCAACATCATCGTAAGAGGGAATCACCTTCTTCAGATTCTTCAGCCGCGAAAAGGCAGAATAATGAGTCCTATTCAACAGCCCGTGAAGGCGCACTTCGCTTTACGGAAGAAGAAGTGGCTCGGCAGATGGCTGAATTGAACGATGCGTCGGTGAACTCAATGAACTCGACGATGCATTTCGCAACTGGAAATGAATTACTCAAAAAGTATGCGGGTCAAGCGACCCCATCGCCAGTTCCGGTTCCAGTACCAGCAACAAAACCCCCAGCACCATCGTTCAAGTCACCAGACACTATGGCGGTTGGCGATAGCATTGTTGCAATCACCATTGCAGAGGGTGATCGCCCGTACAGCATGTACCCTCGTATGTCTGCTCCCCTATTAGAGGTTTCTTTCTAACATATCGCAGTCCCTTCGGGTGGAACGACTTCTGCTCGCGGAGCAGCTATCCCGCCAAACTACAAATTGCACGATGATCCTGCCCTTCCATTTATATGTCCTGTGCGGGATTGTCGCCGGGTGTTCAAGAACCTGAAAGGTCTTGGTGGCCACTTTGGTGCTGGCCATTGTTCATCTACCTTCAACGACAATGGAGATGGCACATTGTCAAAGATCGGCAACTATCAGAAGAGTGGTCCTGGAAACACGCCTGGTATCATCATTTCTAGAAACCCTCTTCCTCATAACGCTCCACCTCCAGTAGATCCAGGATTGTCTGTGTTTGCCACCTTTCAGCAACAGCGCATATCTCGTGCCCAAGAACAACTGGCGAAAAGGCCAACTCGCTCTCACGAAACTCCAGTCTATCCCCCTTCTCCGCTTTCGCTGTCGGGTATCGATAAAGAGAAGTACACTATCAGAGGCTACATCCACAAACATCTCGATCCAAGTCAAGAGGCATTCCACCGGGAAGACATCGATTTCATGTTGACATTGCCTCGTCAGCGTGACCTTCCTCATGGCTGGAGACATGCCCACACTGGACAAACTCTGGATATTAATCATTATGCTTGTGTGGTAGCTTACCTCGTGGGGAGAGGAGTGACTGGTAGCGATCAATGCACAGCCAACACAACTCGACCATCTGCTAGGCTATCACAGCCTTGCATTGCCCTCCCGAATGGGATGAGTCCTTCTGCAAAGCAGGCATTTTCGACGCTAGAGACTTGTGTTGGATGCAGATATTGGTGTCATTTACAACGACGTTCCAACGCATGCGATTGGTGCCCTTTCCCTATGCCTCGTGTCAGAGCTACTGGCAGTGGTTCAGGAAGATCATCTTCGTCGGACGATGAACCTACGACAATGGAGATTGCTGAGGTCGAGGCACCGATTGTAGGAACTGTGACAGAGACTGTCTATCAAAACAAGCAACCCAAGAGTGATTTTTATAAGCGCACAAAAGACCAGCCTGCAGTTGCCATTGAAAAACATGGGCACAGTTCCCCAGTCACTACAAACGACCATCCTACAGTCATGAGCGGACAAAGCCAGATGGGCAACGCCGAATTAGAGATGGAGGATTGGGAAGTTGCCCCTGGAAGAATGAAGGATGACTCTTCAAACAGTGAGTTTACGCATTTTTCATTAACTCACATACTGACATTTGTAGACATCGCCTTCTCCAACTCCTACCTTACAAGCAACCACCCCGTTACGGTCTCTGAAGACGTCAGTTTTAACGTCATCGTTCTCAAGCCTGGTCATTCTAGTCCTTGGACTGTGGAAGACAACAAATTGCGAACGTGCTCTGTCGCAGCAGGCAAAGTACGAGTCACAATGGGCGAAAACACTTTCCACCTCGGGCCAAACGGCATGTTTGTCATTCGACCCGGACAAGCTTGCAAGGTCGAGAATCGACTCTACTTGGATTCCGTGGTGCACTGTACCACTATTGGAGATTTTTCGCTGCAGTAGGCGGCGCATTCGAGGCGCATTCGGTAGGAAAGAAGCATTTACTTGGTGATATCGGGCATAGGAGTTTTGAGCGTCGCATCTACGTCATATTCGGAGAGATTTCTTCGAGACATTGGGATTATTTTGGGATCATTGAAAGGCAGCTACGGGACTTTAGAGGTTAGGTTCATCACCAGTCATCGGAAGTGTTCATGTGGCACAGTCATCTGATTAGCCTTGTCTCAGATGCTACCCCACGCCTATAGAATACAGAGTCAGCCTACAGCGACAATTTTAGCACATCAGCAATCTATATGGAAATCGGCAAACGCTGTTTTTAACTATTGGGGCCTTTGTCACGAGCAAATGCTGATCCAAGGCAGAAAGCGGTGCTCGTGAGGCTGTCGCGGCAAGGTGTGACTCTTCAAGCGTGATGGATGAAAACCTAGCAGTACTCATACAATATGAACAAAACTACTACAGAGCTCTTGCGAGCACAAAATCTGATGTAGAATTGTAAATTTCCCGATAATTTTGTGTTCTCATGTCTCAAGCCTCTCGTCCGACCCTACCCAGGCAAAGACGCCGGGAGAATTACAGGGCGTCTTACACTGAAGATATGGCTGCGGCAGGAGGCCTCGACTCACCCGAGCCAGAACTTAGCAACGACAGAGATTCCATCAATGTCAACCCGGGAAGTCCGCCCGGTCAATTGCCGCCGCTGAATGATTATACTATCAAGAAAAATGATATCAAGGAGGAAGTCATCGATGAATCGCCTACCGAACCGGAGGAGGTGAAGGAGGAACCTAAGGGAAGCTTTACTATTGATCCAGAGGGTGAACTTACTCACGATCAAACCACCGTCGATATTGTTGCTGTTCCGTGTCCCGGGGCACATTCTATTCGAACATGGAGTCGCGATGGTCGAATGGGTCGTTTCTTTGGTGCGTTGTCCATGCGTGATGCCGAAGGCCAAGCAGAAGATGATCGACCAGCGCCTTCATGGATTCGACAAGGCATTCGACGTGAAGCTGATCGAGCGCGGATTCTTCTTTACGAGCATCCAGCTACGGCTGACGGCACGAGATTAAGCACGTTAGCAGATGCGCTGCTGGAAGAGCTGGAGGAATTAAGGAAACGAGAACATCAGACAAGGCCGCTTGTGTTTGTGGGACACAGTATTGGTGGAATTATTGCCAAGATGGTTCTGACAAAAGCGAGTCGCCATACTCGGTATGATGATATCTACAGGCAGTGTTATGGAATTGCGTTCTTTGGTAAGTGACTTTTGTCCAGGTGTCCCCCATACTAACAGTCCAGGCACTCCTCACCAAGGATCCAGCTACTTTGCGATGCCGAGTCTATCAACCAGTATTCAGAATTTACTTCAACTATCAGCTCCTCTGCCCTGCTCAATCACCGATGACCTCCGCGTGGGAAACACTCTCCTTCTCCAACTCGACGAAGACTTCAAATCGATTGCACACGACTTCCGCATATGGACGCTGTATGAGACCATCGACTCTCGACTATCCGGGACCAATGGCGATGTTTACTTCACTGCACCCCTGACATCCATCAAGTCTGCTATCCTCGGTATGCGACAGGAGACGATTCTTCCACTTCAAAGCGATCATGCAAATATTGCATCATTCGGGAGGCACAATGCCCATACGATGCGTTTGTTTCTGAAGCAGTTATCTGCACTCATTGGCCGTGCGGATGAGTACTCTCGTGAGGATGGTAACTGGTCTCTGGATCTCGAACAAAAGGTCAACATCGAAATCCATGGATTTTTCGAGGATGCACCAGATCCATTGAACCCGGCTATTATTCGAGCTTGGTCTACGAGGTTGCCATTGCGGGAGTTCCTAAGAAAAGGACCAGAGGAGTGTTTGGCTGAGAGGTTGAATGAAGTTGAGACGGTCGATGAAGGGCGATTTCTGAGGACAAGGGGTAAAACAGCCAGATTACCGACAGAGAGAGTTGACAAGCCTGCTGCCGATGACACGGGCAACAATGCTCTCGGTATCTCGCAGGATGGATCGTTCCATGCGTCTCCCCCAGCTTCACCTATTATCCGCCCGCTTGATGCCGACAAGGCGAGAGCAGAGTCAGCACCCCAAGTGATATCGAGAACTCCCATCACACCATTGTCACCAGTAGCAATATCACCACTGACACATTACTCAACCCCAATGCAACGACCGTCTCCTCTCATCCGCGCCAACTTTGACCAGGACCTTGCAGTTGATCGGTTATCCCCACCTCCTCGCGGTCGAATGGATCGAACCCTTAGCAGATCTGCCAGCCTAGGTACTCAAGCTTCTCAATACGAATATCGAGACTTTCCCCCGTTTTCGCAACGAAGTCGAAGTACCATTGAGGGTTTCAGCGACGACGACGATATCGAAGCATCGCCTAAGCTACCAGAAGCTATAGTGGCAATTCGAAAGGTTGTTGAGGATGGGGAGAAGAAAGTGACTGAAACTGTCATTTTCGATGAAGTTCCCGTTGCGTTTTCGAAACCTCAGGTTGAAGCGAGAAAGTTCATTTGGGTGCATCTTGCATATAATAATCCAAGCTGGGTGACAGTAAGAGATCTTATCCCTGGGAAGCTATTGTGCTAACCTGGGTAGAAAATATTCGAGACGCTACAAATATCAAACCACCGCAACTATGCTCCTTTGTTCAACAATGACTTTTGGGCGACGAGACATTCCCGTGGACGACACTCTCAGCATTATGCGTACTTTGCCAAGCCAGGTTGCTACTTCTCGGCTCCTCGCCACCGTATGTATTTTTCTCCTTTGCAATTCCCAAGCTGACTTTTTAGTGTCTCCTCGAGGACGGAGCTCGAAACAAACTTCAATGTCACCTAGATCCGACGGCGGAATCTATACGTGCCTATTCCTGCCGTATCTTCACTTCGACTCATACAAGCGACTCATCCGCCGACGCGAACTTATCCTTCAACGTCTGAACCATGGAAGAGCTCGACCTGTACCTGAATCTGTCGCTAAATCCGACTCTCTCGAGGCGCAGGTTATTTGGGAGTTTCTGGGCCATGATCCACCCCTGAACTGCCGACGAACCCTCGATCAGTACGGGTATCCTTCTCTCAGGGACACGAGATCCCGAGACGACGACCAGATGCTTTACAAGTTAACCAAGGAACGAAGCTTTGCTCCTGGATTGGGCCCGGGACTTCATGGGCAGATGTCGAATAGTAGCTCTGGAAGCAGCAATAGCGGAAGCCGGGGATCCAAGACAAGTAGCAATGGGGACCACGATGAAGATCCAGAGGAGTCTATACTGAACGGGAATGTGCTGATGGTTGACCAACTGTGGCTGTGGGCTATCGACTCTCGTAAGTTTTCGATTTTAATTGTGAGCGCGTGCTGACCTTGCAGACACACTGCTATCCTTCTTCCCCAAGCGCGAAGGAGATGCCATCGAAGGGCCGCTGTACCAGCAAGCAGATCTCCGCGATAGCATATTTAACGAAGTCAATGTCGATCTCACCCGGCAATGCGAGAATGCCTTGGATTTAGCAGCTTTGGCGGTATTACATGCAGTGACCGTACTCCTCGACCGAGCATCCCACCCCGATCTCGAAGTATTCCGAATTTTCGAAGAAGCCATCAGTGTTCTTGTAAGTTATTCGCGCCTCTGTGCGATTTTTGCTGACTAGGTAGACCGAAAAACTCACGAATTCGCTCAAAGAATTCCGCGCCGAGGGATTTCGCGACAAGGCTTCTGCGTATGAACCAGTCGAGAACAAAGCACGATCCATTCGAGCACGGCACAAAGCCGAAGGTCGTCGAGCGGAAGAAGACAACCGCGATAATACATCCGCACTTTTGGAGTTGCGAGATATCGAGGATGAACTTCTCATTCTCGTGCACCTTTTCGAAAGACAATCCAAAGTCGTCAGCTCAATGCTTTCCACATATGCTCGCCCTGAACTTCGCGACCGCACCATCAACGGCAGGGTCTTCCTTAGCGAAGCTCTCAAGAAGCTCTCCGAGTATGGGCAACAAGGCCAAGAAATGATTGAGAGGGTCCGCAGTACGAGAGACGACTACGACAAACTCCTCCAGATGGTCCAACGACAAGCACAGGTTGACGAGGTACGGCTGAGTAGACTTCACGCTGATCTCGCAAGCGCGCAAAGTCGAAGCGTGATGATCTTCACCACTTTCACAGTCATCTTCTTGCCGTTGACCTTCTTCACCGGTTTATTCGGCATGAACACCCATGAATGGGGTGGCGAGAACAACCTTAGCCTCAAGACCATCGGCACAATATCCCTTCCATCGAGTTTCGCCCTCATCGTCATTTCACTTGTCGCAGCCTGGAGCACAAGAGCCAGACTTGCTGTTAAGTGGCTCGTTCGTTTATACCGCCGCGTTGTATCTTGGATTTGGAGAACGATGTGCAAGCCTGTTGTTTCAGGCATAGCGGAGATGATGCCTCAGCGTGATGAACGGCAAAGAGAGGAGAGGGATTCTAGAGGCAAGAAAGGAATGTTGAGAGAGGAAATGAGTGACTTTTGGGAAAGACATAGGCTAGAGAGGGATAGAGGATATACAGTGCCTGAGAAGAACAAGAAGACTACTATTGGAGGGAAAGGCAGTTGGAGAGCGAAGATGAAGTAGTATACACTTTGATATGTTTTTATTTATATGATACCAGGATAGATATACGAGGAAATAGCGAGGAGTTTTCGTTGATGGTGGGTTTCTCATGGTCTCCATCGCTACCACTGCTCACGGAGTGACTGTTAGAGACTGGGCTTATTGCTGGTCTCGGGACGATGAATTAATGTTCTAAACTTGGGATCTTGACAAGGATACCCCAGACAAGCTAGATCTGCACATCATCCGGGAGCTAAGCATGGTTGACCCCAGTCAACCCATCAGCTGCGAATGATGTAAAAGGCTTCATGCATCAAAAGCAAATATCAGGATTACCCGGTCTTTCCCGGTATACTTTGTCTTCTCTCACTTAGCGGTAGACTCCGAGTCCAGCTGAAACTCTTTCTGCATGGAGAGGGATCAAGGATGAAAGAGAATGAGTTGGCGAAGTCTTGCAGGAGGATATAATGCCGCATCGGCTGAGTGTTCGTCCCGTAGGCCATCTTTCTGATTAAAAAAGCGTCCAGAATCTTGCTCCTGTAGTTTGCTGCTGAATCACTCCTATCAAACTTCTGCAACAATGGCTGACGTCCCAGCTGCTCCTCGTTATGCCATGGGCACAAAGTCTTCTGAACGAAGAACAAGTCCCGTTCGAAAGACACAGCCTGAGAGGCCTGCTACTCCTACTCGCAATCGACCCACGACACCAACCCTCGGTCGTCGTCCTACCACGCCAACTTTGGGTCGTCGAGGCTCCAACGCTTCCCTTCGCCGTCAAGGGTCAAACACAACACTCAATCATCCTGTGACTCCCGGCGCAGCAAGGGATAGCCACGATGGCGATCCTGTAAAGGCTGGCCCTGCTGCTCCTAGGACACCTGGTAGTCTGGAGACTCCGGCTCGAATGCTGCCTGCTATTCCTGAGAGCCCTGTTGTCATGCCATCACCTCGTTCACGTCAAGTTTCTCATGTCGGAGTCACACCCCGATCTCGCCAAGTCTCGAGGACCGATCTTCCAACTCCTCGTTCTCAACAAGTTTCGCAGACTCTTGAAGCTCCCAAGGTCGAGGCCACTCCTACTGTCGCCAATGCTCCGCTTATTCGGGCCACTGCTGATGTAGTGCGTGTGCCAAAAGTGCGTTCTACTCCGAAAGTTGCAAAGGCTCCCAAACTTCGGTCCGTTCCAAGAACCACGCATGTTCCCAAAACTGCAAAGATCCCACGGCTGGCCAGAATCCCGTCAGGCGCTCCTCTCCCAGCCGTTCTGTCTATCCCTGTAATCCTTCCTGCATTTGAGGTTGCCCATCGACCCTTCGCCGCCCCTGTGCCATCTTTGGCCCCTCTGCCCGTTGTCGCTCTAGCTCCTATTGTTGCGAGAGCTTTGGCTTTTCCGATGATGCCTCGCGTCACTAATGCCCCGAAGACTGCTAGAAGGCCTTGGACTCGAAGTGGCCCCAGATCCGTCCTTGCCCCAGTCGCGTTGAAGGCCCCTAGAATCCTGGCGCCGCCCAAAACCAGACTTCTGATTGGCACTGCGTAGACTTTGAAGGAGTTTAACACGCTGTCGCAACGGGCATCAAAGTGGTTGGGGATCCATGGCTGAGCCAAAACGGTGTATTGAGATTCTGTCCGATGTTAGTTGCCTATGATATAATAGAAGAGTCAATACCATAAATGTTATCAAGATTCAGCCACGTATGTTTCCAGCGAATATCCCGTGTAATCATCGAATAAGACTAGTAGACTCTTTGGGTCGATGCCTCAGTGGCTCAAAGTGCGCCTTCTTTAACGGGAGTTCATGGTATTGGTAAGAGTGGCACCTTCCTCGAGGATGATTTTAGGCAGGCACAGCAGACTGGCCTCATCACCCACGCCGTCCCTTTCATCTTCTCTCCTTCACCAAATTCTCTGATTCATACACAGTATCTTCACAACAAGGCTATTTACCCACGCACCGGAACCCAATATGGATCTGAAGCCTGTCTACACCGAAGCAGAGGAATTCTCTTTTAAACCTCAAGGCGCCAGCCTAAGGGTTGGTCTAAGGTCGCATAAAGCGAGCAACTGTTTCGTCTTTTTTGCTCTCGGCAGCAAATCCTTCTGATGTATGTATCTTGACCATATCCTCATGCCAGTCAAACTCAAACTCAATTAACCACTGAAATCTATGACAGACTAGATGTCGGCATCGCAAAACTTAAACGCAACGAATATACTTTTGGAGGAAAATTGTACATGGCTCTGCTACATCAGTCGCTGATTCTCCCTCCCATTCACACATTTCCCCCGACCAGAGGACTCCGATACCTACACCCAACAGGTGGCATAGTCCGTTCAATCTGGTGAGTAACAGCAGAAATATCATCTAAGGCTTAGTCTGCCAAAATAATGTCGTCTAGGTGCTGGTCTAAGCTAGCATAAGACGACAAAACTATTTCGTCTCTTGTGCTTTCGGCAATTAGATCTTCTACCAAACTTCTGCCAGTATATTATGGACTGGACTGACACCATGCAGACCTTCTCACTTCCACGATGTCGTCTGATCATGGTTTCCGCCCTCCTGCCGACTGGCCAGCTCAAGCCACCGCTCTTCCGATTATCGTGATGGAAGATGGTTCCTACGACTGCAACAAAGCAGAAGGGAATCCAGAAGAAAATCCCCACAAGCTTTTCCAAGAGTTTTCTTCCCTCCTATCGGAACGAAACGTTGAGTCGGAAATAGTATTCTCCCAATACTATAGGCAGAAGATCTATCAACTCGTTTGGTCGTCAAACATGATCGAAAACGTTGGAGCAGATCTTAGCCTGACACTTGGACTTTGTCAACACGTTTTCGGAGGTTGGCCAGCGAGTGAGTTATTGCTCTGCTTTGACTCTGTCAGGAGTCAGAGAGAGATCATCCACCACGCCAAAGCTGCAGGTTATATCCTTGGAGAAATTGGCAAAGGGGGTGATCTTTCTGAGGAACTGATACGTAATACACACGAGATATTGACCTGTGGAATCGATATGGAGGATGGCACACCATGGACTGAATTCAGCGGCAAATACCGACGAGGCCCTATGCGAAAGGGTTCTTATCAGTTCATACACAAGAACAGAGTTCCTTCAGCGATGCAGCGGATGGTCAAAGACTTCAACGAAGAGGTACTGCAAGCTACAGAGAGCGGCCAGATCGACCCCATCGCGCTCGCTGCCAGGCACAGCCATACCTTCACCAAGATCCATCCTTTTGAGTGTGGGAACGACCGTATATCTCGATTAATTCTCAACGCAATCCTTTTCAAATTTACACTCTGCCTCGTTCCTTTCGGACAAGACGAGAATTGTCGAAATGAGTATAAGGATATTGTTATGGACGCATTACTAAGAGAAGGCGTGTGCGATTTACTCGAACTGGAAGGTGTGCCCAAGGAGCTCAGGCCAAGAAACTGGATAAACCTTGCTTGTTTTATCTTAAAACATGCTCTCGAGACCATGAAGGAAATGCATCAACTGGGGCAGCTTTCGAGTAGCCAGTCTTCGAGCAGCCAGTCTTCAAGCAGCTAGTCAGGTACGTAACAAAAGATTATCTTCTATAGCTGAGGCGCTAAAATGAAGTAGTCTAAGTTCTGGTCTGAATTGGCATGAGATTGTTGGATGATTTCGTCTCTTGGGCTCTCGGCGCCCAATTCTTCTGATCCTAGCGCCAGTTTGAGGTGGTGAGTTTTACACTTGCTTGCTCGACTCCTACTCTAACAGCCCAATAGTCCACTTATTCCACGATGCCTTCAGTTCCTCCTTAGCTGCCTTGATGTCCTCGATATCCCAAGTACATTCGACAAAGCGACCGCTCAAGAAGTTCGCCTCATCACTCGCCAGCCAAACCGCAAAGTCACTCGCAAGTTCAACGTCATCCCCCACGATCCCTTGTTCTTTGATCAGAGCCTCAAAAGGACCAGTCATACCAGTATCGAAAACGAAACCCGGGTCGAATTGATGGACCACCTTTTCCGGATTCTCGTTTGCGTACCAGGAAAAGAGCTTGTAAGCCGCCAGCTTCGACCCTCGATACGCCGAAAATCCTTCTAGAAACTCCATGTATGTGGAGCGACTGGAGACGTGGATCACTCTTGCTCCTGGGGCTGCGAGAGGATCGAATGCTCGCAAGAGGTTGAAGTTTCCCTTTGTGTTGATTTCGAAACCGCTCCACCAGTCGTCTGGGTCGGCTACAGTGATGCGCTCTTTCTTGGGCATGTATCCTGCATTGGCGACGAGGATATCAATCTTGCCGTTGACTGCCTTTGCGTACGCATCCAAGGCATATCGAGTTGACTCAGCATCGGCAATATCAACGATATACGTCCAGACTTTTGTTTCGGGGTAGTCTTTCTCTAATTCGGCCTTGGTGGTGAGGAGAGTCTTGCCTGTGCGACCTAGAAGAGCCAAATTGGTGACGCCTGACTTTGCAAAGGACTTCGCAATATTGGCACCGATACCAGAGCCTCCACCCGTGATGAGAGCATTCTTACCCTTCGTGGAGAGTTCGGGGCGCAACGGCGAGATGCCCGGATAAGTTGTTTTGTGGACAGAAGACGGCATCTTAATCTAATGGTTGAGTTGACTGGGGTGAATTGCTGTTCGTGTATGCCATCCTGCTGCTCATTTATAGTGGTTCATAACGCAACCAACTCCGCCAACATTCTCGTCGGTCGATGGCCACATTGCGGAAGCTCGTTCGTTACAACGTTATATCACGTTGACAAGGACCATCGGATCAACAGCTACGAGTCTGGGGTCCGACTTAGAGGCAGGGTTTCGATACCATAGATTGGATCTTGAAATCGGACCAAGATAGAGCGCCTGCTCTCTCCAGAGATCAGAACTTTTTACTCTTTTGTCCTAGCATTTCTTGATATCATAATTATCACTGTTGAAGCTATATACCATAGTAGTATGTTCTTCTCTTGTATGTAAGTGAAGCACACTATGAGGACTAGGCTGACAAGGGTCGTAGACTGACCAATACTTGCTCGTTAATCCGTACGCTTACTCCGTATGGAGTATCAAGGCTTGCCCCACCATAACGATTGATAACGTTATTCAATCCTCCATACTCCGTCAGCAACGTTATCACTTACACTGCAACCTCCGTCATCTTTCATTTGTCGTATTTCGAGTTTGTTCTCGTAGCCCTGTGTTCCAGTAAGGTTCTCCAATTCTCTCAATGTCACCGCCAAGCAATGAAGATCGTTCAGACGTAGGTGGACCCTTGTTCTGTTGATTACCAAGCATTGAATTCCATATACATTTGCATCTCAGTCAACATTGAAGCATCAACTAATATGGAGAGACAGCCAAAACGAGAGCGTAGCAGAGTTGCGCAGCGCGAGTATCGGAAGAGACATGCGTCCAAGTTTAATACCTTGAAGGATGAGAACCAAAGGTTGAGGAACGCTCTCAAGAGGATAGAGAAGCTCGCTCAGAAACGTGGTGGAAAAGATCAGGAACTCGAGACTGCACTTTCAGAAGCGAGAGAAACCATCGGAGAGGAAGCCGAAGATTTCAATGTCCAAACATCCACTTCCAGCTCTTCGGAGACTTCGGATCCGATCACCGCTGAGAGATCCTCGTACATCTCAGGACTACTGTCCTCTGACATCCACTTGCATACACAAGCACTCGACAAAACCACCACCCCTCGGCTAAGTCTGGAACAGCAATTATGGACCTCAACAGATCGCTTAGCTCGCATCTTTGAAGCCCCATCAGATGCCCGCAGATACCTCGGTGATGGTCTCTACACCTTCGCGGGAACTCTGTACTGGGCATGCACTCGCAACACAGTATCGCTATGGGAGACTTACAAGCTCAACATGCTTGGAAGACCTGGCCCGCCCGACATGAACCCCATGGACAGACTCTTCAACCACACCAAACATCTCAACGACCGAAGATTCATGCTCTCTTTGGCATTGGCTCGGCTTGAGTACAAGCACAAAGGTTTCATCGAAGCACCCCACTCCGGAACAGAAATGATCTACAGATCCGTGCTTCCCGACCTGCGCAAGAGGATGGACAGGGAGCTCGCCGATAAAGGACAGGGGCCGGAATGGTGGAAGACGCCGCGAGAGGTTGAGCAACACTTAATGAAGTATCTCGAGCCATCCGAAGTTGATGAGCTTCAAGCTTTAATTGAGGGACGAGGATCGGAAGCTGTTTTGGAAAAGTATAGTCCCCTGGTTGAGATGATGATTGCGGAATTCGTTTGCTTTGCTGACGGACCACGATGGAATCTTTTGCATGTTGCCATGGCTGTTGGAAGTTGGCGGAATGATCATCCCAGACCTTCAGAGATGGGAGTAGTTAATTCGGTGGAAGGCATTGGAGTTTAATAGCGATTGGAATTAGATATTTTTGTTTATGATAGTTTGATAAAAGTCTGATCATGGAGAAGTCATGATGAGCCCAGACTCGACCCCTGCAAGACCCCTGTGATCAACCCCACCGCTGCCCCAGCGACCACTAAAGCTCTGGAGCTTATACCTCCCCAAACATGGAAGCTTGATCTACCAATGCTCATCATCTCAAGTTCCAATTCCATCATTCAAGATGGCCAACACTAATGATCTAGGCGCTCGTCTAGCGTCTGTTCTCCCCAAAGGCCACGATTTTACGACGTTCCATATTTCAACGCCTCCTACGAAAACAGATACTCTCTACTCGCCGCCGCCGAACGAGCGTCCTGAAAGAACATATTGCGAGAACCATTTCCTCGCCGTTTCAATCAATGCACCCGATGAACCAGGGAAACAAGTTCTAGTCCTTGGAATTGAAGTCTTTATATATACAACAGCTCGATCAACTACGTTATTCGTCTCCAAAGCAGACTCGACCGGTTATCTCACTCTACTCAACCTCCCCAAGGGAACACCGAGTCCTATCCGCGAGATATGCGCTACCTTTGTCGGATTCCTAGTCGAGAAGAGAAGAAGAAAGGACATACAATTCGTCGTAAATTTGTTTGCGCGCGCTCAAGATCAATACCTCTTCCCTGGTAGCATCGACAACAAGGGCAAGCACGTCCTCGACGATCGTGGCCTTATCAAATGGTGGTGTCGCGTGCTCGATCCCCTCCTCGGCCCGGCGCCTAAAACCACAGAAGCACCATGGAAGAGCGCAAAGGGTTACATCGTCGTTCCCGGTCTAGAAACAAACGAGACTCGAGCCCTTACACCGCGAAAAGCAGATTCTGCATGGGAGTTTACACATCCTCTAGAACGCATATCGCATTACTACCGTGAATTCGACTGGGTACCACCACGATGTCTGATCCCTCACTTTCCTGATGATCCAAAGTCCCGGTTCCGAGATGAATTAGATGAGGAAGCTGGAGGCTCGCAAGCGATGAAGAAACAGGCTAGTTGGAAGAGTGTCAAGACCTTGAGTATGTTCTGGGAGATGATGGCGTATCGACAAGAATGTTCGAGTGGTCGTATGACGGGCTTTATCTGGCTTGTCTTTGATGATCAAGAACCAGCCCCCAAGATCGATGACTCCCAATCAACAGCTCCGCCAGAAACACCAAAGAAGCAGCGTATCGTGCAAATAACACCGACAACAACGCCCAGAAAGCTTTTCCCCTCCAAAGATAAGAAAGATAAGAAAGACTCCAAGGTCAAGAAGAAGGCCAAAAAGACTCTGAAGGGCCCTATTATTGCTCGAAACCCTCGTGTCAAGCGAGCAAAGCACAACTATCTACTCGACCACCCCGCCAACACAAAGTATTACTCATGGACACCCCAAGGCCGTGGTGAAAAGATCGTCGACGAGGCAACATACAAGCGCATTGTAGAATTGTTACTTCATCTAGACTTTGCTACGCTCAACAAAGCAGTGGGTAGTACTCGCCGCTGGTTGAATGAGAGCGGAGGAGGTAGTAAATGGGGAACTATCGTTTCTGGTTCACGAGAGACACCAGTTGCCTCAGTATCAAATAGTGATGCTGGAGTGAACAACCTGACTGGTCTCGTCAAGCGAAAGCGCACTGATTCGACTATTGACGATAATCAGAGCAAGGTTAATGTCCTTAGTGCTGGTTTGGTCAAGAAGAAGCCAAAGGAGGAGTCCAAAGCCGAGGTCAATGTACTCCCAACCGGTCTTATCAGAAAGAAGTCCAAGGATTAAACTTTATATATAGTGTTTGGGTAATGGTGGGCATGTTGTTTGAGCCGGAGTTTTGAGTATATATATTTGGCTAATGTCAACGCAGTGCTTATTCATGGGTCTATGCTACCGATCATGCTCCCTGTGCTGTCCTTTCCCTTGTGATCAAACGCCTAAAAGCTCATTATATCCATTACTTCTTCAGAAATTGCAGATTGACAGGCGTGATAGCCTCTCCGCCGCTGAGTACAGCCATGATGTTTCGCATGCTCAACTCCTCAAACCCTTTGTGCGTATCAACAGTTCCACCAGCGTTATGGCATGTCAGAAGAACACGGCCCTCCTTTGCAAGTTCCATGAGGCCAGGGTGGATCTTTGGCTCGTTGGCATGAACGTCGAGAGCTGCACTGGATATAGTTCCATCCCGCAAAGCAGCGACCAGTGCGTCTTCATCCACAAGACTACCACGCGCAATGTTGACAAAGCGTGATCCTTGCTTGAAGAGTGGCAGTGTAGTTGCGTTGATGAGCGTACCATCACCTGCTGGCGTACACAGCACAACACAGTCGCATCGGCGTAGCAAACTCTCAAGAGTCTCATGATGTGTAGCTCGCAAAGGAGCAACAACTGAAGAAGGCTTTGGAAGGATATCGTAGTAGTGAATGTCCATACCGAAACCGTGATGAGCTCGAGCGGCGATTTGCTGACCAATGTTGCCAAACCCGATAAGCCCAAGAGCCTTGTTGCGGAGATTGTGTGATTGCATTGTGGCATCTCGATGGTTTGTGCTGAAGGCTTCCTCGTCTCCCGACATAGCGGAGGAGATACACCATGGTAGAACACGGAAAGTAGAGATGATGCCAGCCATAGCAAAGTCGGCGACAGCTTCAGCGGCTGCGAGACCAGAGTTGCAATAAATGATCCCTTCGCTGTTAGTCGTTATCACTAACTGCATCGATCCACTCACCTCGTTCACCCAAAAGCTTTGTATCAGCCCAGTCGAACCCGGCGCCTGCACTTGCAAACACTTTAACACTTTCTGGCAGAAGATCGATCAACTCAGCATCCCATTTTCCCATTTCGCCACCGGTTCCCCAGAAGGGCCGAAATATGGCATCGAATTCACCCCATCGCTTTTCTTTAAGAGCCTTGATAAACTCTGGTCGCTGACGTTCTTCAGTAGAAGGTCTCAAAATCTCACACTGGATACTGAAGCGGAGATAAGTCTCTGGGTTGTATTTGATAGGATCTCCGATATGTAGAACTCGGGGTTTCGAAGGGGGCATAGATAACTTGGGTGAGAGAAATGATCCAGACTGGGAGAACAAGGTCTGTTGAGGAGCAGGAGATGTAGCTCGGGGTGTAGAAGCCGGCACTGGTGTGTTGGCTGGTTCCGCCATCGTAAGGCTGATGATGTGTAGCAGAGATAAGCAGTGGTGGCTGGATGAGTAGAAATGAAATTCAGGTTGCCCAAACTGTTAGGCTCCTGCCTGCCTGATCAGCAATATGTTCAAGTGTAAGTGGAGCGATCGATAACGACTCAGCCGCACAATCACCTCCGCTCGCCTCATGCTTGGATCTACGTACCTGAGAGGTCCCAGAGTAGCATCAACAAGACCGGGCCCCGGCCCCCGGTTGATGCTTGTTTGACGGCAGATCCCTGTCAATTGCGGGATGAAGCCGGATCTGCCCCGGTCTATTTGCAATGCTGTGTGAAGCGCAGGTCACGCCAGAGTCAACAGGAAGTTAATTGTAGAATTAATAATAATTCACTATTGTATGCGTAGCTAACAATGTCTCTGTGATTAATAGGGTACAGGTAGTGACAGCAAGAGGAGCCGCGCATGGGCATAAGCCAGGATTCGCAAACCACCAGGTACTTCCATCATCCGGGGCCCCAAAGTACATTGATCCACCGGGACGCAAAACCGCGGGGGAAGCTGCATAAACATTTGGGGGCAAGGCGGTAGACCGGGGTCATATATCTTTCGTGATTGCAGTTTAACCAGCCGCCAAGAATTGTGGTGTGACTTGAGGCTAAGGTCTTACAACCAGCTTCCTTGAACCAGCAAGGAATCCTGTGAGTGTTTGAGAGAGTGGTCTGACTCTTTGACTGGAAATGCCGTTCGTCCAACCTCGACCTTTGTCGGAACTTTGTGTTTTTGTAAAACCTTTTCGACCCATCGAATAACTGACTTGTCATCACCGTGCAGACTGAGAACTGAGACACAAAGCGGGAGGTATTCATGCGTCTTGGTGACGTGGGATTCGTAAGGTATCTGCGCGACTGCCGCAAAATCGTCAATACTCGTTCCACGTATCGTATCAAGACAACTCACCTGGAAACGATAATACGGTTGCCCCCAACACTGGCGCTAATGTTGAAGAAGTGATGTTCCAGTCAAAGGAAGGCGCTTCGTAAAAAAGGTCATGTCGATATTTGACATGGTTGTCGCCGCATGGTAGGACCACAATGGAGTTCTCGTTGGCATTAGGAGCAGTCGAAATGCTCATGACTTTGTCATGAAACCACTCCCGGTATATCTCGAGTCGTTTTTCATCCTCGTGGTGTTCTTCCTCCGTTCTGTCTCCGCATGTGTCCCTGTTCATGTCAGTAATCACCGATGCAGTGGCCTATAAACTCACAAGATATTTTTCACAGTATTCTCAACAAAGGGCTCCTTGTGAAACTTTTGTCGATACTCGGTTCTGAACTCATCAAGACGACCGGTGTATTCGTAACACCATGACCGGAACGGTGCCTTAGCTGTCAGTGATGTCTTTCTTGGTGAGGTTCGACTTACGTTGCTCATGTATTCCTGCATAGTCTCTGTTGGCGCTTCGACCGGAGGGTCCTTATCCCAGACATCACTTATTTCAATATATTCGACTTTGGTGCCTGAAAGCTCTTCCAAGGTTAAAGCAAACCCAACCATAGCTATCTTTTGGTACTGATCGGCCATCAACAAGTCCGTGGGGATAATTATCCTCGAAGGGGGTTTGTCTTTATCTGCTTCGGTCTCTTGACTTGGTGCGAAATCAAGCAATCCTTTCAGGCTTCGGGAAAAGAATCTCGCTCCGTCATACCTAGAGTTGTGAGTATATTTCATCAACCAATGGCAATACGTACTTGGAGAGCGTCGCGATACCAAATGGCGGTAAGCTTGTAGTGTGAACTAAAGAGTAAATGCCGTTTTCCGTTGGGATTGTGTCATCTGAAGGCGTTAGTTATGCACTCCGTCGAGATGTTAGAGACCATGGCTTACCATCAACTCCGACACTGTGGTCCAACCATTCGTATCCGATTATAGCTGAAGCAGCACCAACAGAGGCACCTTGTATTCGTTGGTATCCGTCACCTCGTGAACTCCACGGAGCCTGTTCATCGACCCATTCTGCGCCCGTCCCGAACTGTGTTGTCTTGGTCTTTCCCACAATGATCGCTCCTTGGTCCACCAACTTCTGAGCAGTGAGGATTGTCTTGTCTGCGGGATCTTTGTAGAGAGATTTCCATGCACGACTGGAAAATGTAGTATGAGTACCCTTCAACGATATTGTGTCGCTCAAAGAGACACGAACACCAGACAATGGCTTCCGGAGCGACGGCTTAGGGTAGTAAAGTCGAGAAGGAACAGGAACTGTCACAGAATCTCCTCTCACGGAAGAAGAAGTAACGGGTTGATATCTGAAATAGTTAGCTGGATGAAAAGTATACAGGAGGTAACCTACTCTTTTGGTTGATCAACATCATCAGGGATAATGCCAACAGTGAAGGCTCCATATTCATCGTCATACAGTCTCCAGGCCTGATGAAGGTTTGGGCCATGGAGAAAGTAAGGACCAGATGGTAGCTCGGAAAGGCCCTCCAGGGTATTAATGAGGTCCATATGGTAGGTCAGTCGCGCGTCGGTCAGAACATTGTTAGTGTCGTTTCCAGTCTTTTCAACCAGAATAGACCCAAATTCTGGATTAAACACATCATCAACAGTGTCGAAGAGGCGCAGTACACCCTCAAGATCACCAAAGATTTCCTCCGTGGTTAGAAGCGTGACTGGAATAAGAGCATCCGGTTTGATGGTTTCTTGGATCGTACCCTAGACGCGTCAGATCGTGGATGACACTTGGAGCAATGATGTATTTACCAGTTTCACGGGATGAAGAAGATACTGAGATCCCGCAACGAAGCAGGTCGTGATAGGCAACATCGCGAGTGTGTCTGCTGACGAGGGCCCTTGAATGCTGGAGTATGGATGCTAGATTGACTCTTGCATTGTTGACCGCAGATCATGAATGCTCAGCAAGTGGGTTTCGTATTGAATCTGGTAGAATTATGATGATTCGTTTAATATCTATGAAGCGGTAGGGGTTGTTGATGGATCAGAGTGAAGCAGGTGTCCGAGGCAAGCTGAGACATGCCTTGTACACGGGAGCCGATGGCAAGTATACCAGACAAGGCAGGCACAGGCACCACTGATTCACTGCTGGTCGGACCCCAACAGCTACCTACATTTTCCCAATAGAGATGCATACCAGCTTTTTATCGGCAATCTATTATTCACTCTCATTTCGATTATATTAAATAACGTTGTATCGGTATATAATAACTCTAATGCATCCCATTGTACTTTAGCTTTAAGCTCTTACGTCAATCTCGGTGAGCTCGGTCAAGCCTCGGTCAGCTTATCTCTGTGGGGTATCAAAATTTCCATCCCCCACCAAGCCGAAAGTTGCAGATTCAACATCAAATTTCCAAATCAGATAAACCGTCAAAATGGCCAAAAAGAAGGGTACGTTTTGTCCATAATTCCTTTTACCTCAAATCTAACACGCGCAGCACCTTCAATCCACTCCCGCGCCGCTCGTCGCGCAACAGACATCGATATCGACACCGACAAGTCTTTAAAAGAAGTCAAGCCTCCTCCTCGCGATGCCCCCCATCGTCCCTCCGTTCTAGCAGCACACGCTTCGGCCGGTGTCACAAAGAAGGCCAAGCGCGGTCGCAAGGATAAGATGTCCGCCAAGGCTCGTGCGCGACATGAGAAGGGTCTCGAGATGGCTGCTGCTGTGGCCGAACGCACGCAGAACAAGATTGAGAAGAGTAAAGGTCGGGGAAGAAATGTTCAGCAGCGCGCTAAGAACTGGGAGGATATCAACAAGGCTGCTGAAGAGGCCGAGAATGCCCAGGAGAGCGGTGACGAGGAGGTGAAGCAGAACGAGCGAGGTTTCGAAATGGATGAGGAGATGAACGGTGCGGACGAGTCGACTTTGACAGCACCTACAGACAACAGTGTTCCTGCTACGGCTCCTCAAGCGGACGAGGATGGTGATGAGATCTTGTAAGGGACCACTTGCATAACCGGGACTGGGTCGGAGTTTGGTGTCTAAAATTCGGTTTCTCGATTTATGTCCGGGATACGACAGCCGGTCTGATGAATGATTTTTTTTTTACAATTCGGCTATAGACTTGCCGTCTGGTAGATACCCAGATAGATGCTATTGATACATGTTGGAACATTTGTGCTTTATGCTTCCTTTTCTGCGCTAGTCTCCTCTGCCTCTGCTTCTGCCTCCGGTGCAGGGGCTGGTTTTTCCTTAGCAGCCTCTGCTAGCTTCTCGGTATTCAAGTTCTTGGAAATACCTTCAAGGTAAAACCTAAAAGTACGGCCGATCTCACCTTCTCTCGGCTTATACTCTTTTGATCCAAGATCCTTGACGAGCTTTTGCACCTTGGCAAACACCTCTTCCGCTGTATCCTCAGAGGTTCTCTTCTTCTGGCCCTTCTTCTTGAATCCTAGGATAACTTCCACCTTCATACCCTTGCTGAGGAAATTCACCAACTGCTTGGTCTTGACCTTGAGATCGTTGTCGCTAATTGCCCAGCTCAGTTCAATCTCCTTCATCTTCGTTGACGTCTGCTTCGACACACGGCGACGCTCATGAAGCTCACGCTGTCTCTCATATTCTTCTCTCTTATTGACAACCTTGCATAGTGCATACTGAGTCGGCTTGTTGTTTTTGGGATCGCCGGGGATGTAGGGAGTAACCATGCGGAGGGAATGGGTACTTTGATCGATGCGGTTCATCACGTTTCGTGTAGGAAGAGGTCCGTCGAAGACACCATCGTCGACCACCATGATCTTGGGGTCCTTGATCTCATGGTCTATAGGAAGACGATCGCGGCCGGATTTGATGAAATCGTCCTGGGTAGTGTAGCGTCGATCAAAACCTCGATTTTCTTCTTCGTTGGCTTCCGTCTCGAGATCATCCAGGACACCTTTTCCTCGACGAACTTTCCCCTTGAATTGTACTGGCGACGCAGAGAATAGGCGATTCTGGTAGACGGGTAGTGTTCGTTGTGTGGTTGGTAGAAACTGTCGTGTGAGAGCTTCGCGCTCAATAAAGACTCGGTAGAGAGCCCGTCGGGAACTTTGAAGACAGGCGAAGCTGCTCATATTGGCGGCAGTACCTATTGGTATAGGTTTAGAATCGTCAAGGAGTGTGAATCGCCGGCAATGGCTTCAATGTTGAGTTTGTCAACTAACTGATCTTGTCCCTCTCTAACAGCTACGATTGGAGGTAGTGGGCGGTTGCTTTTGGCAGAAACGTCACTACGGGGCCCTGCAAGAGCTGTAGCCAATCAGATATGGAAGTCATCCGACACTCTGAATGAATCTCAACACCAAGTAGCTGTCTATCCATGTGTATGAATGGCTTCGCTATAACATCCGCATCCACAATCTGCCTCATGGGCATCCCATGATGGCTTCTTTTCACTTCGCCCGCCATCCAATACGGACGACCGTGTCCTTTGTCAAAGCGGCATGCCTTGTCCATCTTGGCATCACATACGGCTATACCGTCAGTCCCGCTCAAGGTCCATCTATGTTACCGACTTTTACAGTAGACGGTGATTGGATCTTATGTGATCACACTCGCCGCTACGGTCGCGGCGTTTCAGTAGGCGATTTGGTGGTCTACCGCATTCCCATCTTCAACAATCAGTGGGGAGTAAAGCGGGTGACTGGTATGCCAGGGGACTATGTCTCTGTTGGAACACCAGGTGAACCGGGAGAAGAATTAATGATTCAGGTATTTATCTCCATATGCGATCTCACAACATACTAACTTGCCAGATTCCTGAAGGTCATTGTTGGATTTCAGGAGACAATCTTCCGGCGTCGAGAGACTCACGACACTTTGGACCCCTACCGCTAGCTCTCATCACTGGTACCACCATCGCCAAAATATTACCTTGGAATGAGCGTCAGTGGATGAAAAACGGGGTAGAAAAGGTCGAAGAGCTGGACTAATCACAAGCTCGGTTTAAATGTAATGTCATCTCTTATCTGGGTATAGAAACTTATGACTACTCTAATTACATCTGCTCTTGCCCAAATTTAATGCCCCAGTAAGTGATCTAGCGGATGTCCGCGCATAAACTTCATCAAACAAAATGAGAATGCCCGTCCTCTTCATGACGGCGCATCCCAGGTCCACTCTCGTACACCATGCGTCAAACACCATAATCACTGAGTGAAGAAACAAACAATTGTTAAACAAGCCCTCTGGAGGGGCAATGCAAGTCGTGTAAAGAAACAATCCGCCGCCGTAAAACCAAATATCATTCTGAATCACGTAAAAAGACGCCCTACGCCGTTATCACCACCCCATAACGCTTTCGCTTTTGAGTTGAAAATGAGTACCCATCACCTCGTGTCGTATAAAGTTAGCCCTCGATATGAGCCTTAGACATGCTCTGTCCCAGGAGCTCGAGGCAACGTTGGGCAAGGTTAACAACTTCGCCCTCGTCCTCGTCCTCGAATTCGTTGTCAGGTTCGATTTGACGGTTTGCGATGCTTCGAATATGCTCGATGATGTCCTCGGCCTTTCCGATAAGTCCAATCAGAGTCTTATCCTCAGACTCAAAGAGCTGCAGGAGCGTCCAGACAGCGATGTGCTGGAATGTCGCGTCACCAGACTGAAGGAAGCGGCAGAGGTATCCGTGAATTCCACCTTGGGGCTCCATCCAGTTTTGCACAAAGATAGAGTAGTCGCCGACTGTTTCTGTTAGCTTGTGTCTGGAACATGGTTGATTTGACTTACCCTTGGAGGAAAGGTTGCCAAGAGCAGCAGCACTGTTGCCTTGGACTTCGATGCTTGGGGAGTGAGTAAGAGGAATCAAGACACCGCAGACTCCAAGGTTGAGGAGGTGTGACTTGAGGTCGTCACTGAGAGCCAGAACCGCAATAGCGGCGGTCATTTCGGACTGAACAGTAATGGGGACGTCGAGAACCAGTTGTTTGCACTTTTGCACCGCGCCAGCATCCAGAACAAGGGCCTTGTTGCGATCGGAACTGGCTGCAAGGTTTCGGAGTGTTGAAATGGCGTGGCACTGGATTTCTTCGTTATCAGTGGATCCGAGCAGGTCGACAAGAGGCTTGAGGAAGTTGGTCTCGATAATAGGTGATTCGTTCAGAGGGTGAATAGAGATATTTCGTATACAGGCGACAGCAGAGAGAATAAGCGGCAGGTAAGAGGACTGAAGAAGTCGGAGAAGAGGGTGCAGTCCATTTGCACGGACGATATCGAGCTGGTACTTTTCGTCTGAAGCGAGGTTACGGAGGGCAAGAGCGGCTTGACATTGAACCTTGGGTGAAGTCGAGTCCATAAGGTTAACCAGAGACTGAACCAGCTTAGGCTCACTTTGAGCCAGCTTTCGTCGGTTGCTTGCATCGACCGCAATGTTGCTGAGAGCTGTAGTGCAATAGTACTGAACGTCGACATCGGGAGAAGAAAGAAGCTGGACAAGTACGGGAATGGCTCCAGCATTTACAAGCTGCTGTCGGTTCTCATCTACGCTTGTTAGCGCTGGCTTTTTATCAGGACCTTGCGACATACCAGAATGTGTCATATTCAACAGAGCGCCCGTAGCATTTCGCTGAACTCGCATATCTCGAGACTTGGCAAGTCTTGTCAGAGGGCCCAGGGCTCCGGAGCGGGCAATCTTTGCCTTGTTCTCTTCATGTGTCGCTAGGTTGGTGATACATCCCACAGCATTGCACTGGACCTCGACATTGGGAGACATCATTTGGCGGATCAAAGGTGTTAAACCACCAAGTTGCACAATCAGTACCTTGTTCTCGGCTATAGACTGTCAGTTGCTGCATACTATAAATCTTAAGGGAACGTACTGTCGACAGCCAGGTTGCCAAGTGCAGCACTAGCCGCTCGTTGAACCTCAATATCTGGGCTCTGGAGAAGGAATAGGATAGGCTCGAGGGTGTCACGGTCAACTTCTCGGACATCTTTAAACGTTAGTAAGCCCAGTCTTATGCTTCTCTATGGAAGACATACCTCGTTCAGTAATCTCAGCAAAAGTCAGACTAGCACTTCGTTGAAGATCGATGTTTTCCGAGAAGACCAAAGTGCTCAAAGCACGTAGAGGTTCGCCAGAGAAGAAGTCGGTTTCGCCGCGCTACATCAAGTCAGCAACATTCCTGGCAAGTATCAAAGGTTATGTACGTTTTCGAGGTATTGCAGAAGGTCGGCTACAGCCTCTCGTTCGCTATCGGCAAGGACGGGCTCGTACAAGCCATCGCGGGCTCGTCCTACAATCAGTCAGATCCAGCTCTATGATCGAATATGACAATATGCATACCTCCGCAGCAAGTAGAGCTGCAGATACCCATGGCCGCAACAAAGACGAAGCGATGAAAAGTATAAGTCGTTTGCCGACAAAGGTAATGTAGAAATGGCTCGACACTCGAGGTTTGATGGAGAGTCGGTCAAGGTTCGGTTATTGACGAAGCTACAGTCCGCTTGTCGGTAATGCGTCAAGACAGCAGGGATCTTGATAAAATCGAAATATAATTATCGCGGACTCGGTTGGTTGATGAAGCAAGGACAAAAACAAGATTCGAGCCGTGCGACAGACGAAATGAAGGACGGCAGAGGCACCAACACCAATTATCGACACGACGATAGTGTCAAAAGCGCGGGACGGTGAAGGGAAATATAGTTGGCGGATGAATTGGAGGTGAGAGATGAATCCGAGGGGGAGTTGATCCTGGCCTCACAAGTGGTTGGCGAGGGAAAGAATGGGGATTGAGGATGGATGGACGGTGGACGCGCGCCAGAAAGAAGCAAGGCGCCGCAGCTCGGGTAGGACCTTCTACAGCTTAAGCCAAGCTGCCTGAGGTAGGTAGGCCTGAGCTAAAGGAAAGAACGGGATGAACTGACAGAAAGACTTGAGAGGTACTTTGAGATGCGCCAATATTATATGTGTCAAAAGGTAACTGCAAGGGTTATCTGGGTTTCTTCCATTAGGTGACCTCATTTAGTTTGGAGTCATCCGCCACAAGCAGGGTCCGCCAGGGACAGTTGGGCGGCATATAGCGTCAGAATAACTATATGCCAAGAGCTTAGCAGATGAAATTACTCGATCGCTTTATGCGCTTTCAGAGCGGAGTCCTGACGCCTTTATTCTAACGCTTTAATGCTTGAGCAACAGTTTTTCTGTTACCCTTTTGGGCGGATACGTGCGCTGTTGTTTTGATGCTCTAGCGCATCCTCGACAGCTGTTACAGTGGACCACCTCTAATGAACCCAGCTGCTGTGGAGTTTAAGAGAAGCTCGGGCCAATGCTGAATTGTCTTTATCCATTCATTTCTATCTATCAGGCGCCTCATTCTTGAACGGTGAACCATAGTTACGAACCTAATGGAGATAAGTTGATGCAAACTAGATGTTGTCGTGTGGACATGCATAAACATCAAACTCTTCACCACCATTATGCTTTACGAGTGTGTTTGAGCGGTCTTGAACTCTAGTTGGTTTATGCGTAATGTGACGGCATCCATTGGGTTGACATCCATCCGCCATACTTGTACGCAGTTGCATGTGAAAAGCCCATATTTGATCAAGTTCATCGATAGCGACCAGTTTAGGATATGAATCCCGATAGTCATGTCGTACAGCGGAATATTTCACAAACAATGTCTATGCTTGTCTGACTTGATACCGAAGACTTCATGCAGATCCACCTCGTGTGAGTTGGCAATGACCAAGTCACCATTTCTGCTCCAAGTATTTATTGCTCTTACCGATCTAACAGTGAAGGTGTCCCCAGGGTGTCATAAGAATTGGCCGCTGAGAGCATAAGAGACGAAATAATTTGATCACCTTATGCTAGCTTAGCCTAGCATTTAGGCTACTTTATTTCAGTAGCCTAAGTCTTGGAGGTTATTTCTTCTGACACCCACCTGGGTGTCTAGTCAGGCAACCTCATCCATTCGGCTTCATATCCGTTTATGGAGTTGTTTCGTTAGGGTCTGGTCTGCAGGATGTGCAGTGTGCGAACTACCCTGCATCAAATGTTGATCTCTAACTTTTCCTGTATGAGACACGTCCAAGACATGGTACTGTCCATTGCTGAGTTCACCGGTCATTTATTATTTATTCTTGCTTTTGACTCAAACGATTTACGTTTCTGCTCCACTGAGATCAAGCTGATCAAGTCTGAGCTTTCAAGCATTGATATTCGCAAGGATCAAGAGTTATCTGGTGCATCGATCACAGAAAACCAAAGTGGACTCTATCACCGGAGTACTTTATCCTGGACCCTTGAAATAATTGTCTGTCTCAGTACTCTATACAAACCACGAGGACGTGGCTACGAGGCTGGAATGAAGCCTGAGATATGCAACCTACTGATATTGGTCACCATGCGACAAGTTGGAATAAATGGTATCGATAATCACCAAAGGTAAAGATTGGATTGTGATTCATCCCTCCATACCCTGTCTCACCAAAAATCCCTGGACATAGACACATGTGGCCAACAAAAGGGTTGCGGGATTTTGAATACTGTAGACCACCGTGGTGAGGCAGTCGAAATGATACTCAGATCATCACAAGAATATGAATAGTCACATCTGCGACGAGAGATGAGAATTCATTGTAACGGTCACTGACTTTAACCAATCCTGAGCTACGGAGATCAATCATCAACTGTAACTGAGTGCACTGTAAAACGGTTTGATCATGCCAAGACGCGAAGCTCATCGTCGATCCGCCATGACGCTGTTGCTCGCTCGTACTCCGCCTGTGTAGTGTCAAGGGTCCATCCAGATCCAATGTTGGTAGAGGTATGGAGTACGTTACTGTACTGTAGCGTCCGCTGTACAGTACAGTAACAATTAATGGTGAACTTTTGTTGGGCAAACTGTATTGTAGGTGGTTCTCTTATCATTTATTACAACCGAAGCAGTGGAGGTTGGTTTGGTCAACGGCCGACCGATTGCGGGAGGTGACGATTCAATACTGTTTTTCCCTCTTACAATTCGACTACCTAACCAAACAAACTTGCGTCTTTATCTTTATTGATATGGAACCATCATCGAATCTGTCGAATCATCACTATTGACCATTTTTCAGGGCTTGTTGTCGCTCGAATTCAATTTCTGCCTGCCTTTTGCCATCACACGTTTTTTTAAAAGTCAGTGATGCGCCATAGCTTACTGCTCGTCTGCCTCTCTTCTGGGTCTTGACAAGTACGCACCATTCATCATCTGCTATTTCCCGACTTGACGAACCATTAAAATATTCGAGACGTAACCGATCCTCTGCATCAGTTTGTGCAACATCAAGATATAAGGCTGGTTGGAATGGAGGGAAATCCTGAACCCGACGTACGAGGGGAGCAGCCCCTCGAAAGTGAAGAAGCAAAGGCGCCAGCAGATATCGATATTCCAAGCGAACCTCAAGGAACCCAAGGCCATACGGAAACAGAAACCCAAGTTGCTGATCCGGCAAAAGAACATGTCAAAGAATGGATTGAATCACAGAGCGAAACTCAACCACAACAGCCTCCGCCTGAACCTTCAACTGGTGATGCAAAAGGTGACGATGCTGCAGGCGATATGCCCCGCGACGATACTGATGCCCCGAATCCAGTACCTGACATGACTGGTACAGCAGCCGAAAACGCTTCGACCACCACCTCAGCACCACCTCAAGGCACAGACGCCACCGAAGTTCAAGCTGATGCTGGTACTGGACCTGGACCTGGAGTCGTGACAGGACCGGCTTTGATAACTCCACGCAGGCGGGCTGCATCAACCTCCACTGGCCCCTCGCCCTCCACTTCAGCCGCCGGTCATGGCCCCGTCCCTCATTTTGTCGCTCCGTCATCCTACCTTCGACGCAGGACTTCAATCCGGAGCCCAATGGCGCCCACCGAGCCGAAACCTTTGAGTCCGCTGGACAAAGATCAGTTGCAGGGTTTGGTATGTATTAATCTATTTGTCTCCGTTTCCGGCTGCTTGTCTCATCGCATCCCTCTGCCCGTACTCCCCAACGTGGGGCATGCGCGCACCCGAAGCCTGAAGATATCTTGATGGAAGCTAACCTTTTGCCAGAATGCTATTCGCGATTTCCTCAAAGTTCGCACCAGCTACGATGTTCTACCGCTATCGTTCCGACTTATTGTCCTCGACAACGAACTCCTGATTAAAAAAGCCATCAACATCCTAACACAGAACTGTGCGTCACCCGATACCTGTAGAATTGACTGATGCTAAACCTTGCCACAGCAATCGTATCAGCACCTCTATGGAATTCCAAAACCTCCAGATTCGCCGGCATTCTTACGAGCACCGATTTTATCAATGTGATCCAGTACTATTGCCAGTTTCCTGACGAGTTCCATAAACTCGACTCATTCAGACTCAGCAGTTTAAGAGGTTGGTCGGTCCTTTATCGGCGCGCTCATCGCTAACAATGCCAGACATCGAGAAAGCGATCGGCGCAATACCCATCGAGACGGTTTCGGTCCACCCTTCGAAGCCACTCTACGAGGCTTGCCGACGCATGCTCAAGACCCGCGCGCGACGAATCCCACTCGTAGATGTCGATAGCGAGACCAACAGGGAGATGGTCGTTTCGGTCATCACTCAATACCGTATCCTCAAGTTTATCGCTGTTAACAACGAACATAACACGGTGCTTCTGAAAAAGACCGTTCGGGACATTGGTCTAGGTACATACTCCGGTATCGCTACGGCTAAGATGAACAGTTCTGTCCTTGACGTCGTTCACCTCATGGTTAAGCACAACATCAGCTGTGTCCCGATTATCGATTCGCATGGTCGAGTGCTGAACGTGTTCGAAGCGGTCGATGTCATCCCCTGTATCAAAGGAGGTGCTTACGAGGATTTGGATGGTTCTGTTGGGGAGGCGCTTTGCAAGAGATCTGACGAGAGTCCTGGCATTTACACTTGCAGCGAAGGCGATCGCTTGGATTCCATCTTTGACACTGTCCGAAAGAGCAGAGTTCATCGTCTGATAGTGGTTGACGATGACAATAAGCTCAAGGGCATCATCTCCCTCTCAGACATTCTCAAATACGTTCTGTTGTACGGAGTGGAGGACACAAGCAACTGGGCTTGATGAGGTGGACTGCCACCATGATGAGGGTTATAATGATTGCATGCCGTCTACGAATATGGAGCCGAGAGACAGGCGCCGGATAGGGAGGCAAGCATATAAACTGGCGCAAGGGGAATTTCCGTGGAAAGAATAACATAACAATGTGTTTGTTACATACTACAGTACATCTTTCGCTATAGACCGTTGGTAAGGCATGATGCAGCTTGTCTCAGAGGACATGACTTCTTTGGACGTCCAGTGTCACAGTGATGGACGCCTTTTTCGGCTTCGGGAACCGGGTGGCTGCCAATATTTGGGTGGGATTGGTCAGGTCTCAAATTGACAGACACGATGGATGACAGTCAAACTTGATGCTGTTGCTTGCTGCACTCTGACGACATTGGTGCTATCCACGTTATCATGATCTATTTTAGTATTTGATCTCCATATCCTACCTGAGTTTGTTCTGCAAGTTATTCACAATCAATATTTTTGTTAACCAACTTGTGTTGTATCTTGCTTTCTATTTATTGTTACTTTGTGCCTCGTCACCTGTCAGTGGCAGATTGTGCGACTTGTACTCCATCACTTTGTCTTGTCTTGTGGCTCCAATCCATCGTCAAATGTCTTTTCGCTACTGCCACTTGCAATCACTGCCACTGCAATCACTGTCATAACTGCCACTCGCATCGCTTCAGTCACCAGCGCCTTCCATTTCCACCTTCCTTCTCGCCTTCATTGCTGGCACTTCCTTCCTCTATTCGCAATGAAGTTGCCATTGTTTCAATACCCACGACGCTTCTGTGATACGTGAAGATTTACCTCAGCAACATCATCACTTGCGATTTCTTGCGACGATTTCTATCGACGAATGGATACTGCTAGAGTTCAGCATTTACACACACACATCCACTATTTCGAAGAGGCTTTTTGTCGATGGATCACTTTTATCACCCACAAGCTCTGGGTCATTACTCTATGCCCGCGGCCGTTCATCATACCGCACCGTCCCATAGCAGCTTGTCTTTGCAGGCTACGATACGGCATATAACAGACCAGGGACCTGTACATACCAGCAAAACTTGGACGAACAGTAGCGGCGATCACAACATTCTTAACGATACCGATGAATTGGATGATCGGGTGGGCTTTGTCCAGGAATACAACCGCTTGGCAAAGAAGGTGAGGTCGCTTTGCAAAGGCTTGTAGCCAAACTAATGATTTTAGAATGGAGTGAGGATATTGGTGATTGATGACTTTGGCTTTCGAGTAAGTGCCTTCCTTTCTTCACAGGACAATGCCTCATACAACAGACCAAGGGACTCGACAGTCCTCGCAAGCAAGGATGGATTTATCGTATATTGCGCTCCTCTTCCAACCAAAATGGTACCGACACCACAACACCGCCAGTTCAGGGACCTCGTCACAAGCGCAGCGTATCGGACCTCGCCCATAATTTAGTACACCGACGAGAAACCCCAAAGATGATCGATCTCCAATCCATGATACGAATAAGCGGCAAGAGCATGTTCTATCTCCCCGCCGAACATGCACCGTCTGCCCTTGTACTTCCAACTTGTTTACGAGCTACTGCACATCACCTCGCTCAGCATGTCACCACTCGAGGGATATTCCGTATTCCGGGATCCATCAGGGTAGTCAATACGCTCTTCGATTATTATTGCTGCACAGAGCACGGCCAAGTCGACATTACAAGTACTACAGTTCGGTGCGCAAACTTGCCGATGCACGTTCAGGCTTCTGTGCATGATGTCGCTTCAACGTTCAAACGTCTCCTATCGGTCATTCCTGGTGGAATACTTGGATCTTTGTCTCTCTTCGACGCCTTTGTTGCTATTCATTCACAACTTCAAGGTCACCCTGAGTTTCCTCGTACCAAACATACTAAGGTCCGGGCTCGGCTTATTGCTTTAGCCATCGGAACTGTCGAGTCGCAGTTCCGAAGAGAATTAATTTGCGCCGTATTTGGGCTGCTTAGTCTTATTGGAAGAGTGGCGGAAATATCACCAAGAGAAGACGCCGATGGAAGGACGCTACCGACTGGTGATTTGATGGGCTACAACGCACTTGGTATAGTATTTGGACCTCTGCTCTTGGGTGACCTGCTTGGTTTATACTCCATGAAGCTAGCCACTCCAAAGACAGGGTTGCTGGTGCTCCCATTGAGATCTCCAAAGTCGCGACAGGATCGACGTATACGGAAGACACTTGAGAACGAGCTCCCGAGTCCTCCCACGATGGACAAGATTCTCGTCGCTAACACCATCGCAGAGATGCTCATAGCCAATTGGAGAGATGTAGTCCGACAGATGAAGTCTCTCGGTATCAATCGACATGAGCCACGTCCAACCAGTCCGAGAAGTGATGACCAGGAGAACAATTTCGTCATCAGGAAGCCATTAGGTTGGGACCAAGAATGGCGTGGCCGGGGAGATGAGAACAACAGAGAGATGAGCCCGGAACCACCTACGCCGACTCTGGGAATGCCGAAACAACGTTCGGGGAATCGAAGCTCAGCATCCAGGAAGCTCGGGACAAGGCCCAGCATAGGATATTTGAGCCCAACCGTGGAAGAAGCTCTGTCCCACGAGGAGGTCCTCCAAGCTACCCAAAGTCACAAGAGAGATAGCGCTATAAGTGGAAGGAGCGTCCAAACAACAGGAGACGAGGAAATGCAACAGGGGCGCGACCGATCAAGGTTTGAGACAGCACAACAAAACGATTCGCCAGATCACATCGTTCCAACACCTACCCCTATTATAAGAACCAAGCGGGTCATGTACCGTGACAGCCCACAGGTTTCTGAAGAAGATGTTCCACCTCGTACATCATCCAAACGGTCAACCCCTTTACACCGGATCAGCGTCGAAGAGAAGGGAAGTCAGGACAGGTCAAGGCTATCAGCTACCAATGATCCCAAGTCAATCGAGCGAAAGGGTGCGATTAGAAAGAAACACACCGAAAAGGGAAAACTGCAAAAAACACCCCGGCATTCTATTGCGGTAGAGTGGCCGGAGTCTGCTACCAGATCAGACATCTCTACGGGTCAACGGAGTTCGCAAACGACACAGCTAGAATTTCCCTCTGAGAAGGAAGCATTAGACGCCGCACTGAAAGCACATTTCGATGAGCTCAGAGAGTTGGATTCTGCAGAACAGAACAAACATTCACCGCTCGATGCCAATGATAAACAAAAGTTACAGATGGCCACCATTGGCCTGGAATCTAGCATTGCCCATTACCCAATGAGTGGGCCAGACATCAACGAATATACAATCAGTGGGAGCGATAAGAAAGCCTCAGTTTATGATGCTTCAACAGCTAATTCTGCTTCAACTACACCGAGACAATTCTATGCGCCGATGCGGGTGCCATCAACGATTGCGGGAGAGAATATTTGGAAGAGATCACAGTCCCCTGAAAGCCATGTAGCGACATAGCAAGTCTCTTCTGGTGTTTCAGGAGGATTGCCTGGAGCTGAGCAAGAGAACGAAGATCAAGATGGCAGAAGCCTGCAACATCCAACACCTCGAACTTCTGCGCGGCGGTCTTCAAGTCGGGTTGTATCCTTGCCAGCCGAAACGCCCAACACTGAATCTTCACATGGTGAATCAACGCCTTGGTTCTCGATACCTGGAAGAAACTCGATGTCTTTAAAGCGGCCAAGTCTATCGACAGAACACCGTCGAGGAGTGAAAGCCATGGCTGCCAAATTCGAGGGTGGTGATACGGGCGAGGTGTCTCCGACCCTGCCACAAAGTCCCAGCAAAACTCATGCTCTCATTTCACAGTTCGAACAAGAGTCGCCACCTAAGACTGCACAATCTACGAGATCAGTTTCAACAGGACGACGCACACGACAAGACTCATTACAAAGTCAGAATGCAACATCTCGCAATCCATCAGCAGCAAACATTGGCGACCAATTTAATGAACAAGATTTACGAGTTTCGATCGGGGAAGCAGCAGCAATGAAAGCAGTTGAGCTTCAAAAAGCAGACAGAGAACGAAAGCTTTCCAAGACCTATCCCCAGCCATTGACTCTACGACAAACTATGCCGCGAAGGAAGCCAGTTCCGGAAAAGGAGGAAGAAGCATCATTGAAGGACCCTGGCAGTCTAGGAACAATGATGCCTAATCCAGAGCAACCCCCTATTGCTCATCATCTCAATTTTATGCGTCCATCTTCTTCCACATCCAATACTCAGCAGGGAGATAATCTGACCATCCCTCCTGGCGGCCCAACCCCTATTCAGAGACCCGGAAGCACAACTACTCTCCATACACAAATTCGAAATCTCCAGCGACAACTAGACCTCAAGACGGAGGAAGCAGTGCAGTTAAGGAGGCAACTGGAGGTACAAGAAGATGCAGATGTAGGCACATTGAGTCAACAACTACGAGAAGCCAAGCGCGAGGCACAGATGTGGAAAGAGAGAGCTGAAAGCGCAGAGCGGAGGATCAAAGTGTTTGAACGATTTACAGCACGACTCAAAGGGATACAAACGGCGGGAGATACTGCACAGGATGTCCAAGACGCAACTGGCCCAGATTGTCACGACTTGGATATGGAAAAGGGGCAAAACGAAGCGTGCCTGGAGAATGTTGCTGGATATGAAAGCGACAGCTCAGAAGACGCTAGGATTGTTTCAGCCAGAATCCAGAATTGTCTTGACGGCTTGACCGATGGTCCTCAAGACACTTCCTCGCTCAGCAGTCAGACCCCGAACCCGAGTTTAAACGAGATACCGGAACGAGTTATTAGCCCGAGCGAGGAGGAGATCTGGATGGCGGCGCAGGACTTGCTAAAGCTCAATCAAACCCTGGGGCAAATTGATAGAGGTGGAAGTGCGAGTTAGTTCAGGTTCATTCTCAACCTCGTGGCGAAGAAATTTGTTCTTGGTCAAGAGGCAGTGCAATAAGGGTCTAGAATTGTTGAAGACAAGACCCTGGTGGCAAAGAGCGGATGCTGTACCTTTTTTGATTACCAACAAGTTTAGAACATCATCTCAATACGTGGCAAGGGTGTCTGTATCAAAATATGAACGGAGTTCTTCCAAGAAAGGGGATTGGGTAAACTGTTTTATTTTTTCTGATAATCGTAAAGGCCGCGTTGCAAGGCTTGTCAAGGGTCTGTCGATAGATCCCATTCGAGAGGAGCTTTTCATCCGATGCATGTGAGTCGATCACCTGAGAGATGTTCGATGCCTAGAACGTTGTGCCTTTGCAGATCAGCAGTATGGGATTTTTGAAATCTCGATCCCGATTTCGTATGCCTTTTTTAAAGGAACACTGTACTGTACATTGAACTTTTCGATGCCCATTTGCCAAAAAATCGTAGGACCCTTAATTCTGTACCGGCACGCCAAAATGTGATTGGGTTTGAGTGTCGATCCCGCAACTAGCCCCAACTTTATTCCTTGTCGGGTACGTCCTGACATCAAGTAGCCAGGGGCAGAAATGACGGATGTGGTTTGTAGGATACCCCCCCAAAAAAACTGTACTTGTCGCAAGTGCCGAGGAAATATGAATCATGAACTGAGAACTTGCTGAGAACGTGCTACGGTCTCTCGTCAGCGGCTCTTTTGATTCGCCACCTGCCTGCATCATCCCGGCCCATTGAGACATGAATGCGACCAATTCCATCCAGGATAGAGTCAAACATTTCGGACTCCGAAAGGCCGTCTGTTTTTGGATCTAAGCTAGTGGTCGCTCCGGCGTTATAAGTGGGGCGACGGCGGCCTGTCAGTTCGGAGTGGCGATGGGACGACGTTGAGATTGCGGGGGATATGGGCGGCCCGTGTGAAGAGCGAAATCGTTCATCTGAAGACTGTGTCATCGGCGGAGACGGGAGCAAGCTTGGAGAAGACATTGACGGCGGAGAATAAGCGAAGGGTGTGTAGGGCTGAGCTGATGGTATGTACGGCAGCTGGGAATCTTGCTGATCGTATGTTTCCTGTGAGGGCGTATGCGGCGGCAGGCTGAAAGTGTGATGTGATTTTTCTGGAGAATAAGAACGGTAGACTGTTACCTCCTCAGGTGGTGATGGTAAAAGCGTTCCCATAGAAGGGGTCGGTGTTTGTGAGATATGAGATGGTAGAGTTGGACTATAAGGTCGAGATTCAGGGTCTTGCCCTTGAATCATATCGGAGCTGTACGTGGTGAAAGACATTGCGGTGCTAGGTCTGCTGCCGTAGTTTGATCGTGTGTTCCGCTGCAATCTTTGTGCAGCAGCGTAGGTGTTGTGTAAGGGTTTTGGTGATCTGATGGTTTCATTCGAGTCTGAATTAGGCGTAGTCAAGTTTGATTTTCCAGTTTTGTCGTTAAAAGAAGCTTGTCGGAAATTTGCAGAGGATCTGAGGGCGTCAGATCTCTTTGGAGAAGTCCAGACCATGGCCACACGTGGGGCGTATGCTTGTGCAGACTGGAAAGGGCCATGATCTGGTTGCCCAAGTCAGTTGCCTGCAAAGATCGACTGGTGCTTGTGTGTAGCTTGCACAACCGAACTGTATAGGCCAAAATCTGCAACGGTTAGCAATTGTTCCAGAACAGTAGTGAGCGCTGTGTCAACGGGAAGTTACTTTGACAGCTGCTAGAGAAAGCCAATTGCAACGTTGTGGTGCAGTACAACCAATATGCAATTATGACGATAGAAAGACGAGCTTATCGATACTTACCCACACCACTCCCCAAATCCCGGGATGTCAGCACCTTGATCGACAGGTCCGGATTGACCTTTCCAATGACCTGCACGGCATTTCCGTTTGAGAGATGGGCATCCTACAGTGTTTGTTAGCAATGATGCAAACCTGCATTTGTGTCGGGAGAGTGACGCCAAAAAGTGTTGATAACTTACTCTGTTCAATAAGACGGTGACGGTTCCCTCAGAATCAAGAGTTGCCTGATCACCTCGAAGTTGGGTCACTTTGCCCACAAGCATGACAACCTTGCCGACAAAGTTGTCGAGGTACACGGCGGTAATGCGCGGGGTCGAAAGTTGTTCGGCCATGATTGTTTGGTTTTCGTTTGCGATGAAACGAGAATGACTTAAAAGGCGAGAAGGATCGAAATCCGATTTATCGAGCGTGATCGTGACGCTTAACTGGCGTAGTAGCAGACGAGGTTGCTGAATGAGGTTGATGGAGTGAAACGCACATGAAGCTGCTGGCGATAACGGGCTGGAGGGGAAAGCGCGTTGGAGCCCGACGCGCAATCACGTGCGCCTTAACTCCATCTTTCACGTGATATCTGAAAATCGTTCCATGCTACCTTCCCATCTTGCCATACAATGACGACCAAAATTATCGACCAAGTCTTCAGCAAAGACTTCAAAGTTTGAACTGTAACTCAAAAACTCTGTGACTCCTGAAAACGTTACAGTAGCAGTGCTTTGTCATTCCCGAAAATGAACAATATTGAACTGGCCCCACTGTCATGGATAAGTTATCGGACCAATGCCCGCCTCCTCCGATCTACTAGGTTGAACCACTGTCATCTCCACGATAAACCCGCTAGTCAAGCCATGCCAGCACTCAACAACCTGGTTTCCCTGTTTTACACACAGACATTTCCGTCGCTTGGACTGTCTGCTTTATTAGCAGTTTTCACAGCAATTTTATCACCCGTTCTGAGAATAAGAACGGTTCGGCCGGGTACTCTACCCCGCACCTGGCCAGCGAGATACCTCAAGTCCGTCTCCGGGGCAAAAGCTCCGGGCTACGGTCAACCTAGTCCTCCAGCGACAGCGCCAGCGGAATCACCATTTACGCTTATTATACTGTAGCATTTCAGTGGCATCGACGAGAAGGGCGTGTGGGTACTGTCTGTTGTACTTACAGCACAGTACAGTACTGCCTGTACTTTCAGATAAGCCCGCCACATGGATCAACGGTGGCTCAACAATGGTCATGGATGGCATGAGAGATTGAGTTTTGGACGGAGCTGAACTACGGAAACAATATGGAAAGAAAGCCGTCTTTCGATTTCCTCGGGTGAATCAACTGTCACCCATGAAGCAAAACGACTCCGCTATGTAGCAACTGGTCAAGGATCAGTCAAAATCAGCTTACTGTACGAACGCGCACCCAGGATGATCCTTACTGATTACGACATATGAAATCCGGATTGAACTTGTCGATCATTTCGAGATATCTCTTCTCACAGCAATCGGGTCGTCCTATTCTGAACGTGAAACCAGTGCCGAGGATCGATCGAGCCAGTGTATTATATATCACTGGAAGGACCCTGTGTGCATCGGGAATAACGGAACCCTCACAATTCCCCAACAACTGATGCACACAAGTCTGTCATGATCTTCTAAAGAGGGTTTGCTAATCGTGACATGACAGCATCTCAATGCTTACTGTAAGTGTTTTGGAGAGGACTCATTGAGACACTCTTACTACTAGTCCGTTTGAAACGGTGAATAGCACGGACATTGTCGAAAACGTTTCCCCTAGGTCGTTTCGTCTCGCTCGGGTTTTTTTACCCAGGATCTGTACAGTCCGCATAACACTGTCCACCCATACAAACAGTACCGCGGTCGGCCCTTGTGGGTTTTGCAGCCATCAAGGCCTCGATTGGTCACCGATCTTGCACGGAGGGGGGGTCCGTTGATCTACGATTGGTTGGACGCCTTTCGACGCCTCTCTTTCCATTTTGGCATTGGTATGACCGCAAGGGGCCACTTCAAAGCCAAGGGACAAAGGTTATGTACAGTAGGTACTGTAGGTATGGTTTGCGACTGGAGGGAGAGGTTTTGAAGTCAAAGCACTTTCCGTCATCCAATGCCGGATGGTCGAGACGGGATGACGTTCCGAGGCTTAAAAGGACATGATAAGTGCTGGATAACGAATTGATGACAACAGGCAACATTGTTGTTCATGTTCAAAACTGTTTCACTCTCATATGTGATTCGTCCCTGATAAAAGAAGAAAGCGGGGCACGGATACAGTACATATCGAGGATGACTTACAAACAGCTCTCAAAGCTTGACCGTCTACAATTCTAACCAAAACCTGTTGATACGCCCCTGCTCCCATGGGGCCTCCCATAATAACAGTGACCAATTACGAATTGAAACCACCGGACTTGGTCCGTTGGTTCATTGCACTGCACATCTTTTCTATATCCTCACCCACCATTCCTCTTATATTCACTCCCCAACAAACCCCAGTTGCTAAAAAGTATGTATGTACATTTTGTAGAAGGACCAGCCATATCGTATAACCGAAGAGTTCGATCCACTGGCTGTTTAATACTGGGGAATGAGTGACGCAAGTAATTGACAGTGGTCGCATCAGACTTTATAATATCCGAATCTCTTCATGAAGCTGCTGAGACTGCTGCTTCTTTACACACTGAATATCAGCGCCCATATATATTCAGTCTCTTTCTTGTCTCACCAAGATATCCTTACCAGTGTTGCGACTTTACCCAAAAGGACAATCTCGCCCTAGCGCCTAGAAGCATATCCGCATAGGCGACCCCGAAGCAAACCATTGGATTAGGTCCAAGAAGCTCAAGCAAAAGGTCGCGAAGCAACAAAAAGCGACGGAACCGTCCGACAGAGAATTAACAATTCGCCCCCCAACGTCTAGACCAGTATCCCCTGCAACTGCACTGCACTGCACAGCACAGCACAGCACAGCACGTCAAGTAAACGGAGGATCCGACCGCTTCACAATCTATAATTCAGGATTGGGAATCGAATTCTGTATTATCGATCGGTGAATTTACCATCCCATCCTATCTTGTTTCATAATACCAGGAGCTCACTACGGTACTGCACTGCTGTTTCTGCCTGCAGTCTGCGCTGCACCTCCGGATTGGTTTCTCCGTCGAGCTGCCACCTGCCCTGGCTAATTTTGGGAAGGTCAAGGTCTTGCTTCTACACCTTTCCAGGAAAGCTACCTACCTACCTCACCTTGGACATAATACGGTCAACCTTTTTACATTTTAACCCTTTAACTCCAAAATCGGATTCTTAGGATATCCCATCTTTCTCTTCTTCTTTCTGACCTTCTCATACCCCTTTGCCACTCTTGGCCTCTTGATGTTCTGGACTCTTGGACCCTCATACTTAACCAATTCGGCTAAGCACCCCCTCCCTGTGCCCGTTTAAGGTCCTTCGATCCCCCAGAGTAGCACGCTCATCTCCCATCGAGGCTCTGTTCAACAAGATTTCGTTTCGGAAGTGGCTCAGTAGTCTCCCGCGCTTACTGTAGGACCACCGGTGGCAGAAGCGCCACGTACCGTATCGTACAGTACAGCCCTTGTCGATTGCAGGTTACCTCAAACGTGCCTCTAGTGTCAAGATGGACGAACCCAACCAAGACTTTGGCAAAAAAGCCCAAGAGTTTCATGACAACTTCACCTTGACGACTGGTCAAGATGATGCCAACATCGATCCTTTACTCAACGACTGCCCTCCCGATGGCTCTGTGCCCCCAGACGTTAGCAATCCCATGGATTCCCATCTCTTCATGACTTCTGGCATGTGGAACCCTGCAATCAACAACCCAGTTGGCTTCTACCCTCCCGGCATGTCGGGCATGGCACCTACCACCTTGACCACCAACCCATTACAGCCCAACAGCCCAATACAACCCCTCGACACACAATCTTCACCCAGGACGCCGTCGAGCGAACCTCTGTTTGGGACATCCCGTACTTCGAGCAAATCTTCTGTTCCTTCTTTTAATTCCGCCGATGCCGACGCCAAACCCCGGCGTAGCAGCAGGCCAACAACCAAAGCTCAACCTCAACCGGCAGCTGTTGAGGCCAAACCACCGCGTCGACGAAGAGCTTCCAAGGCACCATCCATTAAGGAAGAGGTGGAAGATGAAGAAGACGAAGAAGATGCCGGGCTTGACGAGTCAGACAAGCGTAACAAGTTCCTGAAACGTAACAGGATTGCGGCGTCCAAGTGTCGACAGAAGAAGAAGGAATGGGTCAGCAGTCTAGAAGATACACGATACGGCTTGGAACATGAGAACAACGTTCTTCACAAGCAGTATAATGGTCTTGTCGACGAGCTGAGCACCATAAAGAATCAACTGATGCAGCACGCGTCCTGCAACGATGCCAACATCAACCAGTGGTTAGACAACGAGGCTAGGAAGTTTGTCCAACGCATTGCATCCCAGAACCAAGCGCAGGTACAAGCACAAACTCGACCGCATCAGAACACTGGTGACTGCTGCGACAAGCATCGTCGTAGTTCAAGTGGTAGGTCACTAGACCACAACCAACAAACGCAAAATGGCTAACGAACCACAGTTGCAACTTCCATCCCTCGATCAATAGAGTCCGAGATCAACTACGACCACATGCCGGACAGCATGATTCAGTCGGGACCTTGAACATGACGACGCGACCTTGAGACGGTGACGGCGAGTGGGGAACATTGGTGTCTTTACCAGCTGAAGGAATGAAGCTATTTTCGACGCTACTCCACAAGACCACAACAGCCTTGTTATTTTGACTTTGAAATTCTTTCGCATGCAACGAACGAAAAAAGCATCTCGAGCGGTATCGAATTGGAGCTGGATCAACAGCCTTTTATATGAAAACAAATGTGATGGAGCAATGTAAAACACTAGACGCGAGGGCACCAGCGGAGGTTATACCTTGACACGGCATGGAACTTGACTGCAAGTCCCAAGAAGAGCATCAGGCTTGGCTGATTCTATTACTGGACAGGTGTTTTTGGCGTCTGGGTGAAAGCACTGAAAGGGATTTGATACGGGCAGCAAAGGGAGGAACAGCCCACGAGATGAGATATTGATGATTTGACGCTTTCACGATTATGATTTGGTGTGCATTGATAGGGATGTATGAGTGGCTAACTGAGGTAGTGATTGACGACTACCACATGATGGGGTAAAATCTTGGTCTTGAGCTGTCTATTGAACAGTGGATGGTAGACTTGATAGATAGGAGGGACAATGGCATGGGATCAGCTGGTCAAGCCGCGAGGGAGGACAACCCGAGGAGAATCTAAGGAAAGCGGAGGCACAACGAGTGTACAGAGTATGAAGGACACGACAAAGAGATAATATTCAAACCCGAAGAGGAAAACAGTTGTGCACGATGTGGATGTGGATGTTAGAACATGGGAATTCTCACAACGCGAAACGTGCGATGGAAAACAATGATGGCTCGAGGAGGAGACTCCGAGGATCTTTATTGGACAGGAAAAACTTGTAGAGTTTGGTCCGGGTTTTATAACTTTACAATTGCTATTCGCAAGGGCTGGGGTCAACCGGATTAAAGCTGAAATTGAGTGGCGATACTCGGATTTGCCACTATTCCCACTACCACTTTGTTCCTGAAAAGTGGACAATAGGGGTGATCTTCCTCCAGATTTAGCTTTGGCCCATGCTGTGCCAATGGGAAAGACACCTTTTATCGTTAGTCGTTGACGTCGTGGCGACATTGACCGGTCGAGGTCCGTTAACAGAGAAAGTTGTGATTGGTGGTTCAAAGAGTTGAAGTTGGAGACGATTACTGGCTAGGGAATAAATGCGGCTGAACTCTGATATTGTTATTCCCGTGAAGGATCAATTGGATCACGATAATTATATTGGCATTCACAGTTGACTCGTAGATTGACTCTTTTACTCCTACACAGAGATTCCCGTTTTTTAAATGTACAGTTATATGATACACGCTCATCCGCCATTTCTCTATCTCCTCTTGATCCATCCCCTTGAGTTGGAGATACCCCTGATGTTCTTGGTGTACTTCCAAAGGTGACGGTACTTGGGTCCTTGGCGCTTGGCTTCCCATCCACGGGGCTTGACCGGTGGCTTGAGACTGTGGACACGCGTAGGTCGGAACTCGACATCGGAGCCGGGGATGTTGTTACGGGCCATGACAGCCGCGGTGTTCTCATCCCAGACGCTTCGGAACATATTGAAGCCAAAGGGTGCTGTGTTGAACTTGTCGCGGAAGGACTTGAGGGAGAAGCCGTCGCGTGCGCTGTAGAGCTCCTTGAGCTTGGCGACGTCGATCTTTTGACCAGGTGCCTGCTCAAGAAGGTAGATACCGAGACGGTGGTAGGGGGCGCCCTTTTGGGAGAATGCGGGCATCCATGGTAGAGCGAGCTGATCCTCACCCTTTATCCTGCTCAGAGGTAGAGAGGTATCAGTAGGGCTGAGGGGGATGTTGGCTGCGAGGAAGTGGCAGCGCTTGTTGAAGGTGTCGGAGTCAGGGTTAGGCACATCAGAGTCAAGAACGACGATGGAGACCATACGCTCGCCCTTGTCGAAGACCTGTACGCGCAGACGAGGGGCCTTCTCGCTGACGACGCTGTCGACGATTTGGCCGGGAGGAATCTTTAGTTGGCGGAAGTATAGCTGAACATCAGCAGTAGGCTCGAGCTTGGGGAGCACATCAGGAACGATGTTGAACTGCTTGATACGTTGGTTGATAAGTCGCTGGTCGTATGAGCGCCACTTGGCCTCGGCGTAGTGACGGTAAATAGGCTTGTTCATATCGCCTGGGGTTGTTAGTGCCAGTACAACCCAATAATCACGAAAACATACCCGTTCCATCCTCAAAACGCTTCTTAACAACAGGATCATTGGCATCCGCGAGGATCTTGAGCTCTTCGACATATTTTCGTAGACCCCTCAATCTCATATCCTTAATGTGCTGACCACCCTTGATCTCCTCCGGCTTCGTAGCCTCCAGTCTGTTGATTTTCTCAATCTCCTTCTGAATCTTTCCCAACTTCTCTTCGCGATCCGCTGACAGAATCTTACGGGCTTCTTGGAAAGCCTGGTAGGGCAGGTGCTCGAATGGTAGATCTCCAGTGCTGCGGATGGCTAGGCGACGACGTCGGGATCCAATTGGCATCTTTCCAGCCTTCATGATCTGCTCTTCGAACTCGGGGAGCACCGTATTCGGGTCCAGGTCTGCTTCGGTGGCTGTAGTCTGAGTTTCGGCTGCTGGTGTTCGGAGGATAGCGGCAGAGGTGAATGGGCGGGCAATGCTGTGGCATTGGGGCCGCAGCTGCCGGGTGAGTGGCCTCATGGCGGCCTGGCAGCGCGACATGATGAGCAGCGGAGCGTGGTGGACGTTGAAGTGACGCTGGGTGATAGATCTTGAGATATCTTGAAAAAAGCTCTGGGGATGGTTTGCAGGCCTGAGCCCCACTAAAAACTCGGGGATCGGAGGATGTTACCGATCCACTTTTTTCTCAATCGCATCACGGTTTTTGAAACCTCAACACCAGATCAATTCGACTACCGTGCCTCTGTATCCACCACCAGACTCTCCCTGTCGACGTAGCGAATAGGGTAATCTGTAAAAGATGGCTGGCAAGGGAATTGGCTGTTTGGCCGAGGCCATGGGCGCTCTGCGGGTGTCTGCCAAGGTATGTTGAAAAGACTGCAGATGATGGATGATACTAACAATTATAGCCGGCGACAATCCCCAGAGCCTTCACAAGGTCAATGGCTACACAAGTTTCGTCCAGGGACGCCTCTACAGAAACGCCGAAACCTGCCAGCACCACACAGAAGATCCTAGAAGCATGGAAGCCCAGTACGACTCCCGTTACTTGACTCCAACCCCCACTAACCATCGCAGTCGAAACCGTTCCTGTCACAATTCACGACTTTCCTTCGCTGGAACCTACATCTCTCGAGCGATGGTCCGTTGACCACCTTTACCTCCCTCTCCGCCGCGATATCCTCCACCTTGCCGTCACCTACGAAGGCGACAACACCCGTCAAGGTACCGCCTCAACCAAGACCCGATACGACGTCCACGGATCCCACCGAAAGATGCGACCCCAAAAGGGTACCGGTCGTGCCCGTATGGGAACCAAGCAAAGTCCTATATTGCGTGGTGGTGGAAAGACATTCGGTCCTCACCCTCGCGATTTCGGAACCAACCTGAACCGCAAGGTCTACGACAAGGCCTGGCGTACCGCTCTGAGCTACCGTTACCGACAGGGCGATTTGATTGTGTGCGAGGATGGTATGGATCTTGTATTGCCGACCGACTACGAGCTTGTTGCTGGAAAGTACCTCAAGGACGGATTAAAGGAGGCTTATCTTAAGCGATACATGACAGGAGTGCTGGGTAACCTTGGTCTGGGCCGTGCCTCTGGCCGAACACTTTTCGTCACTGGAAACCGACGTGAGGCTCTTTTCGACGCCATGGAGCAGGTTCCCTGGGAAGGTCGGGCACTCGATATGGAGGATGTCGACGTCAAGGACCTCCTGGAGACAGGCAAGGTCGTCCTGGAGCGAAGTGTGCTCAAGGAGCTGATCAAGCAGCACCAGAGTGATTTAGTGAGCAGAGTTGTTATGCAAGGTCTCGTCAAGGGCGGACCTGAGACAGGGACGAGAGTGCTCGGGGCTTAAATGCCGTGTAGATATATAAACTTGTATTATTTTGTACACAATTGCAACGCATTGCATGTCATGATCAAATGGATGTCGGTTGCTCTTGGGTATCATTGGACTCGTCTAAGTCACTCTATGATTACACTGATTTACATGACATAATGCTACATATTCTTACAATGCTCCGCCGACAAGCGAAACAATCCACATGGCCACTCTGACTTTGAGGCCAACTCTTCTTTCAGTTCGAGCAAAGTCGTCGCGAGTTGCCTTGGTAGCGTGCTCCTGCAACCACAACTGCTCTTCTCCCAATCTTGACTTAAGTCCTTCATCACGGGTGACAATCAAGGCGCCAGCTTCGAGATCATGTGAATAGCTGCGCTTGGTATAGTTGGAACTTCCAATGATGCTCATCGCTGGGTGCTTATCGCCTGGCATGGTGACCCAAAGGCCCTTGGCATGATATGTCCATCCTCCTGGTTGACCAACGCAACCATGACGCCACTCCTTTAAAGTGATATCGTCGTCGCGGCCCTCGTGGTGTACGCGGTGGACGAAGCGGCGAGCCAGAAGGGTGTAAGCATCTGGCAAGAGACCAGAGACGCCTTTGGATTTGTAAAATCCGTTTGCCTCGGGCGAAGCAGTGATCACAATGTTGGAGGAGGATGCGGTGCTGAGAAGCAGTTTCGTGAGTGAGGGCGCAGGGTTAAAATATCCAGCGGTAAATGTCCAGGAAGACTCTCGGTAAGCGGGCAAAGCAAGAGTCTTGAGGATATGTGTGATGATTGGAAGCTCAGTTGACGTATCAGGCTTCATAACCTGTGACATCTGACCAAGCATGTACACCCTTGTGTCTGAGATGTCATTCTCAGGTTGAGACTTGGGATGCAGAAGAGTTTGTAGTGTTGATGTAGTACTCTTGATGAATGATTGAGGCTGCTCTAGTGGTGAAGGCGCGGAGTTGTTCTCAGGCCAGGCGAGAGTGAAGCCTGCAGGTTCTTTTGAGGGCTTAACAAGGAAACTGAAGGATGTCACTCCTGAGTGGATGTTCCAAAAGTGATCAGTGACTTCTTTCGAAGAAAAGAGATGGTATCGATCCTGACGGTTGGTAAAGTAGTCGGTAGACAGATTCGCACTGAACAGTTAGTATTTCACCAACACAGGAAGTGCGTAACATACCCAGACATGATGATCTCATCGTCAACACCATATAGCTTCATGTGCTGAAGTCCCCATCCCTCGTTAATCCTCGTGGGAATATACTTTTTCCTCAACCCGGTCAAGTTTGGCGTATGATACATTCGAATCTCAACACGATCCGCTCCAAATTCTTCGACTAACGGTGCCAGTAAAGATGCACTCGATGGATTAGGCGCTTCTCGAGTTCCTCGCAGGCAATCCGTAAGAATGCTCAGCTTGACATCCTTGTTGTTTCTTAACGCCTCCTGCAGCGTTTCAATGAGTTCTTTCTCCGACTTTCCAATGTACAAAGTCGACAAAAAGATCCTTTTCTTGGCCTTTCGTATCCGATCCTATACTTATTAGTCTCATCCTCATTCACTCGATTGATGGTCGCACCTTTAACGTCTCGTAGAATTCTGCCGGAGTACGAATAATCTGAATCTGCTCTCCTCGAATATCGAAACTCGGCGCAAGACGATCTAATTCAGTGACAAAAGGCGCCAGCCCTCCAACACCATTGGCATTCGACGCCTGGGGAGTACCTCCAGCAGGCATAGCATAGTGTCTCGTCTGAACCCTTGCACCTGGAATTCTAGGTTTGAAACTGGCGGCACGAAGCCTAGTAGTGCAACGCGCACAGCTTCGAGTAAGCATTCTGAGGAAAATGCAGCTCAATTGAAGCTTGCAGTTGAATTAAAGATTGCTTGTTAATTGCTAGAATATTTCTGGTTGAAGCTTCGAGGTACGTACCCATGCCGTCACGGAAGGTCATTTGCCGAGGTTGATCCGTTCCTGCTGGGCAATCTTCAAACCATCCCATCATTGACGGGGGATCAACATCGCCATCCCGCCAAACGACGAGATCAATTGTCGCTCAACCGCCATCATGTCGACGATCGGAAGAACGCTGACCAACCTGCGAAAGGTTGGTATCAAGGTGAGTTTGCGTCAATTCCTGGATCAGGCCAATGCTAACTTGTGTAGGACTACTTTAGACAGATGCTGGTATGTATCCGACCGAGCGATCGAATGAATCGAATCTCTGGCTAACGACGCCTGTTCCTCGCAAATAGTACATCGGTACGCTTCTCACGATCATACATAGAATGCCCGCTGACAACCACAGGTGATACCAAGGCTGGTGTTCTCATCGGCACCGATCGCGCCGGTAACAAGTTCTTCGAGAACCAGGAGGAACTTCCCCTCCGAACACGTTGGGTCGAGTACGCCAAGCACGATTACGATGCTGCCCACATCGAGCCCGGATGGCACGCCTGGATGAGCTACTCCGTCGAGAAGCCCCCTACCGAGGACCCTCTGTTACAAGCCGGCAAGCGAGCTTTCGAGCCTTCGCGTGCTCTTCCCAATTTCACCCAGAGCCGTGGCGCTTTCAAGACATACAACACGTGTGTAAATCGTATTTATGAGACGAAACAACGCTGACTCTTTACAGGGCCAAGTCCAAGATCAATGCGTGGGAGCCCGTGGCTGCGCCCCGGGAATAAGGATGAGATGAGCGGTTAAGTGTATTTAAATTCGCATAGAGAATGCAGTCAACAAAACCCAAAAAAGGGTGAATTCAAACGAAATTCTACAAATTGTATGGTCTGCTCATACAAAAACCAATGATATAGGATCTTGAAACGTGCACTCTATAGGCTCACGATCCTCCTCTTACATGCTACATAGGAAATTTACGACTTTGCTTCAATTGCAGATTTGATAGCTGGGATGGTCAGCTGAGTTCGGAAATAGGACAGAAAACTTACCTTCACATGACACTCTAGCATCTCCAAACAACATCTTTGCGTTGGGCATGTAAAACATGGGGTTGGGAACATCGGCTACAATTGTTAGCGGAGTCGATTCGAAGATTGCGATACTCACCATAACCACTGGCCATGCCTCTCTTCATAATGACAACTTGCTTGGCCTTCCAGGCGTGGAGCACAGGCATACCCTCGATCGAGCTACCCTTTTCCAGAGCAATGGGGTTGACAGTATCGTTAGCACCAATGACAACAGCCAAATCGGTATCGGGGAAATCATCATTGATCTCATCCATCTCCAGGACGATATCATACGGTACGCTAGCCTCGGCGAGGAGGACGTTACACTGGCCAGGCATGCGTCCTGCGACAGGATGGATGGCAAATCGGACAGTGATGCCCTTGGATCGCAAGGTAGAGACGATGTCCGAGATGGCGTACTGAGCCTTGGCGACGGCCATACCATAACCGACGATGAGAATGACCTTTTCGGAGTTGAGAAGTGCATCTGCGAGGTCATCTACAGATGTTTGGGTGACTTCTCCCTGGGGCTTGTATTCTTGGACTTGAGTCGGCGTACCCAAACCTCCAAACAGAACGTTTGTGAGTGATCGGTTCATGGCAACACACATAATGTACGAAAGAATGGAACCAGAAACGCCGATCAGGGCTCCAACCGTGGTCAAAAGGGGATTCTCAAGCATGAAGCCTTCAGCGACAAGAGCAAAGCCACTGTAAGCGTTCAAGACAGTGATGACAACAGGCATGTCAGCACCACCAATTGCAGAAGTGGTTGTGTATCCCTTGATGAAACTTAATGCGGCGTTTCCTGCAAGCGCTCCAGCTGCAATCAAGGGGCTTCCTGGTGCCATGGTGATAAAAGCACCCATGGTAGCTGCGTTGGTTGCAAGAAGACCCGAGTTGATGATATGTCTTCCAGGTAGCATCTTTGGCTTGGATGACATTCTGCCAGCAAGTTTCATGAATGCGACAATTGATCCGGTAAATGTGATACCACCAATGAAAACACCAAGGTAAGCCGTTACAAGGTGAAGGGTTGAAGGATCCATGACATCTGCCATGACACTACCAATACTGGTCAAAACAGCGGCGAGACCAACAACAGAGTGAAGAGCGGCAACAGTCTGGGGGAGATCGGTAGGAGTGATTCGCTTGCCAATGAGCATACCAGCAAGGGTACCGAGAGCAGCAAGACCACCAAACTGGGTGAGAACCTCAGGGGTGAAGCCAGCAGCAAGTAGACTGGCCAAAACACCTGTGCCCACACCAAGAATACCAAGGGCGTTACCCATACGGGCAGTGGCCTGGGAAGCAAGACTTGAGACGGAACTGATGCAGAGAACAGAGCTGACGAGGTAGCCGGCCTGAACGAGACCAGCAGCACCGGTTGAAGCGGCGGCCACGAAACCACCACCACAGAGTACGGCGGGAACAGCGTAGAGCCAGGGGTACTCAGGGGGATCAGTAGGTCCTGTTCTTGTTAGCTGCATCTCGCGATCGGGTCGGATAACTCACGCTTGAACATATCCAGCATACGCTTGGTGATAACGAAACCACCACCAACGTTGACAAACGCCAGCAAAACACTCAGGGCACCAAAAGCTTGGGGAATCGTCTCAGGAAGGAATCCACCACCGAGAATGAACAAACCACCAATACCAACCATTCCAGAAATGGCGTTGGTGACGCTCATCAGAGGGGAGTGAAGCGCCGGAGCAACACCCCAAACAGCACGATATCCAATAAGACTGGCCAGAGCAAAGGTAAAAGCGTTAGACATGAGAAGAGGGCTGGTCCATTTTCCGAGAGCCAACATGCTACCCATACCTGCAGTAACACCAGCAACTTCACGGGTCTTCTTTTGCCAGGGAGTCAGTTCTACAGGTGCGGGAGTTGCTTCTGTTGTCTCAGCCTTTGCGGGAGGAGGTGGGGGTGCTGCGCGGGGAGCAGGAGGAATGATATCTCCGTCTTGAGTTACGATGGCACCGCGTACAACTTCGTCCGTAAGATCAATACCGAAAGCCTTGGGTTCAGGGGTCATTGAAAGCAGGAACTTTGTGATGTTGTTGGAGTACAGAGTTGACGACTGGGTAGGCAAACGAGAGGGCAGATCAGTGTATCCTAAAGGTGTTAGTCAGGATATCTCAACGACAGCAAGTACATACCAATGACTTTGACGTCGTTGTAGATGGACAGCTCTCCTTTCTTGGTGGCTTCGCAGTTACCTCCAGCTTCAGCAGCCAAATCAACAATGACACTTCCAGGTTTCATGACATCGAGAATATCGTTCTTGAGCAGTTTCGGGGCAGGTCTTCCAGGGATCAATGCAGTGGTGATGATGATGTCTACTTCTTTGGCTTGGTCTTTAAAGAGCTTCATTTCAGCTTCAATAAATTCCTTGCTCATTTCTTTGGCATAACCACCAGCGCCAGAACCATCTTCTTGAATTTCGACTTCAATGAACTCAGCACCAAGAGATTGAACCTGTTCGCGAGCAGCAGGTCGGGTATCGAAGCCACGAACAATGGCTCCCATACGACGAGCAGTAGCAATAGCACTTAGACCGGCAACGCCAGCACCAATAACCAAAACCTTGCAAGGAGGAATCTTGCCGGCAGCAGTAACCTGTCCAGTGAGGAATCGACCAAAGACGTTTGAAGCTTCGAGAACAGCTTTGTAGCCAGCAATATTGGCCATACTGCTGAGAGCATCAAAGACCTGAGCACGAGAGATACGGGGAATCATGTCCATGGCGAAGCTGGTCGCCTTTCTGGCGGCAATCTTTTCGACGAGTTCTTTATTCTGAGAGGGCTGAAGGAAGGAAATGATAGTCTGACCCTCTTTCATGGAGTCAACTTCTTCAAGACCAGGACCGCGGACTTTGAGGACAATATCGGAGTTGGACCAGACTTCTCTAGGACCATTGACAAGAGTTGCGCCAGCTTTTTCATAAGCAGCATCGAGAAAATCAGCATGGGTACCAGCACTACGTTCGACAATGACTTGTTTGAAGCCCTTTTTCTTGAGGACAGCAACATTGGCAGGTGTAACAGCCACACGTCGTTCGCCAGGAAAGATCTCAACAGGGACACCGACGACAAGGTTCTCATATGGAGTTGTTTTGGGGAGGACTACGGTAGAATATTTGCGAGGCGGCGTAGTCGTAGAAACATGTTGGATCAGAGAGAGAGGCTTGGCGATCTCTGCGACGAGTGCGCGCTGGCGGGAAGCTCCAAAGGTGCTGTGCCATTGTTTGCGACGAGAGAGAAGACCATCTAGAGCTCGAGTTAGCTCATATGAGCTTCGGCAGTAGCTGTTAGCTTACCTTGAACTTTATAACCTTTCAATTGCTTCTGCAGAAAGAAGCTCGAAGCGCACAGCTCTGTAGCTGAGGCTGGAACCGCGGACGAGGCCAACGGACGAAGCATATGAGACGCCATGATTATAGAGTCATGAGCGCGATAGCAAGGCCCGAAGATGGCTCGACACGGGAGTTCAGATCAAGTACTCTTTCCGAGTCTTGTGTATCCAAAAGTACGACAAAACAGAGAATACAAAAGCTTGAGAGAGGGAATAAAAACAAGACAAAAGACAAACAATCGAGGGGTAGTCGCCTTGTCATGTGTTGTCGGGTAGGTCCCCTCCATTCCTTCCTTCCTCCATGGAACTGTTCTACCAGGCCCAGGTAACCAACATAACACCACTGAAGCTTGAACCCTTGTCCCTCTACCGGGGTTCTATTAGCCGCCCCGGGAAGAGGGGCGCTGAGCACTACTGCCGCTAAAACCTGGGGGAGGGGCCGCTGCTGCGGAGAACGATTACAGGGGACAAGGGACGGTTATCGAATCATCAAAGAGTCCTCGTCATGGATCATGACGAGCGTCAGCGGGTGGTTCGGGGGAATTAAGAGAGCGAGATGGTTGATGCAACCAGTCAGATGTGATTACGGACCTGCCTGATGAGTCCTGCCGAGACCAGAAACAGACGTTTTCCCCTCTTCGGACCTTGAAATCCGGACATGAGGCGGTTAGAGATGGTCCGAGATCATGATGTATCATGCTTTCAATGTGGGGAGGATGCATCTGAACCTTGTTTCCTGATGTTTGATGGCTTCTTATCAAGAGACGTTGGTGATCTTGTTTGAGGTTACAAGAAACAAGCTGTACTCCCTCGGAGAGGACTCGACGGAATCACGAAGATTGGGATATGTTCTGTACACTCGTGATACAGAGTGGTTATCGCCGATGATCCTATAGGAGGGTTTCTTGCCGTGCAATGAGGCCTTTCGCAAAATTGATAGGTCATCTTCTCATGCTGAGTTGAGGCTGCCGTCAGAATGTTTGAATTGAGTTTGTGAGTATTTTAGAAGAGCAAGCTACCTATGTAAAGACACATTCACATATATAACTGATGCTATGGGAAGTATTCTCGGACGAGTGAGGAGCATATTCGAACACACGGAGACACATGAGAACATGCACGACATGCATTCTCGATCCAAAATGGTAGTGTAACCATCCTGCGCCTTGCCAAAGGTATACGCTTCTTGGAGTATGCCTCTGGTATTCCATCCAGAGTATGCGTCAACTTGATCAGATAACTATGAGGTCGACTACACAGCTGTTCTTCTCTAGGGTTTCAAGAGGCAGCTTGCTAAAAATGAATAATGGCTATTTCTTCAGGCAAGTCTCTATGTACATTCAATACATCCTACAAGTGTTTTGACTTAGCAGTCAGTCCCTGCTATGTCTGTCCTTATTACATTTTCACCTTGACTCGACCTTTCGTGGAACCAGTTCTATGCGATCTTGACCAGATAACACTCATTAAAACCCTGACCGAATGGCTTCACCAGCAAGTCGACGCCGTTGTCAGCTTTCTGCATTGATGGAATCCAATGAGCAGAGTAAATAAGACCACGAGTTCCCTTTTCGGCCTAACGCTGGTGTTATGGTGTGGATCTCCCAACACCAAGATTGGACCCTGAATATAATCACGAGAACCATCTTCAATTTTACCACATGACACCCGTCAATCTTCAAAATCGTCCTACTCTTATAATGAAATAATAACCTTACTTTTAACTTTCTTCTTCCCTCATTTCTCTCCTGGTTGAAATAGAGAAAGCAAACTACCGCCATCATGCCACGCTGGAAAGCCCCTATCCATCACTTCTCATACCGCGTTCTCATAATCCCTCCTATTCTCCTCGCAGCGGCTACAATCGTCGCTCTCTTCATACATTCAGACGTCAACGCTGCGCTTCTTTGGTCGCAATGTCACTCCCACGCGCGCATCCCAGGAGTCAGTCGTATTCCAGCCATCGGCACGCCTCTGTGCTATCTCATCAGCTTCTTCCGCGCCGCGCTGCAGTCGCTTCGCAGTACCGCTGTCATGGCCGTTGTTCTGGCATTCCTGGGCGGTCTATTGACAGTAAGCACTGTTGAAGCGGCACGCATTTGCAACGCGCCGAATGTTCTTATTGCGTATCCTACTGGACCTTGGTTGGTGTTTGATCTTGTGGGTGGTGCTGTTGTGTGGGAGCTTGTTATCATTCCTGCGTTTTTGCATCGCGCGAGGAGTGTTTTGAATGCGAGGCAGAGAGATGACGGTCATGGCGATGTTCATCAAATCTTCACCAGCCGTCATCTTCCTGATAGTGAGCTTGTGGCTATTCCCATGAGCGTGGCCCTTGGCTACTTTCTGCCATCTATTTTGATGCTCTTCAAAACCACCCCAGCAACCGTCGGAGTTTGGCTGTTCTTCCCGATTTATGTAACAATCGTTCGTCAGACAATCCGCAGTGTTATCGCCGTTATCCGAAGAGTCAGCCCTACAAACATCCATCTCGCATCAAACCGACGATCACTGTTCTTTGTTTACTTGCTCCCGATGGTCTGCTCGATTCTGGCCCACGTCTTCTTCATCTGGAGTCTAACTCAACCTGATGATCGCAAGGAGATGACCAGGTCGACCATAGTCTTCATCGAAGTTGACACGCAATTCATTTTCTGGACTGTTCTGTACTGGATGTTGGTGGAGGTTGGATGGAGAGTTCCTTTAACCACAGTTCTTACATCTCTTCTGATTGGTCCAGGTGCAGGAACTTGTGTTGGATGGATGTATCGCGAGAAGCTGATTCACCATGATGATGATGGAAACGAAAGTGTTGATGAGCCAGCCGATGAGGAGACGCCTTTGTTGCAATGATACGATACCCTAATGTTAATACCTTTCCCCATTCTAACCCATAGACTAATGCATGCAATCAATACAACATGAGTATTTTACAGTATTCATAGGAACAACCTCACGCTTTGTACAGGTCTAACCTCTTCGTAAATGGTACAGATATGATACAGATTAATCCACTCGCTATGCGTCTTCCTGTAGTCTTGACAATACCCTTTCCCTGACAACCTGTGATGCTACAGCTCCTCCGTGTTGCAGGGTGACGGCTCCAATGATAGCCATGATCGCACCGTTGAGCACGACATCAACACCGGAAGCCCGGAGGTTTGACACCTACTTTATGTTAGTTAAGAAACACACAGAAAACTGTAGTCCATACCTTTCGAGGCTTCCATCTCACAACGTCGATCAACCCCACGTCGGCTGCGAGAGTAGATAGATTTGACTTGCCAGCAATATCCTTAGCTCCGATATGAGACAGGTTATCGACCGACTGCAAGCTGGGATGTAGGAACGGTTCTCGCTCGAAACCATCCTTTTTTGGCTTTGTGACAGGGTCCTTAGCAACGATCGTCTTTGTCGTCTCCATGACGAGGGTCATTCGTCCTGCAGGGGTCAGCATATGATACCCTCCCAATTGCAATTATCCAGCATACCGAAAAGCGCCAATCGATCGTTAAATCCTCTTCTTCCCTGATCGAAACTCTTATGCGTAACAGCCAACCACTTAATCTCCTCAGGCAAAAGCTTGCTGCCGCCGGGTCCCAGTAGACGCTCGTACACCTCATCCAACTTCTTAGGGTCGTTGTTGACGTTCCAGATCTTGTTTTTAGGGTTCTTTGCGAAGTCGAGCTGTATGGGAGCCTTCATGGCGGGAGGTGTCTGACTCCATCGTGGGGCGGCATCGGAAGGACTTGCGGTTTTGAAGGATTCGGGTGTCGAGTCGGTGGCGTATGTTCGCACGCATGGCATAAGTGTGCGAGCGGCTTGTCTGCTCCGCAAAAGGCCGGAGCGGCAAGATTGAAGAGCCATTGTGAGGGTTGGGAATGGATTGGGCGAGGGTCTCTTGCAATCCAATGCTCATTACGATGGGTTGCCGATGCAGCTGGGTCGCGAACATTTTCTGAAGGTCACGTGGGCAATCGATAAGATTGCCCCACCTGCCACTCAACACCACGTTTTGGTCTGAGACAATACATCGTCAGCTTCATTTTACAAATAGGTGTATCTGGGTTTGGACAGGAAGAATTTGTAGACGATCTTCTTTACTTGACCGATGGCCATTGGTATTGTTAACTTTTGGCTTTTGACACAACAGTTGCTCTATCTCCCATACACACCAAAATATGTCAGCCATGAGGAACCTCGTTCGGTGTCCCTCCTCTTGATTGCACTACCACTCTTCTGCTTTCTGTAACTTTAGACACTGGCCTTAAGTTCAAATTCATGCTCAAATTCGGATACATGCCTGGTGTCCTGCATGCTCCCTAGACCTAGGCTCTCTGCGTCGTCAACCTACCGATGCAAGAACAGCCAGGCCAGTAACATTAGCAGACGGCACATTGTTAGCTCAAAGAGTACCCAAGAGTATACGTCAGAGAAAACAAACATGAATACTTAGTCGGTGAATGACGCTTCCCAAAGTTTGTCACACGACACCAACCCAGCCAGACCTTTACTTATAGAGCTTTCTCATATTCCATCGGTCGTTCCTTGAAATCTTACTTCACCCTTACTACCCATTCGCTTGTGATATTCTTCTTTTCTCAAATAACATAGCTCGGCCTTCCATCCAACGAATTCACAAAATGGCTTCTCGTCAGGGAGCAGCTGGTTTGTCTATCGTTGTACGGCTGGGTGATGGTATAGAGTAAGCTTATGGAACTTCATTCCCAATATACTGATCGTAATCATACACTGACAGCAATTCAGCAGCCTCTGTGACCACATTCACAACAGCAATCATCCGAGCTGGTGTCTGGAATGGCTCAAGTTTGCCCTTCTCCGAAATGATGACCTGCCTCACGAAGTCAGCAGTTCGCGTAATTTCATCAAGACCAAGGCTCATCTTGAGGCTTTGAACATCTCAGCAAAGAAAGCCATGGGAGACTATTCTAAGCCTCTTTGGGATAGCCACGTTCAAAGATCTTCCATACTCGATCCTTCTGGCGTTCTACATCGCGTATCTATCGAGCTTTTCATAACACTTCCAGCCTCCTGGCCCCTTTATGCACGCTTGCTGATATTCGAGGCATTTCGAGAAGCCGGCATGCTCTCCGATGATGCCAGGGTCTTTCCCAAACGCATTTCAAGTCTGGAGGTTACTGCAGTTGCTCATATTGCAGACTTGACCAAGCTGACTGTTGATTTCGTAAGTAATCTTGCCCATAGTGGTCCTCGTTGAGTCCAACCCCGATGTAACATCAGTCACAACAGGTCAAAGATGGAGATGTGGTCGTTTATTGCTATTGCGACAGCGTCACGGTTGTAAGTATTTCGGCTACAAGCAAACAAGAAGCTCACCAGACCACAGTCCACTATCGTATACAGAGTTCAGGGAGCACAAGGCTTTTCCATGGAAGAAATCCTCCCACAGGATTCCATTTTTGCCGGGGCAGATTTCCTCGGTGATGCCTTTATGGACCTTCTCAAGGCAAAGGTTAAAGGAATTTATCCTCTGCAAGTATTCGAGACTCTTCCAGAGGAAGAGTTTGAAGCTTTCGTGCGAAGTTACTGGGAAGGTTGCATGGACTCTCACTGTCCTGGGGCTGCATCAGTCAGAAAATTATCCATTTTCTGCTCCATCGACCAGTGGTGGCTATACAACAGTCTTTCTTTCGTTCAGCGCGTATGTATGAAACTTGGTCGGTGAGGAATTACTGACGCAACTTAGAGATGAACTTGCATCGATCTTCGACCCCATTGTTGACAAGATCGTGACTCTTCTTGGATCACAAATCGAGAGTGTCGACTTGGTCCCGGGAAAATCGGTGAGTTCCATCAAGGGTGCCGAGGATGGCTTTTAACAAGAGATCTCTAGCATTTCGTATTAGATAGCAGCTTTGGTCAGAAACCCTATCTTAACGCTCGACTGAAAGCAGCCGTGCAATTGCTCACTCCATCTACAACCACTCATATCCTTTCAGACAACCTGAACTACAGGATTCGCCTTCCTGGCATTCAGCTTTTCTCTGCTGTTCATTCTCGCATCGCTCGCGCCAGCTATGGCGTACTCTCAGAATCTGAAGGGTCAATTATTTGGCTCGTGAACAAGGTAAGCCACACTTTCACAGATTCGTACAATACTTTGCTAAGCGTTTCTTGAGGGCGATCATTTGTCTGCTTGCGAACCGAATCGACGAGGCCTACCACCACAAGCCGTTTCGGTTCTTAACACAATCATTCGGTCAAGTCAATAGAGTCCACGTTTACCGCAAGATGGGCGATGAACTGCAGGTGCAATTTATGTGCACAATGAAATGGCCTGGTGCAAGTATTGAGTCTCAGTTTGAGATGATGACGCTTGGTTCAGGGCGTGGACTTGAGCTCGACTTTGCCTGGGATGGCGTGAATATGGAGTTTTCAGTCTTTTCAAATGGCGTTCAACCTGAAGGCCTGCACTGTAAGCGAAACCCTTCCATTTGAGATGCCTGTTCGGGCTACCTTGCGGAGGTTAGAAGAAATAGTCGCTGTAAGTGTAAGGGACGAAACAACCCAGTTATTTTATGTTGGCCTAGACCAGGACTCAAGCTACTTTATTTGGACGCCTGAGCCCTGAAGGACAATTACTGTTACCCACCTGCCCAGTTTGAAATTCATCAAAACGAAGGCTAGACTTCAGGCTTTGAGTAGTTCGGCAGGGAAAGCTGTAGCAAACCGTTAAGCATCGTTGGGATGGCTGCATTGGAAGATCATGTCCGTCTATCGTGTAAGAGCATGATGGAAATAAAATTTTGACGCACATGCCCAGAACCTGCAATGCCGGAAACAAAAAGGGGGGAACAAATAAAAAGTGAAAGACATGTTAAAGCAGTTTGAGTTTGATAGTGAATATCGACATCACTCAGCCGGCTACAAATGTGGCGCTTACCCCAGATCAAGCCACACCTAAACTCCAAATCCGCATCTCCATCTCAGCCTCGTCAAGCTTCACGCATCCACCATCCAAACATATACTATTTCCATCATCCCAGGATCACACCGACTTTGATCTCTATTCTTACTGACGACACGCCCTAATTGAAGCGCCCACTGCGCAAACCGTCGGCGCCATGGCTGCTGAGACTCCCAAGCTTCTCTGGAATCCTGATAATGTCAAGGATGTTGCAGAGTCGGTCGGCATCAGCTCGCTCAACGAAGAAGCCCTGAAGTGTTTAACCCAAGATGTCGAATACCGCGTTGGTCAGGTCATTGTAGAAGCTCTACGATTCATGCGCGCCTCGCGTCGAACAACCCTTACCGTCAACGACATCTCGCTCGCGCTCAAGGCTCTCGACGTCGAACCCCTCTACGGATACGATTCTACGCGTCCGCTTCGATACGGCGAGGCCAGTCTTGGCCCCGGTCAACCGCTCTTCTATATCGAAGATGAAGAAGTCGATTTCGAGAAGCTCATCAATGCGCCTCTGCCCAAAGTGCCGCGCGATATGGGTTTTACAGGTAGGTCCGTCTCGACCCATGTTGAATTTCTACTGACATCTCTCAGCACACTGGCTCGCTATCGAAGGCGTCCAGCCATCAATCCCCCAGAACCCTACGACATCCGAATCTCGATCGCAAGAACTTCTTCCCAAGGGTCCTGGCGCCAATCCCGCATTATCTGCCCTTGCAGGCAACGACAACGTCTCCATGAAGCCATCTGTTAAGCACATTGTGAGCAAGGAGCTTATACTCTACTTTGACAAAATTCAGGCCGCTGTTCTGGACGATAATCCCGATGAAGAAGTGGTGCGCCTTCGACAGGCTGCTCTGGGCTCCGTGAGAGACGACCCTGGTCTCCATCAGCTTATCCCATACTTTATTACATTCATTATGGATCGAGTAACACATCATCTCGACGACACCTTCACTCTGAAGCAGATGATGGAATTGACCAATGCTCTGATTGAGAACAAGAGTCTTTTCCTCGATCCATACGCCAGCCCCCTTTCCGCGCCAGCTCTTACTTGTCTCATGGCTAGGAAACTGGGCACTGATGAGGGCACCGACGCTTTGAAGGAGCAGTATGACCTGAGGCAACTAGCTGCATCTCTTGTTGGGCAAATTGCCCGCAAATACTCGGCCTCCAACACTCTTCTCCGACCAAAGCTCACTCGAACGTGTCTCAAATACTTCCTCGACCCCACCAAACCTCCTGCGGTCCTCTACGGTGCCATTCATGGTCTACTTGAGGCAGGCGGCCCAGAAGCTATTCGCGTTTTGGTCCTGCGAAACCTCAAGACCTTTGATTCAGGCATTCTCCAACCTCTCAAGGAAAAGGCAGAGGGTACAGTGGATTACGAGATGCTGGTGCAAGGCATTGTTCAGGCCGTTGGCTCACTGGCGGACCACATTAGCTCAGACGCCAATGGAGTCAACGGAACAACCAGTGCGGAAGGCGAGACATCCGAACTCAAGGAATTCATTGGACCCATCATTGGAGAGAAGATTGCTTCCTCTGGTAACAGGAGGTTGATACGCACAATCCTGGATGCCCGAAACTTGGAGTAGAATTAAAATGATCATGGCAGGCGAACGGCGTTTGGGTCGCGAAATACCTCACGAGATATTGGTTAGATAAGCCCTAGCATTTCAAGGCGCTTGTGTACAGATAATAAAATTGTTTGCTCAAAGTCAAGAATGCCTTTCAGGCTAAATACTCGTACACGAGTCTCGTCTCTCGTCCATGCTCCTTATGTCCCTTGCAACTGGTGTATCATCCACTGCGCATGTTGCTTTATTTTCCTTTGTCCCACTCTTCTAACCCGCTTTTGTAATATGGTATCTTACAGGAAAGCAACCAGACCGATAGCACCGAGAACGCTAGCAGCCCAGATGTACTTGTCGGCCTGAACAATAGTAGACTTGGCGAAACCCTTGCCGGCATCGTAGATGAGGTGCTTGACACCGCTGATGGCGTGGTAGACGAAGGGGAAGCCAAGAGTGAACTTGAGGCCACCCTTGACGGCGAGGGGAAGACCGGCGACGAAGCTAGCGATGCTCAAGCTCTCGAGGTGAAGACCGACGAGGGGAGCGGCGAGGTAGGCGATGGAGAAACCGTAGAGGGTGACGGAGAGAGTAGAACCGGTGATACGGTTCCAGGCGGAGCTACCGAACCATGTCTGCTCGAGCTTGTAGATGGCCAGATGGGGAGAGACGGGTCGGTTGAGGCGCTGGTTAACGAGGATCTGCTGGCCGTCCTCTTGGGAGACCTTGACGGAACCTTGGGCGCTATACACGTGTTAGACTAGCTCAGCCATTGGTAATTGTTATTATCGGCATACCGGCTGGGAGAAGAGGTAGAGAGACCAGCAGCGAAAACACTCTTGGAGATGTTCTGGGTGAAGAAAGGCTTGGCCGCGCCTATTCCATTGTTAGCGATCCGTAGCTGGGGTTAGTCGCTTTTGCGCATGTACCTGAGCGAAGGGCGTTGACGCCAACACGTTGAGCGAGCATTATGACGGTAGGTATTCGTTCGGGAGAGATTCGGCCAAGGGTTCGTTCAACTGTCGTCGGCGTCGTTACGTCTGGTGCTGGACCAAGGATCGATGATGGCTTCCTATTCTCGAGTATCGGAACGGGCTCTCGGCTTCTCGGTCCATTCAACCAATAGGAAGCTCCCAATTCATCATCTCGGGACACACGTGATCCACATGCTTCTGCTCATCACGTGCTGCTCACCTGACTAAGCAGGATCTTGAGTTTTGTTATCGTGAAATTTTCCGCTGGTTGGGAATTTTCTTTTCCTTTCTTCTTCAGATAGAATGAACGTCCGCCACACGCTGTCTAGTGTAGAGAGTGGACAGCATTGTTGGCAGGCTCATTCTGAGTCTTGGACTGTTCAAAGAAGAATATTGGGAAATTGGATCCATCGTTAATCTCGACACCTAGTTTTTCCGTCTAGGTGTCGTTTCATTTTAGAGATCTACATTCTTTCGCCTGATGTATATGTTGTAATTCTGTCAGTGTTCGTATGCATGCTTATCATGCTTGGAACCGCTGTGCATCTGCTTTGTCCGACGAGTTGCGCCTCATGTTTTGAGAACAATCCAGTGCTATGTCAAAGCGGTGTTGCGCGTCGTCAGAGTACTGGTCTAAAGCTTGCGGTGCAGAGAATATGAGCATCCAAGGTGCCATGGAGCAATGCTCTTCTGGCCTAGAGTGCATGCAATTTGTGTCCATCCGAAACATGGGTCTTGGGCCCGCTGCGTCTACCAGACTGTCGGAGCTGTAACGGACTTGAAGCTATTCGCACATTTTCTCAATGAGACACGCATGATCAGACGTTGTGGCTCGGCGCTTCTAATTATAACCGCGGTATTTTATTACAAGAGTAACTGTTCGATGATGTCGTAACCTGTTGTTTTAAACCAGTGGTAGTCTTGTGCATCATCAATGCCTACGGGTGGTTGGTTGCCCCCAATGACTCTTGAAGTCGAAGTCATGAGATCTCACATTGCAAGATCACGATGTACCGAAGCTGGAATGTATGTTCGTAACATCTCTTGTTAAATCGATCATCTCTTGGTCATTTATTGTGTTGTTCTCTTTAATTAAGAACAAAACACCATGTACTTCCTGCGTCCCCTTCTGATGCTCCAGGGTGAGATCCAGATGAACGAACATACCGAGAAATCTTAAAACAAGCGAACAAAGACTCTTGCTCATACTTTTAATCCATTGTGCACCCAAACAACGCTTTGTTTTGCTAAGAAACAGGCATCTGTTCTGCACTGCGCTGCCACTGCGTTCACCTGTTCGCCAGCTGCACTACCAGTGAATCAACATATAAACTGCACTTCACCACCAACACCAAATCATCTATCCCCAAACACATCAAACACATCAACTCTTGGAAAGCAAAACCACTATTACAACTGCACGACATCAAACGCAAAGATGTCTTCCTTCACTACAATCACCACCTCCGCTGTCTCAGCTGCCACATCAGCCAGCGAAACAACTTTCATCGAAGACGGATCCCACTCTGACAAAATCGCCATCATCGGCATGACTATCGGCATGGTACTCCTCTTCCTCATCTTCATCTTGCCCTGTATTTGCTTTCAGGGTCTCGCGCACTTGCAGCAGAAGAGAGAGGAGAAGAAGGTGGCTATGGAGCAGGCGGCGCGCGATGCAGGGCTTGGAAGGGTGGTTGCTGAGCAGAGAAGTCTCAATATCTATGAACGGGATGCGGTGCCTGGTGCGCAGGTTTGAGAGGATGAAGAAGGTTGGATGGGTGTGCTGGTTCATACTCAGAGAATGAATACAATGATCTGCATCGAACTGATGCGAGTGCTTTCCATCGGATATGTGTGCCAATATTTAGTGACAATAGCCGTAACTCGAATGAATGGCGACCCCTCTTTTGCCGTTTGCATATGGGTCTAGATAAACTTCAAATCCCAATTTCAAACGCTCCATAAACATCTTCCGTATTGTGCCCCGTTTGCCTGCTGTTCAATGTCGCTCCCATTGACGATGGCTTCTCTCCTGTTCCAGCGTTTGCCCTCAGGATGAGGATAAATATCGCCAATTCCTCCGTCAAGGAGCCTTTCGCCTACGAATTCTTCGACAACTCATACTCATCTTGAGGGACAAAGCCAATCTCGAGAGAAGAATCTTGCAAACATCCCCAAACAACATCTTGGTAGAGTCTCCCCACCATCACATCATCCCTTATCACCACTAACCCGCCACAGGAGTCACCAAGCAACCGCAATCATGAGCACCCCTCATCTCAAGCCCCGAATGAACAACATCGATACCGATGTCTTCGTCGTTTGTATCTGCGCCATGGTCTTCATCGTCTTCATTGGTGTTATTGTGTACTTCGCTTGGCGACCTGGCCCCGAGCCTCGCAGCGACACTACTGATACCACTCGTCCTCGCCGCCCCGCCACCAACTCTCACGACGACGAGGATGGCCCTGATGCTCGTCGCGACTCTGATGCCGCCGGGTGCAACCTCCCTTGGTTCCGCCGCCGTCAAACTACCCTCGAGCGCAACACCTACCCCCTCGAGTCCGTCCCGGGAACCCCGCACCCTCGTAATGGTGTTAACATCTAGACACAGCGTTGATGGTCATTGAACTATGGACTGGGTCGTGGTCGATATTTCGAAAGGGAAATTGGAATGCTAGAGAAAATATCCTGTAACGGAAGGGTATCGAAGTGGTGGACACTCACTAAAGCCAAAGGCAGTCCAGTCATCCCAAATAAAACACACTCTACAATCATCTAGACCACTCTTTACCCGTGAATGAATATTTGAATGACAAGTTTATTGGTACAGTAAATAACCCTGGTAGTCCAACCGTCCGTAAATCAACCTGCGCCGCTCTATTCCTGAAATGCACCCTACTCCTTGGAGATTCCCGTCCGTGCCTCGCCAAATTTTCGTCTTGTTGTTCGACTCTATTACATGCTGCCCATGGGGAAATTGCCATATAACGAAACCGGTAGTTGAGTCTGCTGCTGTGGTGGTTGAATCATGGTCCCCCACATATCCCAGTTCAGAGTCGAGACATCCAGGTAGTTGCCCAAGAATGGATCAAGATCTGTCATTTGGGTTGCGTTTGGAGGAGCATTGGTGGTCGGCTGTTGTGGTGAGGGCTCGGAATTTCGACTTTCGCTCATTACAACGTCTCGTATGCGATAGATAAAGTTTGGTGTTTCGAGGACCTGACCATCTTCTCTGAATGCTTGTTCGCGGTTCTTCCATGCCTTCAATACTGTCTGTGCCTGAATATAGTTGGACTTGTGACTCATATCCAAAAGTTCAGGGTGGTAATGATAGATCTTCTCTACCATATTCCAGGCGCGGGCAGCGAGCGATCCCCTCGGTCGTTGACAAAGCTGTTTCACCATAACAGTAAAGACATCAACCTGGAAATGATATTTCATGAACCAGAGGAATCCCGTCTGGTCCATTATTCCGTAAGCATCGGTGCTGTGTTCGTTATTCATCAAGACAATTTTGAATAGATTGTCCTTCTTGTCGCGAATCTCTCCATTTTGCCATTCAGGCTGTTCTCTCATTGGGATCATCATCTCCCTCATCTTACTGCAAATCATGGGACGGATGCTGAGCGCAGCAATGTGTACGTTTCCAGCGGTCGGGTCGATGTATCGAGCTTCCACCTCCAATAGATTCTGTTCCAATGTTTCTACCAAATCTCTGTACTCCTGGAGAGTCGGGACATTCGAGGGGTCTTGACCTTCAAGGTCTCCCATAACGGCAGCTTCCAAACCAGGGTGACCGTGAAGAGATTCTGCGTTGACTAAAAACTTGGCGATCTGGTAGCCGATTAGACAAAAGGCCATTTCTGTAGGTCCCTCGCGCGGTTGAATGGGCTCGACTGATCCGGGGAACAAGTCGGCATCGTTTACGTTTTGTGGCATCTTGGTATCCCAGCTGCTAGGGAGAAGCGAGTGACTCAATCCAGAGACCAGGGCGTTCTTTGTGTCTTGTAGGATGATCTGCCACCACATACGTCGTCGCATTTCAGTCTCAAAAGCATTGAGGCCGAGGTAATCACCATCGCGATGGTAACCCATTTTCTGGGCAATTCGTACAACCATACCGCTCAAGATCCAGGCAGCATGGCGATCGTACCGATTCTGAAGAGACAACTAGACCCTGTCAGCTCAAAATCGCATGCAGCACAAAATGATCTTACCAGGTACAGTAGCAATGCCTGCAGAGCCACCATATCATAGTTCTTCAAAAAGTTGAATTTTGTCAGTGCCAATTTGGTTCCGATGGTGTAGCGTCGTAGAGCTTCATCTCGCGTAGTTCCCAGCATCTGGAGGCATTCGGTTTCGGATAAAGATACGGTCGCCATGGTAAAGATGGAAAACATCAGAGCCTGGTAGTTGAGGGGGATCTTGTTCACGTCGGTGGCCATCTCCAACGCAAATGGCTGAACGGATGGGACATGGATGATCTTTGTCAGGGGGTTGACGCGGTCAACAAACAATTGCCAGAGTCTAAAGATGTGAACGGGATCGGGTTGGTGGTCCTCGATAGATCTGTTCGAGGCATCAGAAGGGATCAAAAGATCAATGTTGTAATCCGGGCTCAGGTCCTCGGATCCCATAACGCTGGCTTCTTCTGGGTCATCAGTATCGACAATTTCCCTCATGGCTTGTAGCTTCATGATGTTAGTTTTGTATAGTAGTTAGTGGCGGATCACGCACCTCGTCATGAATGTTTGCCCAAAGATAACTATCCATGAAACGGACGCCACCCTCTTCCTTGACCATCTTGCCTGCTGGCTTCCACTTGGTCTGACCATCAATATTGGTTGGTGTGGCAGGGTAAGCATCTTGCATAGAGCCATTGGTAGCAGGCGAATGAGTCATGGCAGCCGGTGATGGTACAGAGCCATCGGCATACTGCTTCAATAATTGTTCACATCTCGCCAGACGTTCTTGAAGATCTTGATTTGGTCTCCGGCGCTTCCTAGCAGGAGCAGGAGTGCTTGGGGTGCATGTGACATTGGCCTTGCAGAGTTAGTCGCGGATCCTATATACAGTCTATAAAAGCAAGGGCGGAGTATTTAAGATGGCCGCCACAATGCAAAAGAGGTCAGGGACTATGGGTCAATGAACGCACCTTGATGCAATTCGAACAGGGCGTGTTTCGATCGCATTTGATCTTTCGGTGTTGACATAAGACACAAGCCAAGACACGGGGCGACTTGTGAGAATGCGCATGGCCCGAGCCAGATCCAGACGCCATATTATTTGACATATCCTCGTAGAAAGAAAAAATAATCTCACATAACCAGTTCCTGAAAGGTTCGATGAGATTTGATTTGGAGGTGGAAGTCGAGTAAAGTAGAGTAAATTATGCTATGACGCCAATGTGAGCTCCACTGGTAGAGTTAGGTTTGGTTAGGTTAGGCAGGTAGAGGTTACGGGTACGGGCATGCGCAAACGGAAGCGGAAACTGGGGTCTTTTTGAAGCCCGCCACTGCCACTTTCGCTGGGCTGCCGCTGGGGTCAGGTGAGGGGGAGGGGCACAAGCGATAGCTCAGAGATTGAATACTGTAGAAACAAAGATGATAAGGGAATGTAAAGAATAAATTTAGGTAAATGTAAAATGTGTAGGCTATAAACTGGCCAAAAGATAATAAGCAAGGCAGCTGACTGGACCGTAAGATCCCGAGTCTACCGGTACAATCAAGGTCCGTCTCTGCTAGGGGTCTGGGGCTGTCTGGTTGTCTGGTGCCTGTCCAGGTGTTCAGTTGGTGCTTCTTCAGTTGGTATTGGACGTCGCTAGCTGAGCCGCTGCATAAAAGCTGACCTAGGTGAATTAAACCCGCATACCGGGATCCGCGAATTCCGTATCAGATGTTTGTTCATTCAGGGGTATAAGAAGGATGACAATTCTCTATCAAATCTCATAAAAGGGAGAAAGTCTAGGGCTTGGCTAGGCAATTATATTGTTGCCTTACTTTTCTGGTCCGATAGATCTCGTTAACTCCATACCTGGCTCAACATTGATCCAACGCCAGGTTCGAATGCAAAGTTTCAAATGGATTGAACATTCACGTTAGAATCTCTCCGAATGGACCAATTACGAGTACTTGGGTCCGAGAGCGAGCCGCTTCTTTGAATAGCGGCGGAGTTTGGAGTCAAGTCCGCCGCAACGGGATAACGGCGGATGAGTCAAGTTGAAGAAGCCACATGTATAAATTATTAGATCAAATCTGTGTGCACGATACCCGAGAGACTAATAACGGTATTTGGTTTGTCTAAACGAATACGCGAAAGATAGTCGTCGACTGTTACAGAAATACAGACCCCAGTCAAAGGATCAGTTACGCTAACGTCTGGATTTTTCGTAAAGCTCGGAAGCTTCGGGAGGTTAAGCCACTTAAGCTACATCTGGTGGCTTATGCGAGCCTTTGCGCCAAGGGAAACGTTCTGTTCCAACTTCCAAGCTTGACGTATCTCCGCAGACTTTCGATGACGGATGACTCTACCGGTATCTAAGCAGTTCTAGTTTCGACAAGGGCCAGGGCCATAAACTTTCCGCATGTTACCTTCGGCGGCCACTTATATGCGAAACCTCCCGTCATATAGAGCGGGATATAGACCCTGCCGGACGATATATGGCCGACTCTCCCGGTTGGAGATCTACGTTTTAGAGCCCTACGTGTTCTGTTCCATTCGTGATATGCCGAAGACCTCATGATCAATACTCGGTTAAACGGCTTGCTTATAATCATGCTGTTACGTCGGTAGGAGTCACCGGCGCTCTGTCCTTCAACATAACTACCATGATCCTTGATACTTATTGTATAAGGCGAACATAGACTTGCCAATTGTTGCTGGGTGAAAAGCATTGCCAGGGACGGGATTCTATGAGAAAAGTTAGTAATAGTCAGCGCCAGAAGGTGATCATCAACGGCCAAGACGTCCTTGGCTTTCTCCATCGACAGGCTGCAGTAAAAGAACAGATTATATCACTGTTTTTGACAAGATTTGGCAGGGCGGGTTTGAGTAAAGCAGTCCCACCTGGTTGGTACAAGGCTATCACAGATCCTCATGGTCTTGATCTCCGCCTCGGCGAATAGTCACTATCCGAAACGATCCGCAGCGTTTCGGGGTCTATCTGAAGGGCGGTAGTCTGTGCAGTCACTGTCCGAAGAATATCTTATGACATATCCGCATACTCATTAGATAGATCACGAATATTTGAACAAATTTGTATTCATTCTGAGAACATAGACCCTAGTTCTGGACCAGAGTCTGCCTCATCTTCTTTCGTCTCAGTCTTTTGTTTCTCTTTTCTTTGTTCCACCGGCACAAGCGATGTCCTAGCCTTCTTGCGGACAACACGTCTATGAGTCGCACTCTTCAAATGAGCGGCCCAGGCCTCCTCAGTCATCAATGTCGTATGACAAACTTCGCATGTACGTTTGCATGGTGTTGCCTTGGGAGGTGGTTTGCCAACCTGTGTTAGAACCTCTTGGGCAAGTTCAGATATCTCAGTCGGTAGTGGACGATCTTCTCCCCGAAGGAACTGCTGTGCCAATTTTACCGCAGGCTCAACCACGTTTTTACCGTACTCGGAAACATCGGTGCTGTCGAGCAGATACATGTTCTTCATGGCTTCTGGGCCGACTTCGTGGATTCGTGGGATCTGCTTGAGTCTGATCCAGCGGGTTTGGTAAGAGGCGTATTGTCTTGTGGCCGCCTTCATCTTTTCAAGTCCAGCAGTCTTCAATTTCTCAATGGCGGCAGGATCTTGTCCTTCGTCGATGGCAGCCAGGTACGGTTCAAACTGCTTGTAACCAATCGACTGCCATATACCCTTTGTCATATCGAGAATTTGCCCCTCTGCTTCTTTCTTGTGTTTAAAGTCGTAGAGCTCTCGCACTTCATCCATGAGTCCACCCGTCTGCATCTTGTCCACTCGCTTATCCAGACGTTCACATAATACCTCGCGCTGGGAATAGACCCAGAATAACAAGTTCTCCCAAGGTTCTTTGTTGGCATCTTGTTGCGCAGCTTCTTTTCTCGCTTGCTGTTCAGCATAATAGTCAGATGCTCGCTTGCCGCTCTTCAAGTAAATTTCCAGGGATCGCTGGATCTTGCGACGGTCTTTTGGGTGCCATCTCTCAGCCATGATAGCATCGACTTTTCGAAGCTCATGAAGCATAACTTCAGCCGATTCCTGTAAAATGGGAAAGGATTCGGTGGTATTCAGTTCTAGATCGTCTAGAATAACCTCTTTGAAGAGTATCGGATCGACATAATACTGCGATCCGCCGACAAGAATCGGTAGCCGACCCCGGTCACGAATCTCGCGTATCGTGCGAGTAGCTTCCCGCTTGAAGTCATCAACGTCCCATGGTTGCTCATCCAAGGATATATGGCCAAGAAGATGATGAGGAATACCACGCTGCTCCTCAGTTGTAATTTTATTAGTGATGATTGATAGGCCGTTGTATAGTTGCATAGCATCAGCATTGATGATTTCGCCATTCAACCGGGTAGCAAGCTCAACCGCCAACTATACAATGTCAGAAGGCCCTGGTCAGACAGCTTCTCACTTACATCTGACTTGCCCGTACCCGTAGACCCTAGCACAACCACGAGAGGCGCAATTGGAGGTTTTGCAGACATTGTAGTGACATTTCGCCTGAGTAGAGGACCCAGGCGACGAAGCATCTAAGGTAAGAATGCCATATGGCGATGAATCACTAACCAAATCTTTAAACGGATTCACTGAGTCAAATCATGACTGACATCAAAATATGTTCCAGAACAGGCAAAAGCGGAGACAATTTGGCGGAAAAATGAGTGTGGGGCGTAAAAAGCTAAGCTACAGGTGTAATTGGTCTCAGAAGCTGAAACCCCTTTGTTAATTCAGAGGGAGGAGCTAGAGCAAACAACCCACTGTTAGAGGCTGGAAGCTCAGGGAAGCTCTCACAACTTCGCCCCCCTGTACTGGGGAAAGTCACGTGTCTCTCCACTCCCAATATTGGACACATCTACATTTTGGGCCATTGAAGCCAGATCGCCTACCTCCGCCCCCCCAGCTCTCCTTTAATTATTCTCCCATCGACCCTCCAAATCGCCTGGGCTCTTTAAGCTCAGCATCTTCTTTTTTCTTTCTTTCTCCCCTTCATTGGATGAATAGTCCAATTCTTGTTTCTCCTTAGTATCGTTGCCCACCATGAGTTCCCGTAAGTCAAACCATTCTTGTTTCTGCTGGTCGCGAGCTCTACAGCTCAAGGTTTGAGCTCGCGCGATCATTTATGCACGCAGTTGACATCCAATTGGCATTGAATCATCAAGCTAACATGACTTTCCTCGATAGTCCGATTCCTTGACTTGGTCAAGCCGTTCGTGCCGTTCCTCCCTGAGGTTCAGCAGCCGGAGACCAAGATTCCCTTCAACCAGAAGCTGATGTGGACGGCCCTGACCCTCCTCATCTTCCTGGTCATGAGCCAGATGCCTCTCTACGGTATCGTCTCCTCCGACAACTCGGATCCTCTATACTGGCTGCGAATGGTTATCGCGAGTAACCGTGGTACTCTGATGGAATTGGGTATTACCCCCATCATCTCCTCTGGCATGGTTTTCCAGCTCCTTGCTGGCACCCACATGATCGACGTCAACCTTGACCTCAAGTCCGACCGCGAGCTTTACCAGACCGCCCAGAAGCTTCTTGCTTTCATCCTCTCCGCCGGTACTGCCACTGTCTACGTCTTCTCCGGTCTCTACGGACCTCCCTCCGACCTTGGTGCCGGTATTGTCTTCCTCCTGATCCTCCAGCTGGTTGTTGCTGGTATGATTGTTATCCTCCTTGATGAGCTCCTCCAGAAGGGCTATGGTCTTGGCAGCGGTATCTCTCTGTTCATTGCCACCAACATCTGCGAGTCCATCATGTGGAAGGCTTTCTCCCCCACCACCATCAACACTGGCCGTGGTCCCGAGTTTGAGGGTGCTGTTATCGCCCTCTTCCACCTTCTCTTCACCTGGCCCAACAAGCAGCGAGCTCTCCAGGAGGCTTTCTACAGACAGAACCTCCCCAACATCATGAACCTTTTGGCCACCATTGGTGTTTTCGCCGCTGTTATCTACCTCCAGGGTTTCCGCGTCGAGATCCCCGTCAAGTCTTCTCGCCAGCGTGGTGCTCGTGGTTCTTACCCCGTCCGCCTGTTCTACACCTCCAACATGCCCATCATGCTGCAGTCCGCTCTCTCTTCCAACGTCTTCCTTATCAGCCAGATGCTCTACTCTCGCTTCTCTGAGAACCTCCTTGTCCGTCTTTTCGGTGTCTGGGAGGCTAAGGATGGCTCTTCTCAGCTCCACGCTGCTTCCGGTCTCGTCTACTACATGTCTCCTCCCCAGAGCATGAAGGACGCCCTTCTCGACCCCATCCACATGAGCGCCTACATCATCTACATGCTTGGTGCCTGCGCTCTCTTCTCTAAGACCTGGATTGAGGTTTCCGGTTCCAGCCCCCGCGATGTTGCCAAGCAGCTCAAGGACCAGGGTCTCGTCATGGCCGGTCACCGTGACCAGTCCATGTACAAGGAGCTCAAACGCATCATTCCTACCGCCGCTGCCTTCGGTGGTGCTTGCATTGGTGCCCTCTCTGTCACCAGCGACCTTCTTGGTGCTCTTGGCTCCGGTACCGGTACTCTCCTTGCTGTTACGTAAGTTGCAATGAATCCTAAAGCTTAAGACCTATACTAACAAGATGCAGAATCATCTACGGCTATTTCGAAATCGCCGCCAAGGAGGGTGACATGTCCGGTATGAAGGGCATGATCATGGGCTAAAAACCCATCGAACGAACGAACAGGGGCGATGCTTCAGCCTCAGAGTTATGACCCGTTAAAGACGGGTGTATTATGTATCAACAGTAAAGAGGATGAAAGATAAAATAGTTAACATGTTTTTTGTTTCCTTTTTGCAACAGGCCGGGGAGTCGGGAAGTGATGTCAATGGTTGGAAAGGGTATTCGGGCAACGATTATGGCTGCCATGTCAATATTACAAAAAGCTCAAGAGCTGTCATGACGGGTTAGTTGAAGGGACGTTATATGTCGATGCCAAGTGTGGCAGATATGAACGTACTCTTGTAACTCTAGAACGATCTATGAATGACATTATTTAATGCCAATTGTTGGTCTGATGTTTGATGTGTAGATGATCGAACTGTACAAGAATGTAAAGCTGTAGCTGCAAACACCAGTCAGGGTAACAGCAACCATATGTCTGCAACACTAGATCACTTGCTCAGTTGTTTACTTGCACATGTTGCTTACCATGCGTCCTCTGCAGAATGTCTCACAAGAAAAGCAGTACAAGTCTCACCGGTCCTGCAGCAATGAGGCCCTCATCATATCACAATGGTCCAACAGGAACACACCCAGTATACCGCTATATAACCAAGCTTCAATTGGTCAAAGACGTTGAGTGTAACCGCATATACGGCAGGGAAACGTGGGGGAGCTTTTTCAAGGGACCTGGGGTTAGACTAGAGTTGCATCGAGTTCGGATACAAGCTGTTATCCGGCGGTGAGGGTTCGTTAGACAAGGCCAATCAAAGATGGATATCTTGTGATCAACTTGACGGTTTGCATATGTTGAGGCTGAGAATGGACGACGAACATGTGCTTGCACGATAAGGTACTTATTAGACAATACTATTGTGCCAATGCACCCATTAACTGAGCTCGTAAGTGTTGCCTGCAAGGTTAGTTCCGCAGATATTGTTTCCTCGGTATTGTCCGTCGTATTGTCTGCATATCATCCTTCGAGTCCAGCCTTCAGTTTGCGCTTAGACCGCAGGGTGGCTGGCATGTTCCCTCGAAGATCTAATCCCTGCTTGAAGAAAACAACCCAAGATTTCAGCTCTTGGGCAGCAGTGTGTGCGAATCCTTGTAGGGTAACTTTGATGAAAGTTTGTTGACCATGGTGCGGCCTGAACTCTTGACCGCATTGTGACCGTTTCGTAAAATAAAAGTTACTTTCATCTGTGCTTACGTGTAGGTACGGTGTAAGCAATCAAGCTTGGTTCAATAACGTACATGCATTGAGGTTATCAAGGGATGAGGAGTCTGTAGATTGTGGAAGGGTGAGCTCGACCAACATGGGGAGCCAACCATGATGACAAGTTACGAGTGATTGCCATCATAAATAAGGAAATCAGCCATCCATTAAAGTTATCGTCTAATTGAGAATCACGATCCCAGATCGTCGCCATGTCTACCAGACCTCAAGGCGCGTGCGTGGAAATTGGACAAGGTTATACTGGCATTTCGCTGATTCATAAACAACAGACCACGTACGTTCCTCTCGAGAATTGCCGTCCCTATTTAGCTGTCAACAAAGCCTCGCCCTTTTTTTCGAGTCAGGTTATTAAAAGGGACACGGTCTTGTCGGTATTGATGTCCGAGCCAAGTTGCCATCACGTCATGACTGGCATTTGTAAGATAAGGCTGCTGTAATGAGTTACCTGTCACAAAAGCACGTATACCATAGTGAGTCAGGTACCTTTGTTAATTGCACTAACTGGTCGAGCTCTGAATAATCTTGATAGAATAAGTTTCTGAGACAGTGGCTTAACGTTCGTACATCCTTGTCGAGCTTGTGACCAGTGACTCGGAATGACAAGGGTTATGATATCAATCAGTAGTATTCGTCTCGAGTGAAGCTTCAAAACAATGAAACTTCTCCTCAAAGCCCTGGAGGTCAAGATTATAGAATCCTGACGAACTACACCTGCTTGAAGCGGAGTAGTCAAGGTACAGAGTCCCCGCCGCCCCCGTCATAGAACTGGGGTAGTACCACACTTTGGCATCATTCATGGGACTGGCAGTCAAGTAAATGTTTGTCATGACAAAGTCTTGTGATGGAGAATTGTTAATGTGAATGTTTACATGTAGTGAGGCTGGCATTTAAAGTTAAAATCCAATTGATAGTGAAAGAAATTGAAGAGCCTAATGATCAAGGAATGACCTAGACACTCCCAAGCCAGACTAGGACATACAAAGGTTTCGTGCAGCGCAGGGCAACATCGCATCGCATCGTCAACCTGGACCTGGTCCGGTTATTGCCCCACTAAAGCTTCATGAACTCCCTGACCGACACCAGTAAAAAGTACCTCCACTTCTTCCCCCGTCTCAACCAACAAGAGTTTGGTTTGCTCTGGTCTTGTTATCTCAAGCTTGTATTGTTTGGGACTGGCTTTGCATCGGCTTCTTTTCTTCAACGGCCGTTCCTTCTCTCTTCAACTCTTCCTTCCTTCCTCTCCTCATTCCTCCTTCCCTACATGTAGAGTAGGTGCAGTCAAAACTTTACGGTTCGACTGTATTCTTCATCTATCGCCTTCATTGGCATCCGTATAATTTCCCTTTTCCCTATTTCTCTTTTCTTTGAGTATACTTTTAGTTGTTTACGGTCTTTACAAGACGTCATTCGCCTGAGAGCTCAGAGTATACATTCAAACTCTGCAGACTACTTTAAAGATCGACAGCGACATCAGTATTGCGACAACGACTGCGATAACGAAAAGTCTATTCTTTGCGACCAAAACGCATCGTCAAGTTCGCAATTGCTTCTACGACCATCAGGGTTCGTCAGAATCACGGTCGACCAAACCACCCTCCGGTGCTAGTGACGTTTGACCGGGATACTTGCGACAACGATACTTCCGACGCCGCAGCCACCGCTACCGGTCCGACGCGTGCAACCCACCATTGGGATCACCTGCCCCGACTCATACTGTCTAATAACTCTTTTCACACGACTCAACAAATCCATTGTCGCACTAACGCCGCGAATCCCTTGATTTTCCCGCCTCCGCGGCAGTCTCTCACCTCAGTGAGTTCGACACATAATCTCTGAAACAATGGGGTTTGCGCGGTGTGAGGGGCCTGTATGGGGGATTGACGACTTCAGTGTCTGTTTCCGACAAGAGTTTGTACTCCCTGGTTTCTCCGACATCCAATTGACTGGCTGACCAATTTTGTGCTACAGTTATCTGCAGATCCTCTTCCCTCTAATCGCCCTATTTCTTTCCGTCGCGCTTATCGCCTGGACCACCATATCCCGCGCTTTAAGCTCCTGGTCCAAATCTAAAGCCAGGTATCAACAGCTTTCCAGCGAGGACCGCCGACATAGCCATACCGATCTCCCTCCCGAGCAGGTTGATGATTCCGATGACGATGCACTCGAGATTAACGGAGGCCGTTTGGCTCTTGTCAAGACCACAACTCGTGGTTCTATTGTTCAAGCCGACACCCCACCTGGACAAGTGATTTCGCAAATCGTCGAAGAACTCGCTATCGCTGGACTTGTTGCGGTCAATGTCATCCAGCTTTCTTCTGGAAGCAAGGGACGCCATAGCCGCGCTGCAGCAATTACTGGACTTGTCATCTGGGTCTACGTTTTTATTCTGTCGACTCTGCGACTCGTTCTCGGCGCTCTGAAATGGCGAGGACCTCATCTTTGGAACCACACGGCCTTCCTCTACAGCTTCAACTGGGTTATCTCGATCTTCCTCTTCCGCTCAGCTTTCCTCACAAATGACATCAGCCGAGTCGATCAGATTACAACATTCGTGGAGTTTGGTCTCATTACACTCCTTTTCGGAATGGCAATGACCACTAGAAAGGGCAACAAGACGGTTCGCTTGGAATGGGAGGACGGCATTGAGCCTTCTCGCGAGCCCTTGGCCAGTCTGTTCTCTCTTGCTGTGTTCGGCTGGGTCGATGCGATCGTCTGGAAGGGCTGGAAGGCCCCAATGGAGATGGAGCATGTCTGGAATCTCCTGCCCAAGGACAAGGCCGCTGCTGTTATTGCTGATTACCGTCAGATGAAGCGAACAGGATCTCTTGCCATGCATCTACTCAAGTATTTCCGAAGAGATTTGCTCATTCAGTGCGCCCTCGCTGTCCTTGCCGGACTCTTCACTTTTGCGCCAACCCTTCTCCTCAAGGTGATTCTTGAATTTGTCGAAAACTACGGAACCGTGTCAGAGAACGACCGACCGATTAACGTTCTTTGGCTCTACGTTATTGGCCTCCCCGTAGTCGACCTTATACGTTCATACGCCGATAACCAAGCTCTCTGGATTGGTCGAAAGATCTGCATTCGAGTTCGAGCCCTTATCATTGGCGATATTTATGCCAAGGCCCTTCGTCGCAAGGCCTCTGCAGGCAAGGACAAAGTGCTGCTTGACGAGGACAAGCCTAAGGCCACCAAGGGCGACGATGCTCAGGATGGTCTCATTGGCAAGCTTAAGCGAGCCCTCAACATGAAGAAGGACGACAAGAAGGCCACCCCCAACGATGCCGAATCTGCCAACGACCCCATTAAGGATGACAAGAAGGACGATTCCAACGATGAGCAGGCCAACCTGGGAACTATCATCAACCTCATGTCTATTGACAGCTTCAAGATCTCCGAGGTCACTGCCTACCTTCACTTCCTGTGTGCTTCTGCGCCCACCCAGCTGGTTGTCGCCATCGTTCTGCTCTGGCAGGTCATGGGTCTTAGTGCCATCCCTGGTATTGTCGTCATGATCTTCCTTCTGCCCGTCAACTACGGCCTTGCTCGTGGTTTCACCATCACCTCCAAGCGAATTCTTGCAGCCACCGATAAGCGTACTAATGTTACCAACGAGGTTCTGCAAAACATTCGCATCATCAAGTACTTCGCCTGGGAGCAGCGCTTTGGCCGTATCATCGACGAGAAGCGTCAAGCTGAGCTCAAGGCATTGCGCTCGCGATTCATGGTCTGGGCATTGGCTGTTGCTATCTGGAACTCCGTGCCTGTCCTTATCACTTTCTTCTCATTCCTGGTTTACACTTTCGTCGAGCAAAAGCCTCTGAAGCCATCCATTGCCTTCACAGCCATTTCTCTCTTCATGCTCCTCCGTGTTCCTCTTGATCAATTTGGTGACATGTTCGCCCACGTTCAGGAAACCAAGGTTTCCATCGATCGTGTTGAGGAGTTCCTCATGGAGGAAGAGACTGATAAGTACGTCCAGCTTGGCTTGGATAACGTTGATGAAGATGGCGTCAGACGAATTGGTTTCAAGAACGCTACCCTCACCTGGGGCAGCAAAGAGACTGTTTCCGAGGACAGCACTCGTGCCTTCCGACTCATGGACCTAGACATTGACTTCAAGATTGGCAAGCTCAACATTATCGCTGGTCCTACAGGCTCTGGAAAGACGTCAATGCTGATGGGTCTCCTCGGAGAAATGACTTTGATCGATGGAGGTGTCTACTGTCCTGGTGGCCGCAGCCGAGAAGAGGTTCACCCTGATCCTGAGACTGGTCTCGCTAACACAATCGCATACGTCGCACAGTCTGCTTGGTTGGTCAACGCTAATGTCCGCGAAAACATTCTCTTCTCTATGCCATTCGACGAACAACGATACCGCGACGTCATTGTAGCTTGCGCCTTGGAACGCGATCTCCAGATTCTCGATAACGGTGACGAAACTCTGGTCGGTGAAAAGGGTATCACACTCTCTGGTGGACAGAAGCAACGTATCTCTCTCGCTCGCGCGCTCTACTCCAACTCGGCCCATCTCCTGCTTGACGACTGTCTGAGTGCCGTCGACTCTCACACTGCTCAATGGATCTTCAGCAACTGTATCCGCGGACCTCTCATGAAAAACCGTACTTGTGTCCTCGTCACCCACAACACAACTCTTTGCGTTCCTTCCTCCGACTACGTTGTGCTCTTGGAGAACGGTCGAGTCGAAATCCAGGGACCTTCCGCTGAGGTTATCGCTTCCGGCAAGCTTGGTGAGGAGATCCAAAAGTCTCATCCCGGCTCAGCAAACCCCTCAAGAATTCCTTCTCGTGTTCCCTCCAGCGTCGGCGATGATGAAACTACGGTAAACGGCCAGGGTGATGCACTCGATGGTGTGGACAGCTCTAAGAAGGACACCCAAAGCAAACCCAAGAAGGATGCCATGGAAGAGACCAAAGCCACTGGTTCAGTCAAATGGCCCGTTCTTAAGCTTTATCTCGGTGCTATGGGACCATGGTGGTTCTGGGTTGTTGCTTTGTTTGTGTTTGTTGCTCAGCAAGTCTCTGGATTGGCTACCAACCTCTGGGTCAGAGAATGGGCGAACCAATATGTTGAGCAGGGTACCCCTATGGCTATGGAAGTCAAGTCAAACGCTTACTCCACCTCACAATTCTCAAAGGCCACCTTTGCTAATGCGGTTCGAATGGGTTCCGCAGACCACAGCACTGAACCCCTCAACGGACAGATCACCTTGCAAGCCGGACACGAGAACGTTAATGCCATGTACTACCTGACTGTTCTTGCTGTCATCGGTATTGCCGGTGCTCTTGCGGCTTTGTTCAGAGATCTCTGGGTATTCTTGGGCTCGCTGACTGCCTCCAAGAGCATTCACGACCGACTGATCGCATCTGTGACCCGAGCCAAGTTCAAGTTCTTTGATGTCACCCCTCTTGGTCAATTGATGAACCGTTTCAGCAAGGATCTGGAGGCTGTTGACCAAGAGATTGCACCTGTCGCCATTGGTGTCATCAGCTGTGGCATTTCTCTTCTGATGACTGTTGGTCTTATTACATATATCACACCCAACTTTCTCTTCGCCGCCGCCGGCATTTCTGTGCTGTTCTACCTCATCGCTGTCTTCTACCTCCGTGCCTCGCGCGATCTCAAGCGACTCGAAGCCGTCCAGCGCAGTCCTTTGTTCCAGCAATTCGGCGAAACACTCAGCGGTATGACCACCATCCGAGCTTATGGTGATGAGCGACGATTCATCCGGGACAACCTTGAGAAGGTCAACGTCCAAAGTCGACCCTTTATCTACCTGTGGGCCTGCAATAGATGGCTGGCCTTCCGTGCTGATCTTGTGGGAGACTTGGTGGCCTTCTTTGCTGGTATGTTCCTCATTCTCAACCTCGGTAAGACCGATGCTGGCGCTGCTGGTATTTCCCTGAGCTATGCTTTGAGTTTCACCGAGAGTGTCTTGTGGCTTGTGCGACTTTATGCCATCAACGAACAAAACATGAACTCTATGGAGCGTATCAAGGAGTATCTCGATGTCGAGCAAGAGTCCGATGCTATAATTGAGGACAGCCGACCTCCCGTTGACTGGCCCCAGAAGGGATCCGTCGAGTTCGTTGACTACACTACCAGCTACCGCAAGGAACTTAACCCTGTCCTGCAAAACATTTCCCTCAAGATCGAGCCTCAAGAAAAGGTCGGTATTGTTGGAAGAACCGGTGCAGGCAAGAGTTCACTGGCTCTCGCTATCTTCCGAGCGCTAGAGGCAGACGAGGGCAAGATTCTCATCGATGGACTGGATATCAGCAGCATTGGTCTTCAGGATCTGCGAGAGAACATCACCATCGTGCCTCAAGATCCTACACTATTCCACGGAACAATTCGAAGCAACTTGGATCCTTTTGACCAATACACCGACGACCAAATCTTTGCGGCTCTTCGAAGGGTTCAACTTATTGGACCCGATGAGCCCTCAACGTCGCCTCCTACACCCACAGTTCCCGATTCAACAACTACCAAGACCAACCAGAACATCTTCTTGAACCTTCAATCTACCGTCGCGGCTTCTGGCACTAACCTGTCACAAGGACAGCGTCAGCTCCTGTGTCTTGCTCGAGCTATGCTCAAGGCTCCTACAGTGTTGGTCATGGATGAAGCAACCGCCTCCATCGACTACGCTACCGACTCCAAGATCCAAGAGACAATCCGAGAGCTTACTGGTACAGTGATTACCATTGCTCACCGATTGGCTACCATTGTGGATTACGACAAGGTGCTCGTTCTTGACAAGGGTCAGGTGGTGGAGTATGCTCATCCATGGGAGCTCATCAACAACAAAGAGGGTACATTCCGCAGCATGTGTGACATGAGCGGCGAGCTTGATGTACTTCTCAAGGCGGCCAAGAAGAAGTGGGACTCTGGACGCCTAGTTGACGATTCATAGGAGAAAGAAAAGTCAAGATGGATAGAAGAGGAGGATTGACTGTACAAAGTGCTTCTGTAATGTGGAACGTGGTCAGCATTTATATGTACTATTGATGGTGAGAACCATCAACTTTGAATACAAAAGTATAGAAGGCATTGCCTATTAATTAAGTTTTGATTGAATCTTCAGCAACATCAGTAATGTCCTGGTATATAAGCATGATGATGGATCATGATCTAGAAGTCTTCTGACAAAGTCATATCCATTACCGATGTGGGTCTAGAATGCGGGTTAAGCTTCTCCGCAATTCGGCGTTGAATTTGCATGAACTAGAAAGCCTAGAACACATCAAAGTTCAATATGGTTACGAGTAGTTACATGCATCATCATTCGTCTCTAAATAGTAGCAGTTCAAGCAGTTCCTTGTATCCAATGAAGCAAGGGCTAAACAAGGAAACCCCCTGATACTACGCTCAGGCAGCACCTATAAACAAGGGTACGTATCTTGCTTCGTCACCCACGAGACGAGACGATTCGTTGGCCTTGACGACTTGGCAACGTATGTCTTTCAATGAATGTTATTTAAATAATAAACAACTTCCATTCTCTTATGATTTGATCTTCTTCACCCCTCATTTTCCCCTCAAAAGTTAAATACGCTACAGCCAATACTAGGTCTCCTGTATCATTGGGCTATAGGCTCTCGACTCTTCTGTAGTGTAGCGCTGTGGCGAGGTTGGGCACGTGCCCTTAATTGAAGTGCTCCATACCTTGGACTCGACTACGACGACTTCCGACTTTCTCAATCTCCCTCGACATCTCGCCAAAGGGCGTAAAATCTTCTCTTTTGTTCTCATAGATACTTTATGCAGGATGAATTCTCGGGTTCCTGCTTCACCTACGCCTCCGCATCTGGATTCGGAGAGTGTAGCATCGGGACAGACATCGACTTCTCATATGCCGCTTCATCACTACCCAGAGGACCAGCGTCAACATCAACATCAGCCTTATACAGATCGCTTAGAGGATGATGATCCACCTCCTAGCTACACCGTAGTCGACAATGAAGGGCCTCACGCCAACCCTTTCGACCTACTACCCGTGAGCACTTCATCCCTTGGAATCCATCCCTTCAAGGGCACGTCAAACGACAAGACAGTGTACTATCTCGACAAGCGTCTTGATACGGATCCTGAGTTTCTGGAGCAGCATGTCAATGATCTCGCCAAGGAGCCGCCTAGGCCGTATGTTCGCGTTCAGGGCGTTGACCGCAAGTCTGGCGAGAGCAAGAATGGCATTGACTTTGATATCCACATTGAACTCACCCCGCTTCTGTATCAGGAGATGGCTACGCGTCGATCATGGAGACGGATTCGCGCTGTGAATAACTTTGATAAAGTACGCCGCGGAACGGTTGGGATGACGCGGGCACCAGGGTTTGGCGGCAGTGGACCACCTGAGGAGGGCACGCCGGGAGTATCGCAGTGGGTGTATCGGTACTGCAATAACAAAGCCGGTCTTAAAGCATTTGTGCTGGAGCGACGCATTACGGGCTGGGACTTTGCTCTCGTGGGGTCAAGGTTGGAGACTCTTGTGCGAGAAACGGGGTACCGGGGAGAGATTAACATAACATTCCCTACGACGAATGCCCGCGTGGAGATATACAACAACTGTCGAACAAACCGATGGCGTCTTACCCGATGGATAGTCCTCCTTTTCTACTTCACCCTCCTCTGGCTATTTACCTGGCCATGGATATCCCTCCGAACACGATGGTACGAAACAGTTTACGTGGAATGGTCCATGAGTCGTCCCGACAGACAAGGCACACTGCGCTATGCATGTATGAGTGAAGACCAGTGGTGTCGACTCTGGCGCCGACCAATCCAGCAAGCCATCAAAGCGAGACGACGAGGACGATTAAGCCAGGATGATATCAACGATGCGTATGTTGCGCCTGGGGCTGTGGATTCTGCAAGGGGTATGAGAGCTGGATTGGAGGTTTTGCAGAGGACTTTTGGATGGGGAGGGGATGGAGAGGGCAGTGGACGACATTTACCTTGCAATAGGTAGATGGATGGTGTTTGTGTTGGGATTCACTCCTTTCGGATGATTGCATACATGGAAGCGTTGGCGTATTAAGAATGCATTGTTTATGTATCATGATTGATGAAATTGATTCCCACTCATATAACTTGAAGCAAATTGACAACATTTGGGTGTTTGGGTCGTCAGAGTACCATAAGGATTAGCTGCTGAAAGCATAAGAGACGAAATCATCCAGTTTTCTTATGGTAGCTTAGACGAACACTTAGGCCTCCTTTATCTTAACGCCCTCGGTCTTTGAGGATAATTTCTCTCCTTCATTTGATGGTGCATTCGAGTAAAAAAAGCAGGGGAGTTGCTGTCTCTGCCACCAGGTAATGAGAAGGACGCTTTTAGGTTGTGATGGGTTTAAAACAACACGCAAACACATGCATAATATAGTTATCGCACAACACGAGTCTTCACTGAGCAGTCAATACTGGAAAGAAGAATATTATATATCAAATCGATTTGAAATGATTGTTGTAATACAATAAATATATACTGTCTAAAACCTAGACACTTCATCCAGGCCTTGTGCTTCAGGGTAAGCTGCTGCCTTATCTTATCTTTCCCCTCCCCCACCAAGAGTCGCTCACTCATCATCTACACATCCCTTACCAATCTCAACCATCAAGCTCCGTCTCAAAAAGCAGTCTTGCTCTTTGAACTTTACTCACAACTCATTTTAAAGTATACAAATCCGTATTCTGTGAGACACAGACTCATAACCGTCGTTATGGCTGAAGCAGAGATGAGTTCCAGCTCAAGAAGAATATTGGCTGTGTCGCTTGAGAATGAAACAGCGGTCTTGTCAAAGTTGGTAAAAGGTTAGTGCCTGCTATTTTTATTCTGTCACTTCATATGTCAAGTTGGAGTCAGTTACAATGCACATCATAACTAACACAGAATAGACCTCACAGGAACAGCACCAGAATCACCAGACCCTACCCTTGGTATCGCAGGCATAACACATCCACTCTCCCTCAAAACACCATACTACTCTACAACAGTTCCCATCTGGCTCGACCTCATCGGCTCACCATCCGACTGGTCCGAATCCTTCCTGTCAGAAGAAGCAGCGGAAGTCCTCGCCGTTCTGGGCGGTGTCGTCGTCGTATTCACTGCAGGACCTGTTTCAGCGTCAAAGGACCACCCCGCAAAGGATCTGGTCGAGCATGTCGGGAAGGTGCTGAAGAAGGGACTGGGAGGATGGGAGTGGGACGGTGTAGGCTTGGCTATTGGCGTGGGTGGTGATGGGCATGAAGAGGAGTGGGACGAGATCTGTGCCGAGGCGGGATTGGAATTTGTATCCGTCGGAGGAAAAGGTGATACTGGCCGTAACGAGTTTGGAGGTATGCTCCGTGGGCTACTATTTCAAGGGGTATCCACTGACAGCAGATGCAGAAAAGACAGGAGTTGCGCGTGTAAAGGAAGCACTCGAAGCAAACGACTGGTCACAACTTGAGGCACCACTATCAGATTCTGAATTTGGTGATTTCGAGACTAGTTCCGCCAAAGGACAAGACGACAAAGACCTTGACCCCAAAAAGATGGGTTTCGGGTTTGATCAAAAGGACTTTGAAGGTCTACGAAAGGCTATATGGGAGGCAAGCCAGGATGTTGAAGAACCTGAAGAGTCTAAGAAAGCAGAGACAAGTAAGGAGGGCACATCTGAAGCAGCTGCTGCCGGAGGCCTAGAAGACCTCGACGAGGACGAGATCGCCAAGATTGAGAAGATGATGAGAAAACTTCAAGCCGTGAGGGAAGCCGGTGAAGGTATGGGCGAGGAACAGAGAAAAAGAATGGCAGCCAGAGCTGTCGAGGAAGTGATGAGAGACCTATAGGCGATGAGTAGAAAAGTTACCTGAGCAAACGATCATATTGGATCGTGTGCTCTCATCGGAGACAGAAGTCTGGGATGCAAAGCGCTGGCCACAGGTTATTCCACTAAGATGAACATATAGACAGGCTCCTCGATCTATCCGCGTCCGTCCGTTGCAACCATTATCATCATCGATATAACACGGCTCGCTTAACACGTTGTTACACAACAAAGTTGCATTATGTAACTCTAAAATCGTGATCCAAGTCTCTGGGTCTAACGTAGCACATGCGTATTCAATTTTCGGTAGTATGGTGAGACCTTCTGGTTGGTATGCGTCAGGCCCAAGAAAACAGGGAACTGAGACAACTTATTGAGTTGTATATAGCCTAAGTATATGGCAGATATGAGCCCAAGTTGAGGGATTTCTTCAGACGAACTTTTTCGGCGCTGTATTCCGATTATATAGATATCATCATAGCTTATAGGTAAGGAAGGTTGACAGAAGGGTTTCGGATCTCCAGGACAGGAAGAAACTCAACGATGCATTGGAACACAGGCGGGTCTCACTGTATTTTGACAAGCACCATGGGTCCGGTAACCTGAATCCAGTTCCAACATGACACGCCTCGGTTGTCATGTGTCATATGCTTGTGCTTCAAAAGTAGCTGACCTCGAAGACATTGATTCTGAGAATGCGGTCAAAGCGTGCCGCATAACGTGCTCTTGCACGATGCATTCCGCATCTCCCTATTTAGACATTGTGCAACGCTAGAACGACCATCGATAGCGGCATCAGCTAACCCGCTGACTAACTCAGCTGTGGTAAAGTGTAGATCGAATATGAATCGTTACATAGGTCACGGGGGTTTGACGAGGCGGTGACTTGCTGAATAGCTCCATAAACATTGCTAGTGTCGTGTCATATGCAAGGGAGGATATTCAACATTGTTCCATGAGTTGAGGCGTCGACAGATATGTCGTAGTGTGTTTGTGTTTGTTGGTTTTGAAGTTATTCTCCTTTCTCCAAACTGACTGCTTGACTCGACTTGACCCAACTTGATGGAGTTGACGATCAATTATATGGGACCAACGCCATTTGAGGCCGGAAAGAAGCGACCCCGGGGATCTAGGGTCCGCCGGTAGTATTTGGGTCGACAGTTAGCCATATTGAGAACAATTGAGTCGTCCTAGCCTGCCTAGCCTGCCCTGAGAAAAGGTAGACGTCAAAAGTCTCAGACGCCCCCATCTGGTCGTGGTTAGCTTAGCTTGCCGTCCCACAACCCTTGTTTGGCGTAGGTAGCCAAACAGGGGAGCGACTCACGTTTCAGCGCGTCTTGTTAGGAACGTGCGTACTCAGCGTCTTGAGCTGTTGCTTCGCCTCGCCTCAGCTCTTCTGCGGCTTGTGCTGAGTTGACGTTTTACGGTGCAGCTGAAGGCATAATATCGTGAACCCACCTCGAGTCAGAGCCGTCAATTGGTTTTGGCTCGAGGATGTCAACAGAATCTCCTGAATAGTGCATATCAAAACAACACTTGGTGAGAAGCATCAAGTGGTCGAGAGACGCGTTGACACTCACCCACGCCATGGATGCAGCTGCATATGCATATACGGTCCCTGTTCCCTCAAAGTTTGCCGCCATTCGTCGGAGCTTCTGACCCGTTATGCAGGTCGTACGCTGTTTTGACCTGAAGCTTCTTGGCCAACTAACGTAACGATAGTTGCAGAATAGTGAGCCTGGTCATGGGTATGGTCGACTCGATCGACAGTAGGGTTTCTCGAGCCATAAGTCTTGTCTGTGCTTTCCTCATCAGTCTACCGGAGTCGAATCATATGTAAAAGTATCTGCAGTGAAAATAAACAGCATGCCACTCTCTTTTTGGTCTTGTCTGTTGTTCGCTGGAGAATGTGACAGATAGTGACATCCCTACCAAAACGAAACACTTGCACTCCAAAAGTTTATGCAAGACGTCAGACAGATGGAGTCCTACGCTTGAACCAAGCTGCATCGTTTGCTGGTCTGGGCCAAAGAGGTCGGGAATAGTGATATCTAGCTAACGCCGGCTTGGTGTACGATTCAAGCATGGATACCCTTTCCTTTACGGCGCAGACAGTCGCTTATAATAAAGCTGCCCTTGGAATATGTCCATTACTCGCATGCTGTCTTCTCCCAGTGAGAACATTCTGTATTCCATCCCTAGACACAAAATAGGAGCTGGTTTGGAACGGGGCGATCGGTACCCCTAGACTTGATCGGGGGAGGTAAAACCGCAACACGATGTGGATCCAGTTGGAGACATGGCCGAGCGTTGGTTGGCGTGGTTGGCTTTGGAGTATGATCCTGCAAGGCACTAAAGACATGTCCCCAGATGCAAGCTCAGGGAACCACGTCAGGGGTAGCGGGCCAGAACCGGCAAGCAGCATAGAGGATGAAAACAATTCGACAATCATCTCATACTTTTTGACTTGTCACGTTTGATCTTTTCTTTTCCCGAACCGCCCGGGTAGATTTCGGAGCCGGGAGAAAATCGAATGTCTTCCGGATCATCGCTATGTATCCCTCTGTACAAAAACATGCAGTCTCTGGCTGCCCACCTCTACCACGTAGGTCGAGACTCTGGAAGCCACAACCGTTGAGGCTTCGCTGGTGGCAAAGCCGATGTGTAACAGACTGCGGTGACCGCGAAACCATCAATCGCCGACTTTGAACCGCTAGTCACCTGAATGTCGCTGACTTGATGGTATATTCAATCTTTCCTTTACGGGCCAAGCTCAATTGACAGAAGCTAATGTACCTGAGCCTTGGCCAGCTTTCGGCCCTAACGTCAATGGCCTAAAATCAGCCTCTAGGCTATTCTTTGTTCAAGCAGTTGATCACAACTGCTATCAACAGGACGTTCCGACGTTGCGAGAATCCGCGGTCGCGGAAAAGGGGTCGCGAGGAAAGACAAACAGTAAGCCTGGCCAAAACCATTGATCCACTGAATGACGATGGGGCGGGAGACTACTGCAGGAACAGGGTCCTAGTATTCAGCGGCTCCTGAGCTCGCCAGTCTCGTAGGCAAGATCTGGCGTGGTCGCCGTGGTATGATTAATCCTTCGGCTAGATTTTTGCTGCAAGGACACTTGGTGAGGTCCGTTAGTGACGCGTAGGGTTTGAGTAGCGTGAGATTTTGACACGAGAATAGGTCAAGGTGGATGTATGTAAGGTGCCATCCTGAAGTTGAAGCTTGGTCCAAATGAAGGTCTTTGGGACCAACTTCTAGATCTCGAGATCCAGCATTGCAAGTGTTCTCTTCCCTGACTCGTTTATGCAGTTGCTGATTGACATGCGTTAGTCAGAATTTCATGGTATGCCCGGTAGATGACCATCCGCTTGAATGTTGCAGTGACCGCGGTACCGGGCAAGCATCGTGAGTGATAACGAATTGAGAGATCAAAACGGATGGGATCCCCGATGATGTATGTAAAAAATCCGACACTGATAGAAATCATGAGCGACGTTTCTTGATCGCATCGAAACTTATTGTGGATTCATATTGGTTGATGAAACCATTCAGAGAACATGGATTAGGCTGCTGGAAGACCATGACCAGGCATTCAGGCTCAACCTTGATCCTCGGAATCCAGAGTTCCTGACCAACCCTTGGCGAGTGACATTGGCAAATGGGTACCAGGGCTGATCAATGGAAGGGAATGTTTCTGTCAGCCCAGTCCCATTTGTGTAATGGTTCAAGGGTGCAAGTGAGTCGACACAGGGAAATCGCTTACAGGCACGAGTGAGAAGGAAGCCGAGACCCTTTGCACAAGTGTCGTCCGTAGTCGATACTCTAGCGTAGGATCACGAAAAAGAACCTCAACATGATGACCCAAGTGATGGGTTTTGCTTTTTCTTGTCTCGTGTGGGGTTTGCTGCAGAGTGATAGCGATAAACGGGAACATGACACCTTCTTTGAACAAGTGTGCCGGGCTATCAAGTTGGCGTGTCGGGGTCTGTTCTGTGATCGGCATTCATCATCGTGACAGGGACGAACTTTACGCCAGTGAATTGGCGGCCGCACAGGTTTGGTTGTAGCGTAGAATATTCTTGTGGGCTCTCGTGTTTCGCGATACGTAGTAAGGGACTGAGAAAGTCTGCTAATCGTTCACAGACTCTCTTTCTGTTGTGACATGTCTTGGCAGAGTTGGAAAACTTGATCGAGATGGACAAATCAAGACCGAGTCTTAGTCGTAGGCTAGGGTGTGGCGCCTGTTTGAAGCGATGTGGTGACGCCTTCCCTCCTAAAAAACACGACGGTTCGATAGGGTAAGACCGGCGTTTCTGGGTTTCCTGTTTTGGCAGGAAGGACTAACGTTGGAATGGCGGCCAATAGGGGTCGAAGTTGTGCAAGGCACAGCACCCTTTTACCGCTCCGTTTTGGGGGCCTTTTCCTTGTCGTCCCCTAAATTGATTTTGGTCTTTTCATTGGCGCGTACCTTGCATTAGTGGATATAGCAGGAATCCAATGAATATGCACAATGCACAAAACACCATCAGTGTAAGCTCAACTGTGCACAAATATCTGACGGGAAACCTCAAGAAAACCAACCAACAAGGGTTTTCCCCCCTGACGCAGGTACAGAGTACCGTGCCCTACCGATACCACCCCACTCGCTGTGCTCGAGATGCCTAGGCAAACTCTCATGGACTTCAACTCCACTTGCAATGCGTACCTTGCCCAACCATTTATCCGCTTCTCGCCGCTTCCTTGCGCCTGGGCCATCACCATGACGGGACGGTATAACGGAGAACGGATCAGAGCAAAGGTCAAAGGTCAAAAGACGACTGCACATCAGCCACAGCGGATTCTTTGTTGCATGACAGACACCCTGGTCTGATGTCTGGGACGAGAACGCCGATCAAGACTTTCCGACGTCAGTCTGTTGGTGTCAGAACCCGATCCAACTTGACACAGACTCATATGTAGCGAAGCCCAATGTGACAGGTGGCAAGAATAATGTGAATATGAATATCAATATGTACAATTATACTGACATCTACGCGTTAGAAGCACGACCGCGAGACTACGAACGTGACATACCCACAAGAATGGCTGATGCTTTTCCCCAACAGCGGCAGTCTCGCGGGGCCCCTGGACGTTGATCCAGGGTTGCTAACCACAAGTTTTGTCATGACCCTCCAAGCCTTCCCCATGCGGATACCTTCTTCACATCCCAATGACACCCAAACCAAAGGCGGCAACGGCTTTGCATCTCTGAAAACCGACTGACGGACCGAAGTCCGAATAAGTCTAGGCCAAGAGGTGCCAATACGAAGATAAATCGATGTGGCCACAGCCGCCTAAAATGGATGGACAAATGGATGTCTTTGTTCTGTGCGTTGGGAGCTGGGATGTTTGTGGTGGTGTCGGAGGTGGACTCCATACACAGCTTTAAGTGGGTGTGAACGCCTGGGGCTCTCGTCAGTCACTCGTCAATGGTTCGTTCATAAAGTCTTCGTGCAGTTGACTTGGGGCCCGCTACGGTCTACCAGCCTACCACTTGCCAGTAGGACCCTCCCTCGTGCACATCGTGCGGGCTGGATGTGACACGGCTGGCTTCTTACACAAGGAAGGGGCCTGTTAACCTCTCAGAGGAGTGTGCAGCAAATGGTGGACGACCAAGGACGAGACAAAATTCCTCATCTGGAAGAAATCGCTTATCTGAAAGCTACCTTTACAAACTCTCGCTCAATACCAAAAGACAAGGCTGAAAAGGAGGTCAAACTAGAGTTGTCCTGATGTAGCAATGCTTCCCAGCTAAGCTACTGATGGATCCTCTCCTCTCACAAGTGTTGGCTAGTCTGTGCTAACTTGAACACAGGTTGGCGTTGAGGTAACGTGTTTGAGGCCGTCGTGCTTGGAGAAAACTCTCAGAGCAAGCCAGACTTTGCGGGACTAGGGGGTACATCTGAATGGCTAGGCTTGGGTCCATTACTAGGCTCGGTCGACTTCAGGGCTGCAATGCATCACCCCCTGGTCGTCCTCACAGCTACTCTACCGTACCGTACAGTACTGTACGCGGCGGATCAGGATGTGGTTTACAACGGTCACTGCCCCTTGGCGCGTTAAGCTGCTGTCTAACCCTCTGCCCTCCACCATGCAGCGTCCACTCAGGAGACGGAAGTACCTGGGGCTAAGTAGCTCCGTCAAGCCACTGCTCAGGTACCCGCAACTCAGACGCTGAGTCGACGCCAGGGTACATCGGGTCGAGGTTCCATCCTTTTTCTTTTTCCCAGTTTCTGAGGCCTTTGCTACTGCGCAGGTCCCCACACCACTAGGGGTGGTACCTTGGCTTGGGTACAGGCTCCAGTACCTTTTCTCCGATCGAGGTGCCCGTGGTGGAGGGGGCGGCAGCAGGTACCTTCATCCACTGTGCACTGCAGCGAAGTGCAGGGCTAGCTCAGACTCAGACTCTGGACGGCTCTCCTTTGAAGACATCCCCCATCCCCATCCCCAACTCCCCCCCGTTTCTCTTTTCTATCTCGCATCGCCAGTCCACTCCTTACCTTCCTTGTGACCGCTTCTTCTGCTTCTTTCCCCCGTCCCTTTTGTTCATTCTTTTCTTTCCTTAAAGTCACTCTCTTGAATTATTCAATCTTCCCAGCCATATTCGGTTCCCGTCACTCTTTCCGGGTCCATTCCTTTCTTTAGGCTTAAGCTCCTTCAAACCGCTTATACACCAGACTTGTCTCCGCGTCCGCAACGTTTTTAAAACGTCGAAACCATTCGAGACCAACGGCCTATCCGCCACAGCGACACTATATTTTATATCCTGTTTTCTAACCAAAAGAATCAGGACGACATTCTTTATCTGAATTGATAACCGAATTAACCATTATTCACCACGTTCCTTGCAACGACTCGACTTCGGCTCCCTGTCCTTAGTCTATCCTGATAATACGGCTCACTTACCACGCGTTTTGTGAATCAAGCTTAATCGAACGACAACTGCTTGTATATCCACGCTACCGCAATCGACTCGCGATACCTGTTTATTTCATTTCATAATTAACAGCAACAAGTGATCGCACATCCGCGATCTACTTTCAACAATGGCCACGGAAATTGAACACTCCATGGCCTTGGGCAGTGTCCAAGAAGTTACCACTCCCAACTCGACATCTTCACCATCCATTCCCACTCCTGTCTCAGCTTCAATGAAGAAGGAGTCGCCTTCTTCTCCCACCAACTCCAACAATGCTTCTCGACGACCCCCTCGCAAGAGCACTCTCACTCAACAGCAAAAGAACCAGAAGCGACAGCGTGCCACCCAAGATCAATTGACAACCTTGGAAATGGAGTTCAACAACAACCCCACACCTACCGCTACTGTTCGTGAGAGAATCGCAGATGAAATCAACATGACTGAGAGGTCTGTTCAGATTTGGTTCCAGAACCGGTATGTCAACCCGACTTGATCTATCAATCCCGCTAACATTTGTAGACGTGCCAAGATTAAGTTGTTGGCCAAGAAGAGTCTGGAGACCGGCGAAGACATCGACTCAATCCCCGAGTCGATGCGAGCTTACCTCGCCATGCAGGCTATGGAGTCTGGTAAGGGTCTTGGTGGAAGTTACCTTGGCCGCACTGGACTGGTACCTTTTGGTCACGGTAACATGATGCTTGGTGGCGACCAGGGAGGTCAGGGTAAAGTTTGTGAGTTCATCCGTTGATACATGTCAAGATGAGTATGCTAACTTAACAGCAGTGATCCATCATCTTACCTGCCGCTCTCTCAGCATCGGAAAGTGGACCCGAGTTGGACAGAACACGATGGATCTCATCATCTTCTACTCTCCCGATAAGTGCACCATGACCTACTACATCAACAATGAGCAGGCTGGTTACAAGATCGAGTACCCCTTCTCATCCATCAAGAACATCTTCCTCGAGAACGGCGAAGGAGACCCAACCAAGCTCGGCGGAATTGTCATTGAGCTCAACAGGCCCCCGAACTTTTTCATGGATTCGTCCCCTACCACCAACGGATTCTTCCAATGTGGCGACTTTACTGAAGATCTCCAGGCAACCCACTGCCTGGTTCACCACCTTGGTGGAAACCCCAAGGTTCTCAGTGGTCAACTTGCCAAGCTCGTCTCGCTCGAGTCTTTCATGAACCGTCACAACCCCAACCCCTACAACGACCCTCACGCCTTGTCAGTCTCGGCTCCCGTCTCTCCTCAAGCCCGACCTTCGTCGCAGCCCAGCTTCAACCCTCACGTCGGCATGTTCCAGGAGCAACAATGGGGTATCCACCAGATGCACTCTGGCATGCGTGCTGGTCATGGTCACAAGCGCCAGCGTAGTCGATCCGTTCCCGGACCTGTCGACTTCGCCATGTTCCAGAACCAGCCTATGCCTTCATTCTACATCCAGCCCCCTGGGGAGATGGCTCCTCCTCCTCAGCACAACCCTCACATATACGCTCCTGTGCCTCAGCAGCCCGGCAACATGGCACCCAACCTGCGTATCGATACCCAGGCAGGCTTCGGACTGGATATGCGCCAGTACCCCATGTCGGCCACCACTGCCTCGCCTGCTGAGTTTCCTCCTAGCCCTGGATTCTTCCCTCCCGGTCCTGAGGTCCCTCAGTCAAGCTACAACACACCTTACAGCCAAGGATTCCTCTCGCCCATGGCCAACAACGAGTCGGGTATTCCCACATCTGTGTCTCCCCTCTCTTTCAACAGCCCCGGCGAGCCTTCCATTATGGAGCAGTCTCCTCCCATGTCTATGATGGGACGCCCTGGTTCTGCCGACCTCTACCCGGTCAACGATGGCTCTTGCGCCGTCTCTGACGATGGTACCGGCCTCAACGAGATGTACTCAAAACACACCATCAACCTGCCCATGCACACTGCTTCTCCTGGATTCGTTCAACATCAACATCAACAGGCTGACCTCGACATGGAGCAGCTTGTCCAGTTTGATGCAGTTGATCCCTCAAGCCTATCCCCCGAGGCAATGCCCCACGCTCACGGAAACTGAGCGAGCAATACTGGGCGGGAATAGGTGTTGGTGGCGTGTTTTTACTGTATGTATCTCATACCAGGGCGTTTTGGGCATATTATACCAATGGGATCTCCTTTCTTGTTTTCTCGTCTTTTTTTAATTAGGCGACTTTCTTTGAACAAATTCATCTTTTCTTTTTTTGCAGCTTTATTACCTACGGTATAAGCTAGATCGATTCTTACCCCATCTACGGCCATGATGAACTTGCATGACGATACACTTCTTTGACATCGGTCATGTATGTCGGGCACAACACAGCGATCGTACAACTTTCCAACTCTTTTCTTCCGCGTCGAGATAGTTCCTTTGAATCTTTTACCGCGACTTGTTTATTTCTTGGGTGGTTTGTTCAACACTTTTATCCATGGACTGAAAAGCACTTTGCCATTCGGTCTCGACTTTCTACTCGAGCAGCGTTGCTTGACCACCGCGCGTTGTCTCGGGCCTAATACGTACAATTGTTGGAGGACAAAACTATGCGATAGTACTTTAATATGTTGTTGGTACCTTGTTACAGTTACAGTACCACGTTGGATGCTGGGAAAAGCCCCGGCGGCTTGTCTAGGGTCCTTGGGTCATACTCTTTAATGGGAGATAGGGTTTTCTTTTTGTGCTTCGAGGTACATCTGAAGTACCTTGTGGAGTTTATGAGCAGCTGGGTTGCTGTCCTCGGTAGGCGTCAACAGGACGTTACTTGGAAGCCTACAGTTGGACACGAAGGCATGGGTTCTTTTTGGTAGAGGGTATCTGGTTAAAAAATGGGGTTTTATGTTCAATCTTGTTCCTTTCGCTGTGACTATCGTGACTCAATGCTGTGGCCGTTCCTGTAGATTTGATATGTCATGACGCAGAACCGGTGTACATGTGTAAGTTAATGGTGATCACGGATGATTCGGAGACAGTAACCTGAGTACAAGTATGCTTAAGAAGACGTCAACGTGCAAGGCGCAGCTGTGACGCATTTATCAAGTGTGACAACTGTTCAGCTTTAACAAGCCTGTCTAAACTCGGATGGAAAGACGGTTATCAATGTCTCATAATTCGGTAGTGTTCTTCGGCTGATCCGGGATATGGTAAAGTGACAGTGGTCCGTGCAAGAGAAGAGATCTGTAACAGCGTATTGCCGGTGACTGTATGGTGTTGTTGCAACCCTACGTGTCCATAATTTCTTTTTATGTTTGAAAGCTTAAAGATTTGTTGTTTCTGAGTGGCTGTGAGTAGAGTTACGTGGTTTCGAGGCGCAGGAAGAGAGATGATTGGATCTGAGTTGCACGTGTGATAGTTGTTGGTCAGCATGAGGGATGATCAAGACTATTTTAAACAGCATTCGTACGAAGTGTCACGTATGTACTCAATATCAGAGCAGTATCATAGAGACCCAAAACCAAGCTCTATGACATCAGTTACCGGATAACAGAAACAACCTCAAAAGGCCTCTCGTTGAAACGGTTTATTCCCCAGTTCTCGGAACTTGGAGATTTACGTTAGAGCTTATTTTGTTACTTGGTGGCGTTGATTAAGGTGTGAGTTAGCGACTTGGCTGGACCATGCCGTACCAATCAGGGCGTGTAAGCGCATCGTGGTGTCAAGGGCCCTGTTACATACTGCGAGGATGTGATTTGGTTGTTTTTGGGCTGTGATAATTACAGATTTGCTGCGCCTCAATTCCTGATTTGCGAGGAAAAGAGACGGGGATGATATTGTATCCGAGTATCCGGAGAGAAGAAGAAGCGTAATTGATATGATGTATACTGGACAGTTGTAGCTGTATACACTCTGTAGTAGTTAATGCTTGGATATACAAATTAGAAAGATCAAGGCTGTCGGACATTACCAGCTTCTAGTCCCCGCTAAGTGCTGGGTTTGGGCTTGCAGCTAAGGCATGTAATCAGTAATCGCTTCTTCGGGCTGTACACGATCCCGATAGCTGGAGACTAAGGTAATCTACAGTACCTTACCTGTACCTACCCCAGCTCAGCTCAGCCCAACTCCATTCTGACAAAACATCCACATAATCTACCATCCTTGAGCTTTTTCTTATTCTTTCTTCTTTACTCGTTTCTCGACTTGTATAAGTCACTGTTCTAATACATACTTGTACAAAACTGCCTCTCTATCTGAAACCGCTTCAACTCCACTGGTAGCTACGCTTATTCCAAATGCTTCAGCGGTTGCAACGGCCTTAACATGGCTCGCAACCCTGACAACAACGGACGACGGCCGCCGCAATCCAATGACGATGAAAATGACGAAGTAGCTCGCGATCTTGCTGCTCTCGAAGAACGATACCCGCGAACATCAAACAATCTCTCTCGACCGCGAAATACAGGCCGCTCTTATACAGATCCCAACAACGATCGCCCGCCGCGTCGATCTTCAGCCGATGATACCAACGTGAGATCTGGATCCAGGTCTCGCTCTAGACGACCTGACGATGGCTCACGTCGAAGACCAAGCCAAGCACAAGAATTGCGACCAATTCCTTCGAGAACCGAATTGTCCACGGATCTCACGGGCCCTACGGACTATGCTGACAGAACCGACAAGTCGCTAGTCTCGCCAATCGACAAAGCTAGCATCGCGTACAATGGCAACTCAAGCGCAAAGTCTTCGGTGCGCGCGGATATTAAGAAATTCCTTCGTCAAAGGCGCGAGAAAAAGATTGGACCAAACGCAAAGCCAACATGGAAGGAGCGCACGGGCAAACAACTTCGAGAACTTCACCAGAAAGTGATTATCGAAACATTACTACGGCAAAAACCGCTTCAACCTTTACCGGACGGTCGTCATATACCTCTAGACCCTACGCATCGCAATTCCCAAGGTCTTATCGATGAGCGCTCGGGAAAGCCTTACACTAGCAACTTTATCCGATCGAGTCGTTATACCGTTTATGACTTCATACCAAAACAGCTTATCTACCAATTCAGCAAACTTGGAAACTTTTACTTCCTTGTGGTTGGTACCATTCAGATGATCCCTGGTCTGAGTACCGTCGGACGATGGACTACAATTGCGCCTCTGGGTGTGTTTGTCGCATTCAGTATGGCCAAGGAGGGTTATGACGATTATAGGCGTTACAGGCTGGATCGCCTGGAAAACCGCAGTGAGGCTTGGATCTTGTCGGATCGAGCCGCAGCCACCGAAAAGAGCCGCATACGACATACCGAGAAAATGAAGAGGAGGAAGGAAAAGGGATCGGAGAATGGCGAAGAACACATGATGGACGACCTCGAAACGGGAACTACTGGTGCGAAAAAGGTTGGAAGCGAAGGAGATTGGACTTCAGTTCAATGGCAGAATGTTCGCGTTGGTGATGTTATTCGGTTGCGCCGTGACGACCCTGTCCCTGCGGACATTGTACTTTTGCACGCCACAGGTCCCAATGGTATCGCTTACATCGACACAATGGCTCTTGATGGCGAAACGAACCTCAAGAGTAAACAGGCTTGTCCTTTGCTTGCTGAGCGATGTCACACCATGGAGGGATTACGAGCGACACAAGCTACCGTCATTTCTGAAAACCCCAATTTGGATCTCTACAGCTACGATGGTCGAGTCACTGTCAATGGCGAAACTCTGCCTCTGTCCATGAACAATGTTGTCTACCGAGGCTCTACTCTTAGAAATACGGCAGAAGCGCTCGGTATCGTTGTGAACACAGGAGAAGAGTGCAAGATCCGCATGAACGCCAACAAGAACGTTCGCGCCAAGAAACCTGCCATGCAATCAGTTATTAACAGGATGATCATGGTACAGATCTTCATTGTTCTCATGCTGACCATGGGTTTGACTATTGGTTATTACTTATGGCGAGACCGTACCGAGGATTTTGCCTGGTACATAAGACGTCGCGGCTTCTGGGACGGAGGTATTCCCTTCAAGGAGATTTTCTTCGGCTTCATCATCATGTTTAACACACTGATCCCACTGTCGCTGTACATCAGTCTTGAAATTATCAAATTGGGACAGCTGTATCTTCTGCAGGATGCGGATATGTATGATCCTATATCTGATACGCCCATGGTCGCCAACACGACTACTATTCTTGAGAACCTGGGACAGGTCAGCTATGTCTTTTCTGACAAGACTGGAACGCTTACAGAGAACATCATGCGCTTCCGCAAATTGTCGGTCGCCGGTGTTGCCTGTTTGCATGACATGGACATGCAGAGGGACCAGGCGGAGATGGATAGGCGGATAGCAGAGTCCGAGCGACCAAAGAAAGGAAAGTCCAAGATGGCAAGTTTGTCAGCGACAAGGAGCGCGGTACCTACTATCACTGTTGATGGACAATTCGATGATGGTGCTAGCGGATCGAGACCACAGCCTGTTAGAACCATGTCGACAAGATCACAGAGCCATTGGCAGTCGTCTGTCAACACCCCAGACAGTACCGACATGAAGACTGAACAATTGCTCGACTATATTCAGAGAAAGCCCAATACCCCATTTTCACGAAGAGCCAAGCACTTTCTGCTGTGTATCGCTCTCTGTCACACCTGTTTACCAGAAAAGTCAGAAGAGGGCGACCTCACGTTCCAAGCTGCTTCTCCCGATGAACTAGCTCTTGTGGAAGCAGCCAGAGACCTTGGGTTCTTGGTGATTGACCGACCTGCCCAAGCTATCAAGCTGGAAACTCGCGACATCGATGGCTCTCCTCATACTGAACTCTATCAGGTATTGGATGTTATCGAATTCAGCAGCAAGAGAAAGAGAATGTCCATCATCATTCGCATGCCTGATGGACGCATTTGCGTCTTTTGCAAGGGAGCCGATAATGTTATCATGCAGCGTTTGAAGCTAAGCAACCTTGCCGAGGAGACAGCAAAGGACATCGGCCGTCGCTCGAGTCTGAAAAAGGTTTCTCGCCAGGATCAGGCCTTACGAAGGATGAGCACGCAGCAAAGTATCAGTCCTTATGGTAGCCCCCATGGAAGCCCCCGCAACAGTTTTGGCTTCTCCAGAGCTGAATCATCATCCAACCGGGAAGGACTCAGAATGAGCCTGGGACGTCGGTCTACCGACCTTAAGCGCTTATCCCAACAGCTCTCTCGTTCACCTCGTGCCTCCACAGATATGATGAGCCCGATAAGTCCTAGGCAGAGTCTTGGTCGCATGCCGTCATTTGAAGATACCGATAGCAAGATTGACGAGTCCCTGGCGTCAAACGAGGGAGCTATCTTCGAGAAGTGTTTCCAGCATGTTGACGATTTCGCCAGCGAAGGTCTCCGTACTCTCCTGTATGCTTACCGTTATATTGACGAGGACTCTTACCTCCAATGGAAGGAAAAGTACAGAGAGGCTGAGACAAGCTTGGTTGATCGTCAGGAGAAAATGGAAGCCGCTGGAGAGCTTATCGAACAAAAGTTTGAGCTTGCTGGTGCGACCGCAATTGAGGACAAACTCCAAACAGGAGTCCCAGATACCATCGACAAGCTACGCCGGGCCAACATCAAAGTATGGATGCTTACTGGTGATAAGCGAGAGACCGCTATCAACATCGGTCATTCTGCTCGTGTGTGCAAGCCATGGTCTGAGGTTTATGTGCTGGATGCGACTCTCGGCGAACTGAAGGAGACCATTACTATGACTCTCAACGATGTTAGTCGTGGTATGGTTCCTCACTCTGTCGTTGTCGTCGACGGCCAAACACTTGCCAAGATTGACGAAGATGACGAGCTTTCTCTCCTCTTCTACGACCTTGTCGTGCGTGTCGACTCTGTCATTTGCTGTCGAGCTTCTCCTTCGCAAAAGACAAACCTGGTCCGCTCCATTCGACGATATGTGCCCAAGAGTATGACCCTGGCAATTGGCGATGGCGCAAACGACATTGGCATGATTCAAGCTTCCCATGTTGGTATTGGTATTTCTGGTCGCGAAGGTTTGCAGGCTGCTCGAATTTCGGATTATTCGATCGCACAGTTCCGCTTCCTGCAAAAACTACTCTTCGTCCATGGTCGATGGAATTACATGAGAACTGGAAAATATGTCCTCGCCACTTTCTGGAAGGAAATCCTGTTCTTTATCGTGCAAGCACACTACCAACGCTACACGGGATACTCTGGAACGTCGCTGTACGAGTCGTGGAGTTTGACTGTGTTCAATAGTGCTTTTACATCACTCCCTGTTATTCTGCTTGGTATTTTCGAGCAGGATCTGAAGAGTAAGACGCTAATGAAAGTGCCCGAGCTCTATACCTTTGGTCAGATGAACCTTGGATTCCGATTCTCACAGTATTTTGCATGGATGGTTATGGGTGTTGTGGGCAGTTTTATTATCTGGTACTTTACATGGTGTGTCTACGACAAGGCAGGTTACGACCAGGACACAAGCATATTCGCTATGGGTATGGTCAGTTTCACTGTCGCTGTTATTTTCATCAACATCAAACTCCTGTAAGTTTCAAGCCCTTCATAACAAGGCGTATACTGACCCTCGCAGAATCCTTGAAGTGCACACCAAGACATGGATCACATTTGGTGGCTGTCTGATCTCTGTTGCTGGTTGGTTCCTGTGGATGCTTGCTCTTAGCGGTATTAAGCCCACTAGCTTTGGACCATACATCGTCAGAAACGCTTTCATTGACAACTATGGCCGCAGACTTGTATGGTGGACTACTGTGTTGCTGGAGCTTATCGTGCTCATCGTCATTGAACTGGTGGTTCAGGCTATTCGACGAGTCTACTTCCCTAGCGATCAAGATTTGATGCAACGTATTGAGAAGGATGGTAACGTGGATAGGGTCTTTGGCGATGGAAAAGATGTTGAAGAAGGAGACGCAGATGCAGAAGAGGGAGTTATGTCAGAGCCAGCACCCGAAGGTGAAAGAGTACGAGAGAGAAAGGCAGGCCACGATGATTACCAGCCCGCGTTCCCTGGGACGGCAGAGGAAAAGAGGGATAACCCGATGGAACAATGGCGGCGTTGATTGAATTTCCTTTGTTAATATCCATATACCGATATCGAGTGCTTCTGGTGGGAATACCTGGCGTTATGGAACGGGATCGCATAGATTACGGAGCGTATGTATTACGTGGGTATTATTACAGATGGTAGTAGTATATTGATATGATTGATGTGTATCTTTAATGCTGTGCAATGTCAATTGTTTGTATAATTGATGGTCGACGAGTCGAGTGTGGCACGGGACAAGCTCCGTCATTGTACACGCTGAGCCTTCTATTTGGTCCGCTAGAATTAAGGTCATCGGGGTGATTACCGAAGCATGTGGAGCAGTTGATCAACATGACCTCGGCGCAGAGCAAGGAATAAGATGCAACCAGTCTCTTATAATACTACCTCTCTACCTCCCCTCTACAAAAAGAAATGTGATATTCCTTCAGCGTCAGCCTTCGTTCTTCAACTTCACACAAAAAATAAAATGGGCGCTTCATGTCCTCCAGCGACACCTGTCGCATTGCAGCCACCGCCGCTTAGACAACCGTTTCCATGCGCATCATCATTACATCCGGCATTCTTCACAGATAGATTACGAAGGGCACCGGCGACTTTGGCGGTGGGATCGTTGGTTAGTCCTGTTACGCAGGGTTATGTTTATCAGGAGAGCGAAAGGAGAAAGCCCAAGTTATGATGGATCGGGGACAAAACCGACGGTTTTCAATACCGGTGAGAAACAGCGGAGGGAGAGCGCCAGCAACAAACCACAACAAACCGCGATGAAACCAAGGAAGCAGATTGCGGCATAATTACGACATTTCACGATCACAACAAAGATGGTCAATTCGGGGTATCAGTTTTATTGATTGAAAAGAGGACCTTGTTGCATAATTATACCCTTGCCTGGGTCTTTATCCCATCAGTTCGCCTAGGAAATACAGACATTTTCGAGAGGAAAGAAAAATGAAAAGGAATGACTCGACGCTCAAGAGCTCAGGACAATTACATCCTACCTTAGACCAGCTCAATTCTTGACTGCAATCACAATCGCCATGATAATGAGGAATACCACGAGACCCAGTAGTCCCATAAGCTTGACATTCTTCCACCACATCTTGCGCTTCAGACCGCGGCTGCGTACGCGGAACTCGTGCGCACTACCGCCCAGGCGATCGGTCTTGTCGACCAGCAGATCCAGACGTTCGCCGCGCTCAAGCAGACTCTCGATGTTCTTGGTCATGATTCCTCTAACGTCGTCGATTTCTCGCTTGGCGTTTCCGATGGCATCGTCGCGGCCGCCGCTCGTGGTACCGTAGTCTACCATGAGGTTCTTAAGCTCCGAATTGAAGGACGCAGCGCCGTAGTTGGGCATGTCGGAGAAATCGCTACTTTCGGGAAACTGCTGCAAGAAGCGCTTGCGGATCTCGAAAAGATATCCAAAGGGAACGCGACGGCCGAGGGACGAGTCGGCGATGACGAGGAATGTAAGACCGCCGGCTGATGGGTGTTCGCGATGCTCGGATGGCGACTCGGCGATGTAGTGGATCTGGTGCTGGCCATGGGTGTAGGTGAGCTTTTGAGGGTTGGTGTGTTCGATTTTAGGGAGGATAAGAGATGCGAGAGATGAAGTTTGGGAGGATGCTGATGTCGTGCATTCTGACAGGATGGTGGTGTTGTGGGCGATACATGAGCTGTAGAGTGTTAGCTTTGTTGACTTTTGCAGACGATCTTTGACGCACTAAAGCAGGGGAGTTGATGGAGTTGAAGAGGACGCCATGATGGGCGAGTTTATTAGTGATTGTTGTGATGAGGTTTTCTAAATCGCAATGTGCTGAGGGCTTTTGGCGATGAAACCAGGCTAGAGAGGACGAAGCAGACGGAGTTGCATGCAGTAACAGGATAAGGATGCCTGTAGGTACAAGTCCAGTAAATAAGCCAGCCAATGCGACGTACAATGACGCCTCAGTTGCCCAGGCGTGTCATCGTCATCCGCAGTAGCAGCCCCACTCTCCCAAATCGCTCGCATAAAACTTAACGCAGGCACTGCGGATCCCGGTCAAACGATGGTCCGACTCATTGGAAATTTTGAGATGGGATTGAATGAATGGAAGGATGATGGCGACACTTTTGCCATCGTGCAAAATTAGACAAATTTTTGTCGTTTCTTTTTTAACGTTTTTCCTTTCGAGGGGGAGCATGTTGAGCTCATATTTGAGTTTTTCATCATGAGGTATTTGCTCCGGGCTGGAGCTGTGCGAGCTCCTCTGGTTTCATTATCGGTATCGGCGAGGGCCCTTTCAACGACACCAAGACTCGCGAGGCTGGAGAAGAAGGGAAAACCCAAACCTTCTATTAAGAAGGGAAATGGCAACCTCAATATTTCAAGAGGGGGCGCAGTATGTTGTTCACTCATCTTCAAAAATTGCCACTAACGAAATTTTAGTTGAGCCAGGGTCAAGATCCAGCCTCAAGATTGAGACTTGATGATAGAGCACATGCGTCGGGTCGTCATGGAATGTTCCGGTCAACAGTGTTGTCTAAGTTTCAAGGAGTTATCAAGAACATGAACACGACAGCCGTGTCCGCTGCGGGTGTAGGAGAGGATGAGTTTCATCGACAGGCTGCCGAGTTCATGAATGTGCTCGATAACGCATTCGATTTGGCTGAGCAGAATGTTTCGGATCGTGTCAAGAACCCTCTATTCTGGAATCTTCGCGATGCTTTCATTCTGAGGGATCTCAAGGGTCTCACAAACGAACTTCAGTACTCTTTCCAGTCGTTTATTATTCGACAGCGATTGTCAAAGGGAATGGAGGCCAGTCAAAAACGATTACTGGACTTTCGATTTCCCTACGAATGGTTCCCTGCGACGAGAGCGATGCAGCGCACGATTCATGTCCACGTTGGACCGACGAATTCCGGAAAGACGTACAGAGCACTTAAAGCTCTGGAAAACTCGAAGCGCGGAGTTTATGCAGGACCTTTGCGATTATTGGCAAACGAGGTCTACTCGCGCCTAATAGCCAAGGGGTTGCCGTGCGCTCTGTTAACAGGAGAAGAGGTCCGAAAGCCCGCAGATACTGATACGTACTTTACGAGTTGTACAGTTGAAATGATTCCCGTTAACGAAATATATGATGTCGCTGTCATTGATGAGATCCAGATGATAGCGGATCCCGACAGAGGACAAGGTTGGGCGACGGCTTTGCTGGGTGTTCAGGCGAAAGAGGTTCATGTCTGTGGCGAAGAGCGAACTGTCCAGCTGATTGAGAGTATTTGCGCATCGATTGGCGACAAGTGTATTGTGCATCGATATAACCGTCTCAGTCCCTTGGAGGCTATGGACAAGTCTTTGAACGGAGACTACAGCAAGCTTGAGAAGGGTGATGCTATTGTTGCTTTCAGCCGCATGAGTCTTCACGCCCTTAAGCGAACGATTGAGACCAAGACCAACCGAAGATGCGCCATCATTTACGGATCTCTGCCTCCTGAGGTGCGCGTCCAGCAAGCCGCCCTATTCAACGACCCCGATAACGACTACGACTTTGTTGTTGCCAGTGACGCTATTGGAATGGGTCTGAACCTCGAAATCCGAAGAGTCATTCTCGAATCTGTCACCAAGTATGACGGCAGTCAGAACAGGTTGCTCTCGTACCCCGAGTTGAAGCAAATTGGAGGTCGTGCGGGTAGATACAAGACCGCTCGCGATGCTACCGCAGGAACTAATAGTGCAGTCAAGGAAGAGAGCAAGGTTGGATATGTCACTACAATGGATTCGCAGGATCTCAAATCGGTGCATCGAGCTTTCAAGGCTAATGTTGACGATATCGAGGCTGCGTACATCAACCCACCAGCTTCAGTTGTCGAGCGCTTCTCAACGTACTTTCCCAAGGAGACGCCTCTCTCGTTCATCCTCATGCGGATTCGAGAGTTGGCGTCCGTGGGCAGGATGTTTAGACTCCACGTATCTTCCGAGAAGCTTCAGATTGCCGATCTGATTCAGGATATCCCTCTCACCATCTACGATCGACTCACATTCACCAACCTCCCTATTGCTATAAACGCCGAGAACGCAGTAGCAGTTCTTCGTGCACTCGCAAAGATCATTGCAAAGAGTGGTAGCGGCGATCTTCTCGACATCAAGGAAATACCAATAGAGAACCTGGATATCGACTACCAAAAGTCCAAGCTCCCTGCGATGGGTTATCTTCACAAACTTGAATCTCTGCACCAAGCCATCAACCAGTACATCTGGCTGTCATATCGTTTCAGCGGCATGTTCCGAGACCAGGCTCTGGCGTTCCACATCCGATCGCTGGTCGAGGAGAAGCTGATTGACACGCTGGAGAAACTGGACTTTACAGAGACTCAACTGAAGAGTTTCCGAATGAAGGGCCGAAGAGAAGCAAAGGAGAGAAGTGCATCTCAGCTGGGGCTGGAAGATGGCGACATCAAAGATTTAGAACAGGAGACGGACGACCCGCCGCTTGGCGAGTTATTGGACTACGAAGAAAGTCCGGCAACTACAACTGGATGATTATGATTCTTGAAAATGTACACTACAGAAGGAAATGCATGGCATATGATGCTCGGCGTTGGATTGGGACATGCCTAGATGACAAAAAGGATATGGATGTAACTTTATTTAGAAATGATGTATCACCAAGATTTGTACAATACAACTCAAACGAACTCAAACAAAGAGATCGGAGTCATGGGAAGTTAATGCCACGTGCCTTTTGTTTCGACAGTACATGACGGCATCGCTATTAATGTGCTGCAGCCACAATTGACCATCCAGGGTATTGTGTAGGGCTGGTCATAGACATGATCATTCATTGGCCATCCGCAGAGTATTGTGCAGAATGTGTTTGTAGGTAACCTTAAGTTTAGCCTTTCGTTCAGCCATGATCAAGCCATTTCGGATAATGATATATAAAGCCGTGAATAAACCGTGAATAGAGATTGGACCCTGGACTCAAATTAAAGGGACTTTTAAGGCACCAGGTAAAGATCAACGTCATTGGCAGACCCCTGCTGCCCTGTAACTGCTGTAGCCTAGGTACCAGGTGGGGAGCTGAGCAAAGCCCGGACCTAAACTCAAGGGCCAACTGCCTTAATTCAACTCCACTTGACTCCCGTCCCATCGCATTTCACGCTGACATTTAATCTTCATCCTTGATTTATTATCATAGGTTCTCACTCACCCGTCAAGTGCTTTTGCTGTACCACACGACAGACGCTTCGCTACATCAACCTGTCCTTCAGTATCACAGGAAATTCTCCGGGTATCTACAGTAGAACCCTGCTCTTCAAACGACATTTCACAATGGAGGACTCACATTTCCACCCCTCCGCCGTGCCCTCAGCACCTTATACTCGTCGAGCTCCCAGCCCGCCATTCATTCATATTCCTGCCACGGGACAATGCGGAGCTATCGAGGTCCCAAATCTCATGCCTTCATACGAAAACGTCGACCCGAGTCAGTTGACTGCCCAGGACGTGGAAATCATCACCCGCAACATGAAGCAGATCGCGACCGACCGCTCTGCAGACTGGTCTTACGAGCAGCGCCGTGAAGCACAGTGTCTGGTCGACTTTCTGTATCTCGGTCCCAACAGTGTCGCCAAGGATCACGACTGGCTTAAACGCGAAGGTATCACCATGTTTCTAGTCGCCAGGGACTCTCGCATGAGTGGCACCAAGCTCAATGGCGTTGAAAAGGCGGCTCAAGCTTTAGGAATTGCCCTGCAGTATGTCGACCTAGAAGGATACGACAAGTTGATTACGTCCTTTTCAGTCGTCATACGCGCCATCAACGACCATCTTCTCTCTATTTACCATCGTCAGGCCAAAGAGATCAACCCAGACGGCTCTATGAAGGTCGACCCTAGCAACTTTCACCGTGGCAAAGTACTCATTACTTGCGAAACTGGTAACGACCGCTCAGCAGCACTTGCCGCAGCCTACATCATGGCGGTTTTCGGAAAGGACATGATCGCCGCAGTTCAATTCATCAGCATCCAACGGTTCTGCTGTACTTTTGATGAGGATATCAAGCGAAAACTCCAAAGCTGGGAGGACATTCTACGTGCACGGTCTCAGGTCGCCTCTCACGCCACCACACCCCAAAACGCAATGCATACGAAGCGACATATCGAGGATTGCTCCAACGAAGAGGACTCTGATGTAAGGGATAGCTTCACATTGGACCATGATCGATTTGAGGGACGTGGGGCCTTTGTCCCGTTTGTGGATATGTAGGGGTGCTTCTGCTAGAGTAGGCTGCATATGGATGGCGTTTGGGATGGAACTTTGATACCCTGTATAACTAGTGCTGGTGTTAGGACTCAGCTCGTTAAAGCTTTGAATTACGACTATGTTGACTGCGCATATCTTCTGTGTCAGACTTGGGAGTGTTCAACCGTGAGCGAAACTCTAGGTTAAAGTGCCAAAATAAAGTGGTCCAAGTCCGAGTTAAAAAGGCTACGTAGTGTTTGAACTCTTTTGTCCCTCTGGCGTCTGACGACCATTCATATGCTGATACATCACAGTATTTCCCCATAGGTACTTAATCAGTCACATGTAAACGACCAAGGGCATGGATTTTACGTCACTTCCTTCTACTGCTGTGATCTGGAGGCTCAAACGGAAGCAGTTATGTGGATGCTACGATCAAACTTGGTCGTGAAGAGAGTTTAGGCAGCGCGCACAATCGCTGAAAGTAAACAGAATGACTCAAAGTCGCAGATGTTTTGTTTGAGTTAAGTTGAGTCGTTGTTTGTTTTGGAGGCTAATTCTTCTAGAGGCTTAAATGGAAGCAGTCATATGAATGTTGTCTGCCTTGCCAATGTCTGCCAGTGCCGGCGGACCGAAAACCACATTCGCAAGAACAATATACTTGATCAAAACAAACAACAGCTGGATCCAAACAGAAATAAAGTAGCCTAACTACTAGCCTATGCTTGCATAAGGTGACCTAATTATTTCGTCTCTTATGCTTCCTGCGACCTCACGTATCTTCTCAAGCTACCTAGGCCTCATTCTTACGAATCACTTCGCCATTGTTTGTTATTTACGTTCACCAATGACCGCGCCAGTGGAAACAGACGATGCCGAAGCCTCGATGATAGACTTGACCAAGCCCTTCGACTTCAACTTTCGCCTTTTCAATGTCGACTCGGAATCGCGACAGTTGCACAATCCACCACCTCCACCACAACCACAACGACCGCAACCCAAAACGCACGAGAAGAAGCGCGGCCATGCTTCTTACGAGCTACTTGAAACTTCTCTTGTGACTTACTGGAAACCCTTTGGCCAAAGAAGGGGGGTCTGCCTCGGACCGGAAGAAACATATTTATGTACCGGTTGCGAAATATGCGCGCCTTCAGAATACGTAACAAACTCACAGCCAGAGTGTAATAGGATTCCACCCACAGCTGTCGCGATGCCTCTACCCGAGATGCCGAGCTACGAGAGGGTGAACTACGAACTGGCGCTATTCAAGGCGAATATGGAGGAGCTACGACAGCATCGAGCTTTCGCATCCGAGTTGACTCATCAAGATCCTCAGCAGATAGACCAAGTCCTCGAAGGGAAGACACCAGAGAAGCGAGAGATAAGTCAGCGACAACTCAAATCCGATGGCGCAGCGGCAGTCCCATGGTTAACAGATCAAGTCTTCCCACTAAGATCCAGCGACATGGCGATCAGGGACAAGTCGATCAACGTCGCGCCGGGCGACAACACAATTCATGTCGCGACTGGTAAAGCGAACGGGAGTCCGCCGAAAGCTGCGACTGCAAGAGTACCTAAGAAGCCTCGTGTAGCAAAGGCAAACGGAAGCGACCCGCCGAAAAAGAGAGGCCGACCGCGCAAATATCCATTGCCCGAGCCAAAACCACCGCCCGAGTCGAAACTACCCCAATCAACACCATCTCAATCAACACTATCCCAACCAACACCAGACAGCCATGGAAAGGCATAGGACAGCCTGTCGTGGGGTGTCAAATGGATTGTCATATGGATGCTCAACAAACAACACAGCTTCTCGCGCATCGTGAATGTGATTCTGCGCCTCGAAGATCGACAAGTCCAAGAGTTTATGGAGATATACGTTTGCGAGTATTCCGGTTGGGACAAATGGCAAAAGGAGGTGGGAAAGATTCCGCGTGAGGCACTCCAAGAGCATGCAATAGAAAAGGGGCAAACTGTCGACGAGCTTCTTGAACAGTACCGTCCTCCTTTCTGCACTGAGAAAATCACCCCTGAAGACCGAGAGACGGGGGCCATATTCTTACTCAACTTCCCGACGTTAGCTCGGCAATTTGAGGACCTCGAAGATATGCGCGGCTTCTTGCTTATGGATATCGAATGGAACTACATCCAAGATGCCATCGACAAGCAGCGCATTCCAATTCCAATCGTACTATCGGGTATCGTGGGCCGTGATGATGCTTTGGATGATACAGAGTGCAGGGATGAGAGCGCGACCGATGGTATTGGAATCACAACAGACACTGTTGCTCGGGGTGAATACCTTGTCAACTTCGATGTACTCCAGCTGGTACCGGATACTCGACCTTTCAGTCCTTTAACAGGATTACTACTCCCGCAAATGAGTCCACCTCAGACACATCACGAATTTAAAAGTGACGGGCCTGTCGGTAGTGCCGTTGTGAATGACACTCTTAGTCCATCGTTTGGACAGAGTACTCCCCCACCTACACCCTCTTCTCGACTTCGCGATATGCTTGATGAGAAGTATCGCGACTTTTTGGAGGAAGAGAAGAAGCTGGAAAACGAAAGCTCCAGCGAAGACGATGGTGAGGGAATTGGAAACATGGTCGTTCCGGAACCAGAAAAAGATGACGAGGAGTACTGTCCAAATACGAAGAGATCTTCGAAAAGGACCAGAAAGATGACCCTCAAGAAGAAAGAGAGTGACAAGATGATGGCCCAGAAGAAGAAGAAAATTGGAGGGTCCCGAAAGCAGAAGAAGCTTCAAGAAGATTCTGAAGCTGAAGAGGACAGCAATTACGCTTTCGAAGCCATCAGTAATGCCCCAAAGACACCAACGAAACGAAAAAAAGGGGTCACTGCGGGCCAGAGTGACCCCCCTTCTTCTGGTCGCATCAAGCTTATCGTCAGATCATCTCGGAAAGATACTCCAACCAAGCCAAAGGGTCACAGATCTACGGATATCATGCCTAGCGAAGACCCAACAGCAAACAGTGCAGTTTCCGCTAGCCATGCGATATCCGCCAAACATGCGGTATACGCCGCGATGTCGACAAGCGCCCATTTCGCCCAAACAGCTGTCCGTAGGAGCGGGCAAAACAACGAGACAGAGATAGCAAGGATACTCAGAAATCAGATCCAGCCAAATGAGCTCCGTGTTGCGTTTGAGAAAATCAGATCAGAAGGCGTGCAGTATGCTGATAGGGCCAGCTTTGCTTTGGTAGCAGAGAAAGCAGATTGCGCAGGGATTGCTTTTGAGGCCGACGATGCAAACGAGGTACTGACGGGAGAAAGGAAGGATAATGCGTGAGAGGTGCTTGTTTTACGGGATTTAGAGTGGACTTTTTTGATAGATCTACATGCTTGATGCTGGGAAGTCTAGGCCTTGGGATCCTCAGGGCGTCGAAGAAATGATCACCGAGAGCATACGGGACGAAACAGTTTAGTTAATTTTATGCCAGCTGAGACCCGGTCTCAGGCTACTTTATTTTGGCAGTCTGAGCCTTAGAAGACATTCCCTCTATTGCCCACCTGGGAGATGTCCGTTTGTGCTTGCCATCTACCTGGCCAAAGTTTTGTTTCATGCAGAAGGAACAAGTGCTAACTCAGAGCCAACACAAGTGGTGACAAATGGTCTTGCGACCTGATGACAAAGAATAGAGAAGTGATACAATCTGTTGAAAACATTCGGTCTGAGTATGGTAACGTACGGCTGCAATCTGAATGTGCTTTTTCGCTTCATCGTACCAGTGTTGTGTCCATGTACCGCGCAAACCAATTGTTGATTAAAAAAAAGGTACGTAGCCTAATCTCCGCTGGTTCTTCCTTTGTGACACCAAATTTCTATAGTAAGATGCCATCTGATTCCTCCAGGTGGCAGTGGCATGCCTGCAGTTTGCACCCTCCGCTGCCAGCTGCCGCACTAAATGCGCATCTATCCGCACCGCTTTCTCCCTTTCTCCTACATCTCAGGCACCATCTTTCGTATTTATCCTCAGGGATATCCTTCACTCTTTAAGAAACATTTTCCCAGACTCGAATCTCCTTTAATTCATTATTACGCAAAGCTACCATTACGATCGCATATCATGGTCGTGCAACACGAGGATCCGTCTTCAGTGCGGCCTCCGATGGACCTGATTGCTGCCAAAAGAAGAAGAGAGTCGTCAGGGGAGGTCTGTGATCTCATCGCCGATATACCTGCTATTCCACTGGAAGAAGACTTCGACAAAGTTGACCAAAGTGATTCGGAAGATGAAGATGACCAAGGCGTTCGGTATCGCCTGATAGTCAAGCCTTCCAAAGCCAGACGCATCACCGAACGGCAGCGCGCTGGGCAAAAAGCTCTGGAAGATTTTGCAAGACAGTCTCAAGAAAACGCCTTCGCGAGTTCTAGAAAGAGGAAGAGTCATGATCACGAACCCGATCGAGAATATCAGATAGTTCTTTCCGAAAGGGCTAAGGAGAAAAACATCATCGTCGTTTTGCCTACAGGTAATCAATCCCCTCTTCTATGAGATGGTGACAGACTGCTAACAGATGCAGGTTGCGGCAAAACCAGGATTGCTGCTAATTTGCTCGTACATTGCCTTCGAGAAGAAGTAGAATCTCGCAGCGTCGGTAACCCCAAGAAAGTGGCATTCTTCTTAGTGGAAAAGGTTGCCCTTTGTGAGCAGCAATATCACGCTCTTAAGAACTCCGTGAGAGGTCATCCGATCGGTATGTTTACAGGCCACTCCAAGGGCCTGAAAAAGACCAAGAGCTACTGGGACGCTCAATTCAAAGACAATGCCGTCGTGTTCTGTACTGCCCACATTCTACTCGACTGTCTCAACAACGCCTTCATTACCATGGACCGCATCCATCTCCTCATTTTCGACGAAGCGCATCATGCAAAGAAGAAACACGATTACGCGGAGATTATGAGAAGATACTATTTCACTACTCGCAAGAGCGAAAGGCCTCGAGTTCTCGGATTGACTGCCTCCCCTGTGGATTCCAAGACTACTGACGTGAGAGAATTAGCCCGTGAACTTGAAAGAACCTTGGACAGCGAGATTGCAACACTTTCCGACAAGATGCTCATGGAAGTAATGGGATTACAGGTACAAGTTGAAGAAACAGTCAGGTACGACACTCTTGAGTTACCAGAAGAGACAAAGACGCCGCTCTGGGATTCAATCTCTAAACTCGTGTCTCGAAATGAAGCATTTGAAGCACCTCTCAGCTTTGCGAAAGAAGCATCATCGACTCTTGGCCCATGGTGTGCCGACCGGTATTGGCAGCTTTCGATCACTGAAGACGAGACAAAACGGCTTAGCGACAGGACCAAAGCGGCTTTTGTTGGTAATACAGAGCACGTATTGGCAAGACTGGATAAAGCAAGAGATGCTGTTCAGCAGATCCGAGAGGTTGTTGCAGCCCACAAGTTTGATACAGTTACCCCTGGATCCAAGGATTTATCTTCCAAGGTGAAATGTCTGCATGAAATTCTGGTTCATGCCTTCACAACTGATAATGCGACACGCTGCATTGTTTTTGTTGACCAAAGACACACAGCCTGCTTGCTTGCGGACCTTTATAACCAGGCGTCAATGGCGATCCCAGGGATGATTGCCGGGTATATGGTGAGTCCTAGGTCCCTGCTCCTAATCGTACATTAACCACGATAGATTGGATACAAAGGGGGGAGTGGCCACATTGGCAATATGTCTCTTCAAAAGCAAACTACGGCGCTCGATAATTTCACGGGAAACAGGATCAACTGCCTTTTTGCAACGTCAGTGGCAGAAGAGGGAATTGATGTACCCGAATGCGGACTTTGTGTTCGATTCGACCTCTACAGCTCAGTCATTCAGTATGTACAGTCCAAAGGACGCGCCAGGTTGAAACTTTCGCGGTTCATCACCATGTTGGAGGATGGCAACATGAAGCAAGTCCGCGTTATAAAGCAAGCATTGAGAGATGTAACAGCTGTCCAAAAGTTTTGTCTCGCACAACCTGAAGACCGCAAGGTACAAGACGAGACATGGGTTGAAGGGATGGAGGAACAGATCGAGCGGATGAGCTACCATGTGTACGAAACCAACACAGGAGCTCGTCTCACATTCCCTTCTAGCCTCGAACTGTTGGCCAGATTTGCTGCGACCTTACATACAGGTGATGGTTTAAACAGCAAAGCCGAGTATCACGTCTACAGGGTGACGACACAGTATATCGCCACTGTCCATCTCTCGCAAAACTCTCCTCTCGTCTCCCAGACAGGTTACCCACAGCGTAGCAAGATTCTGGCCAAGTGTTCTGCGGCTTTCGAAGCCTGCAAGAAACTCATTGCGGGGAGACACATCGATGAGCATCTTCAGCCCAAGTTCATAAAACAAGCCCACAAAATGCGCAATGCTCGTGTGGGAATTAGCCCGAACAAGAAGGCTGAGCATGATATGCGTGTAAGGCCCAACATTTGGAGTTCTTTGGGAGAATGGACGGACTTTTACCCGACCACAATTGTCCTCAACATGAAATCGGGACAAGAAAGAGAAAGCAGACCATTGATCCTTCTTTCTCGCAAAGCTCTTCCGCAGTTACCTTCAATCCCCTTGTTCTTCGGCAACGGACGGTCAGGTGTCGCTGAGTTGTCATGCTCACGGGAACCTCTCAGTATAACTGCACAACAAGCTGAAGGACTAGCTGCTTTCACGCTCAAGATCTTTGATGATGTTTTCAGCAAAAAGTTTGAAGCAACTCACGACCAATTTCCCTATCTTCTCGCACCTTCGGCAAAAGGCAGCCACGAAGCACTACAAATCGATTGGGATGCAGTCCGTCTCGTCAAAGAAGAAGAGTTTCTCGACTGGAATAATGCGCCAGATGATTTCTTTGTCGACAAGTTCGTAGTTGATCTCTATGATGGAGGGCGCAAACTTATTCTCAAAGGTATCGACAAGACGAAGAAGCCTTCTGATCCTACACCAGAGGGTGTACCCGAGCCGAGGTGCCGTGCTTATAGGTCTGTGGAACCAACTATCAAGGAATACAGCAACAGTTATTTTCTCGCATCCCGAAAAAGGCGGGAATGGAGAGATGACCAGCCTGTCGTTCGAGCAGAGCTCCTCTCACTACGACGAAATCTGTTGGACGAATTTCAGATCGATGAGGAAGTCAACAAAGACTGCTTCGTCATTCTGGAGCCGCTCAGTGTATCCCCTGTAAGTTATATCCTAACTTCAAAACGTATCTAACATTTTTAGCTACCGCTCGACGTTGTTTCTATGGCGCTCAAATTCCCGGCAATCATTCACAGGATAGATTCCGCTCTGATCGCTCTCGATGCGTGTGACGTTCTCGAACTCTCCATCCCACCTGCGCTAGCTCTCGAAGCAATGACCAAGGACAGCGACAACACTGATGAACATGACAAGCAACAGGTCAACTTCCAAGTTGGTATGGGTTCCAACTATGAACGGCTGGAGTTCCTCGGGGACTCCTTTCTCAAGATGGCCACCACAATCGCTATCTTTACACGAAAGCCCAAAGGCGACGAATGCCTATACCATGTTGAGCGCATGTTGCTGATTTGCAATCAAAACCTTTTCAACACTGCTGTCGACTGCAAACTCCCAGAGTATATTCGATCTCTGGCATTCGATAGACGAACCTGGTACCCCGATCTCAAACTGATCCAAGGCAAGGCTCTGAAAGCAAAGAAAAAACAAAACCTGGCCGACAAAACCATCGCAGATGTTTGTGAGGCTCTCATTGGTGCTGCGTATCTCTCGAGCAAGGATGACAAGATGAACATGGCTGTCAAAGCTGTGACACAGATGGCCCGATCGAAGCATCACTCAATGGTGGCTTTTGACGATTACTATGCCGCGTTCAAGGTTCCAGATTGGCAGAAGGCTAATTCAAACGCCAACCAACGCAGACTGGTGCAGAAGGTAGAAGAAGCCATCGGATACCTTTTCAAATCGGCGCCGTTGCTCGAAAGTGCGTTCACCCATCCGTCTTACACTTATTCCGGGAGCGTGCCACATTACCAGCGCCTCGAGTTTCTGGGAGATGCCCTCCTTGATATGGCCGTTGTCGAGTACCTATACATGAATTTTCCACTTGCGGACCCCCAGTGGTTGACTGAGCACAAAATGGCGATGGTATCCAACCATTTCTTGGGTTGTCTCTGCGTCAAGCTCAACCTACACCACCACCTTCTAGCCAATTATGCGATTTTCAGCAGCGAGATTCGAGATTATGTGATCGAACTTGAGGCAGCTGAAGAGGAGGCTCGCAAAGAAGCAGAACAAGAAGGAATTTCCATGCGCATGGACTTTTGGCGCAATATAAAACCGCCACCCAAGGCATACGCAGACTCGGTTGAGGCACTCGTCGGTGTCATGTTTGTGGACTCTAAATTCGACTATTCTGTCGTTGAGAACTTTTTTACCGAGTACATTGTCCCATACTTCGAAGACATGTCCCTCTATGATACCTTTGCAAACAAACATCCTGTTACGATTCTTACCAAGATCATGCAACAGCAGGTTGGTTGCAAAGCGTGGTCTGTGGCGTCAAAAATGAAGGTTCCGGATGCTGAACGGGGCATGGACGTTGCGACGGAGGATGATGTTATGAGTGCTTTCGTAGCACATGAAGTGGTTATCACAAGCTATGTTTCCACCAGTGGGTGGTCTGGCAAGATGAAGGCTGCGGAGCTAGCAATCGAACTGATCGAGTCTTTTGGTGGAGATATGGAAGCGGCGAGGAAGCGTCTGGGCTGCAACTGTGATATTCGGGTTGATGATGTGGAGATTGACCATGGGACGGCTGTGTAAAGGCTGCTAGGACCGCCGTGATGATTAATAGGGACATTCGGGGACAGGACTGCAGCGCATGTGTTGTTATCAGAGCGACAGTACAAAGTGGAAGGGTATTGTTTCTTAGTGTACAGAAGAGTTTCATATACTCAGGTAGCGTTGAATGATCAATTAGTTCTGTTGGTAGGATCGAATATCGGCGCAGAGTTGAAGTTAGGTTTGATGTTTATTTGATTGTGAACATAGAGCGTAATTACACTTGTAGCGTATAACAATTAAGCTAGCCCTCTTGGCCAAGTGGTAAGGCGTCGCACTCGTATGGCGAAAGCCAGAAATGACATGCGAAGATCACTGGTTCGATTCCAGTACGGGGCATACAATTATTCTTTTGCTGTTTGGCATTACCTTTTGCAATTTGTTTTGTTGTTCGTGATGGTTTTATGGTGTTGAGGATTGACGGCATGTACTTTTTGCGGCACCTGCCACGTTATGGTGCAGTCTGGGCTGGGAAGGAGCGTCGGTCACTATGGTGCCTTCCAGATTTGAGAATACATTAGATGGAATGTGTGTAGGTACCTAAATACCTGCCTATTTCTACCCTTTACATTCGACTTTCGACTATCATTCACTTTCAACAAGCAATGCTCTTAAGATTTTGACAAGAGCCTGGCATGAGTTGACCAAAATTCCAGCTCGAGTTCACACTGCCGCAGCTTTATCATGGCAAGTTATTGTTAAATGCTTCAAGGGACAGGAACTAACTTACTCAGTGCCCCTCTGAGCGCAATCTAAATCTATTCGGCTCCCTGCGAACCGTTTCTTCTGCTCGAATGAAACTGGGGACACCAACAGCTTGTTTGCGGTCGCGATCATCAAAGTGAACCAGAAGCCCCATGAAGAGAGCATAACTGCCTTCTTGGGTGTTAGTATTGCTTGGGGTCGCCCCTTAAGGCGTCATACATATACGTGGCAGCAAAAGCAGCAACAACAAACATCAGCAGCGACAACGACGCCGACAACAGTCACTCACTCACTTCCAAGGACCTCGCGCGGCCCTGCATCAGCTGCTCACCACTCCTGCGCGAATGGAACGCTGACACAAACAACCTGTTTGCATCCAAGGCGATCATCAAGATAACTAAAGACCCATGAAGAGGGCACAACTGCCCCTTTGAGTGATGTAATTCTCGGAATGGCCTCTCCAAGCATCTCGCAGATAGCAGCAACGCAGCAGCAACAACAGCAATATCAACGACAAGAGCAGCAGTAACAACGGCGATATCATCAATAGAGCCTTCTACCTTCCTTGCTACCTGCCTGGAACAATCTCTCGCTGACTGCCGGTCTGAGCTATTTAGTAGGTAGTCTCTTATGCGCGAGTGGAATGTCGGCACGAACAGCCTGCTTACGCTTGAGGCGATCATCAAATTTATCCAGGGGCCAATGAAGAGGGCACAACTGCCTTGCGAATGATTGTGAAGCCCGGGTTAGCCTCTCCGGACATCTATGCAGCAGATAGCAACAGCAACAGCAACAAAGGCGACTGATCCCGGATACAACTACATATCCTATCGAGTACCAGGCACCTACGCCCAAGCAGCAGTGACGTTCTCCCTGCCTTGCTACCTAACTGCCTTTTGGGTGATGATGATTGGACAGCCTCTCCAAGCATTTCGAAGATAGCAGCACTACAACAGCGACAACGGCGAGAACGGCGACAGCCGTAACAACACAGCAACAGCAGCAACAGTGCCCTTCTCCCTTCCTTGCTACCTCGCAGTACGACTTGATCTGCTTGGAAGAGCTTCTTCGACAGCTCCGGGCGACGCACTTCTCTCTGAAAGAGGACGGTTACTACGAGAACATCCCAGACATCGTTTCGGACTAGAAGACGCTTCGTGTCCCGGCCCATGAATCCGTTGCGGTAAACCTTTTCTCCACCTCAAACCATCTCCGCAGGCATCTTGGACTGCGTCCAAACATGTGAGCAGATACCAAGTCTCGTGCCACCCAGGCAACAACCTTGGCCACGAGGCTTATAAGACGGGAATTACAGATCAGTTCAGGAAATATTAGACCAAGCTCTTAGGCTAGCTTTGCCTACGGCCTAAAGCTCAGAAGTCAGTCCTCAATAAACTCCAGTCAAATAATCACGATGCTGTCACTTAAAGTCGCTTTAAGTCTGCATTCAGGCGAAGAAAAAAGAAAAGGTTCCATATTGGTATCGAGAGTACTATGACCCATCATGTACGAAATCCCACCCATATCCTGAAAATGCTGCCGTCGGAGACATCCTATCCAACCCATCATACGCCAAAATACATTATACAAAGAAAATCCTGTCAGGTGTCATATACCAATACATAACTCCAATCGCTTTCATATCTCATTCAATGGTCCTCGACATCTGCCGCACAAGCTTCCTCCTCTTCCTTCTGTCGTTGCTTTTTAGCCTTGATCGCCTTTCTAAGTTTTATGGCAGTCTGCATGTCCACCTTCGCATCATCAGCCTCAGTTAGGCCAAACTGGTCCCAGCCTAGTTCACGAATATCGATACCGAGATCAGCGAGCGAGACGAAGCCAGGCACTGTGGGAGCGGAAGGTATTTCATCCTCCCAATCAGAGTCAGAGTCTTGATCGTTGGAGGCTTTGGTGTGGCGGGGTGTATTAGTACTTCTGCGACTCTGTCGTGATCTTTGTTGAGATCGGTTAGGCGTCGACTTGCTGCTTCGGATGCTGGTACGACGATCGCTCTTCGTACTTATCGGACTCTTTGGTGTCTTGGGGCGCTTGGCGACAACAGGCTCGACAGGTATCTCGGGAAGGGAAGGAGGCTCAACAGAAGCCTTGAGAATGGGCACAGGTTCGAAAAGACCTGGTAGACCTGCACCGGTTCCGTAAGCGTCTTTCATAAGGAGGCCCTCTTCATTACGGCGCTTCTCCTTCCACGCGACAAAGGAGTCTACTGAGTCCTCGCTTGCATCAGAAAGGTAGAGATCCAGGTTGGTACCTTCACCAAAAGAGTGGCCGAGATCCCGCTCGATCTCTCTTCGCGAAGGAACCAGTGTATCGGAAAACTCGTCATCGCCTGCATTGTAGTAGCTGGTTTCTTCCGCTGGTTCGTTTTGTTCAGGCTCCGGATGCAATTTGATTGACGGGGGAAGAGATGCGTCAATCGATGTGCTTGGAGTGTGGTGACCCACGGATCTAGGGAAGGGATTGCTGGAGAAGCCAGAAGACATTGTTGATGGTGTGACGCATGGTTGCGCCTTAAATAGTGATGATGTTCGCACAGGGATGTGCTCGTTGATGTCGTCGAGACGCTGACTGCGGATGCTGGTCATGGTGCGAGATCGATTGAATGACTTGTCCATGGACGATGCACTGGTTGGGCGTGAAAAGTGAGGCATCTCGTTCAGAGACGTGCCTAAGCCTCCATGGTATGATTCTGGGCGTTGATTGTGCGTGTTATGGTGGCCAAGTTCATAGCTTGGTTCGAGGTATGAGGTGGACCGGTGCTCTGAAAGTCTAAACCGTGATGGTACAGTTGGGAAAGGCGCAGAGTCTTCATCGTCCTCTTCAACAGGTTCAATCTCGATATGGCCAAAACTCCTACCTCGACTTCGACCTTCGCTCGTCCTTGGCCTTGATCGTTGTACTGGTGGGGGTGATGCTGACGGTGGTGACAATTGTGGTGGCAATAGAGTTGGAGGTGATGGTGGTCTGTCATAGGAGAAGCTGGAGATGGAAGGGTGTAAGCTGAGAGGTCTTGGTTTGCGACTCTTTTCTTCTTCTTGAGGAGAAGCGAAAGCGTTGAATGATCTTCTGCGGTCTGCCTTCGATAATGTTGGTGCTCTGAGATTCGTGAGACTCGCTTTGGTGGGAGACTGGGATCGTTTTTCACGAAGATGCGACTTGCTGGTTCTTAACAAATCGTTGCCAATTGGACCAGAGTAAGATCTCCTCCAAACTGATGAATTAGACTGGGACCATTTATCCCGTTTTGTGCCGGAGTCACCATGGGGAACACCAGGATAAGGGGCGCAATCATCATCATCATCCTCTTCGTATTCACGGTCGTTAGTGGGCAACTCTAGATGACCACTACCGGAGAGTCGGTAGTAGGCCTTTGTGGCGGCGCTATTAAGGTTCAAGCCGTTATCGCCCAGATTTCTCTCGGCAACGTCTTCATCGTACTCGCGCGCACCGGTAGCCGATAGCCGTGAGCGGAAGTTTGAATGCGAAAATTCTCCCTGTGCATCAAGAACATCGATGAATGAATGGCGCTTGTCCTGAAATGAATCGGTTGAACTCTCTCGACGGTGGTGGGTTGGAATGGAGGGCACTGGAGGTGGTTTCTCAATGCGACCTCTTGAGGGTTTCTCAGGAACGCTCCAAGCTGAGTTTGAACTTCGAATACTGCGTGAAAGAGAAAGTGGCCGTGAGGCTGAAGAGTTGGCTTGGTTGGGTGCCGTTGTTGGTCTCGATTGACCGTAAAATCGAGGGACCATGGGAGGAGGTGCTATAGAATCATGGCCATAATCATCTCGTGATACCGTTGACAATTGCGCTTGGCTGCGTTTTCTGGCGGCTCGCTGCAGTTGATCCAAGACGTTGGGGCCATTGCCAGAGACTGGATATGTTCCTGGATCCTTGTCAGCAAATGTCTTGGTGTTCTGCATGTCGCATATACCTTGAATTGGTGGTATCGAAGCTACAGTCGCATTGTATGATTGACCCTTGACTGAAGCCCTCTTCGCATTCGACTTGCGGGCAAAAATATTGCTGAAGAAGCCCATGATGATGGCCGTTACCCTGCAATGCAGGTCGGCATCAAGAGAGGTGGCCCCTGGTTATGAATTAATTCCAGCAATGAAGAGAAATTAGAGCTGAGTCTCGAGGATCATTCGTAAGCATTCCGACCTGAAATGAAAAGTAAGAGGGGAGACCCAAGAAAGAAGGAAGGTACGAAGGCGTGTTTTAGTAGAAATAGAAAGTGAGAAGAGGGAGAGAAAAGAAACGAAAACGGAAGTTGGAACGTCACAATCTTTGGACTAATGCAAGCCAAACGATTGATTGAACGGGGACCAGATCCAGATTTTTGGGATCTGGGGGGGCAGTCGTTAGACTTTAAAAGATGAATGGCGAAGGCGTCTGATGGAGAGGAGAGTCATAGCATTTGATTTGGAGCTGCTATCCCTGGTTAGAGAATCTTCCGTGCAAGCTTCCACTTAACAAGATCCTTGACCGAAAACAGACAAGACACTTGGTTGAGAACAGGGGTACAGGAAACTAACAATGACGCCAACCGAGTAAAGAGGAGAAGAGATGGACCCGCGCTTAGATGCGATGCGAATGGAGATTCTAAACATGGGCTAAAAAGGAGTCGGACCCAGCCCAAGCTAGAAGAAAGTGACAGGCCACGGTCTATCTGTGCGTTAGTTTTGATACAACGAAATGACAGTCAGTCCTTGCTTGGTATTCAATTCATTCTACACCAACATGAAATATAGATTGGGTTAGACACACAATTCCTACCAAGTTACCCTTTGTCTCAAATCATCGAATCACACCCATCAACTGCTGATTGTCCCCCAGGATCCCGATCAGGGGCGTCTGACTTGCAGCGCCTACAAACTACAAATGGAAGCGCTTGGGGCATGGACCCCCCTGAACTCTAAAGCCCCCCTCCCTGGAAAAGCCCAGAACGCAAAACCAGGCTGATCGATGCAGGGACCACAACTTTGCTTCAGGGGTTTTTACTGTTACTGTCCGAGTGACACGGGAGAAATGCTGTGCACACGGGATGGCATTTCAACGGCAAGCATTAATAAATGGCCATTAAATAGCCATGGCAAAAAAAGGGAACAAAAAGTGAGGCCTCTTGTTTAGGTGTTCGTCAACCTGGGGATCATCAACGGTATTAACCGACTGACGCCATCTGGCAAACTTTTGAAACGGCGTGGCGATATTCCGAATCTGGTTTCTGATCAACATGGGTCAACTTATTTTAGGCTAACTTACGCAAGAAATGCTCAAACAAGACCTTTTACCTGACACGTACTCAGACGCATGAAGCAAATAAATGAGATATGACTACAAAGAATAATATGCGACCGGCTTAAAAACCCGCATTTCCGATATTCCCACGTCGAAACCCACGTATCTCACGGCATTACTTTTGTAGGCGAGACCGACTGCTTGGTTCGGGAATCATGTCAAATGAGGAGATAGCAAAGAACAAAGGAGTTCAAAGGAGATTCCCGTTGTGGGTTTTGTTAAAGAGTTTACAAGGCTGACCTTGCCTTACCAGGGGATGGACCCTTGGAGGTTTGTTAAGCGAAACGAAGAATGAATTGTACAGTATCCGAGTCATACATTGCGTTGCGTTGCCATTGTAACGACCGTATCAATACCATGTAACCAAACAGATCATTTGTGTTACATAGACACAGGAACGGGCCGCTGCCTGAAGAAATGATGATACCGTACCTTTCGTGTATAAATTGCCATGTGGTATTTTGTTACTCTGCTTGTGCTTGTGTTCATGCTCGTGGCTCTCACTGTAACCTTTGTAATTGACATTGTTTCACACCGATAGTTACAAAGGATCATGAGATCACTATGCAGTAGCTGATCCCAATCACCTTGTTACTAGTGCAAGACCGGTTCCGCGAAGGTATCCGAGAGTTGTTACGGTCATGTTGCGATTTGTGACAGGAACTGTGAATTCTGACCAGTACCATTTTGCTTTTCCCTACCGTCAATGATGTTTCATGTAGGATTTGTTTCTTCCAGCACGTGGTCAACTGTTACGTTGTCCTCACTTTGCTTTTTTTCTACACCGTTATGGTCTCTGATGCGTGTCATTTGACAAACGCTGAAGCTAAAGAGACGGAGGATAAACTAGAGGTAGCAATTAATATGGCAGTGCGGATCAGGCCGCTAGGAAAATATTACGAGAATGGGATCAGCAGTCATAGCGATGATTTTCGGTCGATTGTTCCTGGACTATATTTGACGCGATTGGCGAAGCTAATTAAATTAGATTAGCTCAGATGAGGGTGTGATGAGTGTTTGTGATGAGGTTACCCTATAGATATTCAGTCAATTTCATTTAAATCTCAAATTAAGTCAAAGAGTAATTATTTCACTAGGCGCTTCACGTGAACCTCCTCGTCTTCTGACTAGCATTACAATGTAATGAAAGCGCTTCAATTGAGGTTGTGTTGATGCTAAAAATGTCCCCTAAACGGAGGGCTCAAGTGATGTCTTTAGCGACGTCATAAATGCAGCCCCGCCAGACGTACGTGGGGTTCACCTGCCTGAACTCGCCCATCAACCGTCCATACCACCACCATCAATACCGCATCTTGCATCTTGCATACTGCATCAAACATCTTCCAACGAAACGACCTCATAATAGCAAATATGTCTCTGACAACCGACCCCGATCCTTCCGGCGGCTGCCCAGCCTTCATCCCCCTCGAAGCGAACCCTCAACTCATGACCACGCTCATCCACAAGCTTGGTATCTCTGACGCTCTCGAGATGCACGACGTCTACTCCCTGACAGACCCCGACCTCCTTGCTTTCATCCCTCGCCCAGCGCTCGCTCTTCTTCTCGTGTTCCCCGTTAGCGCCGTGTACGAGAGCCACCGCATGGCAGAGGATAGCTTGGCCGATGAATACAAGGGCAAGGGAGATACAGAGCCCGTCTTGTGGTGGCCTCAAACTATCAAGAATGCCTGTGGTATGATGGGTCTTCTGCATGCTATCACAAATGGAAATGCACGAAACTTCATCCGTATGTTTACCCTGCTTTCTAGAGGATGCAGCTAACATTTAGCAGAGGAGGGATCTACCCTCGATACCATCGTCAAGAAGAGCATGCCTCTCGATCCCCACGGCCGCGCAAAGGTTCTCGAATCCACACCTGAGCTCGCGACTGCTCACAAGGAGGCTGCTACTCAAGGAGACACGCCTGCGCCCGCTGCCGATGACGATGTAGAGCTTCACTACGTTTGCTTTGCCAAGGGAACCGATAATGGACTTTGGGAACTCGATGGACGACGAAAGGGACCTATCCGACGAGGTGACTTGGAAGAGAATGAGGACGTGCTGAGCTCTAAGGGTCTGACACTGGGTGCTCTCAAGTTCTTGGAGCGCGGTGGTGCGGATTTGAGATTCAGCGCTGTTGCGCTCGCTGGATCTGTTGATTAGATTGGACCACGATACCCATGATGATATGAAAGAGAAGTTTTGAAGATTTATCGGAATACGAGTTATTTGGTGTACCTGTGAACTATTAGGCCAAGTGGTCTCAATTGAAGACACGACGATCTGTGATGTTTACAGCCTGATTGCAACCTGCGGCTGAAGCTAGTGCTCGGTTATTTTGAGAAGCTGAAAGGACAAGGCGGATTCCTGAAGCCACATCTCGCTCAGCTCCCCACTTCAAGGCAGCGACTTTGAGAGTAGATATATATCTGTCCGGTTGTCCTTCAGAAACAGAAGATCATCTTTAATTATCAATCATCATGAGTAAGTCCCAATTGATATTGCTGGCACGAAGCTGACAAGTCTAGAAATCGCTCGTTGGCTCCTGGGAAGAGGTACCGAGCATGTTGGCTTGGTGCTAGGAAATGACACAGCCGGAAAAACTACGTTGATTTATAGATTGAGATACGGCGAACCTGTCCAGACTATTCCGACCATTGGTTTCAATGTTGAGACATTTGAGTACCCAGATGGCGATAAACTCACGCTATGGGACATTGGAGGTAGGTTATTGCCATATGCCGTGAATTTGACTAACAGCACCAGGATGCGATCAAATCCGACCTCTTACTCAACATTATATGCTAAAAGATCGCTTCATCATATTTCTGCAGAGCTGCGAAGATTTGGATCCTGATAGAATTGAGTTTTCTATGGAGTATCTTCGCATGTCGATGAGTATGATGGAGGGCTTTGAAGCGAAGAACATGTTTATCCTGTTCAACAGGCAGGATCACCTTTCACTAGAGGAAGCAGCCAAAGTCGTCAAGGACCTCAAGGTGGTTATTGAGAAAGAGATCAAGCCATATAAAAACAAGCTTGATATCAGGATCTTGGACTATCCTGGCTTCAGCGCGTTGTATGGTACACAAGTGCATCCCGCTATTGAGGAGATCAGGAAGGCTCTGAAGCCTGTTAAGCCAGCGCAAAACACCAAAGCTGAGATTGAACAGAGGGAGAAGGGTCCGAGTGAAGAGGAACTTCTCAACCGGATCAGACAGGCAAATGCCAAAAGCGCTGACGCGAAAACGTTCTGGAGCGCTTTTGTGGATGGTAGTCTTGAGTCTTGGGATCACTATACCCATCTCAGAGCTGGCCTTTTCGTCATGCATGATTGTTTCGCTAGGGGACTGGGTCTGTTGGAATGTGCGGATGAGTTTATGGCGCATCTGAATCGATTGAGAGAGGGCAACCCGGAGAGATTTCGTAATACTGCACACAAGTAAGTACCCTATGTCTACTGGTGTCCTAATACTGATCTTGAATAGAACAATGACAATCTTCTGGCTACATCAGATCCAGGTCGCTGCTCTCGAGCACCAGGCAAGCAAAGCACTTGACAAATTTCCTGCACCGGAAGAGTATGCGGACATCGTCTTCTCGGCACCACGTCTGATGAACTCTGGTTTGTGGAGAGCCTATTACACCAAAGACCTGCTCTTCACACAGGAGGCCAGAGAGAATTGGCATCTTCCTGATTTGCAGCCTCTTCCAACTGTCAGCCAAGTTACCTCCGAGAAGCCACAACAGCAGAAGTCTGTTAACGACGTTGATCGACTGCCTCGCTTTGCTTTCTCTGTCGTCCAGAAGACGTTAACCTCTAAACTTAGACGTGGAGGAGTCGTGAAGCAAGCTCTCGAAGCTCTCCAGTCATCTACGATGCGACTCCGTGCTTCAAATCCTTCGATCTCTCCTTACTCCGAGACACAGGCATACTTTTGGATTCAGATCATCCACGCCTATATTCGCTCTCTAGAAGTAGAAGACTCTTCAGTGCATAACAACCTCAACGGTCTTGGTCCAGCGCTGACCTATGAAGCATTCAAATCCCTGTTTGGCATAACCGGCGAAGAGTGGCGTCAGTACTACTCGCAATCTACATGGGAAAGCATCACAGCCCGAATGAGCTTCGTGAACCCCGACAAGAAAGCCCTGCCAAACGTTTTCGGGTTGCCGTCGCAAGCGAGAATGGATCTTGCTCGATCGCAGATGGTCAATGCGATAAGCCATCGCTTGACAGGACCTTCAGACTTACCGCCTCGTGAAGAGCTGGACTTCCAAGCCGCTGTTCTCATCGACGAAGCGAAGCTTATGCCCGAGTCTGAACTCAACGTCGCCAGCCATGCGAGTCTCCTACGATTCCTCTTCACTCGCCTATCTGGCCAAAGTGATACTACCACGAAGGGAACCAAGAGAGCTGCCTCGCTGGCGTCGTCTGCAGCATTGGAAGTCGCCAAACAGGTCGGTTTGACACAGAGTATGTTCTGGGTACAGCAAATTCAACTCGCGCTAGCTGGAAGTAATACCGAAAGCTTCGAGGAGCTTGTCAAGAGAAGTTCGCACTTAGCTTACGAGGACCTGCCGTTTACTCATTATTCACCTCAATTGTGGGAGAGTGCTGAGGCGAGGGAGGCTTATGTGCCGCCTGATAGACGAGCGGTTTCTAGCGTTGTCGCTAGAAAGGCATGAAGCAGTATATTGGCTGGACCAAGGGATAGCATAGACATTTTTAGGAGATCAATAGGAATAATACGATGTTTTTGAGACCAAATTTAGGACTCGGGCCCGAAACACCTGATACGATCATTCAGTGATGCACGAAACACTTCCCCAGATCAGGTAAACTACCATGGTAGTATCGAACAAGAACTCTCAATACACGCTGCTTTGTCAGTTAAATATTTCATGATTTGACATAAGAAGATGTATGTTATGACGCAAATCCTGGGGTCTCTGTTACAGCTTGTCAACTCACGTGCACATCATGATGATATCATGCTACGACCTGATCCTTTAATAAACAGCCGACAACATATAGAAAGACACGATTGATAACAGAGAAGTCATCAAACTGTTCTAGAGAACTGACTGTATCACTTACTCGTCATTGAAGATAATGTCTCACGTCGGTCTGCTCAAAGCTGCCCGCCCAGCATGGCGAGCTTCATCCGCAATCCCCAGGGCTGCCGCTCGACCTTTCTCGGCGTCTCGTAATCTCAGGGCAACTACTCCAATTCTCTTAGAAGATAAAGAAAAGGGTTTCGGCTTCGTACGTCATAACAGCCGTCCACCAAAGCCTCGATCTGTGGGTGTGACTGAGATTCGAGGGCCGTATTACTCTGTTATGGGGAAGCGATATCTTCAAGATGTTTTAGAGACGTGAGTATGATGGGTTCCGTATCATCACAGTTCGAAACTGATCGTTTTCAGTATGGGCCACCATGTTGATGGTCTCAAATTCGCTGGCGGGTCTTTCTCACTGTTTCCAGAGGATAAGTTGAAAGAGCTTATCAACCTCGCTCATGAGTATAACGTCTACGTATCAACAGTAAGTTTTCTCCCTGATATCGCGAACAGATGCTGACCATTAGCAGGGCGGATGGATGGAGCATATCCTTCTGCAGTCTGACCCAGGCTGGGCAGTAGACCAGTATCTAAAGAAGTGCAAACAGCTTGGTTTCGACGTGATTGAAATCTCATCAGGCTTCCTCTCCATCCCCCAGGATGACTGGCTTCGCATCGTAGACAAGGTCCACGCAGAAGGTCTCATCGCTAAGCCCGAATGCGGGATTCAATTCGGCGCTGGCGGCGATACAGAAGCTTCGGAGCTGTCGTCAATTGGAACATCTGACCCTTCAAAGATAATCCACATGGGTAAGCGCTTCATCGACGCTGGCGTTGAGCGCATCATGATTGAGAGTGAGGGCATCACTGAGAATGTCAAGAGCTGGAGGACAGATGTCATTCAGCAGATCTTGAGAGAACTACCCCAAGAGAAAGTCATGTTCGAAGCTGCGGACCCAAAGGTGTTCAATTGGTACATCAGAGAGTTTGGCACCGACGTCAATCTGTTTGTGGACCATTCGCAGATTGTGCAGTTGTCTTGTTTGAGAGAAGGTATTTGGGGACAATCTGATACGTTTGGGTCGGTCGTCAACTATAGGCCATGATTCCAAATCGATTGTTGATAATATTAGGTTAATTGAATAATTATGTTGGAATGGTGAGCAGTTGATTGATAGATCGTGATGCAATCGCGATGCGCAGGAGCTCCTGCCCCGCGACGAGACGCATACTGACATCATCAGCGACACAGATAAATAAGGTACTCGACACGCTCTTTCCTTCCAAATCTCAAATCTCTCAATTTCTCAAGAGAAACAAGGCAGTAATTCTTCACCTTTCACCAACTCACAAATAATCACCCGCGACCATGTCACAAGCTGGAAAAGATGGTACTTTCCAACCCGTTCCTGAGGCTCAAGCCCAGAACCTCCCTGGGTACGTCACAAATCTCACCACCAAGAACAAATGGCTGACTTGCTACAGAACGGAGAAGGCTATGAATCCTACTAGCGAGTCTACTAAGCTAGAGGGCAAGGGTGAATTCGTCGAGTATCGTGCTGCCAACAAGCTCGAGAACGCCAAAGCTCTCATCACCGGCGGAGAGTGAGTCTTACCACCAATTCACTAACTATTTGGCCTCATCTGACGCTTCTAGCTCCGGTATTGGTCGCTCAGTAGCCGTCCTCTTCGCTCGTGAAGGTGCTGACGTGACAATCGTCTACCTCCCCGAGGAGCAAGAAGACGCCGAAGAGACCAAGAAGATGGTCGAGAAGGAGGGCCGCAAGTGTGTTTTGTTCGCCGGAAATCTCATGGACAACGAGACTTGCAAGAACGCCGTCCAGAAGCATGTTGATGAATTCGGAAAGATCGATGTTCTGGTCAACAATGCCGCGAAGCAGATCATGTGCGAGGACTTTAAGGATATTGATTTGGAGAATGTCGAGAGCACTTTCCGAAGCAACATCCTTCAAATCTTTGCCATGACGAAATATGCTCTTCACCACATGGAGAAGGGTGGATCGTAAGTGTCAATCCCGAGGAGCCTAGTTCTTTAGCTAACAAGTGCAGCATCATCAACTCAACTTCCACAGTTGCCTTCCGTGGTACCGCCGCAATGGTCGACTACGCCTCTACAAAGGGCGCCATCACTTCATTCACACAATCGCTGTCCAAGCAGCTCGTCAAGAAGGGTATCCGAGTCAATGCCGTCGCTCCTGGACCTGTGCACACTCCTCTCCAGCCTGCCTCGCGCCCGGCTGAGCAAATGGAGGGATTTGGAAAGCAGTCACAGCTGGGTCGTGTTGGACAACCAAGTGAGATTGCACCAAGCTATGTGTTCTTGGCTTCCAAGGACGCGACGCTCTTCTATGGACAGGTGCTTCATGCCTATCCTCTTGGCGACTAAAAGGGTTATGTGATATGGGGGACAGAAACTATGATGTGGTAATTTGAGTTGATAGCGATTTCTCAATCTATTCTGAACGAAAAAGAGTTGTGCTTATCTGGCGATGTGTAGATTGCCCGGCGAGGCACTGTCTCTGCCCACACTTACATCAGTTGGTAATGCTAAAGTGTTTCTCACCTCCGCGGTCCCAATGATGGACATAATCCGCGAGTTCGGCGATGAAGACTCTTCCCGCTTATCGCTTCAATGCCTCGTCACCGCACTCTGAGAATGTCCCAACAATCCTGAAATGTGATATAAGCCACCATGGCCCGATATATCTGCATGTTACAATAGATTAGGAACGTGATCCTTACAACTATCACTTCACAGTGCCTTCAGATATTACATATCCAAAGCTAGCCTCAATCCTTGCCTCTATTTCGAGACATCACCACCGTATTGGTCCTTAGCCGCATAGTGACTTTCTGACCAGCCAGCCACGTTTTTCGAGCACACCAATTGACGAAGCAGTGGAGATCGACCGTTTGGTTCGAGCTAGTCCAGGAGAGCGGCAGCGGGCCGTGAGACTAGTCAGATCTGATCCATGTCATGGTCTAGACTCAGCTCAATCGCAAGATATCCAATAAAAGGATTAGAAGCTTACCGGTGAGAGTACATGCAGCTATAGGCGGGGAAGGTTCAGCTGAAGCAGTCACTTTCATCGCGGGATATCCACAGCCGAGACGTCAAAGACAAATATCATCCCATAGTGAGCCACGCAAAGCACGTTCCCTGATCCAGTTCTTACATGTGTAGATTTGCTCGTCATCTACGTTCTGAAAAGCTGGATCGTATTGTGGGTCGATTATCACGGTCCTGATCGATATGAGATTGTCGGGATCCAGGTCTCGCCAGCTCTCCGTGTATGATTCGAAGTCGTAAGGCTGGCGATACCAATCACATAGCGCTATCGTAATTTCTGGTCCTCGGTACTTCTGTGGATTTTGGCCGGTAGCTTCAGCCCACGCGGTGGATAATTCACCTTTGATGTCGTGTCGACGTGAGTTGTCGGAGTCTGCACGTGGGAAAACCGCCTTGTACAATCGAGGGCATAGAAGCATGTCCTTCCATAGCTCGGGGCCCATAAAAACATTGTAGAGGGATACACGCCGGAGGTTCGCCCATTTGATCCATACTTGTGGCTCACTGTGATCTTCTTTGGTGGCCAAGTATAGTTCGTCGTTGATGCTGACAAGTTCTTCAATATGGACCAGCGCTTCGAACCCGTCTCTGAGAATCTTCCGAACGCCGTGCTCATCATTTGAAGGATAAAGACTGCGAAGTGGCATGTCCACAACGATAGTTGTGAGACTCGGAGCCAAAGTCACGAGTAAGCTTTTGACAGCCTCGCACATGTCAATGTCCTCGAGCGGCGATGGCGGGTAGTAATCATCGTCGAATATTTCAACGTCGGACACAGATGTTGGATCTGGATACAGACGAAGAAACAGCCTCGTAGGGCGATAAACTTCGCATGACCGACCTGTGACTGAACCCTGCCGAGAAATAGAATCGCGGACATGGTAAAGACGATCTTTCGAGTCAATGTAGAGACAATTTTGCCAAAGCAGTTGGGTTGCAGTAGGATTGACTGCTTTGGAGACTAATGTGCAGCTGAGCAATGTTTTCGTGACGACATTTGAGGTAGAAAAGATCGATCGGTGAATCCCCCTAGGGATCAGATTCTCAACGACCAAAAGGATGACTTCTAAGGGTAATTTGACCCTGCAGGTCTTGTCGAAGTGGTTTTCCATGGATGAAAGAGAGTAAGAGACGAAATGTCTTGGTCGCTTTATGTTAGACGAGACTAGCACTTAGGCCACTGTATTTCGGCGCCTGAACCTTTGAAGGCAGCTTCTGTGGTACCCAGTAGATACTGGAAGTTAATGCAAGGTCGAGACTGAGGAATGGAGCAGATGGTTGTTGCCTTCCTGCCTTTTCCCTTGTACCTGCCTTGCCTGCCGAATGTTGAAGGAAGAGTGGAGTGACTCATGCATGGGCTGTATGTAAAGTGGGTCGAGGAATAAGCGTTTGACAAAGGCTGCTTACCTACTCTGTATACCGATGTCAAACAATCCAACACTTCACATTCTGCGCAACCTGAATTATTTCTCCTTCATCTAGTAACCAAAGTAAAAGATTACTTTGGGAATGCTTATGGGATCTAAGCTAGTAAGACACGCAGGAGAGAGCAAGGTTTGTGATGGGAGCGGGAAAATGCAGCCCTGTGCCAGTTGTCACCTGGTGCATGTTGAACATAACAATAACCAATGCCAGCTTGAAGGTGGGGAGCTGAAAAGTCAATCTTGGAATATTACATGTAGATTCATCGAGCCAAGATTAGCTGCCGTTGTAGATCTTTTCGTGCCCGGCGCATGGATGATATGATGTTGGAGAGTCTTGTTATCGTGGTCACTGAACACTGGAGATCTTTTGCCATACGCGTGGGTCTAAATTATAATCAGTCAGTTGTCCCTTTGGGCATACACACTTTCATTTTTCATAAGACTTTGTTATATCCCTCCTCACTACGAGTTCCATAGTTGAGCCACATACAACGTTTTGCTATGCGCAACGCTGAACTACACCCAGCCGCCCTTGAGGCCAGTCCTCCTCTTTGTCACGATCAGGATGGTCATAAAGAAATTGTCTCACAAAGTCATAGCAGCGAAACTCAAGATGGATTTATCCCAACCTCCACAGACCACTGGCATCCAGACTGCCTCTGCGCCCCTCTGCATGGAGATTGTTCAGCTGCCGAAAAACCATCTCCAAGACCATCGACTAGCTCCAACAGTCATTACGTTATCATGAAGCTTGAGGAAATACAAAGAGGAGTTCAGTTAGGTTGTTGGTTTTGCAGTGTTATCCTCACAGGCATCAAGAACATGCCGAATTGGGACCCAACCAAGCCTGCGCCGAACCGAATCGACTTTCATATCCAAAGATCAGAGTCCGGAATAAAGATAGAGGCAATGGGAGAATTCCGCCGTCGCGTCCCAGAGCCTAGCCTTTTGTTTTATGTGGATGGTCAGAAAGGCAAGTAAGCTCTCAGTGGTCTCTCTCCTTTAGGAACCAACTAACTGTCTTCTTCGTACAGAAATAGTCTCGCCTTGCAGAAGACTTCAAGTAAGACGGGAGAGAGTTTATTCGAATCCTGATGAACAAGTGCAATTCATATCAGGGGCTCTGCAGAATTGTCTTGAAAACCACTCATGCGCGCCTAAGCCAAACCAATTCATGCCCACGCGTCTCATTCAGATACGGATCATCAACGATCAGTATGCTGCTTTCCTTGTTCAAGGTGTGGACCTAAAACCATATGTCACTCTAAGTCATTGTTGGGGTCCATCTTTTCCTCCGTGGGCAAAGACGACTGAGTCAAATTTGGAGTCTCGTTTATCGTCAGATGGTATCCCCTGGGAAGAGCTTCCGCAAACCTTTCGGGACGCTATAATCACTACCAAACGTCTCGGATTCGAGTATATCTGGATCGATGCGCTTTGTATCATACAAGACTCTCCTGCTGATTGGGAGGCTGAGGCGATGCTCATGAGTGAAGTCTATTCGTACGGCGCATTGATGTTGAGCTCCGACGCATCTCCGGATACCAACACTGGCTTTTTTCGATCTGCAAGTATGACAGCACTCCCGTGGTCGGTACCTGGCCATGGAATTCCAATCAAGGCCCGATTCAATTTGGTCCACAAAACATATGGGCAGATGCCGAGTATGTATAATCCTTTTGACCAGTCCTACATCGACCCCCTGTCGACCAGAGCATGGTGCTACCAAGAAGGTCGTCTCGCACGACGCGTGGTACACTTCTCGGTTGATGAGGTATCCTATGACTGCGTTGATGGTGTCGAGTGCCATTGTGGTCACTATGGTCCTTCAGGACACACATACGGAGTTAACAGTTGGTACAAGACGCTTCCCGACAGTGTCTGTACCATGAATGCGAAGCATACACTTTGGTTGAATACTGCCACGATGTATGGCCAAAGAAACTTAACCTTCATGGCCGATAGATTTCCCGCAATTTCTGCACTAGCAAGGCAGTTCTGGAGCCCCGTTACGAACTCTATTGAAGCTGAGAGCTCCTCAGTCGAGACGGAATCCAACTTCAGGGAAATCAGCCTTGGAGATTATGTGGCAGGATTCTGGTCCAAGTTCTTGATGGGAGATCTCTTCTGGTATGCAGACTACTGTCCTGGAGTTCGAACATCTACCACCTCTACCTATGTTGCGCCTACGTGGTCCTGGGCTAGCGTCACCGGCGAAATTTCCTGGGGAAGTACAGGTACGCTCGACGCCGTGCTCGTCAGCGCCCATCATGTTCTTGCCGGTCCGGATCAGTTCGGCCGGATAACGCACGCAGAACTCGTTCTTAAAGCGAAGCTTGTTCCTGTCAGTTTATCCTGGGTAATCGCCTATTACAAACAGACTAAGGAGATCTACATGGACCTCCAATGTCGAGACCCGAGCAGTGGGAGTCAAGCATGCTTGGGAGCTTACAGGCCAGATCATTTCGCCCCTGAGCCAGGTGTTAAGTTCTATGGTGGCTTCATCTACAATTTGGAGCATCCTGAAGAGGTGCCCGCTGAGACCATTCCGGTCACAGATGGCAAATACTTTGCTTTGCTCCACGGAGAGACAGCTGTTATAATCATCAAAGCTATCGAAAATAAAGGCTCTAGAGTATATGAACGTGCGGGAACGGTACATTCGCATCGAACAATGGATTCCGGTGATATGCGTAAATGGTTTGAGGGAGCCGAGCGTCAGGTGGTAAAGATTATATGATTGGACAAGTTGGCGCCTAATGTTATTCTGGACATGCTTCAAAATACTCGAATCGCAAAAAGTGAACCAGACTCTCAATAAATACACGCTATATCACAAAAATAAACCATCCACCCATCACCTCGTCGACATCTTCCGTCCGTTCGAGAAATCTTTCGTCGTCGATGTCAATTCCCAATCACCCCATTTCTTCTCCTCACTCCTGCTCACCAAAGAAACGATCAAAGACGGCCTCGACCTGCTCATCTCTCTCATGGATTTCATAAACACCTTGTCACTTTAATTATCCTTGATAGCAAGCGATCTCAAATCGGGAGCCCACTCGGGATGTTGGAGGAATTCATCAAACAGCTCGCCACTGGGCATCTCGGACATGCCAATTGTGCCAGTGACTTCAAGAATCTGAAGACTGCGCAAGTTCTTGAGGAAAGCAGTGATACCGTCGTCAGTGATTTCTGCTGTGCCTTGCAGTTTAAGGACCTTTAGGTTGGGCAAAACCTTGGTTAAACGGAGAGCTCCTTGGTTCGTGACCGCTCTGGCGTCGTTTGTTGCGTCGTAACTGACATCTGAGTACCTGAACGACAACTGTGTGATCTTTTCACGAACTGGACGAGCCAGGACTGCAATGTCTTCAATATGTTCGCTGATGATGTTAGTGCCAATCCAAATAGATACCGTAGGATTGACTTACTCAGTCAAGACAAAGCGATGTCCGAAGTGAATAATCCTCGTAGCAGTTCCGATTGATCGATGGTATAAGCCGTCCCACTCCCTGGTACTCCAGTCAAAAGTGGCAGTCTTGACACCTTTAGAGACTGGTTTGAGAAGTCTCTTCTTTGGCGTTTCAAGACCAGGAGCTGGTGCATCTGCAGCAGAGTTGACCTTGGCTGTTCTAACTGGAGGCATTTTGAAGTATGTAAAACGATCAATATGGTTCCGAGTACTGTGGTCGGGTGAAGATATAAAGGTTCCACAAGAAGATAGGACCCAGAATAAGTTAAATAGACTCTCCACAGACGCGTAAAGGGGTAGCAACGCATTGAGGGGGTGATAAAGTGACGAAGTCGTTGTCTAGGTAATTTGAAACTCTTTATACCGTAGCGAGGCAAAGGAGCAAAAACTAGGATTGAGCTGAACCTGAACCTGCAAATAGATCCCGGCCGTTTCCCCGCGACAATATGATAGATCAAATTGATGAACCTTAATCACATGCTGTATCGTATGATAATAAAGAACAAATGGATAAATATTGCATATATGTATTCCCCTTAACCCCAGGTATCATGTCTCAATCTCCAGCAACACGTATATATGCCCACCAAACGCCATGCTAAAACACCAATCACAAAAAGCAATTGTACAGTCTACAATGATCGTCACTAACGATCCGTCCCTGCAAATTTAACACTCTTCCTTCTCTCCCTCTCCCCTGTAGCAACCGCTCTTCCAGGACTTGAGCTCAAGATCCCGCCACTGCTCTTGTTCAATGCATCCCTAGCCATACCAACCGCTCTACTCTGGGGTATATCATTTCCATCACTCTTCACAGAACGGTCTGTTCCTGGACGTGGACTTGAGCGACGGCTGCTACTTGGTGCGCGATCGTCTCGAGCACGGGTCTTCTCAACCGTTGCGCGACCGATCTCATCAGCTCGTGCGGTGGTTGTTTCGCCGCGGTATCGGCCTGGGAGACATGCATGGCCACAGCCGTCGAGGGGACAACAGCCATCGCTGAAGGTTGCTGAGGCGCCAGACTCGGGCATATCAATTGGCGCATGCCATGCCTGGAGGCAAGATGCGTGGCCACCGTGTGCACAGCCGGGACAGTACCACCACTCAGAAAGGAACGAGCCAGAAGAGGCCATTGCAGTAGCGACTTCAATAGGAGTGAACTCTGCTTGTGTTGGTTCTCGATGTCCACAGACAGCACAAGGTGCCATCGTCGAGCGACAGCGCTCACAAGTCCATATTCCTTCTGGACCGTTCTTGGGGTCAAGCTCTCTTGGCTTTTTGCATGTAGAGCAAAAGAAGCTGACCTTTCCATTCTGTTGAGCTGGCGTGAAAATGGCAGTGTAGTTTTCGCCCCATTGTGGAAGACCTTCCGGCCATCCTTGAACACAAAGATTTCGTAGAAGTGACGCCTCGATAAAGAGACCCATTGACATCAATCGAGAATGGTGTTGTCGCAAAACGGCGCTTGCCTGGTGGTAGTCAATGACAAATTCGGGCACTAAAGGCTTCAGCAGAAGAACAATCGCCGACGCATTGAGGGCGGAAGATCGAGACTCGTAGTGCAATGCTTCTGTAATAGAGTTGTAAGGATCAAGAGGTGAAACCATAGGGGAATCACCGGAAGCGACGGTCGGGAATGGGTATAAAGGGTCGTCGTCCCAGGGAAGATAGTCGGTCTCTACAACATGAGGTCGAAGGTCCTTGTGGACAGGAAATAGGTCCTTCAGAGGACTAGCGGTCCGGTTGGGATGGCTTGCTGGGGCGAGTAATTGCGGTTGAGGGGATTCCACCTTTGTTGGAAGCGATTGAGGCGCGGTCTTATCAGGCGATCCAGGCTCGACTGGCTCTGACGTTTGCGAAGGGTACGAATCGTCGGTTCCCATTGTGGTCTGAGATATTAAGAACACCTCTTCCGGTGAGCCTGTTGGTTCCTTGATGCGCGGTTTCGGTGAGTCTGTGGGTGTATCTCCAAGATGGACTTCCTCGCCACGGATGTGACTTGGGTATTCCTTATTCTCCTTTTCCATATCCGAAGCATGTCTCGCAAGACTCGAACGCCATGGTCCAGTACTCTTAGAAACCGACGTCGGTGGTTGCTTGGTAGCATCAGAAGTCGAAAACATCTGAGCAAAGCTCTCGTCCGAATCGTGACGTGTAACTCTCTGTACTTGAGGGCTCGCGGGTCCCAGCGATAGAGGTTCCTTCTTCTTAGGGGGAACATCGACAGCCTTGAGCAAGACCTCGGCGTCGTAAAAGTCGTATCCTTCAGTGCTAGAGATCTGTGAGCTTTCGGTCTCATGGCTGACGTCGGATACAGGAGCAGAGTCCAGACGCCGTCGGGGAGTGTCTTCGAACCGGTCATTTATGCCAGGCCCAAGACTTAATTCGTCAGGCTCTGAGACTGCTGCCAATTTCTTGCCAACTTGGGAGTTGTCTTTGTCTACGGCATCAGCCGGTCGCGCAAGTGGCGTTGAGACGTTGGATGTGCTTTCGAATCCCAAGGCGAGTAGGGATCGAGTGCTTAGAGAGCGGCCGTTAAGTCCTGACTTGGGAGGAGGAGCTCGTCGGGGTGTCTCATCGCCGGGCGTTCGACTGCCAGTATAAAGGTCAACGGGTTTTAACAATCCACTTCCCTTTCTCTCTTCTATCTTCACTTTGTGGAAGCGTCCGAGACGTGTGTCCAGATGGTACTGAGCGCGTCGATCGAGGAGTATTCCGACTGTATAAGACAGAATGCGCCATGTTTGTGCCAACCGGAATAGCGAAACACTCTCGGCTGCGCGGGCGTAATGTTCCATGATAATGCTAACTCGCTTATTGAGCGGTTTGTCATCTTCAACATATGGAAGCTCCTGCCGGATTGTCTCAAGGTACAAACCGGAGAGATACTGGTAGATCTGCGTTGTTTTCACAGCAGGCAAACGACCAAAAGCCATTGTCTGCTGAGTCTTGAAGAGACCCGTGACATTGATAGCTTGGTCGAGTGCCAGAAATTGCTTATTATCATCAGCAAGACTGGAACCAGATGGTGGTGTTGTGCTCATCTGGGATCTTCCTGTTTTCCTGCGATTTCGCCGTCTAGGACCAAGAAAACTGCCCACTACATCCTCCTCTGAGTCGCTGCGACTAATGCTCAACATCGGGGCGTTAGGACTTGAGCCATAAGGCCCACGGGGTACTATTTCGGCATGGTGTGTGACTGGGGGTCGAGGCCGACCACTTGAATGGGATCGTTCGTCAAGGAACATCATAACATCGCCTTTGGGGGAGAATGCCATAGATGAAGTCGATTGGCGATCAATAACCTTGGGTGCGTATGCAACGTCGCTCTGCGTAAATTGTCCATCCTGTCCGACAGTCCATAGCATGTCCTGATCTTGCCATAACAGGGCCGCTGGTGAGGAGTCGAATCTCTCAATCTCCTTGTAAGGCATGGTAGGTCTAGCCAAATCCCAGATGTGCACTGCTGAAGTTCCATATCGACGAGAGCTGCTATCATCATAAGAAACCGCGATCTGAGCAACGCGCTTGTTCTGAGCTGTAGCAGACCATAATCCTGGCCTCCATGCAATAGTCCAGATTGGTGCAGGGGTCGTGACGGACCACTTGGGCTTTTGCCTCTTGTCAGCTGTACTGCTGAGATCCCAAACATGTAGCTTTGTATCTCGACCAGCACTGATCAAATGGTTGCCATCTGGATGCCACGCAATGGATGCGCATGCCTTCTCGTGCGCGTTTATTCTTAGCAATGGACGTGCTGGTTGGCGTACATCCCATTTGAGTACCACTCCGCCCTCCGTACAACAGGCCATCTCATGACCAACCTTTGGTGACCATTTCACTTGACGAACCGAGTCAATACACTTTAACGGCGCGAACCGTTGACGAAACGTTATACCGCCTCGCCCTTGAATAGGCGCCGACGTATCAAAGACACGCGCCATGCCATCTTGACTACCGGATAGTAGCCAACTCTTGAGATGAGGATTGACATCCAGTGTGTTAACCTGTCGTGAATCCTCCTGCGTCTGCATATATTCCAATGGCTCTGACGAGCCAGATCCGATTCGAGTGATATCGTATGCGAAAATCTTGCCGTTCGCGCAAGCCGTGAATATTGTTGAACCACCATGCCATCTTACATCACGTATACTAAGCTGATCAGCGGCCTGGTTGCCCTTTATTCCTGCAGGTTGAGCGGTAATCACAGCTCTCAAGTCTACGCCCTCGCGAAAGTTGAAGTTGAAGTTCGAAGGGTCGTCGAGAACAACCGTTTTGAGGATATGACCGCCCGCAAGGACAGCAGCTCTTCGGTCGGGGGATACATCGAGTGCTAATATTGGAACTCCGGCTTTATATACGGCATCTTGGGACTTTTGAGGTCGAAACGAAGCGCCGATTGTGGAGGCAGGTGCACTTGTTATCGAGAGATTGCTTGAATCGCCTGCGGGGGTTTCGGTTGAAGCTTTGCCGAGGAGCTTGCGCATTATCCTGGAGTCGCGATTATACATGGTTGCGGTTATATAGAGCCGCTTGCGACGCCATTGAGTGTGGTTCAATGGGCCATCAATGGCATATTCGATGGGTCTCGTGAATGCGATACCGGTCGATCTAATAGGATGGGATTTGGTGTTTAGGAAGTTGAGCCCGAGATGAGCTCATGTGGGTCCGAAGCCGGGATAATCACGTGCGATCCTTCTGCAACGGTGTAGCCCACACGGCAGGCAGCTCGTCTCCAGCCTAACGGATCTAACGTTGTAAATGGAAAGTGATTCAGATTCCTCTGTCAAAACTCAATTTGTTCGTCACGACCAGACCGACTCCATTGATTCAGATAACAGATACGTTCATTGTATCTCTGTTGAATTCATCCAACCTCAACACCCTCTTGTGGATCTGACATCTGCCAGTTTCTTGGCTTGCTGGTTAGCAACCCGCATTCCTTAGCGTCCGTTGTTCGACCCCTGATATGCCAGCATTTATACCCCACCAATACGGATACTCACTCGACACTCGTTGACTACCTCTTCCCTGTACGAATATATCGCAATTCATTGATAATGCCGAGTCCGAAGGATTCGGAGGAACCGTTGTCTGTTCGCTTACAATCAGTCATACGATGTTACACAACAGCTTTCCGGGTCGAAAATTGCGTCTAAATTAGGAACACTGCCTCAGAATGTCACCGCACTTCGTCATTCTCTTCACCTAGCCTATGCGGTAAACCGAAATGCAAACGGCTAAAGTGCCTTACGGTTAGCGGCCTCCCTAGGTAGCCTGACAGCCTGGCTACTAGGCGCCCAGGACGAATCTACCGACATTGCTGCGACAGGGCAGAACAGGGCAGCAGGGCTAGCCTTAACGTTAAATGTCGCATCGATGCTACGCCGGAGCTAGAGCCACAAGTGGGCTGTTGGCTACTCGAATCAAACGCCATGAATGGGGCCAGTATAAGGCTAGATAACCATCACAGCGCCCCGACAACGAAGCTACTATTGCGCAAACCTGATTCCGGTCTCCAGAAAGACACGAAGGATCTCATGCTGCGAAGCTAGGGAGTTCCTTGATGGTAGTCCTGCCCAGTACGTTAAGCTTTATGAAAGAGGTCACTGCAATCTCACCCGCTCCAATTTTGCAGGGATGTGAGTGGGATGCTGCCACAACATGGGGTCTGAAAGGACCATGATTTGCGGAATGCGAGTGGTCAGCCTACAGATCAGACCCTGCAACGACTTTTGTAACCTTGCTTAGCGAATGTAGAGTTGCAAGATCGTCGTTATAAAGGATTACAGCTGCGCCCACAATGGTCCTACCGTGCTGGTTCCCGCCCTTTTTCTTTCTTTCTCAGCATCCTTCTAACCGGTGGTTCTTGTGACGATCTTCCGTCGAGTTTCGTTTCGCGATTCGGGTCACGATGAGTCAAAACCAACAGCTTCCGGATAGTGAAGGCCTTCAGGTCGACACTCATGCTGAGCAGGCTGCCAAAGCCCCGGAGGTAGCCGGATATAGCCAAAATGGACATTACTATGTGTCTCCGGAATATCAATCGCCAGCTCCTCAGGGACAAAGACCTCCTTTCGGTTTGGGACTATGGGCATTCGCTGGACTTGTTGCTCTATTAACGGCAATCGTCGTCGGTGCCGGTGTTGGTGGAGGATTGGGCGCTGCCCTGGCAAACAAATCGTAGGTCGTGAACATCAGACAAGAGTATCAATCGTTGACCAGTTTGTAGTAGTGATTGTTCAGCCGATTCCGCTGTGGACGCTCCTCGCGCGACAGCAGAGCCAACCTCATGCCCAACCCTCGACAATAGCACATCTACCGAAAACGCGACAGCCCCTTACGTTCCTAGGTCTCCATCTAAGGTCGAAAATCTGGAACTGGATTGTCCCGATAAGTTGAACGACGAGACAAGGTATAAATCAAACAAGGGGTACGAGTTTAAGTGGTGGTGCGGCGTGAACGCGCCACAAGGCGATAAAGCAAAGGAGGGAGGCGTTGTCTTTGACTACCTTTCATTCTTTGCGTACAGTATTAATGATTGTATGGAGGCTTGCGGTAATATGAACCAAAAGGACGATGAGAACCATACTGGCTTGAGATGCAAGAGTGTTGTTTTCTCAAAACGCATGTCGGTGGATTATGATGCCCAAAACGGTAACTGTTGGTTAAAGAATGCGTCGAAATCAGCGTATGTTTTTTTAATTCTTTCTGTTGATGAAGTATACTGACATGTTGATAGGGGTGGTAACTGGGGATTCAAGCAGGACTTTTTCGCATATGCTGAGTTGAACGATTAGACATGAGCATGGGGTAATGTTAAGCGTGGGAGTAAAGGATGAAGCTTACGTTCTTATTAATGATGTAGTTATATACCAGTGGTGCTTTTGTCTGAGTCAAGATAGCTTGACTACCAAAAGTCGAGACGATATGATTTGGCACTTTCTTAGAAAATCTTCAAGTGATACCGGGGCAGATCCTTCCGGATAGACATACATGTCTCTCCTATAGTGTTATGAGAAGTGTTGAATTATATCTGTAAACTTGAGTAACACACATCTCGAATAGTCTGTTCGGTTTGGTGATCTTCGCTTGCCCTTTCCCCAGAACCTTGAAGAAGACAACATTACTCCGATGTAAAAGGCTGATTTATCAGGTAGAAACATACACACATTGCATTCTCGATCATGCGTGTCTGATTCTTTTCGCCGAGTATATGCTAAACCGTCGAGTACGATAGAGTCAAGAAGTGGAGTGAGATGGGAAGTGGCATCACCAAGCTCTATGAATCGATAGCTCTACTACATCGTCTTGATACCTTAAGTGCAACGTCGTTGACCTGGTTAACGTGCTAGGCAAACAGTAGTTCCTAGTCTGAATTGTGATGTTCGTGATGGTCTCGAATCGTCCATGACCAAAGTAATTTGAAAGTTTGAACAGTTAAACAACTCACTGTGCAACCGATGAAGACCGAAACATAGCTTGATACTCGTTCAGTTCTTATTCAAGTCTTTCAAAATAAGAAACGAGAAAACGAGTATACATTCGCAAGTCTTTCTATTCCTTGAAGCCATTTTTGATACGAAGCATACCCCACATCAAGGCCTGTTTGGAAACCTGGCTCCAAATTTCACCGTGAGAATTCCCGGTAATGGTAACAGTAATTTAGAATAGACTGTATAATCAACCATGTATATTATTAATAGAAATGAAACAAAAGTCGCTATGAGAGATCGATGCCATGGCCCAGGATGGCAGACACCTTGAGGAATGATACGTAAACTCGCATCCGCATGATGATACGGCAAAGAATGAAATCTAATTATTCCGAAAGACCGTTACAACAGCGTCCAAGAAGTCAATTCCATGCGATAGCCAAGGGTGGGCGGTGAGACGGAATAAGCCATTGTACAGCCAACTGTAACACCATCAGGCGTCCAAATAAACTCTCCCGCTAGTCCTATGCTTAAACATAGTAACACAATGCCATCGGATTAATACGAGTTGGAACGCGTCATATTGCTTGGTTTTGTTCCTTGCTACCTGTCAGTCAGCCAATTTATCTCTAATGGGCAACATAAGCCGCACTAATTTCAACCTCGACAAACGAATCTCTCTTGGCGAATGACGTTTCGATAATCGTGGCAGGACGACCTCAGACCTGATATGCAGGCCAAGCTCATAGACCCCAAGGCTCATCCTTCGATCTGTCTTCCACTTGCCTAGTTGGGAACAATGCTGCGCTCACAAGGCTGAGCTGACACTGGAGATCGACAACGTAGGTATTCCTTCCCTCGGGTCGATCTTGCCTTGGATTTGATTTGCCAATCGCACCTGCATTTTCGTTTATGGACTTATAATGCGCCGAGAGGTTGAGAAACAGGATTACCGACAACGGCAGGTGCAATGCTCAAGACAAACAATGAAGGAGCCATTTGAGTACATAAAGGGAGGCAGTCCACTGCTCATTAGTTCATCCAAACATCAACATCAACTTCATTATCACCATCGTTATCACCACCATCATCATCATCATCATTATTACCATTGCCATTATCACCATCATTATCACCATCATGAAAGCACAAACCTTCCTTCTTGCCCACGTGCTTCTGCACTCAACTCGGGCACTTTCGTTACCCGACGATGTTCATGCCGCCCTGACACCCAGGACCGACTCCAAGAAGCCCTCCATCGAGTGGTCCAAATGTGACCTGAACTTTCGTGACAAGGCTAAGAACGAAGCCCAGAAGAAGTTCGATTGTGCTAGATTTGAGGTTCCTCTTGACTACATGAACTCGAGCGATGGCAAGACGATCAAATTGGACTTGATCCGTGCCAAAGCTACTAAGGAGCCCTCCATGGGTAGCGTTCTCTACAACCCAGGCGGACCAGGTGGCTCGGGTGTCGAGGCCGTATTGACAGGTGCAGAGGCAATGCTCCCGTAAGGCCCTTAGCTCACCCACAAGGCTCCATCAGCTAACGTATATAACAAAGTGTTCTCGGTGGGCACTACGATATCATCGGGTTTGATCCACGGTAAGCTTGCCATCCCAACAGCTTTAGTAGCAAGCTAACACTGTAACAGCGGTACCGGGCGTACCATTCCCTTTGATTGCCCGACCGCTGAAGAAATCCTTGCTAACGCAGGTAATCTCCATCGCCGAGAATTCCACACACTTCCTCAATTTGATGTCTGGGAAGATGTCAAGACTGAGGGGTGGCAAATGTTTCGTCAAGTGGCTCAGTTATGCTGGGAAGAACATCGAGACACTGGTCGTTTCATTGGGACTCCCTTTGTTGCAAGAGATATGATGGCAATCGTCGACGCTCTCGGCCAAGGCGACAAATTAAACTACTGGGGCAGCTCCTATGGCACTATTCTTGGCCAAGTTGTAGCCTCAATGTTCCCCAAGCGCGTCGGCCGCATCCTTCTTGACGCGAACCTAAACGCCGACGACTACCTTGCAGGAACCTGGTTAACCGGCACGTTTGATACAGAGAGGTCGCTTGCCAACCTATTCAATGACTGTGTCATGTCCGGCAAGGATCTATGCTCTCTAGCCGATTACCACGGCAAGAGCACGACCGGGGAGAGCTTGATGAACGAATTCAGGAGCAAGTCAGAAGATGTTGCACTGTCGTATCAAACCAAAGAGCAGATCTTGCAGCCTCTGTACAATCCCATCTACTTCCCGACTGCCATTAAAGCTATCGAGGATCTCTTCACTGGGAAAACGCCCGACAACAGCACTGGAGGCGCGAGTGGCACGAAATGGAACCGCCAGCAAGACATGGCATTGTTTGGTATCGCGTGTAGTGACAGCACTTTCCGTGTAGAAGACCCCGACGACCTCTTCTCGGTGTATCAAGCTCACTATGCTGAGAGCTCATTTGCCGATGTTACAATTAAGGGCCGAGTGGGTTGCGCCAGCTGGAAATTCTCGGCTGCTGAGCGAACTGATCTCAACACACTTCGCAACGTCAACACCAGTTATCCCATCCTGGTCGTCAATGGTAGATATGACCCAGCCACATCTCTGCGTAGCGCATGGGAAGTTTCTACCAAGTTCAGAGGAAGTCGAGTTGTTGTCCATGAAGGCGCCGGTGTAAGTATAGTCCCGATCACCTGTTGTGCGACTCACACATTAACTGTCTCTTCCTAGCACGGTCTTACCGCCCATCCCTCAAATTGCACCAACAACATCGTTGCGAAGTACTTTATCGATGGAGAAATGCCCGAGGTCAACACCACCTGCAGCGCCGACATGACTGCTTTTGAATACGTTGATTCATTGATTAAGGGGAGTGATGAGGAAGATTAGGAATCTGGGGCAGACAGGTTGTCTGACAGTTGGAAGTCATCGGTTTCGCTTCGTTTCGTTTCACCTCTTCAGTTTATCCTTACTGTGGGTTTATTCTGTATAATACTTTAGAGCATTGATAGAACCTCTTTCTTCACTCCTACCAATTGATATCCTACATTGCACGCGTTCAGCTGTCAGCGTGAGAATAGGTTCGGGTAGTTTGATCCGAACGCTCGGAGGCGTGCCGAAGACTGAGGAAGCAGATGTACTCTTTGATGCGGTAATGAGCGATTAAGGTTTAATTGATCAAAAAGAAATGTATAAAAGAGAAAACACAACTGAAGTTGTTGCACGTAGAAATAAGTTTAGTGTATGTCACTGCAAGAGGTTGACCTCGCCATTGCCTTAGGCCGACATTCCGACCATGACTCTGAAAGTGGTGTAAGCGACCAGCTCTTCCTTCAGCATTCGGCATAAATACGCCGACATATCCACGACAACGTTTGAATGCCCATTTTAAACCCTACTCCTCTATCTAAGTTTTTAACTTCCACTCGAGTAAACATGTCGCCATTGAACCTGTCTCAGCTTGTGGATCAGCATCGACCGGATTTACAGCCACTGGAAGATCTCTACAAGCACCTCCACCAAAACCCTGAGCTCTCAAACCAAGAAGTCGAAACGGCGGCCACTATTGCTGATAGGCTTCGGAAGATTGGCCCCAGCGATTTGATCATCAAACCTCACATCGGCGGCCATGGTTTAGCAGCTGTTCTTTGCAACGGCGATGGTCCTACGGTGCTTCTAAGAGCAGACATTGACGCTCTACCGGTTGAAGAGACCACTGGGTTGGAGTATGCCAGCACCAAGCGAATGATGCACGCTGCCAGCGGAATTGAGAAGCCTGTCATGCACGCCTGTGGTCATGATATGCATATCGTGACATTGCTGGGTGCTGCAGCGACGTTATTCTCCGCTCGAGATTCTTGGTCTGGTACGCTAGTGCTGGCATTCCAACCGGCCGAGGAGCGAGGTACTGGCGCTCAAGCTATGGTGGACGATGGCCTCTACACCAAGCACGACGTACCTGTTCCAGATTTCGTTCTTGGAGCACACGTCAGACCTCTTCGGACTGGCACGATTGGCACCCGTAGAGGCCTCGTCGCTACGAGCGCGGATAACTTCAAAGTCACCATCCACGGGAAGGGCTCACATGCAAGCATGCCTCACACAGCCATTGACCCGATCGCCATCTCAGCCAACGCCATACTCAAATTGCAGACTCTTGTCAGTAGGGAAGTCGACCCTGCGGAGTCAAGCGTCGTTACTGTCACAAGCATACATGCTGGAGATGTGGAGAACATCATCTCAGACTCAGCCGTTCTTGGTGTTGACACACGATCAACTACAACCGCTACACGCGAGCGTCTACTGAAGCGAATCAAGGCAGTCGTGGAAGCAGAGTGTTCATGTGCCAATGTTATCAAGAGTCCCGAATTTGAGCAAACCCGCGCTTTTCCTCTGACGACAAACGATGTCGCTGTCACCAAGAGGGTTGAGGAGTCATTTGCCGCGCACTTTGGCGAAGGACCAGGACAATACGATAGAGATACGCCGAAGCTGGCATTTAGCGAAGATTTCTCGATCTTGGCAACTGCTGTTGATAAGCCCTACTGTTTCTTCTCGTATGGGTCTGTCGGCGAAGAGGCGTGGGATAAGGCAGAGGCTGATGGAACTATTGCGCAGACAATTCCTGCGAACCATTCTTCCAAGTTTGCTCCTGTTGTTCACCCAACGCTTCAGACTGGGCTGGATGGATATGCATTGGGAGCATTGACTTTCTTGGCCAAACCATAATAGCATGTTATCTCACGAGTTATATGTATTATCTGACTGTACCTTGTTAAAAAGGCATATCGTGTTTATTGCTATCCGTCGTCATTTGGGATGCTGGCGACAAGTTACATACAATGACGTTCTACTGAATAAGCTACTACCTTTACTATGGTGAATGTGTCTGCTTTCGACATACTCAACAAATTGTCCTCATCACACAGGATTATTGTGTACCGATTGAGTCTGGGCTGATGACCATCCGTCAGAATACCCGCCGTCTCGCAGTTGGCAGCATAAAGACTTTGCGATCTCTCTTCTTAACGCGCGACATGAGAGCATTTGATATCAAATATTTGACTAGTAAAACCACGAGCGCCGCAAAGTGTCAGTTGATAGGCTAAATCATTACGACACGAAGTTCAGCCTTGTCCACACCACCAGTCTTCTCCTTAAAGCCCTCTTTGTCGTTGAAGATGACCTATCAGTCTCTTGAGGAGGCGAAATACTTGTTAGCAGTTCCTTTATTGTCAATAACCATGAGTTCCACTTCAGCCATGATGTTCTGGGTCTCGAAGCGGATTGATTACCGTCGGTGCTAACTACAACACAAACAGAATATTCCTAGGCTCAACTCACCGTCCCAGCACTATTGGTGCATGTGCGTTGCTTGGAGGCTCCAATGAGTTGGACACCAAGTTGTCTCTTGAGTGCAAGATGACGGCCCTAAAGCCCAAGACCAAACAGCACCTTCTCGATCTGTATGGCGGCCTAAGCCTTGGGGACCCAGTAGTCTGGGAAGGAGCGGGCCAAGCACCGTGTTGTAAGTGCACGGGTAGTCGGTAGTAGCCGAACGGACCTTCCTTGGCGGAGATCTCTCGCAGTGGCTGCCTAAAACATTGGATCAACTGTTGGTTGTTGGTTCTGCCCATGTATGACTCGGAATACTCCATAAACAATTTATTCTGCATAATAACGGGTCGCCAGTGGATTCATATTCGGAAAACGCGGCATTGAAGTCACAACATGTCTTCTTTTGGCTGTGGGTTGCTGTATTTCTTGCCAACCTACAGCCACCATAATTGAGCTGAGGCTACGCAGGACATATTTTGAGATCACTTACATGTCGAAGATGTCTTCGTATCGCCCGGGGTTACTCCTACCGTTACAGCTCCTGTCATTGGCGTCATGTTTGGTAGGAGGACAGCAATTCTTTAAGACCGAAGATGGCACAGAATTAAGTCTAGGGGTTCCAGAGACGTTGTCCAAGAAATGCCAGTAAGTTCAACTTCTCCCCTAAGAATGCTCAAAGCCATCCAGCTAATACCTCCCAAGGGCCATATTTAACGAACCAGTCCAGTGCAGCGCAGGTCTTGGGAGCATGGCCTTTAAGGGCGCATTCCCCTCAAGCGATCGCCTGGCTTCAATTTGCACTGACGATTGCTGCAAGTCTCTGAATGCTTTTCGCTCTGAACGAAATGAGGCTTGCTCCAGCGAAACGTTCAAGCTAGATGGGCGGAACACACCAGCAACGTACAATGTTGATCAGCTTCTTTTCACCTACGACTACATCTGTCTTCGAGATGGAAGGGCCAAGGACTTTTGCACTTCGCTCATCCATATGTGGTCCGACAAAGATGGTGGCCCTACTCCAAGACAATCTTGCTCCAAGTGTATGCTGCTGACATTCTAAGTTGAGCTCAACTCTCCTTTTGGCTATAATGAGGAGTTGGTGGACTACTATAGTTCTTTGACTTCATCGTGAGTCATCCCCTCTCAAATCTGGTCTGCTTCTAACTAGCCGCCAGTTGCCAAGTTACCGACTATCCCTTCACATCACCAGACGCCTACTTTGTTGAGGAGACCACCACTTCGACGCAGACTCAAGACACAACTAAACCCTCTGGGAGCACTGAGACGCACTCCGGATATCGGTAAGTACACCGAGCGCTCAACCTATTGCGCATCGGTGTTAACCTCACTTAGTGGCGATGTTGATGATTGCTTCATAACTTTCCCAGTGCCTGCCAGCTGCTATGCAACCAGTGTCAAGACTGTCCCAGGAACCTGGACATTCCCTTCTCGTGCCTCTCGTCCAACCCGACAACCAGAATGGACAGAATTACCGCTGGCACCCGGCACTCCCCCAGACTGCGCAGAATATGCTCCTTATATAGACCTACCGCCAAGACGTGGGAGGAAACCAAGTGTTAACAGATGCTTGGTGGTCGCAGATATCTTTGGTGGTATGTTCTTGGTCTACCTTTGCTAATTTGACTGCTGACACGATGAACAGAGAACGTGACCGATTTCGTATCGCTGAACCCATCTTTGTCTTGGAACCCTGACGATCTCGCAAAATGTGAGCTCCAGAGAGGTTATCGTTACTGCATACGAAAGATCCGGAGAAAGCATACCAGCACTGGGAGCAACGGACTGCCGACGCCGCTCCCCATCCAGGTAACTCGCAGTACAAAATATATTTCGATCAAGAAGACTGACGTGTATCCAGAATGGTATTATGTCAGACTGTACAAAGTTTTATTACGTCAAGGATGGCGATCGATGTGACAACATTCTTTCGGAGCACAATGCGGATGTTTCCGACTTCCATAACTGGAATCCCGCCGTGAAGGACGACTGTTCTAGGCTCCAACCCAGGTTCTATGTGTGTGTGGGCGTCGGCCATGATGGTACAAGTGCAAAGCCTTCTACCGAAACACAACCTTCCGAGTTGTAACCTACAAAGAAGGGCGCAAACCCAAGCTCTTGAGAGAGACTGTTCGAGATTCCGAAGTATTACATATGTGTTGGCACGGGAAGATAGGGCAATTTGGTATGAGGCATTGACGACTACAAGGCTTTGTCATGTATCAATTGGCTTCTTACATAGCCAGCCTCCGGGGAGGCCAGATTCTATCATGGTGACCATTCTCCTTTGACTTGGACGCATCCTTGTGCAAGTTTCCCAACTCTGGCTCCAGACTCCATAGCTTTAGCTGGCGCTTTGTAAGCGACATATCCCGCTGTGTCAATCGCATGAGTAGGAGTGGTGCTACGTGCTTAATATCCACCTTGAGTGGCCCAAGACGTTCCTCTATCTCTTTCGTCTCTTGTGGCTCCCATAACCACACAAACGGTCTAGCAGAAGACAGGGAGTTCAGCGCTTCATCGTCGACATAGAGAAACGCGTCGCGTCGCAAACCGGTTGGGATGTCGCCCGCATCCCTCATAGCCGCGAACCGGTGCTCCAGGGATTCTGAGTTATCGTATTGCATTTCATGGACCTTGAACCCGTTCATCACCGGCTCCTTCACTGCTCCCAGATGCCGATGAAACCCGTAAGAAATGAATTCCTCCAGTCTTTCTTTGAAGGATAAACATTCGGAATCTTTGTCTTTGGGGTAGAACATCACAAATCCGCAGGGTGCCCGGGTTTTCGTGGAGCCACTCAAGTTCATGATGTGCTCTTGCCATGGCACATATCCTCTCGTTTGTTTAAGGGCGCCACTCCTGATAATGTCGACATCGTAGCCATCAAGCGCCTTATTGGCGGCATCGCGGACTTGGCCCTTTGCCCTTAGCTTTGCGCCAGTGGTTGTGCGCGCGGCAGCTTCGTCTTCTGTCATAGCCTAAGCTTGCATAAGATGACTAATTTATTTTGTCTCTTATGCTCTCCAGAGCTCGATGGGCTTGGAATAAAACTATTCCGCGGCTGCCTGCTGTTAGTCCAACGTCAGGCCGAACATAGACATTCTCGTCGGTGCTATCCGTACTGTCTGAAATCAAAGGCAAAGCTGAAGTCATCGCTGTCGCTGTCGCACTGGCTGTTACGCGAGCTGTAAGTTGACCGTTGAAGCACGGATGGAAGTAACGTTTTGCTGCAAGCATCATGTTGTAAAATAACAGACATTTACAGCATCCAATCACATCGGTGAGATGGCCGAGTTGGTTATGGCGCCAGGTTAAGGTTAACCTTAACACCAATTTCCTGGTGGAGCAATCCTCCTGGGTTCGAGTCCCAGTCTCATCAGATCTTTACTTTTGCTCTTATGAAAAGTGATCTTTTTTGTTCTCTGTTGGTGGCTAGGATTTTAGTATTGCCTGTTTGAGCGTGTGTAATGAGAAGTAGTCCATCACCTGCCTGTCTTCTTAGCTCGAAGTCCGGCCATTATCAGACTCCAACAAGAACCTTTATGGAGCGACGTCTACAGTGAGCTCCGACTAAAGGACGTTCTAAACTACAGTTACCGCAATGAATTGAGATCAGGTATCTGTGTCTCTCTCTTTGACCCCTAGTTGAGTCAAATTCGTGCTTTATGCCCCCAAATTGGCAATGCTACCCGGCAGTTGCGCGGTCGTACCTGCCACCAAGCAACCCGGTCACCCCTGTACCGGCATTGATTTAGTGGCTGCAGTGCTAATTGCTTCCCTGTCAACAGAAAAGGCAGCTCTTAATCAAACACAACCCCTAAGTTCCCATCACCATCGTTAATCTCAACGCATCAAGAATTCAGTCTCTTTCGTCTCCATCAAGCCGCATTGCCATCTACCTTCGAAATTATGCCTTCGAGTCTTCGAGGGCCTGACAGGGCCGAACGCGACTGTACGCGATGCTCCCTTCGGAGGCAAACATGTGACAGGGTGCTCCCACGTTGTACGCGTTGCACGGTAGAGTGAGTTGTGCCTTTCTTCGATTCATGTGTCGAAGAAATGCTAATTGTATCCAGTGATCCTCATCGGCGAACACCTTGCGTGCTAGCCCCGCCTCCCCCGGTGGTTCCAGCTCCACAACCTCGAGAACCGTTGGCACATTACCTGAATGGCCACTGGAGATTCACCAAACATGGCCACGAGCAATTCGGAAAACTGTTATTTGCTCCCGCAGACTTTGTAAACAAAGTTCCAAAAGATATGAAGGCATTCGTGCAGACCTTGATATCTGATTTCGGTCGCACGGTCGATGAACTACTCCAGGATGACATCTTCAAGTGGTTCCCGATAGTTGAACCGTGCTATATCGACGAGTACGTCTCAGCAGAACAATTTATCCGTGACGAAGATCCGGGCAGATTTCTACCATTGCTCCATATGGCGATGCTTCTCGTCGTCTCACCACCCGCCACAGCGTTAGTCCCAACGTTCGGTGAAGTGACTGTATCGCATACAGATCTGTACAAAGCCATCAAAGCATTGTTGGCTGTCGTGTTGGGGAATGTCGCATCACATATTCATCTTGTTCAAACTCTGGGTTTAGTTACTCTGTACGAGTTTGGAGTCGGGTGTTTTGAACAAGCCCATATCACGCTTACTTCCGCCTTAACTATGGCGAATCTGGCCCTGGATTATTTGGCAGATAGGGAGGCACAGTTAACCTGGCTGTTGTGCCTAATGACTCTCGACCGGTAAGATGCGTGAGTAAAGTGGCATATTCTTTGCTAACGAGTAACAGGATGATCGCCCTATCCGCGCATAGCAGGTGCTGTGAAAAACTCAGTTTCCTCCATCCGAACAAACTCCCACTTGCTTGTCCTAGTCATCATCCTGTAAGCAAAGATGTTGAACAGAGGGTGCGCAGCCTCTCCTGGACCAACTATGAGCGCAGATCAGAGGCAGCTATTCAAAGGCTTAGCTCAATGCATGAAGGTGTGGTAAGGGCGGGGCGGATTCTGCAACGCAAGAATTTAGAGGAGCCTTTTGACTTTTCCGAGTCGGAATCGGAGCCAGAGTTTGATGCATGGACAGATGACGAACCACACAGGGACCGTGTTAGGGGCATCGAAAAGGATAAGAGAGGCATGATGGACCAGCGTGGTAAACCAAAAGCTCCCGACTTTTGGTCAGGACACGATCCTCAAGTGCTATCCCTTAGGTTCGTCTCCGTATACTCACATTTACTGTGCTCTCTACTAACGTTTTTTGCTAGTGCTATGCTTGTTCGCGAATACTATGCAGGACAGCCAGAAGATGGAAACCTTACTACGCCACGGCAAAGAGATGGTGATTCATGGCTAAAGGACTGCGAAGAAGCTGCGTTGAAGGCTTGCAGGGGAGTAATGAACATGCACCGGAAGAAAGAAGTTGACATTCAAAAACTTTCTATGGTCAGCATGTTCTGCATCATGCACAATCTGACTATCATAGTGAGAGATGATGCATCCAACTTTGCCTGCAAGTTCGCCAAAACCTTTCAACCGATCATGAGGAAGTATGCTGTTAGATGGCCTTTTGCCCGTGAGTATATCTGTCCAAGAGAAGAATGTCACCTAACAACTCCCAGATCATTATGTGGTATACCTGGAGAGATATATGGGAATAGCCTCGCATTTGCATGATCGTGTTTACGATTACTGATCTGCTAAGATGTTTTAACAAGCAGCATACCGCTGACATATGAGTATCGAAAGGGTGGTTCTGTCAGTATGACGGAATATTCCAGTCATCTTGTCCAATTTGATCCACTTACAATATATCTTCCTCTTATCTTGACTTCGGGCCTCAAAACCTCCGTCTCCCGAAAGAAGCAATTGCATATCCAGGAGGTCGCCCATATCTACGAATCAGAATTCACTTCGTATTCCCCTGCAGATCACGCATGACGAGTACGTAGTCCATTACTAAACACCGCTTGATCAATCGGCTTCCGCGGTTGCCGTCCGATCCGAGAGTTTAAATTCTCCGATCAGTCACCTGTCTATCATACCTGGTCTTGGCAAAAAACGGACACCACCGAATTTCTTGATAACATCGTTACACAGTCGAATTGTTTAAAATGAGTAAGAATATCAGCGAGAGGAACTTTTTCAACTATCCGGAGGCTCAGGAGGGGTAATATTACAACTTTGTTATAAGTGGTCGATTTACTGACATGATTACGATAGGCCCCGTGTACCTTATGCTATCGAAAGGAACCCGAATCCTGTCATCAGAGGACCTTTTCTTGTTGTGGCTGCATTTTTGTGAGTTTTTCTTATCCCAAAACTTCATAACTTATACCAATATAATGCAGGATGGAATGGGTCCGATTTATTCGTGAGACAGCATGGAAGAATGCTGGTTTTGGTTCGCTCCGGAAGATCCGAACAATCATTGAAAATGTCGAACCAAGATATGATCCAACAGTCTACCCACTCGCCCTCTCGGCAGGTGAAGCAAAGGAACGCGGTGAACGAGTCCAATTGTCTTCTTTACAACAGTACAACACTTCTCCAGCTTTTGATACTTCTCGCTTCTACTCAGCGGCAGATTATCGAGATTTGTACCTATCTGGGGAGGTAACGCCTGTTGATGTTGTACGAGCAATCCTCCCTTTGATCCAACTCGATGGTCCCCAGCGTGGAAAACATGCTCATGCATGGAGGGAGATCAGAATTGATCAGATCATGAGAGCTGCTGAGGCTTCGACGGAGAGGTACAAGAACAAACAGCCATTGGGTTCTCTAGACGGTGTTCCTTCAGCTATCAAAGACGATTATGATTTAGATGGATATTCTACAAGTCTTGGATCAATGAAAGAATATGCCGAGATACCTGCTGAAGGAGAGTCATCGACGAGTTGGATCGTGCGGAAGCTTGAAGAAGCAGGTGTTGTTATTCTTGGAAAGCTTGCTATGCATGAGTTTGGTTTGGGTGAGTTATACTGCTTTTCTTATCGATCATCGCTAATCGTGACAGATACAACCGGAAATAACCCCAATCATGGAACGCCACCTAATCCATTCAACCCACGCTACTATACTGGTGGAAGCTCGTCCGGTCCCGCTTACGCCGTCAGCTCTGGACTCGTGCCTCTTGCATTGGGCAGTGATGGCGGTGGAAGTATTCGAATTCCTGGTTCATTCTGTTCCGTCTTTGGTCTGAAGCCCACGCATGCTCGGCTTACTTCCTGGCCTGGTGCCAATCACTCACCCACGTGTGCGGTTCAAGGACCTCTCGCTGTGGATATGCAATCTTTGGTCGCTGCATACGAAGCAATTGCCGAGCCGCATCCGTCAACTCAATTCCCGCCTCTAGCTCTTCAGCCATCACCGCCTGTCACGAAAGTCTTAGGTATCTTTGACGCATGGATTTCTCGTGCCGCACCCGGAGTCCAGTCTTTGGTTCGCGGTCTTGTCGAATCATTGGCAGCCAAACACGGATATACTCTCGTTCCGATTGATATTCCCTTCCCTGCTGAGGGTCAGATGGCGCATGCACTTACTGTTCTCACCGACGCCTCGACCTTGCTTTTCGACACCAGTGGTATTACCCCGGCTAACAAGATTCTTCTTGCTCTCGGTCGTACCACTCCGTCCACCGACTATTTGCTAGCTCAGAAGCTACGAGGAATGTTGATGCAGCACCTCGCTCACCTCTGGAAGACATACCCAGGCATGATGATCATAACCCCTACGACTGCCTGCGCCGGTTCGCCCATCCGCGGCGGAAAGTCCGAGTTGTCCTACGGTGTAAACGACGGAAACTACACCCTCCAGAGTATGGAATACGTCTGGCTCGCCAATTTCTGCGGCCTTCCTGCTATCACTGTCCCAGCCGGCTATGTTATCCCTGAGGGTAGCAAGGACGCTGGCGATGTCGCAGATAGAGATGTCGAAGGTAAGATTCCAGTTGGACTCATGGCGACAGGCGAATGGTGCAGTGAGGATGCATTGCTGCAATTCGGATTCGACGCAGAGGCTGCTGGGCAGGAAATTCGATGCAAGCCTCCGATTTGGGAGGATGTGATTTCGAGAGCTAGAGATGAGGCGAGGGCGAATAGAGATGCAGTTCGTGAGTAGATGGGGATAGAATAGATAGACTTTTTGTCTCGATAGTTCTTGGACTTAGGGGAGGATATATCCTGAGTTAGTTGATTTATAGATGATTTATACGGTGTTTGGTTTGACGATAGATGTACAATTACTCCGTAGGTGGTGTCCGAATAAGGCAGGAACAGCTTCCTTCCCTGCATAACTCCGCATGGTCAGCTCACGTGTTACGACCTCAACCTCGTATGTGCCTCAACTGGCTTCGTCATCATATCATCTTCCGACTTCAAAACAACCCATTCTTTACGACTTACAAACTGACTTTCAAAAACTCAAATAGAATCATTTCTCAAACAAAATGGCAGATGAGACCAACAATGGCGTCAGCGCATCTAGGCACGAGATCCGCCAACTGACCAACTCAGACGAAGACATCAGCAAGGCATGGCAGCTTTGGCAGACTATCTTTCCCGACTGGCCGATTTCCCAAGACCGGTTCGCGAAACTTCTCTTCGCACTCCCAGGCTATCACTGTATCCATGAACACGGTCTTTGTCTTTCGTACGGGTCTACAGCCGATCAGGGACGTGGACGAGTTGCTGCCATCGGAGTCTTATCAGGACATCGCCGTCAAGGAATTGGAAGCGCTCTTTTGGACAAGGCCAAAATCGGTTTGAGAGATACGGTAGGTGGAGAACTGAAGTCTTTGGAAGTAGGATCTATCTTTCCACGGTTCTGGTGGCAGATCCCCAATACGGCTCCGAAAGAGGCGAAGGAGTTCTTTTCACACAGAGGTAAATGTCATCTCATCCCTTTGACGGCTGTTCTCACAGAGTAGGTGTTTACGACGCTTCTCATCCAATTCGGGATCTTTACAAGGACATTACGAAAGAAACCGTACCATCCGAGATACTGGAGCGGGTATCGAAATCAAAAGCCAAATTTGCTCCGTGGTCAGCAGAATTATACGAAGAATGCATGACCAAACAACGAGCCCAATTTGTACGTATCTTGCTCCCCCCAACAGTTATTAGAAGAAATGTCCCCCAAGTATTAGGATGCAGAAATCAAGTAGCCTAAGTGCTAGCCTAAGGTGACCAAGTCTTTACGTCTCTTATGCACTCGGCGGTCAATTCTTCTGACATCCTGACGCCCGATACCCCAAATCTAACATTCTACAGAGCTGGGCAGGTATCTACGAAGCTCTCGCTGCTCACAACCAACACGATCAAGTTCTTGTCGCCTTCGATCCGGATACGAATGAACAAATCGGATGGACCCTCATGTGCTCCCAAGACTCCGTGGCTGCCGATGCCTTTGCTTTCATACCTCTGCTACCTTCTGGTGAGAAGACCGGCCTTATCGCTGCTGTAGGAGTAGATGAGAAGGCGAGAGGAAAAGGTATCGGATTGGCTCTCGTGATCAAGGCGATGGAGACTTTGAAAGAGAGGGGCATGGAGGGAATTCTTATTGATGCTGTGGAGATACAAGGGTTCTATGAGAGGCTTGGCTTTGCGACATTTTGGGAGTACGAGGGTTGTACTTTGGAGGTTCCATAAATTATTGAATCTCAACAATCGGCGTCGGAGGCTAGTAAGACAGTTATTACTAGGTGCCAGGAAATATATCCTTCAAGACTTGGGGCGTCAAAAAAAGAACTGCATCGATGTTGGTTTAAGCCAACATGAATGTTCAGGTTATTTCGTCTCTTATGCTTACCCCGACAAGCAGCTTATGCTATGTGTAATGCCAATGCTTCTTCACGATAACTTCACCTTCTCCATCATAAATTCCATTCTACATTAGGAAGCTGGTAAATGACCAAGGCTCAAATTCGCTGATCGCTCCATGAAGAGCTTAGCTCCTGGGCACGCTATCGGCCAAAGGATCGATACCCCGCCTTACAATGATGTCCTCTCCAACCTCTTATCGTGGTTCTTCAGCTTCAGCGAGACTTTTGATTGGCTTCAATTGACTAAAATGGCTTGAATGAAAGTCAATTGCAAGGTTGCATTGGCTTAGCATAGGCGAGCGACATTGGTCCGTAGTACAAAAACGCCATCTTTTCCTCCTCTTTCTCGTTCACTTGAAGACGTCAATACAGAAGTTCCAAAGTCGACATGGGTCAATTACAGTTTTTGGCGGCTCTGCTGAGCGTCTTGCCACAGATCGGTTACTCTAAGCCAGTGGAATCTCATTATCCTCCTTCAACAAAGCCTTTGCAATCCCGACAATTCTCTAATAATCTCGGCGCTGTGGCCTGCGAGAGTGAAATATGCAGCACCATTGGAGTGAACATCCTTCGAGATGGAGGTAACGCAGCTGATGCTATGGTCGCAACAGTTCTTTGTGTTGGAACAGTTGGTAAGCAAACAATGCCCGTCGATATGACCTGCGCTAACGTTTGAAGGCATGTATCATTCTGGTATTGGCGGAGGAGGTTTCATGCTTATCCATAAACCAAATGGAAAGAATGAGTCTTCAGCTTATGAGTTCGTTGATTTCCGAGAGATGGCGCCTGCGGCTGCGACAGAGGATATGTTCAAGAAGAATGTGAATGAGAGTATCTACGGCGGCAAAGCTAGGTACATTAACCCACCCTCTCATGTCTACCATAGCTAACGAATATCAGTGGTGTCCCAGGAGAATTACGTGGTCTTGAGCATTTGCACAAGAAATATGGCAGTCTACCCTGGTCTGACCTCGTCCAGCCAGCTATCAAGGTCGCACGCTATGGCTTCCCCGCTAACAACGATACCATGTCATTCATGAAGAGGACCTACACAAAATCTGAAAACGAGAGTTTCTTGGTCAACGATCCAGCCTGGGCGATTGATTTTGCACCTTCTGGCAAACTTGTCCAGGTTGGTGAGAAGCTCACCCGAAGAAGATTTGCGGATACTCTTGAAGCCATCGCCGGTGGTGGAGCAGATGTTTTCTACGAAGGCCCCATAGCTGACGCTATGATTCGAACTCTTCAACGGGAGAAGGGTATCATGACAACTGATGATCTGAAGAATTACACTGTTGAGATTCGCGAACCTTCTCAGATTAACTACCGGGGTGGAAAGGTTACTAGTGGCTCAGCTCCTTCCAGCGGTGCTGTAGTTGCGGCAACTCTGAATATTCTGGAGGGATATGACTTCCTTGGCGATCCCAGCCGAGTCAACGATAGTGCTTATTATCTTGATGAAGCGTTCAAGTTCAGCTACGGCATGAGAACGAACTTGGGAGATCCAAGCTACGTCGATGATATGGCCAAGTACCAATCGGAGATGTACTCCAGTGCCACCGGCCAGGAAGTCAGAGCCAAACTCGAAGGAAGTCCTCTCGAGCTCAAGGAGTACGATCCCGAAGGCCTCGAAAGCTTAGACACACCCGGAACTTCACACATCGTCGCCATGGATTCATCCGGTCTCGCAATCTCTCTCACCACAACCATCAACCTAAACTTTGGCTCCCAAGTAATCATCCCCGAAACAGGCGTAATCATGAACAACGAAATGAACGACTTCAGCATCCCTGGCGAATCCAACCAATTTGGCTTTATCCCCAGCGAAGCAAACTTCATCCGGCCTGGCAAACGTCCACTTTCTAGCATCAGCACAACCATAGTCGAAGGACCCGACGGCCAAGTGTCTCTCGTCACAGGTTCTGCAGGCGGGAGTAGAATCATCACTGCTACTGCGCAGGTTGTGCTCAACGCTATTGATAAGAACATGACTGTAGCGGAAGCTCTTGCTGCTCCGAGATTGCACGACCAGCTTGTTCCCAGACGGGTTACTTTTGAGTATGCTTTTGATAACTCTACAGTGGCTTATTTGGAAGGTATTGGAAACAATGTTACGTGGGTTGCGCCGGGACAGAGTACTGCGCAGGCTTTGAGAAGGTTGATGAATGGGACTTTTGAGGCTGCTGGTGAGCCGCGACAAGTGAACTCTGGCGGTTTCTCGACTTGATAGAGGTGCCATACACTATTTGAGATATGATAGGCGTTGTATAGCCATATTAGCTTCTAACCCTTTCAATTACACTTATGAATATCATGACGGACCAACGATGCCTTACAACAAGCAGATCTAACTCCTTGAACTTGCCTCTGACTTCACTTCGTATAAGGTTATCAAATATTTGCTGCCAAGGACAGATCTAGATTGTCTATATTCCTGCTGCAGAATATTGGCGTCAAAGTTGGGCTGTTGGCAGTCTTGACATCTTGGCACTCCAACCATTGAACCCTTATTCATTCGCTAAGATTTCACTTAAGCTTAACCTTTCGTGCTACCACATTGTGAAGAAACTCAATTCGTACTAGAAACATTTATCCAATAATGCACAGGACTCTGAAACTCGACCTGTTCTCCAGACAAGGTTCTCCTCACGTTTCAGATTCAGGGTCCTAGGGTATCAAAACACTTGGCTTGAGAACAGACGAAATTGCAACCATTCGAGTCCAATTGAGTTTACGACCACGTTTTGTCTGTTTCCAATTTCCTGTTTGAAACTGTTGAAGATAATGGTAAGCTGAAGTTTGTTTTCTCGGTTGATTCCAGCAACCTAGACTCTGGTTGCGAGCTGCTTCAATATCCAATCAAAAGGCAAGATGGCCGAGCGGTCTAAGGCGCTGTGTTCAGGTTCTATACGAACTAGTAACGATTCGCAGTCTCGAAAGGGGCCTGGGTTCGAATCCCAGTCTTGTCAGCTTTCTTTTTGCCTTTTTGCCTTTTTGCCCTCTCACCACCAACAGCGGCCAGCCTCACAGTAACCGCAAAAGCGTGATAAAAAACACCACATCGTGGCTTGTAATTGACTGACGCAATCAGATAAGCGCTACTGCTTGCATCTACAGCCTCACTACCAATGACGATCATCGTTTTCCGATAGATGATGTTAATGCGCAAGTCGCTTCATTTATTGTAGACTGCTGATCGGTCATTTTTGCAATTGAGTTGCGCGTCTGTAAGATCCAAGCTTCTCGGCTGCATATGCAGCCACGAATGGCGTTGAGTATTTTGCGATCGTCAGCCATCTTTCTTTGAGTCAGTGATACCGTGACAAAGGAATAAAATTACGAACTGCGGGATTTCAGTTAGTTTTACCACTATTGAATGAGCGAAAGAGACTCAATTGTGTTGATATCGAATACCTTTACCACGTGCAACTGCCGACATGGCCTGTAAAAGCATAAAATGTAGCTTAAATCCAACACGTGCAGCCAACCAGAGGTTTACTTGGCGCCCAGAGCACCAGCGATTAATTTCATTCCAGCAAGCCACCCTTGTAATCGCAACGCGTCACAGCGCCCAGAGTTCACTGTGACAAAGCGCTGCACAGGGGAGCTTTCCCTGTTCCTGGTCACCTCCGTGCTTCATACGTGTAAGAGAAGTTGACAATGCCAAGAGCAAGCCACAATTCCATGACGAAAGGGCCAAGAAAGAGTTGATACTTAAGTTCAGGGTGTCACCACATTTTGTTTCGCTCTCTCCAACCTCTTCTTTTTAAGTGTAACTCTATTCACAATGATCTTTCCCTCCGTCGCATTGCTGTCGTTGGCTGCTAGCGCTCTGGCCAGCGCTGTTCCACAGGGCGCTAATACCTGGAAAACCCTCGAGTCGATACCAATTGCCCCGCGACAAGAACACGGCGTCGTCGCACTCTCGGACAAAGAAATCGCCATCATCGGTGGAATCGTTCCCAATAAAGATGCCGATGGCTTCCAAACTACAGACCTTATCCAATTTTACAACACGCGCTCGAATTCATGGCGACGATACGTTACCGAAGCACCCGTCAAGGTGAACCATCCCAACGTCGCTGCCGTCAATGGCAAGATCTACCTGCTAGGCGGTCTTTCAGAGGCCGCTGATGGTGCTTGGAGGGCATTCCCCGAATCATGGGTGTATAATCCCGATCTTGATGAATGGACGGAAGTGGAGCCTGTTCCTGAAGATCAAGAAAGAGGAAGCGCTGCTATGGGTGTCTACGGCAACATCATCTACATGGCTGGCGGTATGCGCACGCTCGAGCCAATTGGTCCAGGTGGAGAACAAGATACTGTCGCCTTTGTCTCAGCATTTGACACAAAGACTTCAAAGTGGCTTGATCTTCCCAAAGCCGCGCAAGCCATTCCCGAAGGCCGCGATCACGCTGCCTCTTCCGTCGTCGGCAACAAAATGTACGTCCTAGGCGGTCGTCTTCGTGGACAGCGCAACGTCAAAGACACAGTCTTCATCCTCGATCTTGACGATCTTGAGAAAGGCTGGACCACCAGCGATGCCAAGATGCCCACTCCTCGTGGCGGGGTTGTTTCCGGTACCGTCGGCAAGAAGATCTACGTCCTTGGCGGTGAAGGAAACAATGCTGAGGATTCCGATGGTATCTTTAACGAAATTGAGGTTTTTGATACCGTCAAGGAGAGCTGGGAGAGCGTGGGCAAGATGACCTTGCCAAGACATGGTGGACAGGCTGTTGCTGTCAAGGGTGGTATCTACCTTCCAGGTGGAGGAATCTCGGAAGGGGGTTCGCCGGTTCAGACACTTGATGTGTACTGGCCTTGATGGATATTTGCGTATTGATTTAGCGATTATGAATTTATGATACCATTTTGTTAAGCATTTTGCATGTTCCTAGCCGTGGTCTCCACCAATGTCTTATGTCGAGGCAGGAATCGGATTCGATATGATCCGTTCCTTTGGAATGACAAATCTTACGCAAATGAGACAACGTTCTCTCTTCCTCGGACATATTACCATCAGCCTTGCAGCCAAGTTCGTGAGATTCTTTCGCGTGATCAATATTCAGCTGACAGCTTCCGTCTAACGAGACATTTTACAAAGCTGATCGTTCAAACCATCCACATCCAATCGCCATTGAGAATACTCTTCGATGTGATTGAAAAGATCCACGATGAACCCACATAGTTATGGACTTAGCACCCAATCGCCATTGAGTCGGAGACGGGTTCCTGAGGTTTCCGCGCTGTCAAAAAGGTGGTCAGCAAACTACCTCAAGCCTCACAGCTGACACTGTTGCCAAGACGCGAATGAGATCATGTCACATTGACTTCTCCCGGCATACAGATACTAAGGCCTAAGAAGGTTCTGTATTGGAGATCTGGACCTCTGGGTCACAGGGTATTTTAGCTTCGGGGCCATGTGGCTATGTCGGTACTAAACCTACTCAATTCCATGGCATTGCGTATCTAATTCTAAGCCTCACAACCAAGAAGTGGAATTAATCCCGATGCTTCCGAGGTTTAACTTAAGCTTACATCGTCAATCGGAAATAACAGAATCCCACAAACACTGTCTCAGACTTTGCGCTCTGTTTAGACAAATTTGGCTAAACTCGGGAGGGATTTGCGCGGAGATGAGGATGAGGCTTGCATTAGCTCAGGCTACCAGTGATAAGTTCCATGGAATCTGACATCGCAGTCGCAATCTGGAGTTTTTGCTTGTCATATTGTGATTTACCCGGAAGCCATAAGCTGACGAATGATCCTGATGACTTTGAACGTGAGATTTAGACAGGAGACAATATTCGTAAATCACTTCAAGCAGGCTAATACCAGGTTTTTGACCGGTTTATTTCCAAGGCATTGCCTATGATCCATTGGCGAAGTTGGATGTAAGCAGTGAAGGAGTAGGATCCTATATTGATACGAATAAGAGGATATATCAACTGGCTGAGACAGTGAACCTATAAAAGGTCTATAATCCCCTTGGATGAAGTAGATTTACCATGTAGCATCTGCCGTAGTATCACCACCATGAAGGCTCTTCAAAGTTATCTCTATACATCTCTCTTCGTGGGAACTTCCCTCGCAGCCCGAGGAGGCCACTGTCCCCCTCTAGGCCCTGTCCTTCCTCCTCCCCTCAACCCAAGCACACACTCCTCCGTCAAAACCGCCCTCAACAACATCCAAGACCTCTTTGACACTGCAACATCCGAGCTTGTAAACTCGTCAGTTGCAGTAGCCATCAAATCCACCAACGAAGATGACTTCATGTTTGAATTCGCCAGCACACCTCCCAACGTTGACCCTCGTGGCGTTGACGAGGTAGATTCAGATACTGTCTTTCGTATGGCCAGTCTGTCCAAGGTCTTTCCCGTTCTTGCGCTGTTGAAGTTACATAAAGTCAACTTTGATGATCCGGTGACAAAGTACTTGCCTGAGCTTAGGAAGTTGAGTAAGAGTGCCAGGAAGAGGGACGCTGTTTGGGAGGTGGACTGGGATGAGATTACTATTGGAGCTTTGGCTTCACATATCAGTGGCGTTCCAGCTGACCGTGAGTTCACCTATTTTCATATACTAGGTTTCTACTAACATTGTACAGTGGCTACTGATGCCGAACCATACGGTGACTGGACGCAGCTCGGATTCCCTAAGCCTGATCCTTCCAGGAGCCTCAACTGCTCAGGGATTCTAGGTATTCCAGAATGCACAAAGAAAGGTATTTCTCTCGCCCTTCATCACTGGATACAGCTAACCTGCAGACTTCTATGAACGATTCGGTGAAAGACCTCCTATCTACGCCCCCTTCGAATCAAACCCAGTTTATTCAAACACCGGCTGGGCTTTGATGGGTTTCATTATCGAAAAGGTCAGCGGTATGCCGTCTGGCGATTTCATCAAGAAACACATCTGGGATCCTGTAGGTATGGACCATACATATGGTGAGAAGCCTGATGATGCTTTGGGTTTCATTCCTCCTGGTGATTTGTGGTGGAACGCCACCCTTGGCTATGGCGACCCGTAAGCAACTTTGTCCCCACCATGAAACAGTTTACTGACGATACTAGTGCTGGAGTTTACTATTCCTCCTTGAACGATATCATGGCTTTTGGCGATGCTATACTGAGCTACAAGCTCTTGAGCCCAGCGCAAACCAGGAAATGGATGAAACCGGCTACCAGTACCTCATCAAGAGGCGTTCTTTTGGGTGAACCCTGGGAGATTCACCGCTCCAACAACGTCACAAAAGATGGTCGAATGATCGAATTTTATACCAAAGCTGGCGACATCACCACCTACCATTCACTCATGATCCTGGTCCCAGACTACAATATTACTATCGCCCTCTTCGACGCCGGTCCAATCGACGAGATTGGCGGCTCAAACCTTCAGGTCTGGTTTTCAAACATTGTCCAGGAACTTCTTCCTGCTCTTGAACAAGCTGGCAAGGATGAAGCAGAAAAGAAGTACGGCGGTACATACTCCGACGCTGAGACTGAATCATCTATTACCCTTTCAGTGGACGATGAACCAGGTTTCAAAGTCACAAACTGGACAGCCAACGGCGTTGATATCGCAAAAACATACCTAAGTTTCGCCCTACCACCACAGTTTCCCACTCCAGAAGGACTCATTCGTTTCCGGTTGTACCCTACAGGTCTTAAAACTGACACTGAGACTTCGTGGCGAGTCTCGGCTACAGCGGGTACAGAGGAAGATGTAGCTGCGGCAGATTCTATCTTTGCTTGGCCTGATGCAAGTTGTGTCACCTGGGCATCGATGGATAGAATTGTCTATCAGCTTTTGGCTCAGGATCACTTCGTGTTTACAGAGAGTGGGAAGGGCAGTGAAAGACGTGCTGAGCAGCTTGAACTTGTTGGGTATAGGGTTAACTTGACAAGGGAGGATTGAGTGGATTATCGTGATGGATCTCTGAGTCAATTCCAGTAGTCAAGTCATATCAATGGGAATATCGTAAGTCCATCAATGAGATATTCGGAGCAATATTGGGGATATCCATGTCTCGGGGTAACAAGAAACTTGACTCGGTAGCATAAGAGACGAAATAAATCACTCGTCTGGGTGCTTATCACAGTGGTAGACTGACCCAGTATTTCTCACCCCAGACTCTAATCCTAGTTACCTCCGCAGCACTAAATTAGTGCAAGATAGCGCTGAACCCCGCACGATAGCGAGCTTCCTTCTGCGCTGATCTCACAAACTCCTTCCTAATCGAGTCTACTCAAGCGGAGTCATTCAGACCTTCTCAACGTTGGCCGATAAACCATCTCCATCTTCCTTGCGGCTCTAAAAGTGAGGACCGGTAAACTCTCCGACGTCGCTTCTATAAAGATCATCATTTGCCTCACTTTTAATATTCTTTACCCTCATTGTTGGCTTGTCACGGGTATTCATCATGAGATCTACATCACTAGCACTGCTGTCTTTGGTGGCGGGTGTCCAGTCTCTGGCCGTCAGACGAGATGATACCCAGGAAGCTCATCTCAAAATCCCTGGCTTGCCTCTTCCAAATGCCACAAAAGCATACTGGCAAGATCCTCCTCACCGTATCGCCAACCATCGCACAACAAAAGACCTGCCCACATCCCAAGTCTTCGACTATGTGATCATCGGCTCAGGCATCTCCGGCGCCGCAACAGCGCACAAGCTACTGGACCGAGATCCCGATCTGTCTATCCTCATGATTGAAGCCCGCACCGCAGCATCTGGCGCAACAGGTCGTAACGGCGGTCACTGCAAAGCCGGTAACTACAACGGTGTGAAGAAGTGGGTAGAGGAGTACGGCGAGGATGATGCGTTGAGGGTCAGCAACATGGAGCAGGACTGCGTTAATGATGTGCGCGAGTTTGTCAAGTCGAATAATGTCTCGAGCGACTTTACGGATGTCGAAACTGCCAGTCTTTACTGGACCAAGGATGCTTTTGACACGGCTGTCAAGAACATTGAGTTTCAGCATGCGTTGGAGAAGAAGAGACCGAATGACGTTCCTGACAACAAGAGGACTATCATGAAGGGTCAAGAAGCGCGCGATTACTGGCAGTGGCCTGAGATCGTTGGTGCTGTGACTTTTAAAGCCCACACCCAGAATCCTTACCTTACTGTCTGTGCTATGCTCGAGTACAGTCTTGACAAGGGTCTGAACTTGCAAACCAACACCATGGCGCTCAACCTGAAGCAACTCGGCAAGACCAAGAGCGGAGCTAAATGGGAAGTCAAGACGAACCGTGGCACCGTCAAGAGCAAGAACGTCGTTCTAGCTACCAACGGCTTCACAAACGCTCTTCACCCAGGTATCGCCAGCACAAACTTCACCATGCCCGTCAGAAACCAAGTTGCCGCCGTCACACCCTCGAACAACGACACCGACAGCAAGGTCTTCCAACGAAGCAACAGCGTAGGTGATCTCCACAGCGGAAACGTCTACATCGCCGCTCGTCCTCCAGGATCCAAGGACGCAGGAAGTGTCGTCATCGGCGGCTCTACCCAAATGTCTCCTACACGAGAGCGCTGGATCTCAGATGATACATCCATCAACGACCAAATCGCTCTCGTCCTACATGGCGCAGCACGTACTGTATATGGATACAAGAACTGGGGCGAATCCACGACTGTTATCCAGGATTGGGTTGGTATTGTCTGCGAGACACCGGATGAGTTCCCCTTGGTTGGTGACGTCCCAGCTGAGGATGGTCTCTGGGCTATTGTCTGTATGAACGGTCATGGTATGGCTTGGGCTTATCGAAGTGCTGAGGCGCTCGTTGATATGATGACTACTGGAAAGACGCCCAAATGGTTCCCTGAGCAGTTCAAGGCTCAACGTGCCTGGGAGAGCAGCGGTTATGATGAGTTGTAAGGTTTGATGTCTGTATATATGTAAATATTTGGTGTACAAATTCAACGTCTGGATTGGATATAAGCTTTGCTCATATGGTGAATTCAACTCATGGTTTGACTGAAGGTGGATGATTGGGTTTCAGGATTAAGATCATTTGTCCGACTCTTGCTCCTGATATCCTAAACTCAGTGGTAAGTTATGCTAGAATCCTGTCCTCCATTCCTACATAGACGCGTTCATATCAAAGCTCATATCATAGTTGAAAAAGAAGTCACCAGCCAAATCAGGAAAGAAATTATCAACTCCCGATATCCCAGCATCAACACTCTGATCCATCCCAACTCCCAACGGCAACCCCATATCGACCGGAACATCCGGCTTTAACGTCTGTGCCATCCTCTCCAACCCACTAGTCATCAAATTTGCCAAATGCCACTTTCCAGCAGGTTGTGACCGAAACTGCTGCACCAAGCCAGTAATCAAATCGTAAACCTTATCGCGTTCGATAAGATCATGGTATTTCGTGGCGACTTTGGTGAGAAACATTGATGCAAAAGCAGTCATGGAGTGGACGTATGACGGCATGCCGACTATGCCGGAGGTAATATCGGGATCATTGAGGAATTTGTCGATGATTGTTGTCGCTGCTTTGATGCCGTTCAGAGCACAGTCCAGAAAGTAGTGAGGAATATGGTCGTCTTTGGATATGCCCCGGAAAACGTGTGAGTATAGATATAGTTGTGCAAAGTTATAATGGAGGATGATTCCTTTTCGTGGGAAGCCGCCGATGCCGGGCCATTGCTCTGAAAGTTGTCAGTTGACACAATGTTCAGTAAATACGCCCATACCACATACCTTGCACTTGGTCTGTCCAAAATGCGAACCATTGATCAAGCTGTATTCGAAAATGAGAAATATGGTTCAAATGCAGCCGTGGAATTGGTTTCCCTTTGTTCCCACTGAACAACTCCCTGATACTCCGCAAGATACTGACAACAGTAGCTTGACTCAACAACCGTCTGTCTTCCTCGTTCGAAACGGCAGAGTGCAGAAAGTCTATAGCTCCCTGTGTGGAAGCATCTTCCTGCACTATAGACGGCCTTCCATACTGCGTCGCAAGCTGTTGGTCACAGACGCAAAGGATGTACCAAATTCTTGCACACTCAGCGTCTTCTGTACTAGATTTCTCGATAGCTCTGTCGTAACTGTTGTGTAGGTCGAATTCCGCTGCTCGTCGTATAGCGTGGCCTGATAGCATCCATGATAAATCGCTTAGCCAGTAGCAGCCGATGCAGAGAGCCCGTAAATAGTCCCTGCTTAGTCGTCTTTCGAATATCGATGTCTCGAAAAGCCTTTTGAATTCGGAGGTGCAGATAGGGTATAAGTGGTCGGCGGTAGAATCGTGAAGTGCGGCAACTGTCAGGACCGCCACGAGGAGAAATTGACTTTTCTGCCGTAATTCTTGCATAGATTCGTAAGGACAGCCAATAAGGTAGATATAAGGATCCAGGCGTTTTCTATAAAATTCAAACAGTCTTTCTGCGTCGGATAGTGAAATTAGTCGTCTCGTGATCACATCGTCAATGCCTTGATTTTGCTGCGAGTTGAGATCATCTGGTGAGCGAAGCGCGCGTAATTTCGTGAGAGTATAGAGTGAATGAATGGGAGCATATGGCAAGTCATCGTCTTCTGGCAGTGGTTTCGGTGAAGTATCGCGAGATGGGACGTGATGGTCTTTGTTTGGTTGGCTTGGTGATTCATCTTTTGACACTTCTGTTGTCGCAAAAGAGGAGCGTAGAGGCGGTAGTTCCAAGTCGAGTTTACCAGCAACCTGCTTCAAAAAGTTGTGCATCTGCTCGAGATCCTGTGCCACATCTTGTGATAATCTGGAGCATGTAAGTCATATTGCTTTCATGGGTTTCTGTTGGCTGGACACGTACTGAGACTTTTCGTCTAGGATAGTTTGTAGACTCTTCCCCAAGACGCAACACAGGCCTTTTTCTGCACACCGCCTACAAGGCGGACCACTTTCATCAATCAGACATTTGATCTATCAACAGTCAATATTTCCATGTTTACCGCATGAGAGTCAAACATACCTTCTGTCTCCGACACGCCGTACAAGCTTTGACTTTTCTCGAGATCAGTGGCGGAAACTGCTGTTCTCCATTCTCCGCTTCAGACCAACTTCGTTTCGACATGTCGCAGTATGAGTTGAATGTAATGTTTATATATCAATCGCGTCTGGTTGGTGGAGGAGACGAAATCCCCATGAGGTTAGGTATGTCGGTAGTAAACGCGGGGTTTTGATAATCCGGGGCGCCTTCCGACCGAGACTTGACGGTATTCCCGGTCTAGCCGATGCCGGCGAACAACCAAGTCCTCACGATCTCGGACTCCCGATGAAATCTCCACCAGATCATGCACGTCGGAAACGGGTCTTTGTGACGGATGAGAGGTTGTAAGATGGGTTTTTGTCGCCGAACCACGTCCACTTTTGAACTGAAGCGAACTGTCGCTGATTGAGAAAAGAATGAGATAGCCTATCCTCAAGCTATCAGAAAATTGGTCCCAAGAGCATAAGAGACGAAATAGTTTGTTTACTTTAGGTTAGCCAAGACCAGCATTCAGGCCACTTTATAATAGTAGGCTAAGCCTTAGAGGACATTCTATTTGAAATCATAATGCACTGGTTATCTCTTATCAAGCCTGCTTGTATTGGCTCATCTGAGTAAATATAGACCTCATCCTTCAAACCCCCGGGTTCCATAAAGGGTAAGGTTGTAACACCTCGTCTGTGACATGTTCTTCTGGAACTCTGCAGTTTCCGCTACCAGGTCCTCCCCCGTGACACAGTGCCGCATCATGCTGATATGGAAGGATCTCAATCCGTCTTCCACGGGTATCTCGTTCCAGTTTGACGCGTCGTAAGTGACGCGAATGTTGATCTTTGACAGCCGTAAGGGGGGGTGTTGTCCACCCCGCCAGATAACGATAGTTCCTCCATGGCGGAACAAAATGGGTTTCGAGATTGAGGGCAGTCGACAGAAACACGATCTGGGCTACCTAGACCCTGAGGTGCTCGTCAGGCTTGTCCCACATACCGTGAGCAACGTCTACCGGTTCGTATCGATTGAATGTGACACCTTGGGGGAAGGAGTCGTTGTGAAAAATGCAGGTCTTGATGTTAAGACGAGGAACTTGGGCTGGGTCGAGGTTGAATTGTGCGTGAATGAACCTCGAGAATTCCTTCAGGGACTTGCTTGACGTGAAGGAAAGGATCACTCTTTTGAAAACCTCAACGAGAAACTCTTGACGGAGGCCAGAGACCTCGGTGATTCCATGAGCGAGGTAGGGGGGGTGTCCGGCTGCGTCAACGGGACAAAAAAATCGACCAAATGGTCTCGCTCGAAGCCGCAGTCCGTGGATTGGCCTATCACCATGTAGTGATAAATCTCCAACCGAACCTTGGCCATCAAGGCGAACCCGTCCAGCACTGACTTTGGCTTGGGGCGGATGCTGCGGCTTTGCTTGTGTCCAAATCAAGGAGGCGTCATTGGACTCGTCGGGCGTCGTGGCGGCTTGGTGGGTAGTCTCGGGCCTCTTTCAAGGTGGCTTAGGAGATATCAGCTTTCAAGGCTCGACACCAACGTGGAGTAAGCTCACCTACTTGTCCTCTTCGTGGCATGATGGTAATTCGGTAGTTCGCCAAGGTTTTTTTATTTTTTATAAAGTCACTTCTCTCAACGTGTACAGAGTGAATCAAAACAGCGAAGTCGGCAGCTGAGGGTTTGATGGATGGCGTTCGGTCTGAATACAGGTCAGAAAGAACGACAGGTCAAGCAGCTTCACGCCAGGGGTTCCACGGGCTCCAAAAAGGAATATGCTCATATGAAGCGCGTGAATTGATAAATGGACGTACTAGGTCTTGAATCTTGATACGACCGTCGTTATGTCGCCGAGGGTGTGATGAGAAGGGTGGTGGTTGTGTTGACTGAAATTGAGAGGAGGTATGTGAGGTGGAAGAAGGAAAAGGATTTTTATACCTGCCTATAACAGTGGGACAACCTTTTGCTCTGATTCAGAGCTGTTAATGAGTATAGACGCTAGCAAATGAACATCTCAAGTTGAACAGTGGCCAACACTGCAAGAACCAATCTCAAGTTTAAGGTAATGGTAGACATTTGACATTCCCAATATCACTCTTATACCCGAAATTAATGTAACATCCACGCGCCCAGTAGAAGATCCCAAGTAAACGCCAAAATTCCCAGCATGATAACCCCGTGATGTTCTAAAGCTGCTTGCTTCCCCTTGTCCCAATAGGCTCATCTCTCTGCCTTTTGACCATCCCAGTATCCCTTTGTCTCTTTCTTTGTTCTTCTCCTTCCTCAGAATCACCGACGACTTCATCCTATGCAAACATGGGCGGTGGTGTATTTCGTGGTAGGATCGTGTCGCAGCCTCGGAGCTCTGGAGTTGGAGACCTAGATGTGAAGCTTGGAGTAATGCATTCAGTAGATGCCATTGGTGTTGAGTTCTCGTGGTCTGCCACCAGTTCTGGGGTCGAGATCGGAATGCTGATGTCTTGTGGATGGTCGACAGTTGCGCCAGGCGAGGCGTTCGTTATGGTGTCAGATAAACTGGGCGCCCCTAGCCTAAGAGATGGAATAATTAGATCACCATATGCAAGCTTACCCTAATATTTAAGAAACTTTGTTTTTACCCCCTAAGCCTTAGAGGATATTCCATCTGTTGCCCATGTGGCATCATCGGGATAAGTGCATAATATTCTTCCAAGTTCTGGTGTTAGATAAGCTTGTGACAGTCTCTATCTATCAACAAATCATGAGTTCCCCTGCAAGTATCTCGGCTTGTCAGGATCAAACCCAACAAGACAATTGACAGTTTCATTCCCCTCGCCATTATCATTAATCTGATCCCCCTTCGGTCCACGCCACATTCCCGTCAACTTGATATACCCATCCATAGCATTATTCAAAGTATGACCAATCTCCAACGCCTCCGTAGCCCTAGTGTGAGAATAATAGGTCAACAAACTCTGTGCCGCCTCGCGTTCGCCCTGTTTGATCATGGTAGAAGCTGTCTTTTCAACCCAATTTTCAATCTGAACACGAGATGCAGCTTCGAACTTTTCGTACATCTCTGTGACGATGGGATGGTACTTGTTGGGCTCGGAACACATGTAGTATAGGACGCGCTTGAAAATACGGCCGGCGAATTCGGAAGCTTCTTGGAGTTGATAGTCTGGGTTGAGGAAACTGCTCGATGCGCCGGTTGTTAGGTAGCGGTGTTCGCTGAACTCGGGTGGGATGGATTGAACGCCGAGCCACCAGGGAACGAAGGGAGCGGCGACGGAGGTTGCTGGGGCGTTCCAGATTCGGAGCATATCTCGGTCAATTCCATCATGGAGACTAACGACTTGCCCGTATCCAGCCTCATCGTCAGCAATTCGAGGATCGCGAACTCGCTCCATCATTTTGGCTTCTGTAAGAGGGACCATCTCGAGTGTGGCGTTCTCCAAAGCGGCCTGTGACATGAACTTGTATCCTCCATCACGGGCCTTGTATCGAGGGTCTTGGGGGCCGTAGACGTCGAAGATGTTGAAAGGTTTGCCAGAAGTCTCGTTCCACCAGCCCTGCTCGACGGCGAACGAAACAATATTGTCCGAGCCAGCATAGTCAGGGTCGTCTTTGAAATCGGTGGGAAAGTCCTCGATATATCCGGGGTAAAGAACCTTGACGTCGTTCGGTCCAAGACGTTGAGCAGCCCAAAGCTTCTGACCACCAGCCATTTCCCAGACGACCCATCCCTCATCCTTATCAGCGATAAGATGAGAGTTGCCTCCGTAGGTAGCTTCACCATACTTGGCCATCAAATCTCCAATGATTTCAACGCCCTCACGAGCAGAGCTGGCCCTTTCCATAACAATGCGCGCAAAATCACTGTATTGCACACCCGTCTGCGGGTTCGGCGTCATCTCAAGAAGCTCATCACGATTGTCCGCCCAAACATCACGAACCGTGACACCCTTCTCATTCAAACCACCATTCGTCAACGGAGCAGGAAACCCTTCGAAATCAGAGTATTGCATGCTCATGTACCGGAATGTGTGGTTCACTTGAGGAATTTGGAAAAGCTCGCCGGGAAAAGTAGCATCTTTGGTGACGCCGACGGTGATAGTCGAGTTAGGAGGATGGTCTCGAGCTGGGAAGAGTTGAAGCCAATGACTGGAGACTTCTTCGCCTGTGCCTCCTACTATAACGCTGCCGTCTTGGGTGAGGTTCTTGCCGACGTAGAAGGCATAGCTGGCTGATGCAGGACAAGCCAGCCAAGTGGCCACGAGAGCAGCGTAGCTCAACATGGCTTTTGATCAAATAAGGCTCGAGTTTCCAAAGATACCAGAACGGGCCCGAAAGAAAAGAACGCAAGTCCAGGATCGTGGCTTACAAGTGTTTATAGCTTCAGATGGTGCTCACGTGATCGTCGCTCAATTACTCAGTGAGGTTACATGAAGCCGATAGCAGCGTAAACTCTCCCCGCAAAGAACCTTGGCTCGGTAAAATATACCAGGTTAATGCTAGCAATAAAATTAAGCTAACGGCGAACGTTGAGTCTAGTGGGATTGGAGTCTTATCTCCAATGAGGCATTTGCCTGGGAAAGCTTATCATAAAGATATCATCGGCGAACTCGGGTTGAGCTATTTACTACATACAGGTCTCGGGCCAAAGAATTAGGCGAAGTAATGCTGGAATAACTGTCTCCCCTTCCATTTTATTCAATTGCACAGGGAACGAGATCACATAGAAGAGGATCCTCTCTTTTCCCTTTACGGTAGCCGTGGACGACGTTCCCATAAGTTTCGCAGTGATTCCTTTATCTGGCCCAAATGTGTCATTTTCTCATCCTACAAGCCAGGCAACGCCAACTTTCAGGGCATATGTGAGGAGTGGCATGGCAACAAAACTACTGCGAAAGCCCGATGGCTCTGGGATATTACTACTTCCATCTGCTGGTTCATTGAAGAGCGGTAATGCCCAGAGTGTCTGTTTGGCCAGCCTTATATTGCAACTCTGCTGTCAAGTCACATACCGCTATGAAGCTGGTAGGCGTGAAGAGAATCGCAACCGTTTTAGTAACGCAGCACATAACAAGAAGATCACAGTTCCAGTTTCCACTTCTTATTGTATACAAATTTATTCATAAAAGCAAACTCCAATAGTAACCATATGTACGCCCAAAATCAAATACGCCTCCCATCATTATTCGTTATCCAATATCCAATATCCCTTATCCTACAATCCTCTATGCAAAGACTGATTCAAGGACCTTCTCAAAGTATGGAGATCGAGGTCGAGCCGGGGTGTTTTGGAAGGGCTTTGCTCGAACCGGCTCTCGATATTGGTTCGCGTTGATGAAAGACCGGCTTGCAACGGTAGCGCCTCCGACGGTCAAGATGACAGGCAGGACCCTGGATTTCATTAGTATATAGGATGAATATCTTGAAAGAATATGCTTACTTGGGGGCGATGTGAGAGGAAGCAGTAGCAGGAAGCATGTTGATGGTGTTTTGTTGTTGGTTGAAAATTGTGGTTGAAGATTGTAGTTGTAGACTTGGGAATATCCCTTTTATTGCAGTGGTTATTGATGGTATAAATTGTCTTTTGTGAAGATGATAATGAGACTGAGATACTGGGAGATGAACGAACATTATATAGATACTCATCAAACGCAATTTGTCGTGGTTTGCCTCATCGGGTATTCACATCACACGTTTTGACTGCCGGTGGTTCGATCATGATCGTTAGGTGTGCCGTGATAATGGCTGGGGCACCCATGTCGGGCATTTTCGGCACCCCAGCCAGAACAAGGGGTCCTGAAAGTCTGGAGAATTAGCGCCAAAATCAATGACATGAACTAAATAGCCCTCTGAAATATGATCAAGTTATTGCCCGAAGAACATTCAATAATATCAAGGTATCTAAGTAATCAGACCGGCAATTAAATTATTGAATCAATCTTTCACAAATAACCGTAAAAAAACGACGTGATAATCAGCGACGGCGCCCACCGAAGCTGGCAGTCTTGTGACAAGCACGTCTACGTCAGACTCAACCCCCGAACTCTCCCACGTAAACTTGCATCTCCGGAGCCCGGGATATTCTCGCCTCGTCCTTCCCCAGACCGGCGATGCATTTCCAGTCCAACTTACGAGTCTGTCTTTACTGCGACATCAAATCTTACAACTTCCCCGCGTTTACTATCTCATATTGCCTGATACTCGCAATCTTGGATGTTGCACAACCGCTGCAATTGGCTGATCTCTGTGCCGTCGAACTATACCGACTACCCCATCTGGCCAGTTCCCTATTCTGGTTCTTTACAAGTTCCGTACTGGTTTTACGTCTCCGTGACGAAACTGTTGTTTTGAGTTGTTCTCGGTCTTATATCTAGGCGAGATCTGGATATCTTGTTCCGAAACACGGTAGTCGTATGATCGGACGGCAGTTGAGCACGACTTCTGAGAAATCGAAACCGATATCTTAAGATACGTATAGTGCAGTTGGGCGGTCTTTACAGTAGAATACTTCGTTTATATGTACTCGGGACTCTTATACAAGCTAGGGCTTGATTGTCTGTCGTTTTTATCCAAACAGGAGTTGGACTATCCACACTCCTCTAATACAACTATCAAATACGAGTTGATTCACTGAGAATACGCTCAACAATGCATACGTCAGGTAACGCCGAGCAATACCAAACACAGGAGGACGGACAATCCTTGAGATGTATATCGCCGGGAAGCATCCAAACAATGGCGTCATTCACTAAAATTCCATATTTATCGCATATAGGACTTAGATTCCAGGTGATGTTACAGTGCTTGGTGATGTCTGTAAGTGTTTTGTTTGGGCAAGTGGTGGCAAGAAAATCACCTTTATCTTGGTCCAGGCCTTTGATATCACTGCAAGCAACTGACGCTTTTGATCTTAGCGCAGATGCCTAAGCGACGCGACAAAGCTCAAAACAAAGACCTAACGAAACACTTCTGCAATCAAGTTGTTCTTAACGATATTTATTTTTTGGATAATTCTAATCCTATCATCATGTCAGAATCCGTTGAGAGGCATCATTGATCACCTGACACCGTTCCTTCTTTTTCTGAGTTTAACATCGATACATGCGACTTCCTTTATACATCTGAGGCAACCTTCCTTTTCTATATAATTCTGTATCCGTCCTCCTTCCATTCTTGTGGAAGGCAGTACAACTTTCCTTCTTTGACAGATACTCCAACAGTTTCCACTTCCTTCCTTCAATATATACGGCAGACATGCTTCCAACAGACTTTGTCTCGTCCAGATTGTGACAACGCCAACCTCGCAGAATACCTAAACTGGTACGTCTATTTGCTACATCCATCTAGACGGCTTGCTGACTAGCTACAAGCAAGGTCTTATCCATATTATCACGACTCCTACGCAGCGACGGAGCCCTTCAGAAAGGGCTACTGTGACAAGCATGGTAAAGCGCCTTCAGTTCACAGGTACACGCAATAGCGATGGTAAGAGAATGACCCATAGTACTCCATCTTTTGGTAACTTCAGTAGAAGGGATTCTAAGCAGTTGTCTCTCAGAATTCTGTAACCGTTGGAATATCTTCCTACCTCAAATGAAGCGCAAACTCTGCCATACACAAGTTCATCAGTGGCCTAGAGAAATCCTTCAACGTCAAAAGAACGAAGATCTCGCTGGCCGATCACTGAGCGAAAGACTTGCCACGTCGAACCGTATCGAATACATTATTACATATACCATCGCTAGCTGTCTACAGTCTTACCCAGCATTGTAGGTGGCCCCTCGACTTTTCATCCTCGTCGGGTCTGACTACTAACTACCGGCTCCTCCTAGCAGCGTAATGAAGCTCGGTTGCTCACATCGTCGTCAATGCGGCTTTTTCACTGCTATATATTAGCTCTCAAAGCCGAGAACGGACGTTCTGGTGAAGCGCCAGATTATTTGAGCAGCATACGATCGAAGACGGATATCCGGACGTTGCACAGAACCAAGACGCGGTACTGGTGAGTGGAGGTTGATATACATGATCACCAAAATCCCGACATTCCGAAGAACACTCGAAGAATCTACATTGATCTCTCCATTCAGGTTCGAGCGATAATCTCCCAGTCCTTCAAGGGCAACGCGCGGGCTTAGGCAACTCTGGCTCTGGGGTTTCCCTTGTCCCGACAACCGCTGCTCCTGCATCCTCTGCCTTTGGTGGTTTGCGCAACTCAAGCTCTGCCCCGGGCTTTGGCCAAGCATCGGAGATTGGAACCCTGATGAACTCTGGTAGCTTCTGTATACAGCCTCACACGATGCATTCACGTCGAAATGAATCAGTGCACATCGACATTATACGACTGAAGGTTGAGCACCATCAACGCTTATAAATAACGATTCTGGGCAGCCTCTCTGGGTGAGTAGATCTGTCATAGCACAATACGATAGGCTAACAGTTCAAGAACCTTGCTCAACTTCTTACCCAGCTGCTCGTTCACCTCTGTATGCGACGGGCTGGATTGGTTTTTACGATCCAATACGCAGTAGTGTGTCGCCACGATGACCGTCACTTATGGTTGACAAACAGCATCGACAATCCTTCCGACCCTGTCCTCACCAGGGCTCACCGGGCGTTCCAGCGTGGCGGTGGAAGTCTTGCTAACCAATCTCGTCAGTACATAGCCTGCGATACCACCACTCAATTATATATACAATGCAAAATCCTTTATCCCAAATCCTTTACGTCAATTAAACAGTCGATACCACCTTGCACTCATTTCTTACTAGTACATCTTCTCTCACTGTGCAGCGCCTCCAGAGGAAGAAGCTCAATCAGCAGACCAAGCAGCATTTGTAAGCCGCAAACGTGAGCTATTGCTCCATCCGAGATACAAGTTGGACGATGGATCGAGTCATGGAAGGACACACTACCTCAGTGCTGACGACTCAAGCCAAATACTATACTCAAAGAGCTTTACTCAGGTTCTGACTCGGTGAATCTTTCACCCTTATTCACACGAAACGGCATAGTACGACTCTTCACTGCGATCTAATCCGCAGCCATCTGTACAAACCATCGCTTCCACCCACGACGACATCAAGACAGACTGCACCGAAATCGACGGTGAAGGGGAGATTGTGCCAGGGCAAGTAAGATGCGCAGATTGCCTAGAGGAGGCGAAACCCATTTGCGAAAGATTGCAAGGTAGCAGGGAGACTCAACAGCAGACGATGTGAAACTTGCGAGGACTCTTCGAACACTATAGCAGCCTTCCATCGACAACAGAAATCAACCCCCTTCATTAATCTCAGCTCTTCTTTCTCTATCAACAACATCAAAATGACCCGACCGACAGCAGTGAAGCTCCTCTGCGAGGGCTATGACTTTGTCATCAAAGACCGCAGCGGAAGAATCCCCTGTCTTCTCCCTCTCATCAACACTATTAAAAATAAGAGATGAAATAATTTGGTCACTTTATGCTATTCTAGAATAGCACTTAGGTTACTTTATTATAGTAGCCTAAGCCTTAGAAGATAACTCTTATTCGATCATGCAATCAACACTAGGGAGGACTCCGCAGTTCACTTCATATTCTCTCCTCTTTAGGAACTGTAAGACAGTTGACAGTATCAAGATCAAAGTCCATAACACGGATGAATCCATCTGTTTTGTTTGCCGGTTCGGCTAGTGCCAGTAAGACGGGGGGTTCTTCCGCTGCGGTCTTTGGGATGACAAAACCATAGCCCTCGCAGAGGAGCTTCACTGCCGTCGGTCGGGTCACCTTTTCAGGGTTAATTCCTCTGATACCCTGAGGGCATGGTGAGGGCGACGTTGTAAATTCCGGTAGAGCCTTGATGCCGATTGAGAGTTTGAGGCTCGGTGATGGATAATCTTGGGACAACTGTTGAGAAGATGTTTAGGCTTCAGAAATACGATCGCTGGACTCTATGTACAGATTTCACTGCGACTTCCAGACATGCTATGCGCAAGTGATGAAAGCGAGGTCATTACACTGAAGGCTCGGAGCGGCACCTCCCCAGGCCGGCCACTGCTCCTGCCTAACTACCCATCTCGCGCCTTTCCAACTCATCCATGGATGCCTTTCTACTTCTGCGACTCTTCTCCAACACATTTTAAGTTACCACGAACACCAGCTCCCAATATCTACCAAACATCAGCAAGCTTACTACAAACACCAATACCCAACATTTCCCATCACCAAGCTTACTATCAACTCCAGCAAGCCTGCAGCACCCGTTTCGAAGAATCTGTCTACCATGAGCCCACAACAAAAACGATCTCGCGAGGCGATGCAAACCAGCCTGCCCAATAAGAGGCAAAACAAGGGCCCTGCAACGAGCGACACTGAGAACTCGTCATCAATGGATGAAGAGCTTCCTTCTCAAGGCTATAATCAGTGCCTGTCTCCAACTCTTAGCCAGCATCGAGCGTTTCACGACAACTGTCCTAGCCATGGAAGCATGGAGTCCGACGCGTTGAGCTCTAGTGCCATCCATCCTCCTTCTGGTCTCTGGTCACCTCCCACCGAGCCGCCTCTGGATCGCTTGGATCGTATCGAACGGGCTCAAGGCCGTCTCAGAGCTGGCCTCGATGCACTCCAGTCGCTAGTTGCTAGCAGAAGCGTAGTCAACAAATCCGCGACTTGGGAACTGCATGCACGAGTGCAGGCTCTAGAGAGGGAAGCCAAATCTCCTTCCTACGAGGCAATACTTGCTGAGAATGGGCAACTGCGCCGAAGCACCACCATACTCGAGCGCAACCTCAAAGACCAAGCTAGGACGCTACAAGCATTGCGACAAAGTTACGCCCAGCTCTATAATCAGCTGGTTCAGGCGAATGTGAAGATAGCTTCTCTTCAGGGCGGCAGAGTCTAACTAGATAGCATGGCGGAACGCTTGATTTGATTGACAGTGACATGGAAGCCAAGGCTAAGTTACAAGCTGGGGGAGCCATAATGATTACTACCTTGCCTGTCAATGACATTCCGCCGCCCTCAGACCCGATGCCTTCTGATATACCTGATGGTGGGTTGGAAGGGACTAAGGCAGCGACAGAACCAGAGCCAGGAGACGATGATATAGAAGTTGCGCCAACTTCAGCTTCTATGCATTCATCAACGGGGCAGGATTCGGACACCATGGATATTGACGTGGAGAACACTTCTGTTTGAACAATAAGGACAGTGTTCTGGACTCAATTTAGTCGGGATGAGGACACAGGTTTGTGAGAATGGAGAGTCTCAGAATCCGGAAGATTTGATAATACGCACTCTAAGCCAGTCAATAAAACAACACCACAGTTTCGTGAATTGTCTACGTCGCGATCGTCTAGGTTGTTTCCCTTGACTGGTAATTGTTTGTCGTTTACCCTGCAGCAGCATGTTTGCTCAATTTGAGAAGCTTTGTACTTTCAGTCGCCCCTCGGTAAATCGCTCATAGAAACATATCAATCACGACAGACGTTGCGATTGATCCCCGATCAATATGAGCGAACTCATTCAGCTCTGATGTCACTTCGCTCTTCCGTCTAGAAGCCGATATCTCGGTGCCGAATCGCAGCCCCACTACATTCCGGCCCGCCGCTTCAGGGTCTCACGGCAGCCAAGCAAAGTAGCAAAGCCCGGGCAGTCCGAAAGCAAAGCTAGAAAATCCTACCAAAGAAAGAATAGTAGACATCTAAAAACTAAACAATCATTATGCTATCTATGCAAAAAGAACTAGAAAGCGCCAATAAACGTCAAAGCGGACCGATGACGGCACAATCGGGCCTCCCAGATCAAGGTTGGGGAGCAGGTCCCTCGGTATTAACGGAACGACGTCATCAACTGCAAGTAAAACATAAAACCACCCAAACGCGCATCTTGACCCAAACAAAGTAATAGTAATTCCTGTACACAACGATTCACAATGGCGACCAAACAGTCGGAAGTGCCCAATTTCACCCTCAGCGATTATGTCAAGTTCTTTGGCGCAGGCGCCCTCGCTGCTACGTCTACTCATGGTGTAAGTGTCGCGTGCACATGCGAATGATCGCAAACTAACAACCGCAGGCTGTAACGCCAATTGATGTCGTCAAGACTCGAATCCAGGTCGACGATGCCTTGAAGGGATACAACATGCTGTCGGCCGGTCGCAGCATCGTCGCCAAGGAGGGCGCTTCAGCGCTGTTGACTGGCTTTGGCCCCACGGCTGTCGGTTACCTCGTCCAGGGCGGTGCCAAGTTCGCTGGCTACGAATACTTCAAGAAGAAGTACATCTCCATGCTTGGAGGTCCCGAGAAGGCTGTCAACCACCGAACAGGCGTTTATCTTACTGCCAGTGCATCGGCCGAGTTCTTCGCTGATATTCTCCTCTGCCCGCTCGAAGCTACACGTATTCGACTCGTTTCAGAAAGAGGATACGCCAATGGCCTGTTCTCAGGTTTCGCAAGAATGGCCCGCGAGGAGGGCTTCAAGGGCTTCTACTCGGGTTTCGTGCCGCTCTTATTCAAGCAGATCCCTTTCGCTGTTGGTCAATTCTCCGTTCACGAAGCCGTCAACGAAGTCATCTTCCGCGCCATGGGTCCTGAGCGCAAGGAGAAGCTCACACAACTCGAGTTGACAGGAGTAGAGTTGACCTCTGGTGTCACTGCCGGTGCTGCAGCTGCGGTGCTTTCTCATCCTGCGGATACCCTTTTGTCCGCCATCAACAAGGGCGCTGGCGATAAGAGTCAGGGTGCAACAAGTCGCATGTTCCAGCTTGCCCGAGAATTCGGACCAAAGAGATTGCTTCTCACTGGACTTGGACCTCGTATCGTCATGACATGCGGTCTTGTGGGTGCGCAATTCGTGGTGTACGCGCAATGCAAGGCGTTTACAGGAGCACCACCCGGTATTGAGATCCACAAGGAGGAGTCGCTATAGAGACTCATAATGATGAAGACGTACCATCTTATGGATTTAAGGCGTTTAGCGGTAGACTGGAGGAAGATCTATTAGAGCGATTTTAGAATTAATTTAAAAGCTTATAATTATTGCAAATCTTGTCTTGGCAACCATACTCAACGGGAACTTCCTCTTGCTCGTCTTGTTTCAGGACCGTGCCACTATTGAGCCGCTTATTGATGTCCAGTCTAGGCCGTAGATTGCTGGGCACGGGTCCAGATCTGGTCTATTCTCGGTTCTTAGTGTTTGAGATCTGTCTGGAGTGGCGGAGCTGTGGCTGGAAAGAAGGGTCTGAACAGATGACTGTATCTCTATTATAGGTATCAAACAATTGGGTATCATACAATTCCAGGTACAGTAGCAAGAAAATATTTGGAATGAAATCCTGTTAAAGTTCAATATTTTACAGTCTTTCTGCCTGTCGATCCCTCTCCATACCAGAGCGAAAATACATGATCGAAACTCTTATCTCGCATTGACCATCTGGCCTCACCCACCTTGTGGCGCAGTTAAAGCCTTGTTAGGCCGTGCACCCCAGTAATTCCAGTGCAGGTCCCCTATTTTGGTCAGGAACTTTGGCGGTACCTGCCTTGTAGCCATTCGAGGCCACGACATCACCATCGGCAAGCCTCCAATTCTTTGTTCCTTTGCCATTTCTACCTTGTACTCCTCAAAAGTTTCATTCTGAACACGCGCACCCGAAGCAACCTCATTCTCTTCAACTTCATAGGTACGGTTATAACGGTTTTCGCCTGGCATACCGCTGTGCGACCTGCGCCGACAATTAAGTTGGTCGTACCAAGCGCAGTAGCATTCTTGATCTCCTTAAGCCCACTTCAAGCTCGCGTGGCAACCCCGACACTTTGACTTTCGACCCAACTTTGCTTTCTCGCTTCAGGAACTGATTTCTCTTCTTCAGTTATCGATTCGTTCTTTATCGACCTCATTTACCCTGGATGTTTTAAATTAGCTCCTCGCCTCCTCGCACCTCCCTTTGCGCTGCAAGGGTTCCGTCCTTCGCATCAACATGAAGATCGCTTCACTGTTGAGCCTGGCCAGCTTCACGGCTTTGGCTCATGGCTCCAAACCTACACGAGACTACGCGGCCAACGATTATTATGTCCTCCATCTCGACAGCGCAACGACCCCCGACCAAGTCGCCAACCGACTTGGACTCGCTCACGAGGGCCAGCTTGGTGCGCTTGACGACCACCACGTTTTCCGTGCCTCCAAGGCCGACCACGATATAGTTACAAGACATATTACAGAGCGCGAGAGGCGGAAACGAGACCTGGGTGGCTCTGATCCTCTTGATGGAATTTTATTGTCGAAGAAGCAAGAAGCACGACAGCACCTTTTCAAGCGAGACGTCGTTCCTTCAGCTCCAAGAGGTTTGCCTTTTCTAGGGGACCGCCACAATGCCAGAGCTCAAGATCTAGCGGCATACCAAGAAACAATCATGAAACAGTTGGACATTCAGGATCCCATCTTCAAGGAACAGTGGCATCTTCTGAACCCCCTGCAGCCCGGCCACGACGTTAATGTGACCGGTCTCTGGCTGGAAGGCATCACTGGAAAGAACGTTACTGTGGCGGTGGTGGACGATGGTCTCGACATGAACAGCGATGATCTCAAGCCCAACTACTTCGCTGAGGGCTCTTGGGATTTCAACGACAACGACGCCGAGCCTGCCCCTGTCTTGGATGATGATCGACATGGTACCCGCTGCGCTGGCGAGGTCGCGGCTGCTCGAAACGATGTCTGTGGTGTTGGTGTCGCCTACGACTCAAAGGTCGCCGGTCTGCGTATTCTCAGCAAGCTAATCAGCGACGCCGACGAAGCGGAAGCGCTCATGTACAAGTACGACGACAACCATATTTACTCATGCTCATGGGGACCAGCCGATGATGGTCAGACTATGGAGGCGCCTGATGTTGTCATTCGACGAGCGATGCTAAAGGCGATTCAAAAGGGACGCAGTGGAAAGGGTTCTATCTACGTTTTTGCCAGTGGAAATGGTGCCGGCCAGGGTGATAACTGCAACTTTGATGGATACACCAACTCTATCTACAGTATCACGGTTGGAGCTGTCGACCGAACTGGACTTCACCCTTACTATTCCGAGGAGTGCTCTGCTCAGTTGGTCGTCACTTACAGCAGTGGAAGTGGTGATGCTATTGTAGGTTCTTTTTCCAGATGCAAATTACTTTGACTAACATAATCAGCACACAACCGATGTTGGAAAGAACAGCTGTTACAAGGCTCACGGTGGTACATCTGCTGCAGCCCCTCTTGCCGCGGGTATCTTTGCTCTTGTCCTTCAAGTCCGCCCTGATCTTACTTGGAGAGACCTCCAGTACCTTGCGATGGATACCGCGCTTCCTATCGATGGCGACGAGGCCAACCAGCAAAACACCACAATTGGCAAGAAGTTCAGTCACACCTTTGGATACGGCAAGATCGACTCATGGGCCCTGGTTGAAAGAGCCAAGGATTGGGAGTTGGTCAAGCCTCAATCGTGGTACTTTTCTCCTTGGATCCATGTGAAGAAGGCGATTCCCGAGGGTCGGGATGGCTTGACTGTTACTCTCGATGTCACCAAGGACATGCTCAAGCAGTCCAACGTGGCTCGCGTGGAACATGTTACTGTTACCATGAACGTTGAACACACTCGACGTGGTGATCTTAGTGTCGATCTTATCAGCCCTGACAACGTGGTCAGTCATCTTGCTGTTGCTCGAAGGAGCGATGCCAAGGAGGCTGGATACGTCGATTGGACCTTTATGAGTGTCGCTCACTGGTATGTATTTCTTGTTTCTCTGATGTGACCTTTCTAACAATCCTTAGGGGAGAGTCTGGTGTTGGCAAGTGGACCATTATTGTTCGAGACACCGAGAAGAACTCCTTCAAGGGCAAATTCACCGATTGGCGCTTGAAACTTTGGGGTGAGGCTATCGACGCAGACCAAGCAACTCTACTTCCTATGCCTAACGCGAACGACGATGACGACCATGATAAAATCGTAGCGACTACTTCAATACCCGCTTCCACAACAACAGCACCTCCCGCTACCAAGCCTACATTGATTGATCATCCTTCCGACCATCCTGAGCGGCCCACCAAGCCTGCTCGACCCAGCGATACTGAGGAGGAAGAGCCCTCAAGCACTCAAAGCTCCGCGGAGGAATCATCCACAGCTTCATCTTCTTGGGTTTCCTGGCTTCCAACATTCGGCGCCTCAAAGAAGGCACAGATCTGGATCTACGGAGCCGTCGGTTTCATTGGAGCCTTCTGCATCGGTCTAGGTGTATACTTCTGGATCGCCCGTCGTCGTCGTCTCCGCAACAGCTCCCACAACACCTACGAATTTGAGCTCATCGACGAGGAAGAGGCTCCTCTCAACGCAGGCGAGAAAACTACCGGCAACAAGGCCCGCAGGACCCGAGGTGGAGAGCTATATGATGCCTTTGCCGAGGGTAGCGACGAGGAGCCATTTGAGGACTACCGCGATAACCGTGAGCCATCGCGTGACAGACTTGCTGGCGATGATACTCAGCATTATGCTGTTGGTGATGATAGCGACGATAGTGAAAGCGATGACAGCACCGACGAGGATAGAAACGAAAGAAGACCTCTTGGTGGCAGACGTTAAGGTGGAGGTTGAATAAGGCACAGCAAGCCTGGATGTGAAGCCAGAAAACTGCGTGAGTGCTTTTTGCATGGATCAGCGGAGTTTATAACTTGAAATATGTTGGTATATTGTCTTTAGTCAATAGATCTTGGATGGGCGTTTGGTTCAAATGTCGAGATTTATGTTACATTTCATTGCAGTGATTCCAATCAGTGAGGGCGACCGCAAAGGAGTGTAAAAGAGATGATAGGTTAGCAAGGTTTGTGGCATCTCAGCCAGTATTCTTCATAACCTAAATACTGCATTAATGGTCGGTATATATTCCTCCATTGATCAGTCAAACAATCGTGAAATGTTTATTCAGGCTAGCTACTTAATCAGTCATCCCTCGTCCATCTCATCTCATCTTTGCCATACCAAACGCCATATCCTATAACGCCATTACCATAAACCTCAATCCCTCGCTTGCTTGACCTAAGCGCTCGTAATACCCTCCTTCTCCATCTCCTCTACATATCTCTCCCAGATGCTCGCCACCTCGCCATAAAACTCAATATGCGCATCCGCAAGCCCACCCAGCTGCGACTTCATCTCGATCCTCTTGATGCGCTCAAAATCGGCTACTTCCTTGACTACTTCGTCATCGAACATGTCGCTCGTCTTGCGTGCGCTTTCGACCTCGTGGGTCAGCTCTTCGACGCGGAGTTCTAGCTTGCGGGTGCGTTCGCGGCGGGCTTGCTCGTGGTCTACGCCGCGGACGTCTTCGATCTTGGCGCGGAGGAAGCTTCCTGCACCGGAACCGCCGCCGTGGCCGGATTGAAGGGTGTCGCGCTCTGTTGTTGACTTGTTGAGGTATTCGGTAAGTTGTTCGTAGTCGAGCTGCTTTTGCTCGCGGGCCTTGAGAAGGTTCTTGAGGGCGATGGAGTAGGCTTGCATGTCTCGTAGAGATCCGAGGTAGTCTTGGTCGGTAATGTCCTTTAATTTTCGCAGGTGACTCGCTGTGTCCTCGATGGATGCAGAGAAGCCGTGGACCGCAGGCTCAACGTGGGGCTCAAGAGGGATGAGCTTTTGGAACTGCTCTGCCAGGTCTCGCAAATCCACCTCCAAATCTGTCTCACGCCGAGCGACCCGAGCGATAACCTTTTCAATATGTCCAAGGTCATCATCAAGCTTATCACTCTTCTCCTTGACCTCCAAAAAGCGACGATCCGGACGATGCAGCTTGGTAAAAGCATTGATAAAGGTATCCGCAAAGTTATCAAATACACCCGCAGATCCAGGATCGCTAGCAGAGCTCACGCGCGAACCACGAGTGCGCATGGTAGCGTTCCAGTCAGGGCTTTCGAGGAAAGTGTGCAAGATCGGGGCACGGCGGAGCGTAGGGTGCAGGGACAGACGGATCAGGAAGCGCTGGAGAGAGTGGGCGCGGCGAGCGGTAAAATCAGAGCCGAAGCGATCGCCGCGGACGTACTCCATGCGCTGCTTATCGGGCAGAGGAGGGACGGCGGCGGCGGGGTATTCTTTGGTGAGCTGTTTGTAGAGGAAGACAAAGTCTGTGAAGCGACGGCGGACGGTGGTAGTTGAGCGTGCGAAGGAGGAGAAGGTAGACTATAATTGTAAGTATCGCTGCATATAACGCTGACGGAGTGTACGTACGTTTGTGGTGATGAGGTAGGAGACAAAGGCATCCTTGGTGCCATCATTTTCCTTAATAGGCGTATCAACAGTACACTCCAGCTTCTCATTGCCCAAAGACGGAGCATCTCTTTCAAGACCAGTACCAGGCGCATTCATATCATGCCCAGGTTCCTCAGCGGGCGGTACCGCGCGAGTCTGTTGATCATGGACGTGCTCGCTCCACGAGACGTTTGAGAAGTCATCTTGTTGTTGTTCCATTGCCGTCATTGCAGTCAGCGCGAAACCAATCTGTCAAGTCGCAACGTTATAGCGAGGGGAATTGATTGCGAACGTTGTAGGTCGAGAGCAGTCGTGAGGTCAAGGTAGGTGAAAGTGGGCGGAGTTGGCGGGAGTTGAAGCTTGGAGGATGCTAGGTTGAGTGGAAGTGGTAAGTTGACGTGGGGAGCTGGGATAGATGTGGCGCAGGGACCACTTCTAGATAGAGAGGGGCTTGGAAGCTTACAGACGGAAGGGGATTGATAGAGATGTAGATGCTTTAAAATTTCAGAAAAACACTCTTAATTTTGTTCTGAGCTCGAGTAACTCTCACAATATCTACTGACTCCTGATCCTCACTTATGGTGGCTGTAGTGACGACTCTTAATCTCCCCTCAAGTACCCCTCTATCAAGATCTACGTCCGCAAACGATGACGCAGCTTAGCCAAGGGTCTCACAGGCATCAATTAACTTAGCAGACAGTTCAAGGACACACCAATTGAGACCAAAAATGCTCACGCTCATATGCAGAAAATTATATATACAGATAAAATCATTCAGTGGAATCTATTGCTTCCCAGCCTCGAGAGTGGTCTATCCCAAACAAGTAATACTGGTCCTCTCAATGCTGGGCCCAGTTATTGATACAGCGCCTTTCCCATCCCGCCTTGATGCCATACCATCCCATACAGTCATACATATGAAACAACACTCCCAAGTCATGGTACATAAAGCCAAAAGGCTAGTTTCTTCCTCAAATCTCCCTCTACTTCTGCTCCTTGGACGAACCAGAGCTGGCCTGGATCTCCTGCTCTAGTGACTTGGCAGTCTCGGCGGCCTTGGCCAGCTCGATCTCTGCCTCAAGCATCTCGCTAACTTGCTTCTTGCCGAGACCCTCAGCTTGAGCCTGGGCGAGTCTCTCCTCCTTCTCATCGATATCATCTGTGTCACGAGGAGTGGCGAAACCGGAGCTTTGACTAGCCTGGTCCTGCTCTGCTTCATCCTCAATGAGCTCTTGCTGCTCTCGGATAACCTCGAGTCGCTGCTTGTTAGTGGCAGCACCCTCAGCGCTGTGAACCTCAAGCTCGATCTCGTGGTACAGCTCCTCGGGAATAGCAGACATGACACCAATAAGAGCCTCAACCTGGTTGTGGCCCTCGCCGGAGCCTTGGCCGTACATATAAGCGTTGCTCAGGACAAGGAGTGTTGATGGGACGCCCTCCTTGAGACGGAGGTCGAGCCAAGTCTGGAGGTCGCCTCGCATACGGGCAGGGGAGACACTGTGTGTTCTGATACCACGAGCAGCACAAGCAGCCTGGAGCTCAGACACGGTCAAGCTGTCAACACCCTCGTAGCTAATGGCCTTGTCGTCGCGCTTGATTTGACGCATGCGGTGACGGATCTGGTATCGCAGCATCATGTCAGTTCCAAAGGTGCTGAGGTTCATGTACTTGCACATGGACACAAGCTGGGGTCTTGACAGGTTGTCGAGGGTAAGATCATCACGGAAAGCCTTGCAAATCTTAATAACATCCTGAGCAGTAGGTGTCTCGCCTGTTGCGCGCACTTTGCGGAAGAAGTTGGAAAACTCTTCCTTTTGTGTTGTTGCTTGGCTTAGTGGTAGACCCTCGCCGAGTGTTTGTCTCAAGAATTCGCTGACCTCCTTACGTGTTGATCGGAGGAGAGTAGCCTTGGCCTCCTTTGACTTTTGTCCCTCGAACGTGCTAGGAAGCATGTTGGGGAAGAGCTTGAGGGCGAGGGGTAGAAGTGCCTCACCCAGGGGCACGATAATGAAGACGGAAAAAGGCACTAATCGACCGAGATCCTGGACCGTTCGCTGTAGCTGCTTGTTCTCACGACGGGTGAGCTCGTATCCGGCGGCCATCTTGAGGGCCAATCTCCAACTGATCTTGACCTCAGCAGCGAGTAGCTTAGATCCATCCCAGTAGTGGTGAGCCTCCTTCTTGACCTTTTCCCAGAGAGTGAGCTTCTTCTCCTCCTTGGCCTTTTGGGCAGCATCGGACTTTTCCATCACACCCTCGTTGGTACCCACGACTTGTTCTGTACCAGCCTTGGGGCTAGCTGCAGCATCAGCAGGCTTTAGGACTGAGGTCTCGTTGGGATTCTTCTCAAGCATCTTGTCCTCCTTCTTGGCAACCATGGAACCGCTGGCATCTTTGGGGAGAGGCTTCTTAGCCTGCTCGGCATTGAAGCCCGGGGGTGGGCCAGAGCTGGAGGGATCGGGTCGGTGATGATCGGTACTCATTGACCGCGGGATCAATAGAGCGATGGCGGGGACTTTGGCATGTCGACTGACGTGGCGACCAAGAATGGCAGGAGTAACACCTCGAGAGAGGGCCCGGGCTTCGGTGGGTTAGCACAGAAGACAACAAGAATCGGTGAAAAAGGCGGTGCTCACCATTTCCCATCAAGGGGTTCCGGGCAACCGCTCTACGAGCGACGTTGGAGGAGGCGCTCATGGCGAGCTGTGGTGGATAGTGGATGAAGGTTCAGAGGTGGCGGATACGGTAGTAGCGTATAATTTCTTGATGTCGGCGCAAGGTGTTGGTGGGTGTATCGATGTCGAGTTGTGAGTTGTAGAGAGGAAAACGAAAGAACAGAGTGTACAGAGACGAAGGAAGGGACAAAATTGGATGCAAAGTTGAGATTCTCCAAGCGAAGAGGCGTCGCCCGCTAATGGCGAAAGGGTGTGGTGTAGTAGTGTACAGTACAAGAATAGTAGATGGTTTGTGGTGATGGGATTGGATGGATGTCAAGTACATCTACCCATCCTAGCTCCGTCTCCCGCTGACCGGGGTTCGCCGCATCCGGGGCGGAACAACTGTCAGTCCGGCAGGGCTTACACTGATTGCATCCAATCCCTGTGCTCTGCTTGCGATTGACAGGGGGCTTGCGTCAACAGAATCTAGAAGAAACAGAAGCATTTGCGATCACGTGATGTCCGATAGTGCCGAGTGTATCCTTTTGTTGGGACTTGACACTCTCTTTTTTCCCTCCCCTGCATGTGAATGTGGCTCGGAGAATTGGTCTCAACAATGGCTAAAGCCCGATGTTATCCCCGCTACGTGTTTGCGTTTGTGAAGCAATTTTTCTAGAAATCCCGGGTTATTCTGCCGAGAGATTCTGCAATGGATGCAAGTCTCTCACTTATTTTCTGGCCTCATTTATGAAGGGGTTGCTTGCAGGCATAGGCTTAGTTGTCATAGCAGCATTGGCCAGTCGCCTCGGAGATTGTGAAACAATGTTCAGACGCTTTAGACTGTTTCTCCTATTGTTTGATTGGTTTCGAAATTGGACAATTAATTGAGTCAATTGTCTGCAGCAATGTCGCACGTCGTCTCACTCATGGTCTAGACCCAGGACTTTCACTGTTCAAAGCAGACCATTCTAGTTGTCACAATTTTAACCTGAAAGTGATGTCTGTTTCCGCCTTGTATGACTTGCAACCTACGGCATGATTAAGACATCAATACTATGCAACCTCATTAGGGTAAAAAGCAAGCCTAGCTGTGTACTTGCCACCAATATCATCGATGAGAGCATTAGACGTATTAATGGTATCAGAGTTATTGACGGTATCGTCAGTTGGAGCGATGTCCTCACCCTCAGTACTTTCAGTCATACCTCCGTCGGTGGATGACGCGCTGCTGCGGCGCTTTCGGGTTCTGATACCATAGCATCAGGTATTCAAGCATAAAACCCAAAGTACTCAGGCCATTCCATGCGTCTTGAGCGTTGAAATCATGATATGAGGTTGAACAAATTGATTCAAGACACGGTTTATGTAGACGGGCTACCGGGTAGGAGAAGGCATTCCTAGAATTTTGTGGTACTAGGTAAGAAAAGAATCGTAACCACTGGTCTGAACCAACACAAAGAGTTATCTAAATGATTTCATCTCTGAGACTCTTTAGCTAATTCTTCTAATACCCTGTCGGCAAACACGCGATACCTCTGATGTTCAAGTCACAACAGTCCTCAAACATGGTAATAGGTAATACACAGACAGATCATATTTATTAAAGCTCTCGAGGTAAGCTATATCATTATCATCTCACATCTCATCTATCCCACTAGGAACTGTCACAAACATCCTTATACCGCAATCCATGTCCATACTTGAACAATAGCTCTCCATCAAAAGCCACATCCTCCTTCTGCGCATCAGCAGCAGCCTGAGAAACTGGCAGACCAAAAGGCAAGTGGCCCTCAGGACCCCAACCATCAGTGCCGAAAACAACATCGAGGAAGGCATCGTGACTGCTGCCGTAGCTAGCAAACAGAGCAGCAGCGTTCTCAGCGACTTCAGGGATCGCAGCGGCACGGTTGAGGCGGATGTCTACGATGGTGGGCAGAGTCGCGTAGATCTTGGCCTGGCGAGCCTTTTCTGTGGCGTTGTATTCGATGCTACCGTTGTTGATCATGGCAGGGAGACCGGGGGCGGTGGTGGGCTTGAAAGGTGAGGCAAGGCGGAGGAAAGCGTAGTCAGCGTCCTCGGGGTTGTCGACGACAGTCAGGTTGCGCTGCTCAAGAGCTTCTGGCTCCATACCCTCAACGTAAAACTTGGCATCAAGGGCAGCGAGAGGAAGAGGAAGGATGTCGTCCTTGTTGGTAAGCATAGTAAAAGCGCGGCGCTGGGTCTCGTTTCCAAGACGGCTGAAGTAGTCGTTTCCAGCAATGCGAACAGATCTTTCAACGTCAACAAAGGGGTTGTCAAAGAGACCGAGCTCAAACTTTTCCTTCATCAGTTTACGGACAGACTCATCAATGCGAGACTCTGAGACAAGACCCTTCTTGACGAGCTCGATGATAAGCTCGGGCTTGGTCTCTCCGCCGAAGATGTCACAGCCGGCTTCGATAACACGACGAGCACGCTCGAGCTCAGTTGCTTCCTCAAGACCCCAGAATCGGGTGGTGACAATACCCCAATCGGTAACGACAATGCCCTCGTAGCCCATCTCCTCCTTGAGAAGGTCGGTAACAACACCCTTGTTGAAACCGAAAGCGACCTCTTCCCATGAGGTATTCATAGGACGAGAGTAGTAGGGCATCATCTGTCTAGTTCCAGCAGCAATAGCAGCCCTAAAGGGGATCAAGTGATACTCGCGGTTGTCACCGGGGTAAGTTGCGTTTTTGCCCTGCTCGCTGTTAGACATCGACCACAACACCAGGAACTTCACTTACCCAAGGAAAATGAGAATCCTCTCCATTCTCCATAGCGCCTCCGCCTGGAAAGTGCTTCGTTGTAGCAATCACGGAGTGAGGACCGATCTTATCGCCTTGAAGACCCTTGATAGCCTCAACGACGAGGGCGCTGGTGAGGTTGGCATCCTCACCCATGGTACCCGTGATGCGGCCCCACCGAGGCTCAGTAGCTAAATCGATTTGGGGATGCAGAGCCTGTCGAATACCGACGGAAATATACTCTTCTCGAGCAATATCGTGGAACTGACGGACAAGTTGGGGATCTCGAATAGCAGCGAGGCCAAGGGGCTCAGTCCATCTAGAGAAGCCTTGGGCAACCACGGAAACAGCATTCTCATCAGTCCATCCACTAAAACATGTCAATTAGCATGTGAAATCTGAAAGGAGAGGTGTAACTTACTGCTGAGGGTCAGAAGAGATAGTGATGGGGATACCAAGAGGTGTGCTCAGAGCAAGTCTCTGAAGCTTGTTATACCAGTTTGCAACACCACGAACGTCATTGACACCACCACTCAGGACATACGCAGTGATGCGCTTGTCAGTGACGAATCCTTCAATGGTCTCATCAAAGGTGTTGTTGACAACGACGGTACGAGCGTGGAACATCTGACCAGCCTTGTCCTCAAGGGACATGCGAGACATCAAGTCATCAACACGCTTGTCGATGCATAGAGTCTTGTTTCGGTAAGGAGGATTGGCATCTTGTCGAACGATCGGATTTGCGATGCTCATGGAGACACCTCCTAGGAGGAGAATACTGGACCACATTGTGAAGTATGATGGGAGTGAGGGCTAGATGATTGAGTCCTTGAATCTGTACAACAACATGGCTGATCACTTCATGTTATATACACGAGATCGTGAGCCAAGCTCTCATATCCAAGGTCTGGCATCTCATCGTGTTAGTCGAGTTAGGTAATTCATCCCATCATCAGTCTCTTCATTCGGACCGACCGTCATGATCCTTGCCTGCTTAAGTCTAAACTCTGAACATGAGATTCAATGTCGTAGTTATACGGATTGTGATTCCCTTGGCCGAATGGGGTACTAGAAAGGTTGGCCGTCCAAGCATAAGAGACAAAATAATTAGGTCAGTTTAGGTCAATTTAGTCCACTGTAGATCAGAGCTTAGACTACTTATTAATGACACCCTAAACTTGGACGTCACCTTTTCTTAATACCCAGTATACGGGAGACATAAAAGTTCCTCATCTCAACATCGATCCAATGACGATGCATCCCGACGGACCTTCGCCTACATGCTGGCTAAACGTCGGAAGGGTAAGTACGTAAAAAGAGAAGATTTTGCAATGCCAAGAGAGTAAAACCTGGTGGTTTGACGGAAATACGTGACTAAACGGGTGAGGGTTCGCATGACCCTACCATAACGCGGGGATAATCTGGGGACTGCATGCTCTAAACCGTTTAAACATGCGGGGAGCTATACAAGTTTTCGGCCCTTTTTATTAAATCCCATGACTCCAAATCTCGAGTGTCCATGGAAAGAGAACAGAGGCATACCGCTTGTCCCGGTGGACTTATCCATGGATATCACGTAACGAGTACCACTGGCAGTGGATGTTCTTTCAGCCAAGACCTAGAACAAATGGAGACAACATCAGTCACTGTTAATATCATTGCTGGAATTACTCTTGACAGTAATTCCAAGCACAAACTTGAGGTTGGAGAAAGGTTGTCGGCTTGGAGACGATCCACCGTCCACATTCCGATGCAACTCTAACTTATTCCAGCTACGATCAATATGGGTTTATATTCGCTGATCATGGATGCAATACGACACCCCACGATTTGAACCTCGGGAAGTGGTCACGGCAATTGAGAAGAGACGAAAAGTGACTCGTTCAAAAGCATGTTATGTCTACCTATCTCACGAATTGCTTCACTCACAATTCCATTGTTTAGTATATTTGTATGTATGTAAATTACTTGCATGTAGTCAAGTATCTTATTGGACATTTAACCATGTCAGCATCAAATCAGGAAAGTAAGCAACTTATAAGTGAGCACTGTGGTAAGTCAAGGAACGCACAATTGTAGTCAATTGTTGCATAAAAAGAAGCTTGAAAATGAATTAAGCTTAATTGGGGTGACGTCGTTCATCCGAAGACTAAGCTCGGATGTCGGCTTGACTGTGCGTAGAGGAACCTCGGGACAATGCTTTACACCGTCACCAATCTAGTGACACATATCCGTAGATTGCTCAATTCGACTTCATGCAGGTCTTAATCCATGCCCCATTCATCCAAACCTCAATGACTCGACTCAATTCATTGCCCCAAGTTATAGAGGACTGGCTATGTGTCCGACATTGTCCGATTGGAGAAGCAGGGTTCTTGACAATGGAGGAGGCCCAAGCAAGTTCCTCTTACAGTTTCAATTCTTGTATTTTTAGTTCCATTTGCTACTAAAAAAGTCATGGAAAGGCCCGTACAAAAAAAGCAATTGTGTATAGATCACACTTGAACATTCGTTAAATCAAGGGATAACCAAAGGTCCATCTTCCACTCTCCCACTCCTGCGTTTCGCCGTCTCTCCCGGCGCCTTAGATCTCCGTGAAGAATCCTCAACACGATTCCATGCCGTGGCCATCAAGTCGGCGGTGATACTCGAAACGACACGGGCGTTGAGTTCCTGCTGCTCACATCTGTCCTCCTCTTCCAGTCGGGCTATTTCCTCTTTACCCATATTCTGGCGGCGGAGGCTCTTGATCTCATCCATGATGTGCAGCAGGACGGGTTCTGGACAGCGGTTTCGCTCTGCTGCATGTTCCGCATTCTGAACATATCGTCGTGTGACATCCGTAGCGCCCTCAATAGAGAAGGCTATAGCATAACCAAGTTTCTTCCTCCAGGCTAATTACAAAATGTCAGTGTTTATTCATGTCTTGAGAGATTAGGTAATGCATCAGTGCAATGACTTACCTTGGGCGTATAGACCTGGGAGATCAAAGGCTTCCTCGCATGGGTCAACGTGAACCCATCTCTTCTTATGTTCCGAGTACACCTCGGTCCACTCATGGTCCTCGCTACTCCATACCCATCGGACCCTGGCGCCCAAAGCCCGACAGAACATCGTAAAGCAGTTTGCCCACTCACCGACTCGCCCTCTTCTAGTTTGAAGAAGCTTCCAAACGTCCGCATATCGAGGAAATCGTTCGTATGTTTGGCAGTCGTCCTTCAAACATCTGTAAAGCTCGACACGATGAGCCCCGCAAGCTGACTCTTCGGGGGTTGGTGCAGTCATCCCCATTGCAATGGTTGAAGACAAGCATATAGGACATGCTGGATTGTTTACCCAAGTGAAAAACGAGCGTTTGAACCATCGCAGCATCGCCCGGATGAGGCAGTCACTGTATCCCCACTCGGGCCGTCGTCCATCGCCAAATGACTCTGCTTCGGCTTGTAATATCATGCTCTCTTCTTCAGCTTCACTGTAGAGACTCGCTAGCGGGATGCTATTCAGAGCCTCGTCGAGTAATCCTGGGTTCTCGTATTTCGTCGGGGTCAAAGAGAGGGATATCATAAGCTTACGGAATTTTTGGGAGTCCCGGTCGTTCAAGTCCGGAGGCTGGGGAAACAGAGGTGTCCGCACTCGTCCTCGGCTTTGGGGTGACAGGAGTAATGCTTTTCCAGTGTCAGTTGCAGTATACTGCGGAACCGACTTTCCATCCGTGGGCGGACTATAGGGCGGAGTTGTTTCATCCTCAGTAGATGGAACTGCTTGTTCAATTGCTCGCCGGGTAATCCTTGACTGCTTCAGTTCACCCAATAGTCTGGTCTGCCACTGCTTCTCAAATCGGCTGCTTAAGTTGCACATCCACTCGTGGCTGTGCTCCGATGGTTTAGAAGAGGATGCTGTAATGGACTTTGTATGCTGCAGGTTCGTAGCAAGGTCTAGTTCTTCATTATGGGATGCGGCCCCGGTGAGGGGCAGACGAGGACGATGCTTTACTCGTGCTTCGATGTCTTCGAATATGCGTGCAAAAGGTATTACAATTGCAGCACCCGAATCCGGGGACCCAGCCACAATATGTCCATACAAGTTCCCAGACTCGGCGTCGATGACCCAGGAGCCACAGTCCCCAGGTTGTAGTCGCGAGTCCAAGAGGACATTATAGACATCTTGGTACAGACTGCTGTTAGGGAGGCGGGCGTACAGGGGAGTGCCTGACATGACTCCTGTAAGCGTTCCTCTCGAGGTAGAGGCCAGAATCTTGACGTCCTTGGGGCCGTCTGTGACAACATGCTGAATCGTGGCTTCGCCCTTTGCAGAAAAGGTTGAAGGGTCGAATTTGTTCGCGGTGCAGTGAATGGGCGTGGTCACCTCGATCAGGGCGTAGTCGAGATCAGAAGGTGATTCGTCGAGGGAGGGCAGAAAGACGTGTCCCAGAGGTTGTAGGGGCAGGAACGTGCTCGGCGAGGGTCCTTCTTCAAGAACACGACGGCTCTTGCCTTGTGGCTCCTCTCGTGTCGCTTGCACATCTTGTATGCTCGGCGAGAGTGGTGGCTGCGGCATCCTGCCCTCAGTCAAACTTGCGTACCGCGGACTCATGGAGACATTGTTGGCTTGTGCCAACCAGTTTTTCTCACAAGCCGCCGATGCTACTTCGTCCACCTCATCTTCGTCGTCGTCAATCTCAAATTCGTCGTCGCTGTTCTCGTCCTCTGTGTAGCTCGGGGCCGTGTCTGGTTCGAACACATGACCTGCTGTGGTGTAGTAGAATTTATCCGACAACTGGATGATGCCACCGACAGTAGCTTGCTTATAACCAGTTCCGTCGTCCATGCTTGATTCAATGAACAACGGCATCCCGCATGGATTGCTCGCGAGGGATGCAAGGACAAGTCGTTGATCGGTGCCATCATCTGCCAATTGAACGAGCTGATTGAAGTCGGGCGGCCGAGCCATATGGGCCGTCTTGATACCAGGGAACTCGTTGAGAATGCCGCTATCCTTAATTGCACTTCTCACTTGCTTGCGATGCGCAACGACTTCGCAGCAAAACAGGATAGCTGGACTGGCAGTCTTTTCTGACTTGCCAAACATGTAGATGGACCATGTTACCCAGCTCGATACTGGTTCGTGTGACTTCTCAAGATAGGCCTTGATCTTTGGAGCCAGAGTCGCGAATGCGTCTCTCGCTGGGCCTTTGGCCACCCAGCATGACTCGCTGCCGACCTTGCCAACCTTGCCTATCAGACGGCCGACCGACAGCTCTGGTTCAGGCCATGCGAGGGGCCTTGTTGCCGACCTACCACTAAGTATGGCGATGCCAGTCTCCCAGGATCGCAGAGGGGACGTTACGATTTCCAGCGGCATGGCTCAATGCATTTCATGACTCCTTGTTGAAATCATGAGGAACATGGTTTCTCAAATGAGAATTGCCCCTCGACACGATGGATGGGATTCAGCCTTGAGTTGGGGGCTGTGTACAGAGGCTCATCGCGATGATGCGGCGTAGCATCCGCCAATTACAGATGCAGCTGTATGCATGATGCACTCGACAGGGCTGACTGCCTCGCCCGCCTTATAGTCCGCCAGCGTCCCGGAGCCTGATCTTTCGTGTAAACTAACCTTACCAGAAAACGGCTAGAATTGCGATCATGACAGACAAGACGGAGCTCGATTCGAGTCTGCTGGATCTCCCGCTGCCGCAACTTACCAGAGCAACAATAGCCAACGAGTACTGGGCCTACCAGCATCAAGACCAACACCTCAACAGTAGGGACTTGGACCTACAATCCTTTTGGACTTACTACAACAAAGAATGCACCAGGGCTCTTCACAATGGAGGGCGATACGTGGCTCTGCGATCGCACCGTGATGTAGTCGACTGCATCCGCAAACTCAAGAGCGGAATGCTGCGTCATGACATCAAGGAAGAGCTGCGAAAGAAACTCACATCGCCTCACGACAATGAAGATGAGATGCTCGACAACTCGATAGATTTGGCCGCCAGTCTGCTTTTGATGATGAGCTTCAGCAGCTTCGCGTACGGCTTTTCTGGCAGAAGTCATCTCCGTTGGAGTCATGGGTCTCTGGAGAGCTTTGTGTCAGCCTACTTTGATCCTGGAGCTCCTCAGGCCAAGGAGAATGTCAAGATGGAGAAGATCTTTACTGCGCGCAATCTGTGTCGTATCGCAGGCCTAGATATCGTTTGGACTGATAACTTGGTAGACCATCTCCGATTGATCGATGATGATCAGCGTGTGCACATCTTTCATCATGCTTCGTTCCTATATGCCCAACAACAGAGGTTCGCAATCCTTCACGACCACTCAATGTGTGAGTCCGCTGACTTGTCGTTGCAGTACCGACTCCCTACTACCCAAAGGTCTCGCGGACGAGACGTTGCAGACGCTGGCACTCCTCTTCCCATCCTCAGATGAGCAAACAAGGCATTGGTTCGTCAATCAGCCTCACGAGGGCGTTGATAGACGGGTTATCCAGTGTGGACAATTAAAAACAGACCATCGGCAAACTGAAAGGTTCAAATTTTGGAATGATCGTCTTGTCGTTTTGAAGCAGGTCTTTGACGAAGCGGAGCCGAAATCGTTGTCGCAATGGTGGCATGATAGGCGGAATGGCGTCCAATGGTACCGCTCCTCCAAAGCGAGCATTTTCATCTGCTAATACCGATCAACAGGTACACATTCTGGGTGGCCGTCCTTGTTCTTGTCTTGACGATATTCTTTGGGTTGGTGCAGAGTATTGAAGGTGCTTTACAAGTGTATGCCTCCTTCAAAGATATGAAAGACGACGAAACTCCAAGTACGCGTCACGGTAAATAGGCCATTGCTACTAAGAACATAAAAGACGAAATCAGCGAATAGGCTTTTGCCATTTCAGACGAGGTTTAGGACTTGTTAGCGTATCCTTAGACTACATATTATTATTATACAATATTACTTGAGGGTTTAATGTTAAAACCCAGTTACCCTAGAATACACTGTGTTAGCTATTTCTACAATGTTACCTGATTAGATAAATCCTAGATAGGCTTAGTCTAGAATTGTTCTCTAAAAGAGGAGAAGCTAGAAGTACGGATACATGACTTTAATAAATCAAGCAACGCTTACCGTACGACTTGACAATTCATACAGGTAGGTATCTATAACGAAACAACTCTTGTAATCTTTCCAGTTAAACCTTAATTAGGTATTGTCTTAAAACCACTACACAAGATCGCCATGGGATCTGGTCCATCAACTCTTTCTAGCAGCAGCCTTTGTAATACATGCCGCGGGCTCTGTGAGAACGGTGCCGGATGGTGCTGGACGCCTGATGCTAGGGGCGAGGAATATCCTGTCTTCTATCTGCACCACCGTAGCCTCTCCACACTCTTTTCCAAAGCGAGGGCGGGCTGCGGTCTCTGTTCACTGTTTTGCACTGGCTTCGAATTAGATGAATGCGAGGCGCGTGCTGTCGACGATAGGTGCGAAACTGAGTCTGAAAAACGACGGATTTTATCAGATACTCGCCGCCAGGAAACGAATCTCATACAGCTCCTGGCTAACCCGCAGGATTATGTAAATCCCGCGGCAGCGGAATACTACGAACAATCAGACCTGGAATCTCTAAGGCTGATGTTTGGAAGAAGTCGTCTCATAATCAAGTGGCAGCCACAGAGACCCAGTAGTAAGAGCGATGCTCTGCCGGCATTCTTGTCCGTCAGCTGGTTAGGCTCGCCTGGAACAGCTATCGAGAATCCCAATACACTGCCTATTCGTGTTCTTGTCAAACACAGTAAGTAGAATATAATCGACTTATGGCATGCCCGCGTTTGGAGCTACGCTGACTCTCACCCCGTTTTAACTTACTGGAGCTAACTACTTGCCCGATATCTCAAGACGATCCTCTGAAGCGTTTTGCAACACAGTGCGGGATTCTGCCTGAGGAGAATCTCCTCTCGGAAACTCATATAAATCGAATCTCCCATTGGCTCCAGACCTGTTCAGAGCGGCATGAACACTGTCCAGGGAACAATGAAGCAAAAGAACTTCCCAAACGTGTGATCGAGATTAATTCCAACGAACCGCAGAGTGTAAAACTTGTTCATACCAACCCCGGTGATAGAGCAATTTATGCGTGCCTCTCATATTGCTGGGGCCATGGGGGTCAATATTGCACATATAAACACAATATCAAGGACCACCTGCAGCACATCAGTGTCTCTGATCTTCCTGCCGCTGTGGCAGATGCCATCCGACTTTGCCGCGCCTTACAGATTCCATACTTGTGGGTTGATGCCTTGTGTATCATCCAGGACGATGAGGTGGATTGGAGCCGGGAGGCGGCAGCAATGGCACGCATCTACGGCTCTGCAAACCTTACGATTTCGACACCTAGTACAACCTCCTGCTCTGAGGGGTTTTTGGTCCGTGATGTAGGTAGCCGCTCCAGCTTGGACTGGATCCATCCGCATTCAAGGACTAAAGGGGTTGTGACAATGAGAAGCTGGAGCGAGCCCACGTTCGATCGGTCACCGATAGATGAACGAGAAACCCCGTGGATGCAACGCGGCTGGACCCTCCAGGAGTGGGTGTTGTCTCCGCGTCTCTTACACTGTGGTAGTACTATGACAATGTTCGAGTGCCTGCACGGCAGGTGTTATGAGATATTTCCAGACACCCCCGAAGGTCCCTTTGTTGTGTTTGGACGGCAACATCACAACGGAGCACCTCCACCAAAGCTAATAGATCATCAAGTTGAGCCTGGGCGGATCTCCAGCGAAACAGCCGTTGAGGCAAATGGGATGATCAGAATGTTCAAAAGCCTTGAATACTGGAATGACCCTAAGGCTCGGCCAGTGATATCGTGGGCGGCCATTGTCGAGGAATTCTGCAGACGTCAACTCACCCGCGACACAGATAAGCTCTCTGCCTTGGCAGGTCTGGCCGCCGAATTCCGGGCGTATAAGCGCATTTGGTGCCCAACTCAGCAACAATGGGACTATTTTGCCGGGCTGTGGTGGTGCGGGAACTCGATGGTTGGGCTGACAGGTCACGATGGAGAGTTACCAGGAGCACTCCTCTGGAGGGGAGCGACTCACCTATCAAACCCGTTGTCTACACCACCAGTGTACCGAGCCCCGTCTTGGAGCTGGGCGGCCGTCGATGGACCTATAACATTTAATAAAGGAGTTGGTGACAACAAATTGGAAATCCTAGATGTTGTATGTCACCACGAATATCCTGGCTCCTTCTCCTCGGTAACGACTGGCTGGATCGATGCACACGGACTAATGAGACGCGTATGGCCAGTTGGACGCACTCTTAAAGACAAACCTAAGGGATTACGCTGTCAGCCGGAGGGCAAAGGGGAAGCCCAGGATGGCAAGATGTGGTATGCGGACTTTGATAACGCACACATCGATAAGCTAAGAGAGTTCGAGATCTTCCTCCTACTTGTCGAAACATGCAACGACTTACCAGGTATGTATAATTCAAGGCATACCGCTCTGATATTAAGACGGGTTGAATGTAAACAAGGATGCCTTTTAGATTGTTTTATTCGCCTGGGCCTTGCCCTGGTCGATTATGATTCCATGGATTCAAACCATAACACCTTACTTAAAGACTGGAAACTTCAAAAGCTCCGACTGCTTTAGATAATGAGTTCCTTAATAATAGCATATATATTAAACCTATTCATTTACGAAGAATTTACAAGTACGCATTACTTTAAACAGACTACTACTACTAAAACATGGGAGACGAAATGAACGACCATTTATCATTTGAGAGCAGTTTTAGACAGCTGGTTTAGCGCATCTATAAACTAGAGGCAGGGAAGCATGAATAGTGTCTTCCTGGATCTAATTCATGACTATTATCAACGCCATAAATAGCTGAAGAATAACACTTCAATCGAATCCGTAATAAATGAAAGCCAGCAGTGACGCCATTGTAAGTTACGGCTCTATGATAACCGCGGCCGTGCCCACCTTGATCATTGAATCTTGTCCTACCCTATGGCCGATACGACCACGGGTATGCACCGTCATTGCTCGTGCCGAGGTGCTTCTCCTCAAGCGTCAGCCACGGATTTGGAAAATCCGGGGTGCTTGGAAATCGAATTTGACTGGTTGGTAATCGTAGCACGTGCTTGGAATGCCGTTAATAAGAATAACGCCAACTTGTTTCGACGACACCCTCTTCAATATCATGACTGTCGATGTACTGTCAGCTTGTGATTCAGAGTAATTAATGCCAAGGGCAAAGGGACGGGGATACGGGAGTTATTGATGCGGATGGACGGCGCCAAGAAGAGCCTGCACCGTTTCCCCAGATCGACAAGATGACAGCCAGAAATGAAACGGGATATTCGCACATTTCTTCCGATCTTATTGTGATATTCCGGACTTAGGGCGAAATGCCGTTGTCACCACTGCTGCTCTGCCACATTTCCCGGCCTCCGAAATGCCCCGGTGAAGAAGAGGAAGTCATCAGTGAGGGAATCTCATCATCAGAGGCCGTTTCGGTGTCGTCATGTTGCACAACTGTAAATTCATTGTGATACTGTAAGAATCTGGACTTCTCCAGACTCAGCAGAAGCCAAGGCCAAGCGCAAGCGGCAAGCCACGGAAGCGACTACCGTGCCCACCCTGACGACCGTTCCTGCTTCGCACGGTCCCACAACCATCTCAACGCCGTGATCCATGGACCTGTACTTCTTCAACAGGCAAACAATTGGTGGAATGGCAAGTACCACCCATGCGCCTCGAACTCTCAACACCAACACCATCTTTGCGCCTTCTGTCGCCCTATCTTAAAGCCCCCCCACTTCCAACCTTCCAACCCATCCTCAACTCATCTCTCTCCTCCTCATCCTTCACTTTTTTCTCTCTCATAATACTGTCCGAATCTAACGACCGCTTCTCCCATTAACTCTTCTATTTCTTATATCTTTTCGCCTCAAAATCCTGCGCCTATATAATTATTCTCGTCCCTCCGATTTCGGTTTTACTGGCTCAACAACTCCCCGCGCCAGCACCGAGTCATCGTACCATTGACCTCAACAAGAAACGTTAAATTTGCAACGACATTTGGACGCATCACCAATCAAACACAGCGCTTTTGGTCACGCAGCAAGCTTAAATCTTACGCCAAGCTTGCTCTTCAATTGCCCTTTACTCGCGACGGCCTCATCGTTACAGGTCGCCTAGAATGAACCTGAACAAGGCCGCTCGAGTTATCCTCTTTGGTGCGCCTGGCGTTGGCAAAGGAACCCAGAGCGAGCGCTTGCTCTCTCGTTTCCCTCAACTCAATCAAATTAGTACCGGTGATCTTCTTCGTCGAAATGTCAAGGATAGGACACCACTCGGTAAGTTTTTGGATCAAACCCCTCCATGACGAATGCTGACAATTTCCACAGGCATCAAGGTTGAGAGCACCATGAAGGCCGGTGGTCTTGTGGCCGACGATTTAATTCTACGACTTATTTCCAACGAATTCAAGACTCGTGGCTGGCTTGCCAAGAATGGTTCAGATGTTATGACCCTTTCATCCGAAGCAACAGCAATCGAGCACTCTTTCAACAACAACGCTGGCGTCGAATCTTTCATCAACGCTGCACCTTTCCTCGACGGGCACAGACCATCCGAAGCCTCAAACGACCCCTCAGCTTCGTTCATCCTTGACGGCTTCCCCAGAACAGCTTCCCAGGCCGGACCTCTCGACAAGCTTATTCCCATCAACCTTGTCGTCTCACTCAAGACACCTGTTTCTGTAATTCTCGAGCGCATTCTCGGACGTTGGGTCCACGAACCCTCCGGCCGTGTCTACAACACCAGCTTCAATGCGCCAAAGGTCCATGGACTCGACGATGTCACCGGCGAGCCCTTGATTCAGCGACCCGATGATTCCGAAGAAGTCTACCGCGCTCGATACAAGAAGTTCACCGAAACGAGCGAGCCTGTTCTGAACCACTACGCCCAGAAGGGTGTGCTTGTTGAGATTGAGGGCATGAGCAGCGATGAGATCAGCCCTAAGCTATTCGCCGAGTTTGAGAAGCGCTTTGTCTAAGAAAAAGAAAATACCCTACGGTTTCAAGACGTTATGTTCTAGTATATGATTATTTACTTCGTTCGTTTTTGGTTTAGCTTTTATTTTGGTTTCTATAGGAGTTTATCGCGGCGTGGAATGCTGCTGATGGAGTTGCAAAAGACAGGACTGGCTGTCCTTGTCAGATGGCGCCAAATGATGGAAGGAGTTGTTTGTCCCCAAGGACATGGTGGCGATTGTGTATGGGATTGTTTGCTTCGGACTGGACTGGTTGAGCGCAGGAAAGGGCTCATGGGCATTTGCCTGAATGATATCCACACATCGACCCCTTCTTGATTCGCATCGCAAATGTGATTGACACTGACACTAAGTGACTGGATTGGATTGAATCTCATTGAGATTGCTGTAAGAAAGCCCCGCTATGTATACATATCTTAACTCAAAAATCATGGCTCACCATGGCCTTTCCATCTCTTCTAACTCAATTCCATGCATCGCATTCAACGTTTCACCATATGGCAAATCGAGTCGTACCTTCAAGACATTCTAAATAAACAATCCGTCATACTCCGTCCGAGTTCATCCTGTAAAAGCTTGTAGGGAAATGATAAGCTGAGCTTGTAAGCGTCCCAGCTTAGTCGCGCCAACCCTCGCCGCCCTGGAGACCGCTGGGTTGACCTTCTGTTTGACCGGGTCGTAGAGGTGTGTTCTCGTCTTCGTCGTCGTCGAGCGCGCGCGCAAGCTCATCGGGATCCTGCGTCTTGGCATCAGGGTCAACGGGGCCACCGAACTCGTCGTGGTTACGGTTGTGTCGCTCCTGCTCGAGAACGCCGTCGTCTGCGCTGACTGAGATACCACGAGCTCCCCACTTGGGACGAGCCCCGCGCCTGTTACCACCCTGGTCATCGTCAAAGCCACCAGGACCGCTCTCCTCGTCATCGTCTTCGTCGTTGACGAAGCGCTTGCCGAAGATGCGACGGAGAAGCCAGCTGCGGCTCATGTCGTCAGCGTCAACGATACCGCCGCCACGGAGCTTGACGCGCTGGCGGGTGTAGTAAACCCAGGCAAAGTCGATGTAGAGAGCTGTCTGGATGACACCGAAGATGACGGAGATGACGTTGGGGCCTCGGCCGTGCATTTCGAATTCGCGGATGAACCAGTTGATGCAGTAAAGAGCGCGGTAAGAGCCGAGTGCGACGAGGTAGAAGGAGTCGATAACGGTGGGGACGGTTGTCTGTCTCAGGAGGAGAAGCTGAGGGAGGACGCAGACGGATTCGAGGATTTGGGAAAACACCCACATCCACTAGGAGACGTTAGCATTGCTTTGATTTGGCGAGTTGTAGGACGTACAGTCTGGAAACCTCGATGCTCAGCACCCTCAAAGATGAACATGACGATAGGCGACAGAATGAAAGAGCCGCCAAGAATAACGGCACCGATCTTCCAAGACATCTCACGCTCGCGGGATCGAGGGTAGATCCATTGCATAATAGCAAGAATGTAAATCGAGGAAAGGATGTAAAAGATCTTGAAGACGATGTTCCACGGCACACTCTCCCTGAACAGATCGAGGTATCGGGTGCAAAAGACCAGAGCGTAAAGCACCTGGGTAATAAGGGAGACACCCTCTGCACTGCGGTTTCTGTGGATGGCGAAGATGAGGATGCATTTCGAGAGGGCGTGGGACAAGTCGCCCAGAACACGGAAGAGCTACAGAATGTCAGTCAGTCGCTGATGTTTAGAGTGGTTGTGTCGCAGCGTACGTTCCACGCGCCCATTGTCAAGGGCGGGTTGCTCAAGAGTGAGCTATCGAGAGGAGGTTATCGAGTTGGTGACTTGCCCGCAGCAAGTAGAATTGATGGCGATGGAGGGAAAGATGAAGAAGACAAGTTGTCGAGTGGTGCAGTTGTAGGGGTAGCTTAGGCAGCTCTAGCTTGGATTGGTGATGCGATACGGGAGGAAGAGGTGGAGTCGTTTCGCCTCGGAACTGGGGAACTGGGGGCCTGGAGCTTGCGTCAGTGCTGGTGCTGGTCCCTTGCCTTAGGTGAACCTGAAAGTCAACGTCAACCTCTCGGGGGTATTTCAGCCACGGCGGTTACCATTTCCGGTCAGCTGCGCCTCAGAGAGATGCATGCCTAGAATACCTAGATATTATTGCCTAGAAGTTGTAGATAAAAATATTGAACTCTTGATGTTTCAACATCCTTCAATTGTACATGTATCATTGGTGACGCGGATCTAACGGGATGTGGTGAGATCAGGGGTTGTACTGTAGGGGCTGTAGCATGGGCCACCAACTGAATGAATGTTTGTACAATGAATCGCTGAAACTGCCGTCGAAACTCAACTTTCTTTGCCTTTACACTGGACTCAATTGCCTTGTTGATTCTCTTTCACATCATTTTATCAAGCTTTGCCTTCAATAATATTCAAACGCTTTGACTTAGACGTAGCCGTTGGATATCACTGCCGCTCTAACTCAACTTGCTTCCTACAACTCTTCCCTTCATCTGCCCCTGCGGATCCAGGCGAAACATCCTCAATCCAGTCCACGTCACCTCACGATTATACCTGACAGCATCCACTGTCTCAAGCATCAGTTAATTCAAGCTCACGATGAGGTTATCGGCCTTCTGCGCCGTGCTTTGGCTTGCCTGTGCCACCGCTCTAACGGTACCTAATGCCGAAAAGATTGAGAAGAAGCTAGCGAAAAGAGACGATCCTCCACGAAAATACTGGCGTAAGTTACCAATTAGCCCTGATCTTCTTTGATAGTGAAGAGTTTTTATTAACAACTACTAGATGAGGCTCAGTAAGTGTTGTACTGCAAATTATATCCCATTCATGTACTTACGATAACGCCAAGAGGCCATCTACACTATATGGGCAAGTATTTTGACGAGGCTCTTGAACCAGCTGCCCAGAATGCACGCATCAAGGTTCTCATGCAGACATACCTAGCGACGATGCGAGATCTAGGAGTCCAAACATGGTTAATGCATGGCTCCTTACTCGGTTGGTGGTGGGGAAAGAAGGTGAGAAACTCAACGTTCAACGTCGTGAAATCTTCTAACCAAGCCACCAGGTTATGCCATGGGACTTGGATGCCGATGTCTCTATGACTGAAGCGGACATGTACTTTCTTTCCGCCTACCACAACATGACCATCTACTACTACCAATATGATGGGTGCCCGGATGGATGTTATTTCCAGCTGGAGTTAAATCCTCACTTCAAGCATCGTGGGAAGGATGACTGGAGGAACGTTATTGATGCTCGCTGGATTGACATGCAGAATGGGTTGTTTATTGACATTACAGCTGCACGATATGACCCTGGGCATAAGCAGGGTGAAGGAGTCATGTACGACAAGAATGATCATGAGTTCAAGGTATGCCTTTAGCTGTTTCGGAGGAGCTTGGACTAAGTTGCGATTAGGACAAGTACATATTCCCACTTCTCGACACTACATTTGAAGGTGTTCCCGCCAAGGTTCCCTATCGGTACCAGCAAATGCTTGAATCAGAATATGGCAAGGCAGCTGTATTAAAGACCGACTATAATGGGTATGGATCAAGGTATTCTGTTTGTGCAAGTCTTGGGCTAACAGGGAATTAGGTACCGATTCGACACACAGAGGATGCAATGGTTCCCTATGAACTGAGGGAAGGTTTACGATGGAAAAGCGTGATTTTGGAAGTCAGTTTAGTCCTGTTGAGCAGGACATGTATCATGGTAACGATAGAAATAGAATGGATCCAATATGCGGCACAGCGCAGGGTGTCAGAAGAATTGGCCGTCATAAGCATACCTAAGAGACGAAATAATTTAGTGATCTTATGCCAGTTTAAATAAACACTTAGGTTACTTTATTTTGGTAGACTAAGCCTTAGACGATTGAGTTTGTTTACTTTAACGCTGGATTGCTAAGAATCACATTTTTCTACAGCTGTATAATGATCGCTTTACGTTGTATATTTTCAGTAATCGATTGAGCGATTGTAACTCCTTTTAACAAGTATTTAAGATGTTCATAAGAGACATGATTGTTGTCATGATAGTCATGGCTTAATTGGATGCCCCGCTACTCCGGAACGCGTCTCCCCACACGCGTTAGCAGCATCTCAAACATTACTTCATCAACATCACATCGAAAAAGTTCAACCATAACACCACGACTGCGCATTCTTCTGACCGACCCCCAATCTGCGAGTATTGATGCGCCGTTAGATACTGACCACAATTATTCCCCGCCATGGCCACAGGCATGTCTTACTAGCCCCCAAACGACATGCATCAGACCCAATGTTAATACCAGCAACAGGCCAGCAGGGCCGCGATCAGCGGCTGCAAGAGCGTCTACGAGGTGCCCAGTACGAACAATCGACCTTAAATCCGAGTGAAATCGCTAATGCGACTACAGGCGCACGAATATTCAGGACGACTCTTTTAATCTCGACTTCAATCTCGATATTGCTGGCCTTAACATAGCCAGCTCGACACCCGCCGCACCGAAACCCGCACCGCTAGCATCATCAGCGAATACTTCTGCTAAGAGGAAGAGATTGGAGAACGAGCCACCTTCGTCGCAACGGAGTGGGAGAAGACGGTCGCCGAGAATAAGATCTGATGATCCTTACGACTTGCCTGATACATCTAAGGAAGAAGGCGCGCAGGACACTTCAGGCGAAGTTGAGGCGGAAATCGAAGAGCCCGCTATCGATGCGGTAGAGGAACCAGAAGCCGAACCGGAGCTTGAACCGGAACCCGAGCCAGAGGATGAGCCAGAGCCCGAACCAGAACCGGAGCTACCTAGCCCAGCGCAATCCAGCGAAGCGACAGAAGAAAATGAACCCGAGATCGAATTACCAGTTTTACCGAACGAGAATGGCTCCGTATCGGAAGCTAGACCTTCAAGTCGCAGAACTGAAGATGTCCAAAGTCCTCCAGAGGAAGCGCAAAACATGCAGATCGACGCTTTGTCCTCAACCACACGCATACATGCTGCGCTTGCAGAACAAGACAATGCACCTCCATCTTCGTCGCCACTCGCTAACAAAGTACGCCGAAGCGAGGGTCCTACGATAGTTCGATCGAGAATGTCCTACAGAAAAGCTTCGAGAGCTACAGAAGTTAGCCAAGATGGTGATGAGCCAGAGCAACCAGAGGCACCCGCAGATGATGAGCTCACAGAGGACGCCCCAAGCGAAGACGAACCAAATATCACGGCGGAACCAGTTGAAGAAGACGTTGCGATGGAAGACGAGAATACGCAAGAAGAGGAAGAAGCTGTCGCAGAAGCAATTGATGCGGTCGAAGCAGCCAAAGTGCTTGGTCAAAAACGTCCTCGAAGGAGCCCTCGAAGGAGTCAACCATCCCAATCGCCACAAGCCGAGCCTGAGGAACAGGCCGAAGAAGAGGAGCGAGCACCGAAGCGACGCCGTGGACGACCATCAGACAGCCCGGCGACACAGAGGCAACCGGCGGCTAAACCAAAGGCTACTGCTAAAACGAAATCGCGAAAGGGTGAAAAGCCCCTGCCGAAACAGGTGCGCAAAGCGAGGGAAGCTGAGAAAGCCCGTCGAGTCAGTGATGGATCAGCTATCGAAATTACCGTGCAGCGTTTTGTCAATTTTAAGAAATATGGCAAAGAGGCTGGAGAGGAAGATCAGCTTGCCGGAGATGTGCCGTTCACGATGAATGGAGAAACAGTCGTGGATGTCTTTTCGCAGGTCTGTCTGGAAGTCATTGATGGCACGGTCGCAAAGCTCTATGAGACGCTTAGCACTACAGAAGAAAAGGACAAGAAGAAGGAATGTCGGATAAAGATCCTGGCCCTCGAGGCGTATAAAGAGGAACTCAACGGTCGATTGCTTCAGCAGGCAATCCACCTGAACGATTGGCAGACACTCCGAAAGCGAGTCCGAATCGTGCAACGAGAGAAGCTGTCTTTACGAGAGGAGATCTTACGTCTCAAGGCAGAGAGAGAACAAGTTGCTCTAAGGATGGATGCAGTACGCATCAAGCATGAAGAAGATACCAAAGAGTCAAAGGTAAGTTACTATTGGTATTCTCTCAGCACTTGGCTAATCTCTACAGCACCGACTCGATACCTCTGCTACAATGCACGATGTAGACATGGCGGTAGAACGGGGACGAGATGCCCCTGAACTTTCTCGTGCGCAAGAGAAGAAGGCCGATCTGGCTAACCTTGAACTTCTTGTGGCACGCATTACTGATGAAGCCAGCTCAGCGAGCTCCGCAGGCGGAATGCTCCAACAGGTCAAAAACTTCAATGCCTTTCTTGAACGTGCAGCAATTGCTATGGAAACAAAGGGCAGATGATAAAGCACCACGACAGCAACGAACGAAACGTCTTTTTATAAACTCCAGGTCATCATATACTTTTTTAGTCTTGCTCGGCTCACTGGATCTTGGCCTTGCTAAAGTCCATCTCAGGGTGCTGCTCCTGGAACTTCTTGAGGATATCTGCCTTCTTCTGCTCGTCAGAGCTGGGAAGACCCTTCTCCTTCTGCTGCTGGTCGAACATCATCTTCTCAACCATGCCACGGGTCTCACCGTCGAGGTCCGACAGCTTGGAGTTGTCGGGCTGGATCTTGGTCACGTCGATCTTGGGAGCAGAAGTGACAACGTGAGGCCACCACTCCATCTTGTTGACCTTGTCGAGGTGGATCTCGACAGTCTTGGTGCCATCTGAGTTGGTGCTCAGAGTCCAGGTGGAGTCGTCAACGTGGACTGCGTGAGGAAGATCGCCCTGGGGTTGGGTTAGATCTGTAAGATATCATGGCTTGGAGAGTGATTGTTGTGTACATACCTGGATGATTGGATCCTGACCTTTGATACCCGCCTGTAGGCTCTGCTTCTTGATAGTAATGACAAGATCCCTCGACTTGAGGTTTCCGGGCACATCGAAAGTGACGTTGAGCTCAGAGATGGTCTGAGTCCACTTGTAAGGCAGGGCAGCTTGCTCCTGGGCCTCCTGGGCCGTGGCGGCGGCAGTCTCAGCGGGTGTAGGTTCTGTCATGAGTCAGCATGCTTGGAAGTGAAGCTGTGGAATGTCTCTTCTTTGCAGAGACTCTCATATCAACATAGTTTGGACATACCGTTGTCGGCCATTGTGATGAGTCGTTCAGTCGTGATATGTTCTGACAGAAGTCGATGGAAGCTGTTGGGTATGAGAGAAGGCTGACAATAATGGAGGGGCAGACTAGATGTGGGGCGATCTCTCCCAAAGCTTTGACCAATGGGGTAGTGACCGTCAAGCCTCTATCCCTGTACCTTCAGCCGTGCATTTGACATAACCACGACCTGATTATTAACGTTCATCAACAAAGCATCCATTTTCTTCTCCTCTCAATCTTCGCGTCAACACTCTTGCAGTCCGCCAAAATGTCTCGCGCGGGCGTTGCATTTCGCCAAAATGCAGACATCAAACCGACATCACCCGGCCAGGAACAATGTCCCGTCTGTAAGACAACCCGCTACTTTAACCGCGACATGGAGTTCCGCATCAATCCGGAATGCTACCACCCCATGTGCAAGACCTGCGTCGAGCGCATCTTTAAAGACGGCCCCAACCAATGTCCCACCGCAAACTGCCACAAAACACTACGTCTGCGCGGCTTCAAGACAGCGTTCTTCGCCGATTTGGCTGTCGAGCGAGAGGTCGATATCAGGAGACGAGTCGCGGCGGTTTTCAACAGAACGGAAGAAGAGTTTGAGACATTGGACGACTACAATGAGTACCTTGAGATGGTCGAAGACTTGACCAGCGATCTTGTCTACGGAAACGATGAAAAGAAGCGAAAGGCGGAGGCCAAATTGTCCGAGTGGGAAGCTAAGCACAAAGCCGACATCGAGCGCAACAGACGTCTAGCGCGTGAATCAGACGATGCCCGCCAACGCCGCATCGCAGCAGAAGAAGAAGAAGCGCGCCGCCGCCGCCTACTCGAACGACAAGAAGAACTCGACGAAAAAGCCTCCGCGAAGCGTTTCCGCGAAGAAATGCTCGATTCCCTACAGAGTGCCGAGATGGGCCGTGCGACCGAAGCGATGGACAAGATCATGCTCAAGAAACGAGGCCAGAACAAGCGCGACGCCGCTTTTGGAGCTGCCGGGGCTGGAAGTGGTCTCTCGATCCGTGGACTGCGCGAGAAGAAGGGTCCTGTGGTGGATAACAAGCCCTACGATCCATACGGCGGTGTGAGCGTCATGCCGCAGCGTGTCGACCTTGCGCCTGAGAAATTGGCGACATATTCCAACGAGTGGGTCGAGATTACACGGACAAAGGAAGCTTTCAAGGCTGGTGGCTATAGCCCTGATGAGTTCCTCACAAGAGCTTTGTTCGAATGTTTCTCAGGATTGGGAGTGTTTGTGGACGAAGAGAAGGTCGAGAAGACTGTTTCTACAGCGAGTGCCAAGGAGGCAGCTGCAACAGGAGATACAGGGGGCAGAATGGACGTTGATGATGGTTTTTAGGTGTATTTTCTTGGTTCAAGGGCATAGCTATGGCGTTACGAGGAGTTTGGGAAAATTGCAACGAACATCACGGCTCATTAGAGATGGTACAGCCAGGGTAATAGACGATGTCCAGATCCATACCGATACAGCTGGGTAACAGAAGAGTTGTCTAAGACTTAGGACGCCAATACAGAGTGACCTAAGTTCTGCAGGCATAAAATGACTAAATCATTTCGTCTCTTATGCTCTCGACGGCCAATTCTTCTAACACTCACGATAGGAAGTTAATATTGAGAATAATATTTTATGACTGCTACTATACTATTCCAAAAGAAAACTACCAGGAGAGGATCGAATGACAGTCTTCGTCAGGAAACTATGTCCTCTCTGAATATGCCTATTATTTAATCATCCTTTCACTTTGTAATACTCTTTTCGATCTCATCCCCCTGAAAACGCCTCGCTTACTATATGGAAAGGGAGGATGTACAGCCAGAAATGGAAACAGAAGTTGCGCTGGGAACGGCGATGCGGATATGTGGATGGAAGCTGTAAGAATGTTGTTGATAGTGTTGAGAAACTCGTCCAAGTTTATTGTTGCCAAGGTGCCTGCTGAGCCGGTCGAGGGAATACGGGTACAGTTGGGATTTGATCGAAGCCACCTCCGACGGGTTGCTGGTTCGCTTGCCAACCCTGGCCGGTGTTGTGGTTGACAAAGGCGCTCTGTCGGAAGGGGTTGGTAGTGCCAGTGGCTTGAGGAGCCAGTGAAGCACCGGCTGTCTGTGGTCGTGATTCCTGGGCTGCCGGTTGTATCGCGGCATTGCGAGCAAAGGGGTTCGTACCAGTCGGTGTCGCCTGCATAGGGGCTGCTTGTTGCTGTGGCTGCTGGGGTGGGGGTGTTTGGAAAGGCGAGTTGGAGTTTTGAGCGAAAGGAGAAGTGTTTTGCTGTGGTGATGATCGGGCGAACGGGTTTGTAGATTGACGGTTAACGTTTCCTGTGTTAGATGATGGCAGGCCTGTTTGCTGGGCCATAAGCATGGATTGACGGAAGGGGTTGGTGCTTCCTGTCTGCATAGGTTGGAGACCCTGAGGCGATCCAGTCTGAGCAGGTTGTTGCTGAGGAACGGCATTGGTGAAATTGGCCATTGAATCTTGGGGAATTGGAGAAAGTGAGTTTTGTTGGTAACCTGGCGGCTGGGGTGTAAAACCACCAAATCCGGCTCCTGTAAAATCCGGTTGAAGTTGAATTTGAGGTTGCTGTTGCATAAATCCGCCCGTTTGTTGCGGCTGCTGGTACGGACTGTTAGACGCAAAACCAGTAGGTTGTGCGGCAAAGCCATTTTGCTGAAATTGCATGCCAGTTGGCTGTTGTTGGAAAGGCTGTGGTTGAGGTTGAGGGTTCATGTTCATGGGGGTCTGGTTTTGCTCGATAGAGTCAAAGAAGTCGATCAGATCCGGATCAGGACCCTTGTTGGCTTGGGGCTTGGATTCGGGTGCGTTGTTGCCAGTTGAGGTGGCTCCCATTTGAGGAAAGGGGTTGTTCGATGCCGGTGCTGGGAAATCGCTGCTCTTCTTCTTGCTAAGACCTCCTTGCTTCGAGCTCGAACCACCACCGATCTTCTTGACGTCCTGCTCGGCCAGATATTGTCGTCGGTGAACCTCGAAATCGGGATCATGTAAGTACTCCTCCAGCTGACGTCCGAGGTTAACAGGAGCATGCTTCAGCTTAGGAACCTCGACTCTCGTGTGGTGCTCGTGCTGTCGCGCTACGCTAAGATATTGAACAACGTAATCGGTCTGCTTCGTGAACTTCCGATAGATGGCCATAGCACGCTCGGCATCCACCTTTGACATCTCGAAGAAGTTGCCTATTGGCATGTTAGCCATCGCGGCAGGCTGAGACAAGAGGGGAAGGGCAAGACCAACCAAGAATACTAATCAGCCCTTGGTTAAGAACCTGAAATAGCGCCAAAAGATCCAAGACAAGCAGTCGGAAAACAGTTATAGTGATTTCGTTTTCGGGCTCACTCTCCATTACCTGAATTCATTAGTGCCGGGTTCGAGGGCAGCGGATTTATTGACTCACGTCGCATTTTAACAAGGCTTCGAGCTGGTGTTGCACAATTTCCGTCTCTCGTAATAAGCCCTTCTCGACTGAAAGCTTCTCAAGTCTGGACTCTGAAGCGCGTACCCAGTCGGTCTTTGTCTTTTCGTATGCGCGGGCTCGTTCAGCTAGGTACTGAGCATAATGTCGAATATTTCGTCCTTGAATTTGTGCTGCCAATTTGTCAATCACCGCATCCGTATATCTTGTTTGACCGGAACCCACCATCTGTAAAGCTGCTAATGGCCAGTACATTGCGGTGTGTCGAGAGAAAGGCCAATGTCACATCGGGAGAACCCTCTCTTATCATAAGGTGCACCGTGATTAGACTCTTGAAAACGATAGTCCATGTCGAATCGCGGAGACGGTATGTGAGTGCGCGAAAGACCTCGGCGACACCAGCTTCGCCGGAGTGGGTAGCGACAAGAATATGCTCGATGTATTTCGTCTTTGGGGGAGCATTCTATAGCGGTCAAGAGTCAGCATCAAGCTGTAAGCGAAGCTACAATCCGCAGAAATAATTGTGCTCATATGATGGTTGCTGAGCTCCTCGAGTATTAGGCGCGCCGCCAAGAGATACACGTACCTTGATCTTGGTTGCGCCCTTGACGGACTTTTCGAACGAGCTCGACATGTTGTCTGCAGTTGAAGCTCAATGGATCTATATCAAGCTTACTGTACAAATGACAGAAGTTCAGACGACGGACGTTGCAGCGAGTGACGGGGGACTGTAACGAATAATGATGCGGTGGAGTGATGCCGGGGTTTCGGGAATCGATGCGGCGATAGAAATGACTGTAATGAAGATGTCGCCGTGTCGAGTCCTGTGCTGTCGAGTCGAATCGTGTCGTGTGGCTTCAAGTCCAGCGCAAAAGAGAGGGACTTGAAGAAGAAAGAGAGATTGACCGAGAGAGACGAGTGTGCGTCCGTATCCGCGCCCGGGGGACGTGGACGATTCTGGGGCGTGGCAGGACAAGGGGAGGGGCGTGTGGTCGGGCAGGTTGGACCTGACTCTGGTTGATTTTGGGAGGGACGGCTCTAGCTTTGGAGGTTGGGCTGGACTGTAGGACAAGAAGGTGGGGATGGTTGATAAGGAGGTACTTGCGCCAAGAACGATTACAGAGGCCTCTTCACTGGTATCCCCCAAACTCTTATCCTCCGGAAACGTGCTCTACTCCGATATTGGCGGGCACTATCACTAAATTCCAGGGGACGCTACGAATGTCGTCACCATGGATTCTTTCATTTCAAAGGGACTTGATGCGCCAAGACGCTCCACTGAAGGAGATGGTGATATCCACGAGAGATGAGAAAATCTGGGGACTGACAGTTTTTTCTTTCTCGTCGCGTCTAGACATGCAGACTTTCGGAAGCATTACCAGGTACAGGAGAGGAGTTTGCAGCTGTTTGTTCACATTCGGATGCTTGTGACATGGCATTTTCGTTCTTCACGTATCACGAAAGGTCCTTTCATCTCGGGCCATACGAGATTTAGGCAAAAGGCAATCACTCAAAGTGCACAGGGTTCAATAATTGCATACAGAAAACGATCAATTCTTTGCTAGATAAAGATAGCGTAGTCTCACTTGAAACTCGCTCCCCCAGGTCCCCATTGCAAACTTTCTTACCTTTCGGGTACAGTTCAATTTCTGCTACCAGGTTTCCCCAGTCGCACGAACCAAGAATCCCTTTCCATTCTTCATAAGTCAGAGCTTTTTTTCAACGCGTCCGATGATAAACAAGGTCGGTGTGTCGAACGCCCATTTCATGGTACCAACCTCACCTCGCCCAGAAACCACTTAAGCTGCCCCGAAAGGCAGAGGGTTTCTGGGTCCGGAGAGAAGGCACTGCATCATATTAAGCACGCGGTTCTCATCATCTGCGAGGTAACTATTAGCGATGGGTCTTGAGAAATGCATTTGCGTTGTTGGTACTCACATTTATTTGAATGGAAGGGTCATAAAGAGAAAAGAAAAGAAAAAGAGAAGGAACGCGATCCGCGCAAAATTTAAAGGCTTTGCGGCGGGCCAGTAATGTGGGGTTGCCCGCCGTGGCTGATCTTCGGCTGTTTCTCACCGAGCAACTCACCCTACACCTCTGATAAGCAACATTACGATGAACGACAAAGTAATGCGTCTCATGAGAGAGCTATCTTCGAGGGAAACCGATATGGATAGAGAAATTTAGTTAGTTCATATCGTAGTTGTTTCTGGGCATGTAGCTGTGTGGTAGCCATAGCCTGGTCCATCAATTCCTTGTATTCACATCTAACACTGGAACATCAAACCACAATCAACGTCACTTTTAACAATGAAGACAAAACTAGCCACGCAGAGAACCTCACACTATAGAAAATGTCCTCCAAACATGGACAATGGGATATTGCAGAAAACACTCAGGCTTCGACGGCCGTCAATCTCAGCCGGGGCTGTTATACGGCTTTGGTAAACTTTATGCACAAGGCAAGATGGCCGAGCGGTCTAAGGCGCTGTGTTCAGGTTCTATACGAACTAGTAACGATTCGCAGTCTCGAAAGGGGCCTGGGTTCGAATCCCAGTCTTGTCATTTTTGGTACTCTCAGCTATTGTCAGTCAAGCAATTCTTTTTATTACTCTATCTACCTGCTCGGGAGTATCTGCCTTTGTCCTGCGTGGTGTTTCAATGCGGGTAGGCTTCTGGCGGGGATAGTCCTGTGGGACACCGTTTGTTTCTATCCAATTTCTATATATTCATCCCGACGCCTATATTCCGTGACATTGAATTGTCTGACTTGTTGTATGTACCCAACATACAAGGCCCCCGGGGGCTCGTGTGATCGTGAAAGAAGATGTATTGTGAATTCCTATGTTCGCGTCAGCATAACGCCGAACCTGCTTACAATTTGCACATACCAATAGCGGATGCCACACCACTCGGGATAAACTTGTCCCACCGTTGGTCGGAGTATCTCATTTTGATGACGGTCAGTGCTGCAAAGATGATAGCTGTTCTCACAACGAACGGGGCCACTCCAGTCGGGAGTCCGTTTCCGCCAGAGATCGGATCCCTACGACCGCCATGGGTATCGATAGTAAAATCGACAAGAGAGTATGTCACGGGTTAAAGCTGCCGAAGGTCCAGGCCACGGCGATTAGATACACAGCTATCGACGCTTAAAAGCTTGGTGGACACGAAAGACTTGTCTATGGTGGGCTTCCAAGGGATGCGGTCGTCTGTCTGGTTGAAGCGAAGGTATCGTATGCCGAAGAAGGGTGAGATACAGATTCCAAGTTGCTGGCTGACGACTGCGAGCTTCTGGACCTTTCGAGCCATGCATACCAGAGCGGGCTGATAAGAAGGTAAGAGAGCCTCACAAAGACGTCTGCAGACAAAGCCGATAGACTGACCCAAATGATCCAGCTTCGGGATCCGTTTTTCCCATCGTCAACATCACCCGGAGCACAGCCCTTATTCTTGGCATATGTAGACAGAATACCACTCCGACAATGCTACCGACAAGCATATGCAACGGGATGATTATGCCCTGGCCAATGAATCCAGGCGAAAGATCAATAGACCGAAGCCTACTTTTTTCTGCATCGATTCCGAATAGTGGAAGGTTACGAAGAGCCGGTAAAAGGTCATAAAGATAGTCTGGAATTTTGTCAATAATGCATCAAATGTAGACCAGCAGCCGACTTACCAATGCCCCAGCCGCGAAGCCACCCTTCAAAAGAGATTGTACTTCTGGTTCTCCTTCGGTTGATGGCGAAGATTCTAAAAGTGAGTGATCTTCCATCCGAGAGGAGTTTTGGTGTTCATGGTCAGACTCCTCCTCAAGGACCGGCGTTGATGCGGTGTCAAATCGTCTCACCATGTCATCGGGCGGCAACTGATGCAGTGATTTGACCAACTGCGCAGTGACTCTTGCACCAGGCCAAGGTTAGTCTTCTCTCCAGCTGTCAACAAAGGAAGGCCTCAGCCAAGAGGCGAAGATTAGGCCAACGAGGCATAACTCTATTCACCAAAGAATAAGGTCGTGCGACTGGAGAGTCAAAGGCCCATTCTCCGTTGTTCCGATCAGATAATCGAGGGCTGGAATAATGCCAGTGAAGCCGGCGGTGACTGGCATTGCTCCTGCTGCGGTAGTAACGCTGACTATGGAGACATTTTCTTCCGGCGAGAGGGGATATGATGTCCATCTTGAAAAGACCATGAAACCGGCAAACCCTAGCAGAACCGAAACAGTCGACATCTGGCTTGCAACGATAACTCGGAGTCCAGAATAGGTTTTTGAAAGGTTAACGAGAACACTACCAGAACTCCTGAGCAAGGCACGAAGAGTAAAACTGCGCTCCATTGAACATGGATGTTAAACAAGGCCAAACTGAGTGTTTTCATGGGTTGAAAGGAACGCGGTAGGATCGAGTAGCGAGGTTGTTAGCTGATCTAAATATGATGGCAGATAAACTCTATAATAAAAGAACTCTACAATAAAAGAACTCTACAATAAAAAAATGTATAATAAAAAGCTATCGACGCTAGTAGATAAGAGCGATAACGGTTTATTTACAATATTCTACAGAATCTGCCAGTGCCAGGCAGAAACGGCAGTTACCCGTTACCTTCCTGTGTGGAGCATACCTCCATCTTCTCTCCTCGCAAAGCCATCGCAGAAACTCAAACATTACAACACCGATAACTTCGCCCACGCTGTCAGAACTTGCCGCTGCTCAAAACGAGGTCGAGCGCTTAGAGATTGAATCCCTTGAGCTGCAACTTGAGACCTCCAGACGACGTCGACAGATCGCTCAACAACAGCTTGAGGCTGAACAGAAGCAGGTCGAGGCCGATGAAAAGAAGCTCGAACTTGCTCGCGCACAAAGACGTGTTGAGATGTTACGAGCGTCCATGAACGTTGATTCTAACCGCGCCAACGTCTTGCCAGCACCTACGGCTACCCCTGCGGATACGACTACAGCTACAACTGCACCTGTACTTGGTCTGCCCAGTTATGGCGATGCTCGAGGCCTTAAACGTGATTCCCGCGGTTTTGCCTTGGACAACAGAGGTCCCCAAGACTCCTCTGCCAACACTGTTGGCATGAGCGGAAACGGATCCGTCGGGGGTGTTAGCCAACGCTGCTTCGCAGCCACGAGTCCAACTTTCCGGGTGACTGGAAACACCACCCACATGCCGGACCTTGTTGCTGCTGGTGAGGAGGTTATGCAAAGCTCTGGGTCGATAGCTGTGGAGCTTTCAAACGAGCCCATGCGTCCAGAACAGCCCTCATTCCTCAAGGAGACAGCCCAACATGTGACATCCTCGACCCGTCCTCAGGAGACCCGCGAAAAACGAATTAAGGTTTTTTCCTCCCAGCCAGGGATATCTTGCCTCAGCTGCAGGAAGCACCATCCTATAAGGGACTGTCTCTTTGCGCCTCAGGGCTATATTCCTGGCTGCATATTGTGCAACACATCGGAACATCCCGTAGACATCTGTGATCAGTTTAAGCAGATGTCGACCAAGGAGAAGGCCGAGCTCCTTGTCTACGAGCGAAGCAACCGGCCAATGCTGCACACTAGTCCTGATCGACCGGCGTGGCAGTGGTACCTTGAAGAGTATCTGAAGGAGGCGGGCCCAGGTGCCATACCCAGCGCGGTTCCTTGGACTTCGGCGTTTGCTAAGAAGGTTCAAGCCCGTCCCGATTTCCATGATATCCAAGCGCAATGGGATACAGAGAGGGATGTCGATTCCCTGCCCAAGGATCCTGGACGCAGTTACCTCAACGTTATTCACCGGTTATACGGGAGTGATCGCATCTAGTTCCGCGATTGGAGTTACACCTACCATGGAGCCCGTGTCTGGGCTATTGACTTTTGACCTCTATTCTTCGGGCAAAACCAAGTGGTAGGATCAAGCTATCGGCATCGATAGGCGAAGCAGTCGGTCCCTCGATCTTATGAGGGTAGGTTTGACCTTGGTGGAGGCCGAGCTCTCGATGTCTTGACACCCGAGAAGCACCTCTCAGCTTTCATGTTGGTAGTTGGTTAGTCGCATCGTCTTCTGTTTATTTGCAAACACTAACGGCTCCAGCAGATACATTGCACGATGGACGACGGTTCGGAATTTGATGATGTGGACATGAAGCAATTGCGGTGGATAGTCGGCGTTGGGTTGCTTCTACATAGTGGAATTGAACATGCAGTTGGACTCTCAGAATGGCCCAAAATGTGAATTCCAGATGGTGACATATTGATGGAACTGTACAGGAATGAACGGATACAGACGAGCGAATACGAGCCTACGCGAACGACGATGCGATAGTCATCTGGCAAGAAAGAAGCTCGCCTCTCGATACCCTCCAGGGACGATGTCTGGAGCTGTCTTCGAACCTCTCGATATGATACCACGGCACTACAATTGATGTTCAATTAAGCTTTTTGGTCCCACCCGCCACGACAAGACAAACAGGCGCTACCCACACTGCGACAAGGGTGCTTGGTTTCCCCAATTTGGACAACACGTATTCCATCATTGGTCTAGTCACCGTTGAGGCACGGTCGGCGGGGCGGTGTCCTCCCTTCGGGGTGTCGGGTCATCGCACAAGGTCAATCGATAGACTCGGTCGGATTTCGGAGGAAAGATCGGCGCAGTACGGATTGACGAAGGCTTTATGCCACTGTAGGTATTCGACGATACGCAATGGAATCGGGTGCGATACGTGTCTCGGGAACTTGGGGGATCGTGTACGCTTCCGGTCTTATCGAGGGCGCTCGAGAGCTGTTCAGTTGGTGCTTCGTCCGACAAGGACGTCTTGTCGCCGCTCGACGTCGCCTGGTCGCAAATCGCAAACTGCAGTGAAGTCTTTCTCAGATCTGGGTTCAAGATCGGTTCGTGAGCAGAACAAGCGGGAGACGGTTCTTCGTCCGTTGTCGACTGCAGAGTGTTCGGTGATGTTCAGCTTCCTAAGAATAAAAGGTCATAGATATTCTCGTTTATTGCTTATGCTAATGATGCTAATGATGCTAATGATGCTGGTGTTATGCTGGTGTTATGCTGGGATACCTTTCCTTTGACGGTAAAAGATTACTTGACAAAATTGCAGCTTTACTGACGCTTAACATCAGCGTGCATGGAAAGCATGAACAGAATAAGAACAGAAGATATAGCAAATGCACCGCTATCACATGAACAACCAATATCTATATTTCCTGTTGACATAATAACTGATCGAACTGTTCCCGCTTCATAAGTTCGAGAGCTGAAGCTACCCATGCAACCTTGGAGATCTGGCTTTGGGACGACCGGGCCCTCGTACGTCTCACGTCTCGTTCATTTCGTCCCTACACGAGCCACGTCGCTGCTCGTGAACAACTGCACAAATGATCAACAAAGACACTGGTAAGAAACTTGCTTCCGAGACACTGCCTTTGAGAATTAGGAAGTAACTGATGATGGCATCCTTGACAGTACCGTATTGGTGTCCTAAAAGTCTATCTGTTAGTGAGTAGCTGTCATTATATCCATCTGCCTCAGTCAATGGCCCAGACAAAGTTTCATGTATCAAGAGCATCAATTCAGTCACTGGCAGCGAGTACTGTGAAAGCGGTAATGTGATTATATTGAGTAGTATCTATAGCATCCCTGGACGGTTCAAAAGAACATTCGTTCATCCTGAGATGCAACTGTTTGTCTCGGGGAAGCCATCTGGCTTCCCAATACTCAAACCGACTCCTACAGCGTTGGAGTGGTGTGAATCAAGAGGTGTCCTCAACTTGAGGAACCATCGATGTGACGTTGGCTTTCGCCCGTCACTTGAGTGTACTCCTTGTTCTGATGCGGCATTGCCAGCCCGAGTATACTTGTCCTTATCGACGACTTTTCACCTTGATCAAGGTTACGCCAACTAAGCTTCATCAGCCCTAAGAGAGGCTATCTCCGCCCAGGCATTGTTCAGGGAACGAGCGAGTTGGTCTTTCTCGCTGCGCATGTTTGCGAGTTCCATGGTCTTGGTTGCAACCGCCATCTCAAGCCGGCGGTTGTCTTCTTGCAGGCGCTCTGCCTCTCTCTCGACTTCATCCCGAGAGACATTGGCAGCATCTACCTGTTGGCGTAGCCTTGCTACCTCAGTCTGAGCCTCGTCATGGGAGGCTTTGATAGTCTCAACCTCTCGGCTGAGTCGCTGATTCTCAGCAAGCAAATCCCTTTTGGAGGGAGCTTTGGCTTCCCTTTCCAGAGCTTGCACTCGTTCAATAAGATCCATTGTAATGGACCTTTCGAGTGGGCTGCTGCGGCCAGCCATGAGCGATCTGAACTGATCAAAATCAGTTTTGAGCCTTTCATAGTCAGCTCTGAGAGCATCCAAGCGATCGGAAACTTCATCATCATGTGCCATTTGAGAAAGGAAACTGCTGGCCCCAGAGATGTTCTCGTACGACGACACTTCTTCATGTCTAAGAAGCTCGCCTTGGCCAGATGGCAACTGGCTGAAAGCCGGCGGAAACTGGCTTTGGCCCTGTAATTGGCTCTCATCACGGCCATCGGACAGGAGTTCCTCAGTCAATGCTGAGGGGTCCTCTTGGCCGCTCGTTGGAGGGCCCGTGTCTTGCCTCCTGTTAGGCTGATTGTCATCAGCCTCATGAGGTCGCTTTTGTGAACTCATGGCAGGCGATACTCCAAACAGACACTGGATGCTTACTGAAATTTGTAGTAAGTCGATGGCAAGTATTGGCTGCCAGTGTTTGTGGTAAGCTTCCTGGTATCTTTGGTAGATGGTGGGAGCTGATGTTGAAGGTAAGTGGAAATTTGTTGGGGGGGAGGGAGACTCAGGAGTTGGTAGTGAGTAGTCAGGATGGGAAGGTAGGAGTGGAAAGGCAGGAGTGAGAAGGCAGGAGCAGTGGCCCGTCGTGGAAGGTGCAGGCCCGACCCCTTAGAAGTGCAACAACCTCACTCTCATGTCTTTGCGAGTAAAAACCCCAGAAGAACCATTATCTTCTGGAGTTTGAGCATGTGAATCATCCATATGATGCCTGCACATCTTACCATTACCCAGGTGTGAAGACTAGTATCTAGGTAGGTATCCGACGCCGAGGCTCAAACTCTCAATCGACATCACTCCATGATGGAAACAACGGGTTCAGTCACTCACTATCTAGAGTAGAGTATATGACCCGTCCAACATCTCAAAAAGCAAGTTGTTGATTAGTTCCGGATCTCAAGAGCTCTAGGATAGAGCACCACGATCATCCCCAACAACCAGTTTCCCCTTCTTATTCGTTACCTGTTTCGCGCGTAGTCCCATACATCTCTTTGTAGAGTTTAAAGACTTCAATGTATGTATCGGCCTGGCTGCTGCTGAGGCTTGAAATAGTAATGGTTGTGGTTTTGGTAGGACTAACACCTCTAGTACAATCTGCGGTCTTGCGTCAAAGACCGACTCCACCAATACTAGTAGTCGGATATCTATCTTTTTAATTTGCTATACATACTATTAATATACACCTGCTAAGTATTAAGCAAAAGATTAGCTCTTTATAAACTTTCACTTCTAAAGTCCGTTAGGGAATATATCACACTAGCTGAATCTCTAGCTCACATTCTCCTCGATGCCGTTCCTGTATTCGATAATGGCGTTTCCCATCTGAATCATAACTTGTGATATCTCGACTCTCGTTCTGTATGCAGTTGCCAGATAGAACTAGCCCCTGGATCACTAAACATTCCCAAATCTGCTCTGAGCTCCAAAGCAACGAGTAAGCTTTCACCTTGCTTTCTAGGGAGAATGCTATTCAGCCTCGCCAATTCAACTTCGTCTTTCTGCCATCTGCTAATACTCTCATCACTTACATTTGGTCTGAGATAGCACCAAACGTGCCAGGGCCAGCAAACCTAGTAGTAGTAGCAGGAGTTGGACAAGGCTGACCTGGTATTGCCCAGGAGGGACTGTTAGGGCTGTTTCCTCCAGTTCTGTCCTTTCAGTTGTCTATAAAAGGCTAAGACTCCAAAATTCGACCAGGGTGATGATTCGAGTCACGATTTCAGATGAGGCTCCTCCAACTATCCAGTGTTCTCATCGATGTCCTCAGTTCACTCTTTGGTGTTATCAGTGTGACTTGGTTCCAGGACATGAATACAGTTTCTGCTCATAGTTTCCTTATCGCCGAGTATCTCATACCCTTCGGGGACTGATTGGGCAACATCCCAAAGTAGCTACTGTATGCAGTTGGACCAAGCTGACGAGTTGGCCTAGGCCTGAAGTTCACGGCTCCGGTAAGCTGAGCCCAGTTCCATTGTAGCTCAAGTGAACAGAGTATTGAGAAAGGATAAATCCACAACAAATAATGGTGGTGAGGAGGCAAAGTTGAGGTAGTGTCAGCCGTAGAAGCGACGAACAATGGAGTCTTTCATGTGGGGTTATTGGAGAGAACTGTCTATTGTTTACATTCGTTAAGTTCTGCCATTGTATCATCGCCAATTCAAGACTCCTTCTCACTTAATAATGTCATCCAAAATGTTGACTTCACCACTTCGGTGCCATATAGGGTCTTTCGAAGTGTCATGTCCGTGTTATTCACTTGTTTTGAGAAGGTTTGCTCGTTGGCATATCGTTGAATATCAGAATATTCTAGTAGCTAAGTACATTCCGGACATCTAATCTCGGTCTAAAGTTTGCTGCTCAGATCTGACTAGATCAAAAGCTGAATACAGATGAGGTCTCGCTGCTGGGAAACGTGTCCTCCTGTGATGCCAACTCAGTTCGATCTTCGGGGCGAGCGGTGGTCGAGGCGACAGTCGCATCACTGTTCGACAGAGAATGGAGATTAGCCAGCTGAGACTCGAGACGAGCGATCTTGGCTTCCTTGATAGCCAGTATGTTGTCAAATCTTTTCTGCTTGCGATTGATCCGCATGTTGGCATAGTCCCAGGCTTGCTGGGCATCGATTTCTGCATCCTCGACTTGGCTGAGGACTTCGTCGCGTTCCTTTTCGAGGCCTGTGATCTTTGAGAGGGCTTCGTCACGTTCCTTTTCGAGGACTGCGATCTTTGAGAGGGGTCCGTCGCGTTCGTTTTCGAGGGCCTTCACCTTCTCGAGGGCTTCGTCGCGTTGGTGTTCGAGGACCGCGATCTTCTTCTGGTACTGGTCAAAATGTCCCTGGTCGTTCTCGTTAAGGACGGCGGTTCGTGGGTTGAGTGCAGCTCGGCTAAGGGCAGCTGCGATCATCTCTTCGACAGTCTCCCGAGTCATCGAGGCATCGTGGCCGTGGCGCTCGACAGGATCATGATCTACATCGAGGTCAGTGTTTTTGGCGTCAACTATCCGGAGACTATACTCACTGGGCTGCATCGTGAGGCAGTCAGTTGAAGAATCGCGTTGTTTGAAGGGACAGGTGTTATGCGGAATGAGTGGTGTGAGAAGAAGATTATGAGAGGAGGAAAAAAGGTGAGGAGAAAGGTAAATAAAGAGATGCCTGATGAATTATTTAGTGAATAGGTGAATAGGTGAATAGGCTGCCTAGCACTGCGCTGCATATTATCATCCGCCAGCTGGCAAACACTGTCAAAGATTGGCAAACAAACACTGATGAGCTCCCTGAAAACATTTCCCCGGGGCATGATAAGATTCCAGTCATTTGCGGAGGGTAGGAGATCAATGCGTTTGCTATCGCCACGAGTGTTGACTGTCAGACAGGCCTCCGTCTCTGCACTTCATAGACATCGATTCATTCGGCTGGTTTGCAGCATGTATCCTCACTTATGTAGATTCAGAGAGCGTAGCTAGGTTATTATCGCATCTCGATGATGCAGTCCCAAGGCTAAATGCAGCATTTACTTGTGTCCCGTTTTTTCCGAATCCAATGTGGCTGTGAAATGCTTATCCTGACGGCCTGGATACTGTCTGGCCTATGCATGTCCTCTCAAGCCTTCCCAGAATCTCTTCCCTCATGAAGCCCTGGCTCGATAACTAGAGGTTGGAAACGGTAAGTCGGCTGTCTAACATCTATCTCCAAGTTCCAAGCACCTACTTACAACCGGGATGAGTCGCTTCCTTCCAAGTCCATGCCACAATTGAAGTTATGACTCGTATTTGAGTGCTAGAGTTCAGACGACGGGCGAATCCTCTCTCAATAGGGCATTAATGTTGGCGAGTTGCGACTCGAGAGATGCGATCTTGGCCTCCTTGATAGCCAGTATGTTGTCAAGATGTTTCTTCATAAGGTCGACCTTCTCGAGCGTATCCTTGGATTCTAATACTTCTTTCTCTGCTTGATTTGCCCTGTTGAGAGCTTCATCACGTTCTTTCTCCAATGCCGCACTCTTCTGCTCCTCCCGGAAAAGATCTTCTCCTCGTTTCTCAGCAAGTTCGCTTAGTTGGTCGTCAAGTGCGGCCTTGATCATCTCATCGGCGGTCTTCTGAGTTCCTGACCTATTTTGAATGAGAAAGTCGTCAAATTTGCGCTCTTCATTAGGGTCAGTATTTTGGAATCAACTAGCTGGAGTCTTTACCCACTTTGTTGACGGTTCATCGTGAGGAAGTCACTGGCAATGTCAAGGATTGGGTGGAATGTTTGGGATGACGGGTGCGGTGTGAAGTGTGAAATGAGTGGAGGGAGAAGAAGATTATCAGAAGTATTCCGTGATGGAGTGAAGAGATCTAGGGAGAGAAAAAGATTTTGGTGAAAGGAAGAGCGCGGCTGCCTACCACTGTTGCTGCGTAGCATCGTGCACCAGCTGGCAAACACTGCCAGACTTCTTCAAAGCAGGCTTCTCTTAGGCTACGACTGAAGTCTCTTCTAATCATCGCTCCAGTGAGCATCATGTAGGGACATCGCATGAACGATACATTATTCCAAGCACTACTCGGGAAGTAACTCGGCAGCTTAGTTGTGATAATCTGACGGCAGGAATAATAAATATAAATCATGGCAATAAGTCTAACAAGGATCTTGCTGAGCAAATACAAGAGTTGTCTACAGTCAGTTCTCAACTTTCCGACCATGACTATCCCTTGGGCGAATGTACTGGTCTGAAGCCGCATGTTGTAAATATTTCCAAAACATCGCAACCCTCGGCGCAGTCGTTTATTGACAACTATTGTTTGAAGCATTCTCAGACTAGTTAACAGTAATTTAGAAGGACTTCTAAAGATTACTTATGTACATTTAGTTCTTCCGTCGAGGGTACCCAACGCCTGCATAATGCAAGACCATAAGCCGCTGAGAGTTTGGGTTGTTTCCCGAAGGGTCTGGCGCGTTGATCACATCCCAGATGATCATGCCCTCGATCCTCAAGTCGCCATACGTGCGCGCAAACTCATCTGCCTGCCAGCCGTAGTCATCCGTCATGATGAGGGATTGAACCATGTTTACGACGTCGGCCTTGAACTCGTTCTTCTCTTTTTCAGGAAGATTATCCGCCCCTTGAATAATACGGTTTTCGACGTACCAGCGAACGTTGTTCATTTCTTCGATGGGGAAGCTGGCGAACCCATCTTTTCCAATAACCTCGCCTTCTCGGTCCCAACGGTCAGGACGGGTTTGGTTCCTCTGGTACGGGTACGAGAACTCGTCGAAGAAGCGCTTCTTATTGTACTCGTACAGACGGTCGCGCAAGGCCTGGGCATCCTTGTCATTGTTTCCAGTGGGCTGCCATATATTTAGCGCATGTTTGAGCAGAGAGAAGTCGATTCTATATGTACCTTATAAGGCGGCCCATGGAGTCCATTGAGGTTTTCGAGCATGCTAGGGACGATGCCGCTTTTTCTAATGGCCTCGGAAGTAGCACCGGCGCCTCCCATAGTGACGATTGTGTAAAATAGTATGAGGAAGGAGTCGTAGTAAGAACTCTCGGGATGTAGGTTACGGAAGAGGATGAGATTCAGAAGACAGCAAAAGGGACGCGATAGTCGAATATATATATACCTTTTAGCACTCTGTATAATGTCTCGGATTGCGGCTGTTGACTGAAGCGGTGCCTCACTCTGTCCTGCCCGCTGCACTCTGATGTCGCGCAGTCCAATTACACCACGTTGGCATCAATTCGTGCCTTATCTGGGGGCTCCATTCCAGAGCTTGTCCGTGTATAAACCTTGCCAAGACACCCGGTACGATCTTACAGGTTCTTGAACGCGGGGTTCTGAAACATAATTTTGCGGCGGCTGATGGATAGACTGGTAATGGTAGAGATCGCCAATGATCTCCGGACAGCTGAAAGCTGTCCGGCGCGGCTGGAAACGGATGCATCCGCGAGATCGCCATTTAGTGTGTCAATCGCGGGTAGCGTTGACACCCCCCCATAACATGTCAAATCACAGACCTGGTCTGGTTGGTGTTGAATTAGCTTTTAACTTTTGAAAAAGATGAGTGATAGCCCTTGCCTCATGCTTGCTGACGTATTTTCAGCTGACATATTTTCTCCATCTTAACCGCTTTTAGCAAGATGGCAGAGACTGTTGTTGTCCAAAACATCCTTGAATCGATTGACAGTATGTCGGAAGGGGGTCTGGAGGTTGCTCGTGCAAGTTCGGTCGGCCACATGCGGATTGTCGCGAGCCCGGCGGACTCAGAGACGACGGTATAAAGCGGCGACCGGTGGGTAGTTGAATTGAGTTTGTAACCTTGTGGTTCATGTATGGCAGTAGGCCTTCGTTGACAAAGCCAGTACAATCAACTCAAATGGAGGTGATGTTCGCACGTAATCTGGACGGTCTCCATCTTTTTGAGGGTTCGGTGAACCATATGTCGAGTTGTTAGTCTGGGACGACAGTTGAGAACAGCTTCTGATCCACTGTTTGTGGGAGAGTTGATCTGGGGTAAACTTACACATCGGCAGAGTTACTTGATTCATGCACTACCTCGGAGGTTTGGAATGCTTTTGTGGACTTCGGGAGGATCAAAAAAGTAACAGCTTGTCTTGTAAAGATCTGTCGAAGGAGCATGGTAGCTTGTAGAGTATGGTCCTTTGTCTGGTCGAGTCGAATCAGTGCCTTGACGTACGTCTGGCTTGAACATACGTGTTCGTGTCCACGTCTTCAAACTTGGCCCGTCCATAGAGCTTGTTGAGAATTGATCGGGCGTGTTGACTTGGTCTCGGAGTTCAGGAATCTTTTCTCGCCGTAGTTTTCGCGACAATCGCTGTTTATAGACGAGGCTGACCAGCCGATAGTCTAGAGAGGGCTGCGCTTTGCGTCGCGGTTGCATCGAGTGTCACAAAGCTTGGGCGGCGAGTACCAAGCGATAGGGACGAAATGTTTTGGTGACTTTATGCCAGTCAAGACCCGGTTCAGGACGTTACACGCTTATCCTCGTGGTATTCAAAAGGTCTATGTGCTGTCGTGGTAGTTGTTGAGGCAATTAAATCGTCTTATCCTGCAAGTTCACATCCTCGCGTTGAGTCTTGAGCTTTGCCATCTCTTGTTTGACTTGTTGGCGGCGATCCTCCCGAGAGCTCTTACTTCAGGCAAGAGTAGCTTCGGCGGACTCAGCCTCCGCTCTTAAGCCGATGCGAAGATCCAGAGATGGTTTCATTTCATGGCTCCTTGGTTTCGGAGTCTTCCGTAAACTGAACTGCGACTTAGCTGCCTATTGCGGCAATATTTCCGAAATCAAGTTTGGGTGAATTTGGACGCAGCGATAAGCGACAACATGATTTGGAATGTTTATGCTAGTTGAGACCAGTATTAGATCAATCGTATGTCGTAGTGGGAGATGTTGTGTGAATTCACATCCTGGCATTAAGTCACGCCATCTCCTGTTCAAGTTATTGGCGGTGATTCTCCCTATAGCTCTCGTTCCGAGAATATCCTCGGCGGAGTCGGCATCTGATCCCAAAGCCGCGGCCTCTACAGAGCTCTCTGGTACACAGATTTGCGTCTCATCCTTATATATGCGGTAAAAGTCTCATTTTTGAGACGGTCTATAATCTCGGATACGGACGCCCTTCGTAGTCGAGGTCGAAGGAGGGTTCAGATGATATACGGTTAAGGCTGGGCAAAATGACCATGGGATAATGTCTGGGAAGTCGATAGTACCTAAAGTCTGTGTTATCAGAGGAAATCCAGGATGAAGCTGGGATCACGACGTTTCGAAAAGTGACATAACCTTGTGCGATTTAGTCATCTCCAGTTCGCTTGCAATTCGCGTTGAATGTAGATTGAAGTTTCTGGGGGGTGGAAAAGGGATTCTTCTGCGCAAGTAAGTTGGGACCAACAGCTCTGCGTAAACATATGGCGCGGAATTCATCGAGTATCACCATCGCCAACGTAAGACGAGTGACACAACAATCGCTCCCTATCGAATAGAGGGGTGGCTGGAAGAAAACGAACTCGAACTGGCAGTACAAGAAAGTAGACCGTCGAGGATGACGTTGCGGGTAACATCGCTGAGGCAGCCAAGTCCAATCCAATACTGACGCCAACACAGCATGATCTCTGTCGCTAAGAGACGTCGGTCCTCTGCAGAACGGTGATGACTTCGTCTTCCACTTGTCGGAGGGTACTGTAATCGTTATCTTGGGGGCGTTGCTTGTCTGCTGTCACGGTGCTGAAAGAAAAGGCCGACGAAACCGATGTCCCTTCTCGATCTTCAAAGGGAAACATAGAGTGAAATCGTAGTATGATTCATTGACGGCTCGTGCAGGCTCTCTAAAAATACTTTTGTGTCTGGGCGAAATGCATGCCTGCTGCAAAATGAAACAACTTGGCCGCAACCACTGTTCGCTCTCGCTTCGAGTACTCAACAAGGCGCTCATACAACTCAGCAAGTGGAATGATCTCCCGTTGAATATGCTCTCCATCATCCAATCTCTGCTCAGGCTCCTCCTCGTTCTCGCTCAATTGAACCTCGACCATGGCTAGTTGCATGTTGGCGTTTGTCATTCCAGGGTCAGCAGCTTGAGCAGGGCTGACGCTCAAAACCTTGCAGTCATAACCAGTTTCCTCCTTGAATTCTCGAACAGCAGCTTCTTCGGCAGTCTCCTCCGCATCAATGAGTCCAGCGGGCCACTCGATAGTGTAGGCGTCCAGAGGTGGTCGATATTGAATGACGAGCAGAGTTGACGCAGGTTTCGAGGGATGGAGAAGAATGTTTCCCATAGCGACGGCGTCAACACCGGATTTGCCTCTTGTCTTTCGTGTTGCGACTTCCCATGTTCGTTCCTTGCCGACTTGGTCGACGTACTCGATCTTCTTGAGTGTTACCCACTTGGACTCCTCGATTGGGAGGTCCGAAAGCTTGGTGATGACGGGTTCTTGTGTTTTTTGAGACATGCTGAAAGGTCTGCTAATGAAAGGACGGAGGCGATGGGGTCTGAGGGTTTGGCGAAGGAGACGCATGAATGTTTGTGAGGTTTGAGATGAGTCGAGAGCGGGGATTGTTGAGTAAGAGGAGTGCGGGGCACTGTGTGCACTGTAGTGCGTCATTGATGCCTCAATGAACAACAGATATGGCGACTGGTAACTTCCTCACGATTTTCATAAATTGGATCTCTTTCGAACAAGACGGCATTTATTGAACTTCAGAACAGTCACTAAAACCCTGCACCTTTGTCCGCGGCATGATGTGCTGATACTCGGCGACCGAGGCTTTCACGCTTTCACAATTCATCAATGCAATTGACACCAAAGAAATACCGCCATATCGAAACTCATGAGGTTGTCTCAGTACTCAATCGAGGCCAGGATTACTTACACCAGGAGGGGATCATCCATGTCTTCATGTTGCCTATTCGAGAAGCGGGGCACTCGTCGTCAGAAGGCGTCACATCACTTGTTCCATAAGAACACCTTCTGAAAACATCAAGAACAATGAAAGGAGAAAGTCGAGCATTCAATTCATCGTCAACCTTCATCATCACAAAATGGCTTCTCGCACAGCGCTTCGACAGACTCTGAGTCGCCGTGTCCCCAGACATGCATTCACGTTCCGAAGATACATCTCAACTCGAGATATGACAGCAGCAGACTTGAACAAGCTCAAAGTTGATCAATCGCGATTGATGGATACTTTACATGATACCTGCAAATGGGGAACTGGACTGAAATGGGGGGAGTGAGTACATCAATGAAATCAAGACCAAGCTAACAAAGACAGCAACCCGACCGATACCGGCATGTCACGTTTGGCTCTTTCAAACTCGGACAAAACAGTCAGAGATTGGTTTGTTGAGACAACAAAGGGATTGGGTTGCAAGGTGACTGTTGATTCCGTGGGAAACATTTTCGCAATTCGCCCCGGTCGCAAAGATGGACCGCCGACTCTGGCTGGGAGCCACCTGGACACTCAACCCTCTGGCGGGCGATACGACGGAATTCTGGGTATCCAAGCTGGTATCGAGATGCTCAAGGTTCTCCAAGACCATGACGTTGAGACTGAGTATCCGGTAGGCGTGGTGAACTGGACTAAGTAAGTTGTTCATTCGACAAACGACAAAGCTGACTGTTTAGTGAGGAGGGTGCTCGATTCCCAATCAGCATGATGGCATCTGGTGTTTGGGCCGAATCAATCCCTCAAGACAAGGTTTACAGTTTGAAGGAAGTCGCTGGAAATGCGACGGTCAAATCAGAGCTGGAGAGAATCGGGTACCTCGGCGAAACACCTGCCAGCTACAAGTCCAACCCGATCGGAGCCCATTTTGAGCTTCACATCGAACAGGGTCCGATTCTCGAACGAGCGCAGAAGAAAATCGGCGTCGTACAAGGGGTACAGGCTTACAAGTGGTTCACCATTGACATCGCCGGAAGAGGTATGTGTTTGAGGATAGAGGTGGGCTTGGCTAACTGATTAGATGCACACACTGGTTCGACGCCGTTCTCCGATCGAGCAGACGCTCTGCTCCTCGCTGCGAGGTTGATCACCCACTCGCATCGCTTGGCTACAAAGCACAAGGCACTCGCGTCCACCGGTATTCTCAACCTTACACCCGGAAGCACCAACACGATCCCTGGCCACGTCAGTTTCTCCCTCGACATCCGATCGCCCTCGAATGAGACTGTCGAGAACCTCGAGAAGGACCTCCGCAGAGATTTCGACCTCTTGGCCAATGGTACAGACGTCGACGGGCTCCTGGCTGGCTCGACACCTGCGCTACCCCTCTCCCTCAGCTGGCGAACGGACACGATCTCGACAGCAACCAAGTTTCACCCAGATTGCATCCAAGCTGTGAGGGAATCCGCAGAATCAATCCTCGGAAAGGGCGCTGCAGTTGACATCTCCAGTGGCGCTGGACATGACAGCGTATACACGAGCAAGCACTGTCCCACAACCATGATCTTTATCCCATGCAAAGGAGGAGTAAGCCATAACCCGGAGGAGTACTCTACACCTGAGGAGTGCGCAATTGGAGCAGAGGTTTTGTGTCAAGCAGTTGTGCGATACGATCAAAAGAGAGCGCAAGAATAGCAGATAGACCCGAATTTTACATTGATATGTCATCACATCCCGTGTCTTAACGCCAAACCATGCAACACAAACTGAATTATCTTCGTCCTCGGCCAGCTCCTGGTCCTGGCATACCAGGCATACCACCACCCATACCCATCTGTCGCATCATGGCTTGCATATCCATACCACCGGGCATACCGGGCATGCCACCACCGCCTCCACCTCCTCCAAGCATCTTCATCAAGCTTCCCATATCGGGCATTCCTCCACCACCTGCACCTCCCATACTCTGTAATCTCTTTTGCATGGCTGCCATTTGTTGTGCCTTGTTACCGCCACCCATGGCCTGTTGCGCCCTCTGCATGTTCTTCATGTTACCGCCCATCTTCTTGGCCATACCAGCCATCATTCGTTGTTGAGTGAGGAGATCCTCGACTTCTCGTACTGAGGTTCCGGAGCCGCGGGCGATTCGTGTCATTCGAGTCGGTTGGTCGATGAGGATCTTGCCGTCGGAGTCGAGTTCCTTGTCGGTCATGGAGTCGCAGATGTAGATCATTCGCTTGAGCTTGGCACCGCCCTCCTCGTCGTCCATACCCTGCATCATGTTGCTCATGCCGGGAATCATACCAGCCATCTTTGATAGGGGACCCATCTTCATGATGTTGGAAAGTTGATCTCTCAAATCGCGCACCGTGAAAATACCTTCCTGAATGTGCTTGATGGTGTCTTTTTGGTTGAGGTTGAGACTTTGAACGTGCTCCATCAATCCGGCCATGTCGCCCATGCCCAGCAACTTTTGCACGAACTGTTGAGGAGCGAACTTCTCGAAGTCGAGCATATGTTCACCGGTACCGATAAACACAATAGGAGTATGTGTAGCTGCGACCGCGGAAATAGCACCACCACCATGAGCGTGACCGTCCGTCTTGGTAATGATGATGGCTCCGAAATCAGCCGCCTCCTTGAAAGCCTTTGCTTGCGACTCAGCCTGTTGACCGATTGAAGCGTCGAGAACCATGATTGTTTCGTCGGGCTTGATAGCTTCTTGAATATCCACCATCTCCTGGAACAGAGCAGACTCTTGTCGGTGGCGACCTGACGTATCGACGATAATAACCTCGAATTTCTCCTTCTTGAATTGGTCAACACCAGTGCGGGCAACCTCGGCGGGATCGGTCTCGGTAAGGGAACCATAGTAAGGAATCTTGGCCTTTGTAGCGTTCTGCTTCAACTGATCGAAAGCACCAGCTCGGAAGGTATCCGCACAGACCAAACAAGCCTTGAAACCTCTTGACTGGTAGTGTCGCGCGAGCTTTGTACAAGTCGTCGTCTTTCCGGCACCCTGCAGACCAACAAACATGATGACATTGCTCTTGCCCTTCTTCGGTCGGAACGGTTCGGCGTGGGGATCGACGAGTTTGACGAGTTCGTCGAAGACGGCTTTCTGGATGAGGCGCTTCTTGTTCACGGCGGGAGGGAGCTCCTTAAAGTTGACTGTCTTTTGGATAGACTTTCGCAGTTGCATAACGAGCTTCACGTTGACGTCTGCCTCGAGGAGAGCCGAGCAAATCTCCTTGAGCATGCCATCGAAGGCCTAGAGCAGCAAGTTAGCTGGGGTTGGAGGATTGAGCGCGGTCGGTCGCACCTTTTCATCGAGGTTTTGCTCTCGTGTGATGTTTGTGACCGCCGCATTGATGCGACGGCCGAGATCTTGAAGAACCATGGCGTTTTAATTTGCGACTTGAATGTCGCGGGGTATCTGATGATGGAGGACGAGTGTGGCCACGATCAAGATGTGGAGGTGGGGTTTATCGGGTAGAGTTTATCCGAGCGCCCGGCTGAAGTACAGGGAATAACTGCCGTATAGGGTAATTATAACCTCAAGAATGAAGGTATTTAAGCTGAGATGGTACGATAAAATGACTGATACTTAGAAAAAACAACTCAAAATCATGGGCCGCCATAAGTTACAGTACCCGAAAGACTCTGTCAATACCGTGAAGCGGTACAAGGTGCACGGGGTGTACGATGTCGAAACTGTTCATCGTATCGTCAACTCTTGTCCTATACTTCATGTCTCATTCAATTCCCCGGATCAGCCCTTTCCGGTTGTTCTCCCAATGATCGGACAACTGGGTTCATTCGATCGACCAAGTGCTGATCTTGGAGACCCTTTGGAGCTTTACCTTCACGGATATGTTTCTTCACGAATTATGAACCTCGCCCAGAAATCCACAGTCGACGGAGAAGAGATCCAAGGAATGCCAATCTGCGTCGCAGCATCCCATGTCGACGGACTCGTCTTGACCCTTGCAACATTCTCCCACAACTACAACTACCGCTCCGCGATGCTCTTCGGATACGCGACGACCGTGAAATCAGATGAAGAGAAACTATACGCCATGGAACTCATATCCAACAGCGTGGTGACCGATCGATGGAAGCATACACGCCAACCCCCTCTACCGTCGGAAATGCAGAGCACCAACATCCTGAAAGTGAAGATTGTCTCGGCAAGTGCCAAAATCAGCGCGGGTTCAACCACAGATGATAAGAGTGATATGGCAAACAGTGAATTGGTGAATTCTACATGGACAGGAGTCTTGCCTGTCTATCAAACGATTGGGGATCCGATACCTGGGCCGTACAACACTGCTGAAGTGCCTGAGCATGTGGCTGATTTTGTGAAGGAGACGAACGACGAGCGAAGGGAAAGATCCTTAAAGGCAGCGGAGGGCGAAAGACGGGCATTGTGATAGCGCTTGGCTTTGATGCTTGATAGCTACGAGCAGAAATTCAACAGATACTTTACTCTAATAGTCTAAGCCTTGAAGGACATTTCATCTGTTATCCGACTGATCGTGGACAAATTCTTGTATTTGTCAGGAAGATTCTTGCTGGAAGAATTACAATTCCTCACACCCTCCTTCCTAGCATTTGAAGAGACAATTGAAGAACAGTGATGTCCCCAACGAACCTTCATTTGAGTCTAAATCGACAAAGGTCCCAAAAAGTCCTTGAGCCTTCTCCAGCTCCTCTTTTTCTGAAGATAAAGGGTCCATCAGTATCGGTGGAAACGGCCTTCTTGTCTACTTGAGCTCACCTGCGAGAGGACTATGTTCTTTGTTGACGCAGAACTTGAATCTCCCTGGCTTGACGTCTAGCGAGGGCTCTGAAGGCGTTACGCTGTCGGCGGAGGCGCTCATTTTCGGCAATTAAGCCCTCATTGGCTTGCACTCGCTCTCTAAGTGCCTCGTGATCAGCCCTAAGCGCCTCGTAGCCAGCTCTGAGCTCGTGGTTGGAAGCTTCCAATCGCCTCAAGGCTTCACTGTCGGCACTCCTTTGGCGGCCAGAAGAATCGATGGCCCCGGACATCGTAGGATAGACTTCCTCGTCAGAGGAACCATGACTGTCTAGCCACGAGATTTGGCTCCCTTCTGACCCTTCAGCATCCACGCCAGGACTCGGTGTTGGGCTAACGCCCACCCGCACAATGTAGCCATATATGTGGCGAACAGCCGACGGTATATATTCCTTTAGTTGATCGCCCTTCGGGAACTCCGTCGTACTTGTCCCTCGTTCAACCTTGAAGGCTTCCCATATGCGCTGGGTGCTGATTCTCCAAGCTTCGTGCATCCAGGCGTAGTTATCAAGCGCTTGCTCGATCGACTTCAAGTCTCTCATTTCCACGGGGTATGCCAAGAGGCCACGGTATGCAGGGTTAATATCACTGTCGGTGGTCTTCTGATTGACATACTGAGAAATTGTCAGCAGAAACGTCGGGAACTCTTCCTCAACTGGGGTTAACGCAAGGGCCTGTCTCAGCTTTTGGGACACAGATCCAGGTTCGAGTTCGTCGAACCTCTCCCACAGGAGTTCAAGTGCTTGACAATCGAATGTGTCACACCTTGACGCAGGCCAACGTTCACCACTCTCAATTCGGCACATGACCACGAATTGGAGAGCCACCCGCAACTTGCGGTAGTTGCAGTCCCAAATTGGGTGCACTATCAAAGACGATAGCAACTTGCTGAAGGCGGTGGAGAAGATGGCTTTGCCAACCTGTTTGTTTTCCCCCCCGTATTGCAAATAGTTTATTGCCGAAATTAGACAGTTTGGTGAATACCGGAAGACTCGTAGACACGTCTTCCAGAGGACTTGGAAGTCCGGATAAGCTACAACGAGGTTGAGATTGTACATCTCATCTGTATCCTCGAGGAGACGTTCAACCTCCGACTGCTGAGATGAGCTGAGTTCCCAAGTTTTGAAGACGCCTGGAATCTTATCCATGTCCGCCTTTGTGAGTTTCGGACAAGCACCGAGACATGCATTGGCAAGGTCGAGAGCCTCCTGATCGTTTCTTGCAGCATCTCTCCCCGGATGTCTTCCGTTGGGATATCTTTGCATGAAAAGACTCATGATACCCAGCCTTTCAACAAAAGCGGACGTTTGCAGGTGCTGGAGTTTGTGATCGGCTTTCTTGTATTGATTGTGGAGGAATTGTAGGATTAAAATTGGCAGGAGAAATTCCCTAGTGGAAAGAACTTGGGGCCGGTTCCCTGGCAGCTGCAGTGCCAACGGCCGACAGAACGACGTAATGGCAGTATACGCATGATAATCACAGCAGCTTTTGGCATAATGGTTATTCTACTGGTATGAGCTCTGGAATTACCATCCCATCGAACGTCCAACTATTGACTTCAAAAGGCTCGCCTCAGCCAATTTTCATGCGTTTCCTACCCGTGGTGGCGCTGCCCGTCAAGCCATCCAATAGCTACAAAACTTGTTTACTTCTTGTCCTTCATTTTTATTCATTAACGAGAAGTGCCTAGTCAACGATTGTGCCGCGCCGTGGGCTTGCGACCGCTACAACGGTTTGGAAGCATCGACAACGCGCGGCTTCGAGATCGAGTACACTCGCCCATATCGCAAGAGTAATCACTCCAGACGACTTCAAGGCACTGCCTCACTTCTCGAAGGAACGCTTCTTCTAACCTTGTGCTAGATCTTTTTGCGAATCACAAAGATCATAATACCAAGCGCCCAGTTTCGATGCCCATCTTCAACAACGCTTTCCTCGAGTCCATTCTCCTGAAGCTACCAAAAAACGGAGTATTGCATAGATGACGTGAGCGGGCAACCAGAATCTAGAGAGTCCCCAACGTGCAGCGCGACTGATCAGTTTTGAACTCTCCAGGATCAGACTTGACTGCTTGTCAAGGACTTGCTTGAACGACCGCACACGAGACGAGAATGGCCGAGACGATACCATCAAGCAACAATCCTCGCAAGTCCACGCCTGATGGACACCAGAGATCAATTGTCTATGTTGGTTCTATCCTAACAAGAGCTGGACTGGATACACCCCCCTTACAACCATCAAATACGATTTCAATCACCAAGCACACCCAGCAATCCATACATTAACGCTGAGCAAAGTCAACACAGGAGGATGGACAATCTTTGCGGCGGATCACGCCGGGGAGCATCCGACAGGACACTAGACAATATAAGCCAAACTGGAAGCATGTTCCTGGAGGACAGTAACACTCCACAGAGGAAATCATTACTAGATATACACGCACAAAGCAATGAAAGCATTTACCAAATTTGTCGGTCGCATACAAGGCTTGGATTTCAGGTGATGTCTGCAAATGTTGGCAAGCAGGGTCAAATCAAGCAATTCGGATGCCGGATTGCGACCATGACTCTTTTGCACACTATACAATCATGAGGAAAGATTCGCGAGTATACGTCCATCAACCTGCTGAAAATCCGCTTGTGAGGCCGCATGATACTAAAGTTCACGTTGTCTTGGTCTAGGCCCCTGAAGTCACTGGAAGCAACTGACGATTTGGCGCAGATGCCTAAGCGGCAAGGCAAAGCTCACGACAAAGACACGACCAAACATTTCTGCGGTGATCTCATCTTGACAAAAGTTTGTTTAGGCAGACAGTCCGAATCCTCATCATCATGTCGGACGCCGCTGAAAGGCGAACATTAATCACCTGACCCCGAGGATAAATAGCCAGTGTTCCCTTCCTTTTCTGTTACTCCAACTCTCGGCACATGCGACTTCCATTATACGCCTGGGCACTGTCCCTTCCCTTCCTACACACATTGTCCTTCCCTTTCTTAGGATACCTTTTCTTCACTCCACCACCAGTGTCCATTTCACTCCTTCAATACATACTGCAGACCTCCCAGGAGACGTTGAATGGTCAATGGGCCATCGTCACTGTAAAGGGAAGATCAGTGACCAAAGGATGTCGATGACTTTGGTATGATGCTCTATGCTGCAAATTGACAGGGTACAGTCTTGCAGACGTGGGTTGTCTCTACACTCAGTCGGATCTCGACGATACTGCATCCATTCGACACACACATATGTAGTGAGTATCCCTCTATAACACCCGAGTAATAACTGACCGAGGACCTGAACAGTGACAGCGACTTCAACCGTTAGTATCTTTGCCTTCCACGCCATTTATACGTCTGAGGCAGTGTCCCTTCCTTTTCTACTCCAACTCCGACGGCTTCTTCCTTCCATTCTTTGGAAGACAATGCACCTTTTTCTTTGGCAGGTAAGACAACACTCTTCCTTTCTCTCAGTATACACAACAGACGGGCTTTCAACTGAATTTGACTCTTCAACGTCGCACCGCATCTAGGGCTATTCTATTCATATACCATTGCGGGCACAGCCTAACCCGACATTGTCGGCATCACTCTTTCCGGCCCATTCGACTCTTCATCTCGGTCACACGGTTAATGCAAAATTGCCGCCACCATGATGTGGTTCAGCATCGTGTCAACCCTGTGCAAGAAGGTCTCTGACGGAGAGGCTACATTGGCACCGTCCAGTACATCAATCGAACACATACAGTGAGTGTCCCGGCTATAGTAGTTTGACAATGACTGACCAAGGACCCTAATCAGTCACACGTCTGGAACCCATCGTCCCTGACGAGCTTGAGATTCGCCCTGATCCACAACTGAGGCCGAACGTCTCCTCGAAGATACAGATGAGATGGACAATCCCGACAATGATGGAGATTGTGTGAGCCTCAAAATCCTTTGGAAAACGTGTCTATGAGTATTCCGGCGCTCTACAAAGTTGTGCTTTCTGTGATGAACCAATCGCAATAGCTGCGTTAGGATATCGACAACTCTCCATTCGTGTTCCTGTTCCGTCCTGAGCAGGATATTCGCCTACGACAGTCTGCGACTGGGCCAAGAGTCGCAAACTCCGATCTCATCTGCCCTTATCAACCCCGACGACATCAAGATCCGATGGTAGAACTGCATATGACGCCTTTTGCAGCAGCCTGTTCACACCTCTACTCTCTGATCGCAACAGATGAGTTTGATCCTTCTTGGGTCCTCCGAAGCTTCCGCAGTCACCTTCGACTTCCCGCCTCAAACGTCGACGGAGCGTTCCTCGGCGTGGTTCGTGTCGCCCTAGGATACAAGGACGATCGCGAATACATATGACGCTCTTTGCGGCAGCTCGCCCACACCTATACCCTCTGATCGCAACCGATGAGTTTGATCCTTCTTGGGTCCCCCGAAGCTTCCGCAGTCACCATCGACTTCCCCCTCAAATGAGAAGGGGATTCAAGGCCCCATCTTACCGCGACCAGACACGAAGACATCGCTGTCAGACCTCAGATCATTCAGTCTCATTACGAGACGATTGGATGCATGAATGAACACATCAGCCAAGCGCTTCACAAGTATGTGATTGCGATTGAAAGCCGTGCAAGATGGTGGACCCAATACAAATCTCGAGTAGCCTGTCCCTCTTCAACTCTATTATTGATTGCATCATCCTTGACGCTCTTCCCCTTTGGGAAATCTTATGCATCGCAGCGTATGTATAAGACTGCCGTGGCTTGTTCAATCTGACGCCTGATCTAGGTTCCATACACAATATCTTCCCGAGGATAGTCTGCGCAAGAGACAGCGGGAACTTCCAGGACGTTGACTCATCAGGGTAAGAATTTGGAACACCATTGTCTTTTATTCGTTTCATTTTGGATGAAAGAGTCTAATTGATACTGTGTAGGCAGTTCCATCGAGAAAACCTTTTTCGTCAACCGTCACCGTCGCCTGTCACATTTACACACAGAACGATTAGCTCATTACCGTTCGACACTCGAAACTGATGATTCTCAATTGACTGAATGTCGGAACAAGTACAGGTTGGTGACCAGTTTATTACAGTCAAACATCGGGGCTGACGACGACTGGCAAGACGGGTTGAAACCAATTTACATGGCTTTGACAACGCCTTCAGGTTGACCCACAGCAGTGGCAGGAATACAGCAGGCAGCAAGAAAGTCCTGCTCCAGGCATTCCCATCACCACTTCTATCGCGACCTTTACCACCATACATTACTGCCGCCCAGTACTCTCACTAGCGCCCTGTTGCTCGTTTTGCGTCTTTCTCGTCATTGATCTGTTCCCGCTTCGCCTGTTTCTGCCTCCGCTGCCCGCGCCTCCTCCGCCATCCTTTTATGCAGCTTGCCGTCCCTACCACCAGCTACATCTTGGTCGCCATATTTTTCGTCATTGTTTTATAATATACTTGTAGCGGTCGCGATGTAAGGTCAAGAATACAGCACGGCATCCCGAAGCCATCCAGCTTCGAAACAGGTCCTTGACTGTACCCTACTACACGATTTACGACAGTGAGGATGATACACATGACGACCAGGCCGTTCAGGAGAATGGGAATGAATATGGCAACTTCGCCTCTGAAGCCAGTAGTGTGGACCTTTACAAAAAGGCGTTCCGGAAGGGTGTACAGAAAATGGACCGACGGATTGATGATCGTGGACGACCTAAGTGAGTACATGATGACCGGGTAATTGGTGCTAAAGATACTGATCCTAATGTACAGCGCGATCTTGACGAGTTTCATGGCCACGCCTCAGTGACTCGACGGACCGAAATCCATTCCTCCGAGTTACCGAGGCGGTGGACAAGACCCCGGCGTCATTACCGAAGAAACGATCACAGCGACACTCATCCGGCAGGCCACTGAATGTTTCGAGAACGAAAGAACGCTTCTGGCCCACCAGAAAAAGATCGCGGCCTTGAAGCTGGACGTAACAGGGACAAACTTGACGCCAGTACCTATCGCCGACTAGTAGCCGCCACCTCTTCGCGGTTTCTCTACCGCTGCTATCCTTTCCTGTCGCCTCTGCCTCGGTCCACGTTCAAGAGATGATATACTGAGGTTCACCCTTTGGCTCAGGCTAGACAACTCAACCTGCATAAGTCTCAGGAATGTATATTGCGACCCCAAGATCATCCGTATGAACGACAGATACACGGTCTACAGAGCTGTCATCTGCACTTGATCCGAGTTCCTTCTCGCCGCCGCCTCCTCACACTTTCTTATTTGACCCTCTCTCTGATCCCCACTATCACATATGACTCTTTCTCTATATGTAGACAAAAGTCAGATTCTACATCGATACCTTTTATTGCGTCGACAAAAACACTTGGAGGCGGATTGATGCAGGACAGAGGGTTGTGCATATCGGGGCCACTGGGCTCTCCCGTCATTCCATGTTGGATAATTTACCCCCAAGAAAGATAACACTGATCTGTGTAAGTTATTACCTGCACGGCCTATTTCTCTATCGATATACTGACCTTGCTGTAAAAGAATATGCAAGACGGAAAAAATGTTTCGCTATACCTGTCACACAAGGGCATACGACTGTGCTCGTTGTCATTGACTCTGGGACGATCATGAACGAAGACAACGCTCACAACTCACCATCTACATGCCGCCCTCACGAAGTTCGAGATACTCTACAACGCGACAGAAAAGCTGTCAACAGTGTTCTAACGCCCGAGCGAGATGTGATCGCAGGGAGAGGCGGTGCAACCAGGACCATCCAAAAAGCAAAACTCGATCGAGGAACCCGCGGTACACAGCGAGAAGCGAGTCAGAATATCGATCTCAAGTTATTTAACGTGGTTTCGCTTACCACCCACCGCCCAGCGCAACGTCGGGTTCCTGCGTATTCGAAACCGCGCGCGCCCGACCCTGTAACCCGGGGTTGAACATCGTATCCGAAATCACACGACCGTAGCAAACTCTTCGAATGTATCGCCGCATCTGCCGCTAACCTCTTGTGCCTGTTCTCGTTACCACCGCCCCATATTGCTTCTATATATATGATTTCGATCTTCTTTCGACAGCCCAGACTTCTTTCAAGCCGATTTTATATATACTTCATGACAGTGTCGCCATCGCCTGGCTGCCTCGTACTATTCCGGGATGGCCTTGGCCTGGTAGACCGTCGGAAGAAGATGACAGTCTGGGTATCTCGCCCATCTACCATGAGTGGCTACACAGGAATGGCCACAGGGTTCCCGAGGACGAAACTCCTCTCTCGGCGGATGAGATGGCGTCGCGGTTGGAGAAGGCCCTCGCTAGGGATCCTCGCCTGGTTGGTATCACCCAGGTTAGGGCTAAACTATGGTGAAGAATACCGCCATCGACCACAAACATCTACTCCTCTATATTATACTCGACTAGGATGGAAGCCTCCGACATCCGACAAGTGTACGATTTTGAGCGCGATGGGGAAGCTGCTGCCACTCCCATCGCATGTCAGTCAGCTTCGATGTATTAGCATCGTTTGACTTCCTCAGGCTCAACTATATACAGTAGTAACCTGCACATTAAATGCACATCGACGAGCGCCCATATATATATCACGAGTGCGGAAAAATCCACGGGAAGGGGGATTCCAACAGGTTGATTTAATCAGTCAACCTTATATGTATCCCTTACGGACGCTTTACTCGCAGATCTAGACCTGTACTTCATCCACCCGTTCTTCGTTTCAAGGCCCAAGGTTATCGCCCTGTTCATTCAGAACCCCTCAATAGCTGAAGTTGTCAAGGCTAGACTCACTCTTCAGACCCTTATCTCCAACACCGGCCTTGACATGAGTAGCATCGAAGCACGACTTCTTTTTCGGATGCCCTTCCAAATTCAATTACGATTACCGCTTCGCCATGCTATTCGCTCTCAATTGCAACCCAGCCATCCTCGTTACGAAGCATATCTCATCGCTATCTCAATCAGTCGTGCTCCTTGGTATTTCAAGGATGCGGGGATTACACGCCAGGATGTGCAGGATGTATTACGCGCCTTGCGAGGGAGCTCTCCTATAATATACGGAAATACTTGGGTCACTCTTGACATTGTCAAACTTCATTACGCCACCCCAATGGTTTCCGGTGATACCACCCAGCTCTTGGACATCGCCAAGGTCTTCGAAGCTAATGTGGAACTTGTACACAACACGTACGGCCACTTGCTGTACGCCTTTCAGGAACATGGGCTTTGGCCCGACCCTCTGCCAGTCGAAACAGCAGTGGAGCATTGTGCTGATTGGGGAACACGCAGTTTCCGAGTGGACGTGTCGTGGCCAGTATCTCCCGAGGCAGATGAAGATGCTATTGAGGAAAGACAGGAAAGCACAGATTGTTACTTGGAAGATGCCGATGAGTTCGCTGAATGGAACATTCAGCGAGGATGACAAGTTGCGATTTCACACCAACTTGTTCCTCAATCTCGCCAGATAACAGCAAGTCCAATATATACTATACAGTACGCGACCTCTTGTCGATATGATGACCGTCACCTATAGATGGTGCAGCATATGTCAAGAAGAGTCGTGGGGTCCACGATGCGACGACTGCGCAGGAGAAGCCCGATGGACAGGGACCCGAGGATCAGGGGCCTGAGGGTAAGGACGCGAAGACCAAGACTTCCTGGTGGTGGTAAACCAATACCCTCGCCCAGTCTGACATTGTAAGTCATGCCACTCTGCTCATAAACATATACTGACAGATCTAGTTCTCCATCCATACGACCGAAACCAGTTCCAAGCTATCCCATCGAAGCCAGATGCGATGAAGACCAATTCAGAGAATTGAGACACCGTGAGACGGTAAAGGCGGTATAAATTTGTTGGCAGTTATAGAGGGATATACTGGGCAATCTGACGCAAGGTGCCGACCTCAACTCTTCCCATGGACCTGACTTATATCCACCATGCCGAGGAATATACTTCCTTCAACAGGTATAGTAAGCACATTGGATTATCAGAAGGCAACTGACTCAGTATAGAATTAACACGGTGAAAGAGGAATCCAGCCAGTGTCCGGCCCCAAACTCCAATTGCCTGAGTATCAGTGTCATCACCCACCACGGTCGCGCCTACAACGATTGCTCGAATTACCGTTACAACCCAAAATGGCGTCGCAACTAGAATGACTTCGCCACCATTGATATATAATAACGCCACTTCGATCATTACAACGGCTGCACAGTTCTAAGCCGAATGTACGAACCAATGGGTAGTGGCACACTCCTGACTATGAAACCAAGCACCCCAATCCGCTGGTTGTCAACGGTGTTGAAACTACTGCGGACTACGGGCCAGTGACGTGTCGGCCTGTTGTCAAAATTGGCAGGAGCGCCAACTTCAAGGGTTGACTTCAGACCCATAGCAGGCAACAAAAACAACACAGTACATCACCAATCTCATCGCGACCTCTGCTACTATATAACTGCCGCTAGCTATCGTTTCATTGTTTATTTGGCCCCTTCGATCTTTTTCCTCGCACTACTTTTACCTCCACCGTCTCTGCTACCGGTATGCAGCTCAGCGTCTGCATCGCCACCTCCATTTCGATCGCCATCATTCCTTGATCGTGCATCCGCAGCTGTCGCCGTGTCTGCCACGAAGTAAGCATATGGTCTCCTGAAAATTCGATGCCAAAACACTGACGCTGATGTAGAGCATTGAATTTATCGAGCGCCTCAGCCAAAATACTTTGGTAATCGGGACACTGCCGAGGAAATGGACGCGCTCATACAGCAAACCGTCCAACGTATCAACAGCGAAACAACACTACTAGTCCGCCAGCAGAGGATTGCAGCTCTACATAGGAAGCGTGCATCGCTGAGGGAAGAACACAGATCTTGGGAGAACAGGATCGGATATTCCCGCGCACAGATCACATTCCCAGGCGAAAAGCTCGCATCTTGGCGCGAAGCAGCAGGCGATTTTGCGCACAAGGTATCTCAATGGGATGCAAAGATTGTAGAACCTGAAGGGAGAAGATACCAATGAACCAAGATCTGGTGATGCTCAGGAGCCCAGCACAGCCGACCACGACTAAAGCTTGCGTGCTCGCAGCGAGAGCACAGATCTTGGAAGGACGGGAGCGAATATTCCGACGCACAACTGACACAAACGAAAGCCATCAAGTCTTTGGGAAACTTGCTCCAGCAGAGGCAGTGACTGAAGAGCCCAGGGGCAACGGAGACAGGGAGCCCGATCTCAAACAGAAACAATTCGATGATATGCTGGCTGGCTATCAAGGAAACACGATCGCTCGTTTCGAGTCGCTACTTGCAGAGAGTAATATCCGCTGCCACCTCCTCCATGACCGCCTTTACAGCTTTCGCTATCTACCAATTTCGCGACCATTCGCCGCCTTCCCGTGGCATCCTCTTTGTCCGCTCTTTTTTTCCCCACCACCGCTGCCGCCGCCGCCTCTTCCATTGTCCCTTCGTCTCTGTCTCTACTGCCGCCGCCTCTGTTGTCAATCAAGGATGACTATATAAAGCACTTGAGAGGAGTCAATTCAAGACTGATGGAACATGGGATTGCACATTGAGGCCAGACCCTGTTCTCCACTCGGCCCACGCTGGACAACCCAGCTCCCAGCAAGAACGAAGACAATACATGATCCGTGAGTTTATGTGGTGCAAGAACGTTGCATTTCTGTCACAGCATGCTGAAACATTTGTACACAAATAGAAAATGCATACTATGTAGTACTGCCCCCGGTACCCCCGATGCCGCCGTCCTCCCCGCTTCCGCCGCCCTTTGCTGTCGTCCATTACTGCCGTCTGTCCCAACGATGCAATCGATGAGAGCATGTCCTCCTCTGGGAAAGACTGAGCAATCGTCTCCTGCCTCGGGGTACTGTGTGCTCTTGGGAGACAATGTGACCGGATGAGCACACACTGAATTGGACCACAACACAGGCGTATCGGAACCTCAGTGTCGAGTGGGACACCTCCGATACCAGCTGGACCATGTTCATACAGGACCTTGATAGGCTCGATGCTCTCAAGAAGAATCAAGCCAGTACCACGCCTTAAAGAACACTGGTCGTGCTGAGAACGGCCAGGTGACGGGCCTTGTTGCGCCCAAGAGGACACGGTACCACGTCAAAACACGAAACAGTTGCCCATTCTATCTATGACTCCGACCCGAACCCCTTCAGCACTGTCAAACTTGGACATGATGTTCATCTTGATTCCAATCTCGACCTCGCGTGAAATCGAATACGCGACAACTCGGTGTTGCGTTGGGCGGCGTGTTCCAGCTGCAGCTGTCTCTACTGTGTTCAGGCATCATGTTCTTCTTACGATGGTGCAACCGAGCATGGAACACTCCCTTCAATCGACCTCCGCTGTCCTATATGAGTTCTATCCACTGCCGTCGCCATCGTCATCTTATGCTCCATCTTGTCACTGCCGCTATTTATTCACTTGCTATATATAAGAGCGAACTTGCTTTTCGACAATCTGGGCCTCGTTTGCGACACAACAACATGGCACTCGGGAGTATGATCGGATCAGACAGCGGGGACAGCGGCACTTTAAGGACTAATACCGAAACTTATATATACCTAGTCCCGACCGAGCTACTCCTGGTGCTGCTCATGTTGCTGTCTATGGTTTTCCCTTTATTGAGTATGCTTTGACACTCACTTGCGTCGTCGAATGGGCATGTGCCGAGTTCCCATGTGAATGAGACATCCGCATCTCAACGGTATCCTCGCCAATCGGTCAATACATCCTGTTCAGTCTTGTCTCCCAACGAAAAGACGATCCTCCGGACCCTACCCACGACTTTCAATCTCTACCTACGAAGAGTCGTCAAATCTACGATGGCCGGTCGCTGAAGTAGATTTAGGAGGCACTTCCAAGTCATCAAAGAGCCGACCATGAATGCGCGCCTGATCCTTTCGCTCGACGAGAACATTGACGACCATATCGCCCACCCATTCGGCAGTGAAGAAGATGAGAGCTTCAAGCGATTTCACATATTTACTTCCAACATGCCCTGTCCGCATCATCCGATCTCGTTCAAAGTTCCTGAGCATTGTCAAAAACAATCATTTCGAAAAGTGTTTCTTAAATCTCTGCCGAATGGGCTTGTGGCAATCAGCCCAACGCGACAACCGTGTAATAATCATGCTATTCGACCAAAACCTCCTCCTCGTTCCGTTTCCAACAAGAAGGCCATCCCTTCATCTCTTTCTGCGACATAGAGTATTTGTGGACACAAGAGCCTATGGTTGACAAGACAACCTTCGGCGCTCGCTCAGTGCGTGTTCTGTCTGCGTCGCCGTTCGCACCTGTGCTACGAATGCCACACCAATGTGTTTGGATGAGATTAAGAAGTGCAACCGGAGCATCGAAACAACTGAGTGTACAATCTTCGAGACTGCCATCGACGCATTTGAGGCTCCTGTCAACACATCAATCCAGGATGGACAAGTGAACCCTTGGCGAAGGGCAATACTATGATCTGTGTACGTCACAGGCCACAAGATGCACTGACTACTGCGATGTACTAATATACCCGCAGTCACAATCCAACCATATATCACGAATATATACTATACACGCAATGCTCGAAGCTCCCGAATCAGATGGAATATACTCATGAGACCTCTTTTCAGTAAAAGAAATCTATGTGGAGCAATTCCATCAGATGCAGGGAACAAAAAGGTGTTCATCAACCTGAAAGGGGATGGAATCAAACTCTCATTCCATCTGGCTACTGACAGCCTCAGCTCGAGCTCGCGTAATTCAACATGAATCAAGGTAGTTCCCAATGCAACGCCATATGGTGAATTCGTTTGGCAAGGTTCCGGAATGACGTTGATCCTCTCATCGACGAGGAAACCAAGAGCCTACACATCGCCACGACCGGAAAGGAGTCCAAGTATGTGAAAACTCTGACCATTACAGCGGTGTATATTGTTCTTACGCACCATTGAGCCTATGCACGAATCCAACAGCGGATGTGTTGGTAAACCACGACGCCACTATCCTTTCAATAGGGATATGTGAGTAACCGGATGATTTATTGTGATTCAATACACTGACCCCCTTGACTAGATTCCTACATTTGTTCATTCAGCTCATCCTTTGCCCAGATGCGCATGAGTACTACCTATCATCGTAGGACTACTACAATACAACACAACTATCGTCAGTCCTGGTACCATCCAGATCAACGACTATGACCTTGTCATCTCAGAACACTGGCCGCCGCCCTCCTTCTTGCCGCTACCGTGGCAACCTCTGCCTTTGTCTCTCTTTCGTCATCTAAGAATAATACGCTTGGGGTCTACATTTACCCAGATTGGAAAAGTCAGCGCCCTGCAAAAAACAACGCTATGGAGGTTTGTTCTTCGATCTCACTCATCTGTGGCAATGGCC